GGAACTAAAAGTGTAAACACAGTATGAGAGGAAACTTCAACGTACAGGAGACACACACTTTTGTGTTCTGTAAGAGAGTTAAACAAACGCATAGATATCACGTTCATATCTTTACGAGGAATATCAGTCACCGTATGATTGAGAGTTTCTTCAGTTTGTTTCAGGCCACAGGCACCCAAGATGTGAAAAATAAAAATTGATTGATTGTTTATTCAGTCATTCAATCACTTATTGACTAGTCAATAATTATCTGGTTAGTTAATTAGTTTGTTGGTTAAATGCCAAATTGATTGTTTTGTGTGTTAGGTGGTTGATTCATTAATTGGTGGTTTAGTTGGTTGACAGTTTGGTCGGTTGGCTGGTTTGGCACGTAGATTGATCTACTAATTGGTCTGCTTGCTGTTTGGTCAATTAATTGTTTGGCTGATCTATTGATTAATTGTATTTGTTGTGCAGTTGATTGGTAAGTTGGTTGGTTGGTTGGTTGGTTAATTGGCAGCTGGTTTGGCTTGTTGATGTCTTAGTCAATTATTTGTTCAGTTGATCCATTGATTGATGAATTAAGTAGTTGATTCATTAGTTGGTTGGTTGGTTGGTTGGTTGAGTGATTGATTGAACGGTTTCTTGGTAAGTCAATTGTTTGTTCAGTGGGTTAATTTACTGATTCATTGATTAAATTGTTGATAGGTAAGTCAGTTGGTAAGTTTCAAAGAATGTCATGAGTGGACTTTAACAATGGGGGATAATATTTGATGTACTTACCTGCTTGAAAAAACTATATATCTGACTTACAAACTTGTTGGAAATCAAAAATCTTTTAACTCATTCTTGAAAGAAATGTTTTAAATTCAAGCTGCAAACTGTAGCTTATAATTATTATTTTTTTAGCCAAGTTACGTCAAGCTGAGACTCAAAAATGAGCTAAATTCAAAACTCAGACACTAAGTTTATGGTAAATTTATGCTTCCTGAATGTAGATGTAGTTTTACGATCGGACTTATTTCCCCTAAAGTGAAGAAAGCCGACAGTTGATCTGAGCTCGGTTAGGTGTTTCTGTTTCTAAACTTCTTCTTACTCGTTCCCAGACTTTTGTGTTGTGTCAAATTCAGGCTTGGTGTGGTATGAATCATTTCACCAGACTATACCAGGAAAAAAAGCTCATAAACATATTCCACTAAATGTGAAATTATTCCTTTAACACAGACACAAACAACGTAATGAGGCATGAGAGGAGTCAGACGAAACATATTTCAAATGAGCACAATAGGTCTCGGGTCTGCGTGTGCAATTGTCCCTAATTATGACAATGATTCAAGCGAGCTCCACATTCCAGTGCCTCTTATGGTTTTGCTGCTATGTCTCTTGGAGCCTGCGGAGCCATTAACACGATACCAATCTCACCATTGGCTCCAGTTTGGGCCTCCCATGGGCTCCTGAATGCAACCTGTCCAGCTCGAGGGGGATCCAAACATCCACCTCCCCTCCGGGCTCGCACACTTTCCTCCCCTGAGGAGGAGGAGGTGGGCATCAGGACAAACAATCAATGCCAATGACAGATCCACGTCAGACGGGGCCTAATTATGGGAACAGCGCTCTGAGAGATATCGTGTCATTAAAACCCACCGTCTCCACTCCATCTTCGCCAGACTCTTCCCTTCTGCCCGGCCATGCTGAGAGGTGTGTGTTTGTGTGTGTAATGAGCTGTTTCTAATGTCTACCTTGTCCTCGTGTAACTTTTCGCCACAGAGATTGTAAAGGGCTCGAGAGAGACACGAGACGCATCATTTTTAGAGGCCATGCATGACTGAGAGAAGCCTCAAATGCTCCCGACAGCCGCAATTTGAGAACTAAATTGCAGAAAATACTTACATAGCTGCTGTCTGATTCTGAAAGCGTTCTCGCCCAGACACCGTTAATGTTTACTCAGAGGATGGCTTGACACATTCAGTTTGCGAAGACTGCAGAAAAGTGGTCTTGGCACTCAAATTGGACGGGTCTATCAAATTAATGACCTGCAGGCAAAGTATGAAGACGTGAACCGTGTTTTTGTTTCTTGTCTTCTTGCTCGGCAGTAATTTTAGAGCCGAGCCAGACTACAAATCACGCAGACCCAGAGGCGAAACAAAACTCGCAACAAATAAATGTCAATTATCAATTGTCAATCTGTTATTATTATCTATGTGTTTCAATTTGAAGCGCAGTGACAGATCAGGGAGATGGCAGCTTAACGATGAAATACGCCATGAATCACAGCAGAACACTAGCTTCAGGCTGCCTGGGATGTTTTCCGCCTCGTGTTGAGGCAAAATGTGGAACAAGAGGCTGATCCGAAACATAAACTGTGGTTTTAATATTAGTGTGACAGAAACTACCAAACTTTTAGAAACTTAAAGGGATGAATGTTGTCGACCGCTTGCTTCTCTAGTTTTACCAACTTTAGTAACGACGGCATGATAGCAATACAGAGAGCCACTGAACCAAAACACCACTCTATAGCCACAAATAATGCTCAGAACAGCACCTAACTTCATCAACAGGACATATAGGGTCACAGACATAGTACTAGACACCAAACATCTTTTTAACTTTGACTGATTTCTTTCGCAAAGAGACGAAACACAACTCACCTACTCTCTTCCAGCAGCCATTTGTTTGTAGGGAGACCTCGGGCCAGTCCATTACTGACTACAGTGGGGTGACGCAGCTCAAGGAAGAACATTTATGATCATTTCTTCATGGAAATACAATCAGACCGAGACGCTAAGACAGAAGAACTACCACATCTGCAGAGAAAAATGATTAATATGGTGATTATTACTTCAAGAAAATGATAGAGAAATGATCGGTAACATTCATCTCTCGTTGCGGTGTCTAACTCGGTGTTACGGTGTGTTTGACCCTAATTTAATTTTACGTTGGAATATCCCTTTAAGAACCTGGAGCTCTTTACTGTGCCCACTAGTAAAGTAGGGTGACCATACGTCCTCTTTTGCCCGGACATGTCCTCTTTTTTGGGGGGCTGTCCGGCCTTGTCCGGGGGAGTTTATAAAATTCTTTAAGTGTCCTTGGTTTGATATGAAGGTTTTAGGAAGGAACTCTGATTAAGATACCCAGATAATACCATTGGAATTCAATTTTCTCTACCATGTAACCTGCGTAGTTGGAATATGATCGGACAATGCATGTGCGCATGCGCCACGCCCCCATAACCCTGGAACAAAAACACCAGAGTAGAAGTGGCGCTATTATTTAAAAGAACTTTCGACTCAGAGGCAACAGCAACAATGCTGAAGCACAAAAAAATGTCCACTTTTGGATCGACGAGGAGAGTGCCGCTTTCCATCCTGACAGAAATGGCCATTAGTCCGATGGCTTAGTCCGATTAAGTGACTGTCCTGTTTTCAACCAGCCGTTTGAGTCAAAGATGATTTTCTGTCAAAGAAATGTCCCTTTAAGGACAGGTGACTGGATCGAGGACACGATGGAGCATCATCAGTCATTTACAGTCCAAACTTGATTCAGTTTTAGCTCTGTTTTTGGTCTCCTCCTCGTCGCCGTGCTGCTGTGCTGTATCTGTCTGCTTTCTAATGCGGCGCGGTCACAGTGTGCAAGTGTTTTCAGAGGTTTTCCACTGAAAACAGCTGCCTGCCGGAGCCGTAAACAACAATATGAAAGGGTTGAGTGAGAACCAAAACAGTGAAGTTGTGGGCCAGAAAACCAAAACAATGATCTCACAACATCATAAAGCTCAGAGCAGCTTTTGGGGAATTTTGGAGTTTGGTGATTTTCTGCAGGGGAACATCTTTCACCTTATCGTCAATATGAAACCGAAGCGGGTAAAACACGAGGAAATGATTCATTTAACATCAACAGACTGAGCTCCCCAGCACTGCCGTCCTCTTTCATCCTCCTCCTCCTCCTTCTTGGGCAGCAGAGGAGCCGGTATCATAGCAACAGGTTTGTTTGGGGCAGCCTCGGTATCAGCAGGACCTGGACTGCTCGGCTCTGTTTGGAGTAACTTAGGCTGCTGTGAAAAAATCCGTGGCATGCTAAAAACATAATATACAGGAGCCTGGCATCCCTACGAGAGAGCCTGACTGTCTGTTCCTCTCTGCAGGTAGCCATGTTTGGAAGTGCTGACAAACAGAGAAGAAAGACAGAATGCACGGAGTCCTGGAGGGAGACTGGCCACTCGCCAAAACGTCACCTCCTCCTCATATTTGGCCTCCAACTATGGTCACAATAGTCATAACCATGCTGGATTGTGTGTTTGGATTCGACTCCAGCACTTGGAGAAAAGCAACTGGGGAGATTCTTTGACCAAGTGTGTGTGTAAACAACAAATACATGCTTTTATTTGGACTCTTCCTGGAAATGTAGAGACTACACAGGAGGAGATTTTGTCTCTGTTTTGACCAAGTAGTTCTCACATTAGCTTCCTTTAAAGAAACGGAAACAACTCGCCTAAAGAAAGGCACCAACTCCGAGATAATTGTGCCGATTTTGGGCCCGATTATCAGCTGGCTCCAGAGATTATCTCGCCGGCTTATCCTGGTTTGTGAAGCACATAAAGAGCGATTTTCGTCCCTCTGATCCGTGCAGAAGATGAGCAGAGCCTCGCCGAGCTGAAATCATAAATATCGCGTGTTCGATGTTTACGATCAGGAATCCTTCTGGGAAAAATCACAGAGACTAGAAGACCGAAACTACTTTGGGTCTCTTAGACTGATGATGATGATTCGAGTGGTTAGCTCTGAGGGGGCGGCTCTAATGGTCACATTTAGTCCTGGTCTCTTGTTTTGTAAGGGATGTCTGTACACAGGGGAGTTTGCTTGAAGCCGTCACCCGATGAGTCAGTCACTACGTCTCATAATTAAGGCCTCATTAGAGCCGTACACACAGCCGAAATATGTCGGTTTACAGGGCAGCAGACAGAAAACTCATGGATCCACAAAGGGGCCATTCATAATCCCTCACTTCTCTGTAGGAAAAGAGAAGGAGCAGTTGCTCTTAGCATTTGGGCAGATGTAATTGCAATCACTCAGCTTGTCTGATGCTGATAATGGGGCGATGGGAAATTCCTGTCAGAGCCGTGGCGCAGGGTGGTTTCGCAACCGCTTTGGCAGGCTCCGTGTTCCACTGCAGGGCAGCGAATGCGTTACGGCATGCTCGCATAGCTGTCATTAAACACATTTTTGAAAAAAGAGGAGAGAGACAATCAAAACTGAGAAGTGTGTAACTCTGCGTCCTGCTTTCTGAGCAACGCAAAGACTAATGTTATGTAAACGTGTATCATCTGTCATCCCGCGCCGTTAAACGCAGTGAAAGACCTGGACGGAAAAAGAAAAGTAAACGCGCCGCGGTGATCCCACTCACCTAATATACACCACTCTGTCTGAGCTGCTCTCAACATACTTATTTTCATTTGTCATTGTCAAAACATTTCTCTTGACTGGTGGTTTATGTGAAAATCGAGCTCGGTGCCTATAAATGCCGGGCAGAGCATTTAAAAATAAAATAAGGTAATGTTTGTTTTCAGAATTTTGGGCGTACTCTCCGGCGAGCAGTCCGCCCCGGCCTGAAATGTGTGCTACAGTGGGTGGCTGAAATAGCACGTGGGTGCGACGTTCTTGTGGTTGGTCTTTGGGTACAGTATGTGACACCTGGCATCTCAGCAATGCTTCCATGAGAAGCCTCTATTATAAAGCATTCATGCAATGATGCTAACAAGCTCATTTTACTGGCTGGACAAGCATTTGTGTAATTATGTCCAGGACGTTTTTATTACCACTCTGAGAGACCACCCAAGGGATAATAAGGGCGTATTTAGACATTTTCTATTAACCTATTCATTGACCTGCAGTACATTTGATGGACAACAGCTATTCACTTTTAATTAAAGGGGAAAGTTAATAAATAAAGAACCACATGCACAGTGTCTCATTTCAAATATTTTACAGGTAGATAACTGCTGACATGAATTAACCTGGCTGTCTGCCAGTGTTTGTAAAGGTATTTCAGGTATTTAACGATTCAAATTGTCGTCATCGTCGTTTTCTTCCGCTTATCCGGGTCTGGGTCGCGGGGGCAGCAGCTTCAGGAGGTAAGCCCAGATGGCCCTCACCCCAGCCACTTCCACCAGCTCTTCCGGGGGATTCCCAGGCGATAGAGATATAATCCCTCCTCCTGGTCCTGGTCCACGAGGCCACCTCTAACGGGAGGCGTCCAGAAGGCGTCCTTACCAGATGCCCGAGCCACCTTCGCTGACTCCTCTCGACGTGGAGGAGCAGCGGTTCTACTCTGAGCGCCTCCTGAGTGTCCAAGCTCCTTACCCTATCTCCAAGGAAACACATTTCGATCGCTTGTATCCACGATCTTGTTCTTTCGGTGATCACCCAAACTTCATGACCATAGGTGAGGATCGGCACGTAGATCGACCGGTAAATCAAGAGTCTCGCCTTACGGCTCAGCTCGTTCTTCACCACAACAGATCGGTTAAGCGTCCGCATCACTGCTGACGCCGCTCCAATCCGCCTGTCAATCTACCGCTATCTCTCTCTCTCTCTGATTCAAATTGTGCCACAGGGAAATGCAAAGTATTCATGAACTCGAAGCTAACTGCAAAACAAGGAAGAAATACAAGAAAGTTTCATCCCCCCTCCGAAATTTGTTTATAATATTTAATTTAAAGGCACAGAGACCAGGTAGTAACATTTAATAAAAAGTTTAATTTCAATATAGAGCATAATATGGTTTAAAAAAATGCAAAAAGACATATTTTTTCTTGCAATAATTTTTGACTTTGAACAGTTTAAAAGACTGATGTGAATCATATATTTCCTCGGACATAAATACCATATCAAAATATCAGCGTCGCCCATGTTACTGGTGTTTCAGTTATGATAAATTACAAACATCTACATGTTAAAAGAAATATCATACAATAAAAAATAAAAGATTGGAAAATTTTAGTTTATAAAAAAAAAAGTTGAGTTTTCGAAATAAAGCAACGTACTGCTAGCGTAATTAGCGTAGAGCAAAGTCCATGTTTTTGACCATGCGAGTGGATCATTATTTTCCCGTGGTATCATGAGTAACCAACATTGAGAGTCTACATCTTTGAAACTGCACGATTTTCATGTTTTCATGCTAGCTTTCTTACGTTAACAATACTAACGTGCTAGCGTTTATCAATCTCTCTGTCCCGTTAGCGTGTTTATTTCGATTAACGATGCTGTGAGGAGATTTAAGCGATCGTGACATAATCCCACTCTTGTACTGATGACCTGCAGAATAAAATGAGATTATTAAAAAACAAGATTAACCATTTCTGTACTCTGTGTTGGAGTCGTCATTTAGCGCCCACCTAAACGAGTCTTAAGTTTTGGTTACAATTTCTCTACGCCATAACCACATCGTAGCGACCGTAGTTGCAGATGTGAGCACCAAGTAAAACAACAAAAGGGACAGACGATATTTGGGATATTTCTGTCGCAGAAGTAGGCCAACCAGAGGCAGAAATGCAGTTCGAGCCGTGTTACAAATCAGGTAGATTACATACGTCCAACATCACTTTTACAAGATCTGGTGAAGCCATATTATTCCGTACTCTGAGCATACGTCAAATGTCCAGTGTACTCGCACTCTATGTACCATTTAACACATAAAATCCATGATAAAAATAACTACAGTTCATGACTGTGTACGTAAAAGATCATATTAACATGTCAGTGTACATTGAAACATCAAAAACGTTGATATTTGGTGTACCACGAAGGTCTGTAACAACCGTTTGAGTATACTGAGACGGATCTGTTCACTGCTTTGTTTTCAGGTTGTTTTATTGGTGTAGCAACAGTCATGTAAGCTCCTCGGGGGGAAGTGGCAGCCCGCTGTGAAAAACAAACTCAGTCCTCGAGTTTTTCACACTGTCCTTTTACCAATCTGACGAGCAGTCAAGTCAACGTCACTTCCTTCAAACCTCTCTGTGGTTTGGTTGTGTGTGCGAGTCCTTTGAGAATCACGTGTGAGGCTATACTCCAAGCAGCATGCCCATGAAATCAGAGCCGTTCTGTATTGTAATGGACGCTCCGGCGGCGTTATCCACAAATATGGAGGTGTACTGCCCAGCCTGCAGAAGACGAGATACAACAATGATGCAGACAAATGTGGACGTTAAGCTCTTGAGTCCATTTTTGGTTCTTCTTACCTGTAGCTCCAGGAGCCCTTGGACACCGACAGTGAAGATCTTGCTGTTACTTTCCAATCCAACTATCATCTCCAGAGAGCTAGGAACAGATTAAAGGGACAGTTCGGATTTTAAAGTTGTGTTTCAAACCTATATTTTACACACATTATAATCAGGGTTCTAAATTAACTTTGTGGCAGGACATTGAGAGTTACCAGCCAATCAGAATTTCCACCGGCCAATTTGTTTTTTCTTTTGCGTACATGCGGCAAATACTGAAAAAAAAAAATCGTTTCGCACGCTTTGTCGCCAATTTCCTCATTTCCTCCATCCTTACTATTCTTGCCCAAACTCGTCTATCCAAAGTTAAACCACCGCCACATTTAGTTTAGTTTTACTCTAGCTAAACTTAAGCTCCGCTGTTTTTACGAAACTCCCTGCTCTCACTCTGTTCGTTTCTCACGTTGGTTGCACTGTAGACTGCAGCGGGAAATACCGGCATTCGCAAAGCTAATAGGTGTAGGAAACGTCATAACATAGTGTTATGGCACAGTAGTTACGGGAAATGTAGGAATTACTGCCAGGGAGACAAACGACCAAGAGCAGAACGCTAGAGCATATCTGACTGACACAATTGCCTCATGCATCACCGGTCAAACTGGCTAGTAAGTTTTTATTAACACCCGCCAAAATGAATTTTAACCTGCATTTGGAGGGTTGGCGGTTTATCGCCCAGCCCAAGTGGATCCTGTCCTGCAATCCAGGCAAGGGAATCCACCCTTTTTTTTTCTAAGTGTGTCAACTGCAAACTCAGAGAGGGAGAAGAAGAGCTGAATGATACTTGTGAAAGACCCGCTTACTATTTAGTTTATTCTAAGTAAGGGTGACCATATTCTGAATCCCCAAAAAGAGGAAACGACTACGCAGGGTGGAGTCATGGGGTTGTGAGTAGTTAATTTTGAGAATTTTTCAGGTCCAATTTTTTTTTTACGTGCTTTGAACCCGTAAGTCGGTGTCACTCAAACTCAAAACTTACTTCCAAAACCCTGAACATTTGAAGGATTTTTTAAACCCACCCAGACAAAGCGGGACAAGGCCGGATAGGCTTGACAGGCCCTCAAAAAGAGGACATGTCTGGGTAAAAGAGGACATATGGTCACCCTATGATATGGGCAAAATGACGTCGGTTATTGATGTAAATTTTGGTATTGGCAAATTTTTGGTTTATCGCCCAGCCCTAATGTAAACATATATCGGCATATCAGACGTTGGAAAAAAGTTAAACATCATGCATCCCTAATTTGAACCTGGTAGAAGTGACTCCAGCAGCTCAGTCCTGTCATGATCAGACAGTATAAAAGGGTTCTTGAAGACAGCCTTAACGCTAAAACCTGAACACGATTCTTCACAAAATAAAGTGTCAGTGAAAGCAGTCATTAGGTCGTGTTTTTGTTCAGCAGCCGGTGAAGGCCCAACCCCAAAAACCACTTCTCTCACTGGTGTCTATTACCACACACAGGCCTGTGACAACACGGTTATGTTAATAAGTTATTCAGTAGCGCTTTAACCATGACTCTGCATACATAAAGCTGGCCAGGCTGTTTCATGCCTTTGTCACTAACTGTGTGAAACAGACAGTTAGCATATTTTCCTAAACGTCAAAGCGTCTTTAAACACCCACTGCTCCCGGAGCCTCGATGGTTATAGCATGGCTGCAGGCCGTAACCACACAGTGTGAGCACTGGCTCCTGTTAAGTGGAAAATGCTACATTTTTTATGGCAAATCAATCATGTTTGTCTTCACTCCAACTGCCATCACAATGAGCCTCATTGCACATTCTCTGCATTTTCATGTGTGGGAGAGTGAGACTGGCTGGGGTTTTGGCTCTAAAAAGAGGGAGCCGAGGACTCATTTGGGTTAGAAAACCCATCATAATAATATTATTTATACGTTCCCCTCATAGTACCACGCTAGAAACGAGGCTGAGAACTCGGGAGCAGACTTTGGGGAGCAATTCTTTTCAAGTTTTACTGACTTTATATAAATAGTAATTTTGAAATATTTGAATCACCACTGGATTTGTTGGGGGATTTTTTTTTTGTCATGTGGATGAACGCGATACTTCATTATCTGTCTCCCACATCCAAGGCAAGGACATTTTAGTGCTAAATAAAACAGGCAGTCTGCAGGGGTCAAAGGTGAGTCTATAAAGATCAGTTAGGGGACAGGGGCTCTGAGCGAGAGGACGTTTCCCTTTAAAGACCTGCTCTGCTTTAATACAGGAAATGCCACACTGGTTCCACACAAAGTGTAACAGACAACACCTTTAACAAGCCGTAAATTCTGGTGAAAGTCGAGGCAGCGTTTAACGCCGTTAAAATAACTGTTACATGAGCAGAGTAAACAGTTTGAGGATAGAAAAATCGAGAATGGAAAGTGCGGTCAGGGGCGGGAAAATGACTTCTGCAGATCGGATTGATACTTTAAACTTTGATATGAGCTATAACTCATCACACACGGAGGTTACGATCTATTGAGGCCTCAAATAGTCCAAACGTGTCTCCAAATCTGGATTATGGTTGTGTAATGGTGCGTAATACTTACGTGTATCTGTGGCAGAGAGACTCGATGCAGATCAGCACCCGGACATTATCCCTGGCCTTGAGTTGACTCTTGCTCCTCTTCACCTCGTTGTGGTCTGTGAAGTTTCATAACAATCACATAAAAATACTGGTTCATCCCCGGTTCAGAAAAAGCATAAAAAGTGAATCCCCTTCATGTGGCTGCTCGTTAAAACCCGTGAATAGTGATTGTCCGCTTCAATCTTAAAAAACGGCGGCTACGCTCAGCAGGCCTGTCACGCCGGGTTTACGTGGAGCCGGAGCAAGACAGATCCTCTCTGTTCAGGAGGAGTGTGGTAAGGTACCTCCTTTAAGCTTTTCCAAAACCAAAAAACACAAAAGAATAAAGCTGCACGGAGGAAATGATCCTGTGTGATTGTCTGCTCTTATCTTATCAACCATAACAAGTGTACGGCTCATATTTAGTGAAAAAAAGATCAATTTATTCTCCTCTGAAGCACCTTTTTTTGTCACAATGACCCAAATACAAACTGTTTTAGAGGATAATCATGTAAAATAATCTCAAGAAAGCCTAACTGTCTTCACACACCAAGCGCAAGTAAAATCATTCGCGCGAATGATTTACATGTTAAGTCAATGTAAAGAAGCGATTAGACACTCCTACTACTACTCTGCCGGCGCGAATAACACGATTTGGGCAGGAGCTCAAAATGTCTCAATTTGAGCAGATATTTGTGTCATGACAACTAATTAGCACGAAGGTTGCTGGGTGACATATGAAAACGGACGGGTGTTCACAGACAAACTGATCGTGTCGGTGTGCGGGTGTGCCGAATTATATGCTACCTTTTCTTTCAATTACCGAATCGGAATAAAAAGGAGCTCGCCTGGAGGCAAGTGAGTGAAGAGGTTGGATTACCTGGTAAATCGTAAAGTCTGTCACTTGACCCTGCTGGTTGAATTGGCAGGGATTACCGTTGACACGCAAATGAAGCGAGTAACCCCCAATTTTCACCACATCCGGAACAGCAGTGATTTTCGCCATCAGCCAATTCCTACCGGATCCGTTGGTGAAGCAAATTTTTTGGCGCATTATGGCGCGAGAACTCACAAGAACCCGCAGATTCATGTGCAATCACACGATAACGAGTTGTCTTTAGCCACAGAGGCTAACCATAAAAGCAGTCAATTGTGTCCTTCCAGAGGAGGAAATCTACTTCTAGACTTCCAGAATCAGCATCTCCTCATCCATGGTGTCATTGGGCTGAATCGCTGTCTAAAAACCTTTTACTTGTTCGTCCGGCAATCCGCAGCAGAACGAAAAGAAGCTGGTGGAAATCGACACATTAACATGAATGGTTTTGATCAGCTGCAATCGGTGGATACAGCCTTTTTGTAGCTGTTTGGGATGCGGTGGAAATTGGGGGTAAATACTATTCATGCACGCATCTAGATTCGCGCGAATTAAGCGAGTAGATGATTTACCGGCGCTTGATGTGAGCGTCCCATAAGAGTGTAAGATTTCTGCCTTTATTTACAATCCATGTGTTGTACTGTATTTTGGAGCATTTTGTTTCTTTCTGTATCATTAATAAGACGTAAAGTTGGATTTACCGATATGGACGTTAGCTGAGAACTGGTAGATTCCTGTAATCGGAGCTGTGAACCTCCCCGTGGATTGGTCCATCCCCGACCCTCTGAGGAAGGCTCCTTTAGCTGGAGGCTGAAAGCATAGAAAACATGAATAGATGTCTCTACATTCTATAGCAGTAGGTCATGGTGTTCTTTATTCAAGCACTGAATTGTTGGTTGTTTCTCTGTATTTGTTTTCTACCGTTTTATTTATCATCATGTTAAATAATTTAGTATCCAGCCTGATCCTCCCTCCTGCAGCTCTGTCAGCCCGTCCCAACAAGGCATAGTTCTTCCACTAAAACATGCTGCTTTAAACAGTGTCTATTTCTGTCCTCTCCACACTTTATTCCAGCTCACAGACAGAGTGCCTTTTGTATGCCGCCCAGAGACTAATGTGTAGAATTGAAAAAGTGGGTATTTTTGACCAAAGAGCCAGCCCGAGTCTTAGAGTGGCAGCGCACGCTTCGCCAGTGCCAGTTACCAGCGAGGGGATGATCCTCTTATGATTTTACCCCTAACATGCAAACCGAGCGATGATTACCAAACACACAGTTAAGACAAAGGAGCAAATGGGTCAGAAAAAAGCCTGTAACCATGCAGAGGAGGAGGAGGAGGAGGAGGAGGAGGAGGAGGAGAAGCCAAACTTTTCTTCTTCTTCTTCTTTTTCAGGCATGCAAAGGCACCAAAGCCGAACCAGTTCATAAACATTTACTCGGTTTCAAACAAACATACTGTCTGAAAGTTTTGGAGCTCCACCAGCGTCTTCTTGTCGACCACCACCGGTCCCTTGAGCTTGCAGTGGAACGCCTCCTCGATTCGTCTGTAGGACGTCATCCCCTCCAGGGTGAGGAGAGCTGTAGGTAGTTGGCTGGGGCTGGCTGTTCTGTCCAGGGCTGCTGCTCTCCTCTCTGTCGCCTCTGACAGAAACAAAACCCGGTTATTATAGAGTTACTGATGCAACAACAAAACTTCTAGAACAAACTCTCTGCCCAAAAAGTTGCTGAGCTGTGTGTGAGTTTTTACCTTTAATCATGTCTTTAAACTCCTGCAAGAGAACTTCCTGGGTCACTTCAGCCCCAGGAGAGCCAGGGGGTCCCTGGGGGCCAGGGGGACCAGGAGGACCAGGTGGGCCCGGCTAGTTGGAGAAAGATGTAAAAGTCAGTATCTATTATTAAACATGATAAAAAAACACACAATGCAAGTTTAAATAATTTGTCAGTTTAAAGAAACAACCTGGCTGGTAGAGTTTCTTTTCTCTAACCCAGTACAGAACACTACAGGAGCCATATTTGTCAAAAAATATACCAACACTGAAACTAAACTTCTGAAAAAGACGAAAACTTGGGCAAGAATTGTCATGATTTTGTAGTCTGACCATAATTCAATCTGTTTACATGAAAGGTTTATCGCATATTCTGCTGTCAGTCAGTAGAGGGCGCTATAAATCTTTTGGCTTCACTCTACGTCAACACTCAAAGCATCTATTTTAATTTACGTCTATGTCACTGACCATATTCCCATGGCAGCAATCGATTAAATAAGTGACTCTTTAAACTGGCAATTCTTCAGACCTCCAGTCTTATGAAAGTGCTAAAAGCTGCAGTTCCTTAAATGTCCACTTGGGGTCGGCTTCAAAAGCAACAGAAACCACATACACACTCATTTAAAAACGGCAGTTTTTACAGCAAATATAAATATGTTTACAGCCTGGTACAAAAAAATAAATAAATTAAAACAGTTTTGTGTAAATACCTTTTTTTAATATATATATATATTATCATTTTTGAAGATATTAAGATATAATATATGAGTTTTGCTGAGTTAGTGTTTTCAATTTGGTAACTACCATTGAAAGGCTTCATAACTCCACATCAGAAACCAGTGAGTGACGCCCAAAGACTACATCCATGTTTTTAAGTGAAAGTCACCAGTGAACCAAAACACCAATACTTTTACTTGTGTTGTTTTTGAGATAATTTATGTCCTGGGATGCAGCAGTAAGACGGCTTCTCACATCATATTAAGAGTATCCCCATGAGAATATGGTCGATATTTAGAAATTACACATTATTCTTGTATTTAAAAAAAAAAAAGTTTTACCAGGGGTCGTTTGCGCTTGCGACACTTTCCAGGGAAGTTGACACCGGGTCTTTTGACAAAGTCCATCCACGATCCCAGTGGATCCACTCTTTGGCTGTCAGAAATCTGCATTAAAACAAAGAAAACATGTTTCCTCACTAATCCAATCCGAAGACCAATCCAAGACTTAAAAAACCAAGACTGAGATATGAGAGCGATATGAATTGAAGGAGTTGTAAAAAAAATCACAGTGAACGTATAATATTTATTGTCAGTTACAATTTTTGGAGAAAGTACTACTTTCTTGGTCTTGTCTTGTTTCACTCCCAATTATCTAAGCATTAAGTTACAGTTTCTTGTCGCCAATAGTTCGTGTTTGACTCCTGTTCCTCTTTTGTTGTAAACTTTTGAGTCTTGAACTCTTGAACCCTAATCTGTGTCTTTTTGTGAGTATTATAAGCCCTCTCCCCTGTAATCCCTTGTGGTTTCCAGTTGGACAGTTCTGTATTTTGACTTACCGACTCTTTTGTCGATTAGATCTATCTAAGCTAGCTTTTGGGTCTATTTTTGTTTTACTATGGAACGTGAGAAGAAGGTAAATTCAAGGAATGGTTATTTCTGCCTCCAAACCATCACTGGAAAATATTGTCCTCAGAAACAATTAACTGGTGCCAGACACCAAAGAAGGTCACATAAGGAAAACCTCTTTCTCTCCGTCCTGATCTGTTGACTCGAATTCCTCCAAGAGCCTTTTTCGCTTCACTGTTTAAGTTCACTCGTCGTTCTCCTTTAAATATGTTCACCTTATGCTTATTTTTTCGTTCCCGTGTAATTCACTCAGGTGCCACGTCGGGTCGTATTTGCTCAATAAGCTCGGATGAATGTAAACAAACTGCGTCGAGCGATTTCTGTTTTCAGCACATTCAAATTTCCATGAGCTCTGCGGTGAAAAATGAGTCTGCTCATGTAGATTCTGAGGGCTGCAGACCTCAATCACTGTATTTTATAACAACATGTCAGAAAGGCCGACACGTCCTCCCTCTCCTCAAGACAAACTGGTATTTTTTCTTATTAGTACGGCTCACCCCGGTTATGTTTTGTTGGAGAATTTAATCAAACGTATACGCAGAGTAAAGATGAAGGGGGTATGCATGATTTAGGATTGTTAGTCTGTTTCCTTATCGTGTGTCTTCTTATCTGAAACGACATATTTATAATAAATTACTGTAAAGGAGGCTGGGATCTGCCGTAGAGATAAGAAACACACTCCGAGACGACCTTCCTTTGCTACAACTGGCATGTTTTCATTTCAGTAAAATGTGAGGCTGAATGGAGGCCAATCACAGAGAGCTCGAATCTAACCCCAACCCTTCCCCAAAATGTCAAGTGCCTCCAGTTGAGATAGAGGAGGAGATAAAGACGAGCCGCGGAGGTGAGCTGCCTGAAATGGAATTTGTTTAGGTTTGGCAGCGGGACACGGATCACTTATCTGCAAAACCAACATGCTCCTTTCTTCACTGTCAAAGACTCGCCTCTTCTTCCACCGCAACAAAGTCACTCCTTGTTTGTCTTTGCAATATAGTGGAATAAAAACCGTCCTTATGTTTGGGATTTTCAGCAGTCTCTCTCTCTCTGCGAGCCTCTCCTCTGACAGCAGACAAAATAAACAACTTAACAGGCGCTGGGCTGGCTGCATGTCGGATCCCTCTGTGTTTTTGTTGTGATTTTGAGGCTTGGAAAGAGATAAAAGAGAGGCTGATTTGGTCAAGACAAGACTACTTTACTGTGCTAAATACTGTTTCCATAAGACCGGGAGGTTGTGGGATAAACTGCTTTTTCCTCCGCCATGTCGATTTTTCATCCCCATCAACATGTCAGTCCTGTAGGCTATACAGGAATACTTTAACATTTTGCAAAGTGCTCAAACCTGTCATTAACTGATTGGTTTGGCAACTGGAGGGCAGTGAGAAAAACAAGTTGTGAAAACAACATTGGCTAATCATCACCTTTTAAATGATCATGGGGAACAGCTGCTCGTTAGAGACACGGCAATTATAGAGCAGCATTATCACTCATTTGTAGCCGTGTTTTTATAACACGAACAACCCTCAGACTGTTGCCAGTGTATTTGTCTAATTTCTAGTCAAAACATCCCATTACTCTTGATGAAAGTCCGCTGACCTTACGAGACCTGATATAAATCTTATTTCAAGATATTACACAACAACAACAACAATGAGGACATAATTGATCTTAATGAGTAAAAATGGCCGCCAATGCAGCGAGCTAAGATAAGTCTCTTGGATCAGGATGTTGGACTTATTTCAAAGAGAACAAACTTGGTGAATGTACGCTACAAAAATTCAAAAATAATCAAGTTTTTATGGCCCGTGTCTAGTAAGATCATAAGACTATTCCAGTTTGAGGAAACCAATCAGGGGTCTTCTTGTTTTGTAAATAAATTCAGGTGTAAGTTCTGCGATAAGCTTTTTGTTACTGGACGACCAAACACTGGACATCGAAGAGACGTGCAGATCAAGTCAGTATTGGGTTGGTCTGTCAAAGACCACATCTAGACGTCAGTGCGTAGGTTAGAAATTTGACGTCCAAATTGGACCTTGTTTAGACATCGCTCTGATGTTTAGAGTTTAAAGCAGAATCCAAAATGGATCCGAGATTTGGACGTCATTATTAGACCTCTTTTAGACGTTGAAATGAGGTCCACATTTATACCTCATCGTCCAAAAAATATGTTAAATAGATGTCATTTCGACGTTGCATTGCGCAGTGGGAAACCACCATCTGTTGATATAGTCTGCTGCTGCATCCACAAATATAGATTAAAACAGTTCCACGTAGTTCCACGTACCAAAGCGGAACATTTGTTATTTGTTTACTAGCGGAGTCGAGGGAGAAAGAAAATGATAAGGAGCTGTTTTGCTGTAAAGTGCATGAATCTGCAAAACAAACAATCGGCAAACATTACGACTCTGCTCCTGATATTAGAAACATCTAAAACAACAACGTCACAACCTGGTAAATTGAAATTCATGGACATTTCAGCAAATGTTTTTCTGATTTCGATGCAATGACAGACAACGCAACTTTTCAATGAAATTACATTTTATTGCAATTTTGTCAGGGAGAACTTGCAAACAATACAGCATCTTCATTGATATCAGTTCACTCCGAAGAAGGCTTTTGCTTCATGGTTGCTTGGCACCTAGTATTGTTTGTACACACGAAACCCGTCTATGGTGCATTTTGTACACAAATGGTTAAAATGCCTTATATGTTTGTCTGCTAATATGAAGTCAAAGCTGGCGATAATTAGCTTGGCTCATGTAAAGAAGCTACTTTGGCTCTCCCTTTTGCAACTGTAAGGAGAAATTTTAGTGCAAGAGGCACAGCGATACTGGACTACTGTAATCTCAGGCAGCCATGCGTAAAAAACACATGACTCTTTAGTGGAACTCACCACATAGGCTCAAAAGTCTTTCCCCAAACCACAGCTTGTTGCTGCGTTGATGCCTCATTGAAACATAACGGTGCTTTACTGCCAGGGAATAACAGTGTTTGTGCTCACATAACCACCTCTGCAATCATACAACTGCCAGGAGTTTCCAGACTATATAAAGGTCGTCATAGCCCAGACTTCAATTTAACTTTTTTTTTCTACAAATAGTACTCAGTGTAGCTGTCAGGGGGATCTGTTTCCCTGTCTCCAGGCTTGGACCAGCTAACAAGCTGCTGGCGGCTGTTTCTTATAATGTAATGCATGTATGTATGAGTGAAATTTTGTTATTGTGAGAAAATATTAGTTTGTTTGGGAGGTGTTTCTTGCAATTCACTGTCTGTAATCCTGTTTGGCTCTTTAAGAAAGCTTATAATTTAAAAAAGAGACAACCATCTGATCCTGAGAGCCAGAAGATGATTATTCCAAAGACTGCCAAAGCTTCACATTTGTTCATGTGTTTATAAAAGTGTCAAAGATCATCAGCTTTCTTTCCCAGAGATATAAAGCAGCACAAGTTAGGCCACACATATGACTTATAATTACCTCTTAACCTTTTCTTACGTCATAATAACAAAAAAGACGGCGTATCACTGCCAGGAAATCAGCCACACTCTGAGCTTGTTATTCTCTTTAACACACGCCAGTGTAATTAAACCATTAAAACTCTGCCCTCGAGGATTTCTGCGCTCAAGATAGAAAGGTTATGACCAAAGTAATTATTACCTTGATTTCAGCGTATCACTGATTAAGGAGCTCTCCTCTTTCTCTCTATCTTGTGCTCTTGTTTCAAGCCTTTGTACTGTTTTAACTTAACACACTCTACATAGACCTGACAGCTGGTACGGCTCACACAACTTGCCAAAAACTTTTCTGATTCATTGTAAACAGGTGAGTTTCTGTCTCGACTGAGAACATCAAAGACTCATGAAAACCATACCACACCATCAGTGCCTCCCTCGCTGCTCTGACTGCGGCGTAAAACAAACCGTAGATTCCCTCGCTTAGCTCTGTACCATCATGTACAACCCGTGAACAAAGTGGAGCAGACCCAGGTACGAGCGCCTCAAAGTGGCCTCGTCTGTCAGCAGGTGTGAGCGCACGCTTTTCCAGCGAGAGCCAACAGAGAAATGTGTCAGGGGTTTCTGACAAAAGGTGAGAAACTTTAAGTCTCCCAGACAGTGTTTATCCTCACTGATGAGGCTCGAAATCATGACACATTACCGAGGCTCGGATCTGAAGAATGGGCTGCATTGTGGCCGGAGTTAAGACGAGGTATTCATATCCTAGTAACTGAAAGAGCAACAAAACAGTGTGAAAGATATTTCATCACAAGTAGAGTTTCAGTATTCAGTGTTTCACGCCAGAAAAGTACAAAACAGTATCATCAGTATAAGAGTGAAGGAACTTGACCGACAGGTTAGCTATGATATTACATTTGTATTTTACAATGTACAATGTACCATATGTAGATTTGTGTTCTGTTCCATTGGGGGCACTTTTAAAGGACTAGTATGAAAAAATTATAATTACTTTGAGGCTGCTTTGCATATATTGAGGTAAACTGAAGTAATTTAAGTTAATTATTAGTAAGAAATCATCATTAGGGCCTGTGTCCACTGACAGCATTTTGATTTTTCACACTGGCTGCACCTAAAACCTCAGTTTCTGAGTGTTTCTCTGCTACCAGTTTTTGACTTTTGGTAGTGGTGATTAGTTCTGCATAGATTCAAGTAAACTGAAGTAATTTAAGTTAAATCTAAGTAAGAAATCAAGTCCTTCATTATTAGGGCCTGTGTCCACTGACAGCATCTTTATTTTTGGCACTGGCCGCACCTAAAACCTCAGTTTCTGAGTGTCTCTCTCCTTCCAGGTTTTGACTTCCAATTCTTTTGGTATTGATGATCAATTATGTTTTGATTAGTCTCTCCTCTGTCATTGGTGTTGACAGATTTAATATCAGCAGCTCTGGCCTTTATTGGTTTTGATTGATCAGGTAGGGGAATTGACGCTGGCGGTGTTCCTTTATTGTTAATTCCACCCTAATTGAACGATTTTTAATTTAAGGTTTTATGGGTGTAGCAGCAAGATCATCTGACACCAAGGATATTTTTTAGCTGAGGGCGCTGAATTTCATTGGTTTTATTCAAAGGGCGACTTTAGTGGACACAGGCCCTTAAGTTGCCAGTGAGGCACATATTATGATCAGTTGGTGGAGCTTAAAAGAAAGTGATTATTGGACTATCTTCTAGTTGCCATGGAGTGATTTCTGACTTAAATGTATTGAAATCACAAATAAAGCTAAACTTAAATTAAGCTGTTAAATAATTAGAATACCACATTGAGACTTTTAAAGGTATAACAAGATCATTCTAAGAGGGAATTTAATCAGTCAGTTGTATATTTGTACAGCGCCAAATCCCACCAAAAGTCACCACATGACACTTTAAATGGATTGTTAGGTGAGTAATGAAATAAGTGGGAACAGTTAGTACCTTAAAAATAGTACCAGTGCAGTTTTTTATCCTCCTCGTACCCACAAAACACACTAAAAATGAGCAGAGTTTATTTTGATCAGCCAGCAGCACCGTGAGTTTGGAGTTTTGGATCAATTAGTGATTCAGGTCTAATCATTGTTGAGGTTTCACAGAGGCCTTATGGGATTTTATTACCCAGAAAAGAAGGATTTAGGTCTGCATGAATAATCTTCTGTGTGCCCTGCTTTAAGTGTGTTTGTCATGTAGTTTGGGGAAAATTAGGTTGAATTTATTTGAAGCAATAAAAAGGGAAAATATTTCCCTGGGGCAGCGTGCCACCAAAAACACAAACACAACTGTTAAAACACGTCTCCGGGGCTACAAGCAGATACTGAAACTCTACTCCGTTGCAGGCTGCTCCTGAATGCTCCCATGTGCGCCGCTGAACTTATCTTGTTTTCTTTAACACGCTATCTGTTTTTTCTACCTGTCTTTAAACACTAGCAACATGAAACTTTTTTTTTCCTCTGCTGATAAAAAATGTTGCACAGGCAGGTTTAAGGTTTAGACAGCATGATGGAGAGCTTTCTATAATCCCTTGTTTTTACATCCCGGGACTGCTCCCTGTGCAGTCATCCATGCATGGGTGGACAGGCCTAACGTCGGGCTGCTCCCACCCCTGGAGGCAGGGATCCCTGGGCCGTGCGGGACGAGGGGATCCTGGCAACCTGCGTGCATCCCAGTTGTCATGTATCCACCCTGTGTTCCTCGCCGCTGCGCTTCATAGACACACACTGCCTCCAGGATTTAGCACCGCAGAGCTAAACACCGTCAGGCATGCAATGTTGACTCTGTTCTCCCCTCACTGTGTTATTACTCGATTGGCAAGAGCAGTGTGCAGAACATAATTACTCTGTCGCGCTACAAGGATGCTGCTATTTGTCCAACAAATGTAGAGGTGGCACCGTTTGGAAGTGTAAATGGAACATTGTTATTACATAATGACATAGTTGAACATTTTTATTACATGGCCTGAATTTAACTTCACTGTTGTCCCAACAGAGCTCGGCTGTATGCGATCATTATGTGCGAGAGAAAGTGAATAAATTTGTGTTTACACTCGGGGAATCGCTGCAGACGATCTTTGCTTCCTCTTGATTGAAGAGGTAATATAAGCTGAAAGAAACCTTGAGTGTCGTGTAACATCTGTTTTGTGTATGAATTATAGCTTTGAAATTGGAGTGAGTGCTCATTTTCCCTGTGGTAGGTAAAATGAGCTGTTGAAAAGCTCCAGTGATCCTGATGCGTCTCAGGTACTCAGGTTTGTCTCAAGGTTTTACTGCAGGCAGATCAGATCCCCCTCCTTCAGCGTGATTCATTTTGCGTTTTGTTGGATAAGTACAAACGGTCGATTTCTCATTTTTATTATCCTAGAAATTAAACTGTGTGGTGCTGCAAAAGTCCGTGTAGAAATACCGTGCAATAGATTGTTTAAGACACGCTTTTCATACAGTTTTTGTTGTCTGTGAAGTGGGCTGCTTTTCTCGTCTATTGGGTTATAATCATTAGGGATGCACCGATCCATTATTTGGATCGGATATCGACTCCGATATTGACAAATCAACTGGATCAGAAACGACGCCGATCCAGCATTCTGATCCAGTCTTTTTTTTCTTTTAATACATGGAAGTCTTACTTCTTTTTGCCGTGTGCTGATTTGTTATTTGTTAATAAATAATATTAAGTAGATTTATATCTGTGTTAATTTTTTACTTTTAATGTCAAGCCTGATGTCTTCACTCACAGGGCAAGGTATACAGTTCATTCATTCAACAGTAGTATTGGATCAGTATCGGATATCAGCCGATACGCTTAGCCCAGGTATTGGTATTGGATTGGATCGGACAAAATGGATCAGTGCATCTCTAATTATCATGCATTGAAAGAACAGCTTGAAGAGTGCGACTTCTGCACCCAACAGCCTTCAATGCTACCAAATGCTTCGCTGAATTGCTATATGTGTAGCTGCAAAATCATGATAATAGATACAAGAAAGAGTTTCACGTCTGCACTGAAATGGGACATTGCTGAACTTTTTCCAAAGTTGTCATCCTCAGCTTTAAAGTCATAAGTGTGAAATTATATATTTCAATATGTGTAAGTCGCACCTGAGCATAAGTCACAAACCCTGCCAAACGATGAAAAAATGCGACTTATCGTCGGGGTCTTTAACCAGTTGTGAAAGTTTGTGCAAAAACAACTATATTTGAAACATGTCCTAGCATATTACTCACTCTAAATGTCTTTTTTTTCATGCTAAACTAAACTGGAAGTAGTTTTATATTAACCGCAGAGTCGACAGATACAGATTTTCTCAGCAGAAATGTGACCAGGAGTCTCCTTCTAATAAGAAAGTATTCAATAATCTTGTTTTTTGGCATCTTTGGTGTGGTTGATATTAACCGTCTCTTAAATTTGTCCTCTCCGCCGAAACCGTATATATGTCGACACTCTCTAAAACAGTTTTATTTGATTTCTCCTGCGTATAACTGCACATTGTAAATCCTAAAGAACTGCAGGTCTCTTTATGTTGTCTCGTCAGCGTCGGACTTGTTTTTACTTGAAGCCACAGTCAGCCAATGTACTGTTAAGTGCAGCTATAATTCTTAAATCACGGTTTCAGGAACATGACCAGCACATGATAAGAATCAGGCGAGATTAAAGGATTTCTATAAATCTGACATCAATCTGGAGCTATTATAAATGTAACGAAATCCAAATAAAACAGCCCCTCTCTGTCTGCGAGAGGAAAAGACAACACTGAGGTTTATTTTACTTGCAGATTTCACATGTTAGGACAAAAGACTGTTTATTATTTGTTTCTCTTTCAGATGACTTCATTAGTTAATTAAATGTTAAATAAGCATAACCTTTTAAGTGGTCTGTCATGCTGAAAGCAGAGTTCACCGGCTTCAGCGCAGACTAAAGCTAGTTCACACCGTGAGTCGAGTCTAAAAGGTGCACGCTCTCCCTGCGGTTCGGTCTCCTCTGGGACTCGGTCTTGTCTCCAGTGTGTGTTGATCCAAAAGGTCCCACACACTGCCGCATTAATCATCACTGGGGATGAGAGAGAGGAAACAAAAACCCTCGCCTGGGGCTCAACCCAGCCATTACTCAACACGCCAGGCGTGATGTTTGACTTGACTCCCTCAATTACAGCCATCACAGATCCCTCAGTGCTCTCAGCAATGACAGATCCCTCTCATCTTCAGAGCGTAGAGCAATAAGGTTTATATATGGGACGCTTTGCCGTGTAACACAGAGATCAGACATGTTTGAAATGTTATCATGTCATAAAAAAAGGAATTCCTTTCGCCGCGCAACTCCACACCTCGCTATTGTGATCACTTTCAAATGGAAAAAAATCTCCTCAGGAATGCGGAGTACGACTGCTCGGTGCCAACAGCCCACACACAGGATCGGTGAGATAGAGAGCGAATGCCATCATCAGAACTGTTTCCACTGTTTCCACTGGGCACAAGGGAAAAACATGTAAATGTGGAGTGTAAATATTTGGCCTTTTTTGAGAACACAAGTCTCTTGCCAAGACTTCTCCACCGGACGTGTTGTTTTCTGTGGGAGCTCACACATGTGTAAAGGATAAACTTACAAACCTAGCAGAGAAAAGCAGCTACTTTTCACCGTGTGTGGCAGGATTTTTCTTTTTCTTTTTCTTCTTCTTTTTTTTTTGCATCAATACAGAAACCTGGATAAGGTGGCACTTACAAATGCGACCACTTCCACAGAGGTCAAGCCCCGAGCTCAGGTTCTCGTCAGAGGTGACAATGTTTGGCAATGACACTATCTGGCACAACACAGCGTCTTAAGAGTGATTATGTCATTACCCTGTGATTGTGGGAGATGAGATGAAAAGAATGTTGGAGAGGGAGGCACAGGGGGCTAATCCTCGCCGAGGTGTTCTCTTTCAGGACCCTTTCTATGGGGCTTTGTGAGGGGCTTACACGGCATGCTGCCCCAGTTTTCGGGGCCGCACCGCCCCTATCGGATGTCCCAGACACAGCGGAGTCAGACTGGGGCCTGTGAGTGACAGAATCAATGGGCTGGGAACAACATCGCCATAGGTCTTTAAATATCTGCCCACCTAACTTTCCCAGGAGTTACATCACGGCGGCAGGCCTGCGAGGAGAGGAGGGGGGGAGTTTGTGAAGACACCCGGCTCCCCTGTGGGACGAGACGGAGGAGTGAAACCCCAGCGGGGCGCAATCTTCAACAGGCTTCAGGGTTGACACAAGGTCATCCTTCATAGCCTCTGCTTTTACAGGGCGAACCAAGTCAAATAAACACCACCAGGCCGCAACCACCTACAATGTGTTCTTAAAGATACAAAGGAGACCTCACTGCTTGGCTTGTAGAGGAGAGGGGGGGTGCGGCGAAGGTTACGGTTAGGATTCCTGAGAGCGGCTGCTGGTCGGAGCAGCAGGCTGGTATATAGGGCAGTGAGAGTTATATGAGAATGCCAACATAATGGGTGGGCTGAAAGCAAAACAAATAGGCCATTGGAAACCCTCGCAAATATGCAACACCAGCAATAAACCAATAAATAACAAAGTCAGGGGCCGACTGTTGCTCCTGGAAATGGAGTTGTACCACTGGAAAGCAGTTTTGCAAGAGGAAAACAACGCTGGTCTTCAGTTACAGGCGATATATTTCAGCTTTGTCATCATGCTGTTCTCTCTCTTGATATAAAAGTTTCAGTCAGTGTTTAAACTTGATTTCCTGAAACAGATTGAGGTGTTTTGAAACCCGTTCCTGCCTCTGTCCTGATGTTTTCACACAGGCTGGAAAAATTTTGGTGGCAGACACCCGCAGCGCGCGCTAATTGATGCATTGATCAGCCTTTGGACATCCACATTCCTGGCATACCTCCGGAAGTCATCCATTCAGTGTTTCACACATTTTTGGTCCTCCTCGCTGTCTGAAGCTTGACCTGGAAGGGCACACCTGTCCTGTCCTAGCTTTTACCTTTGCCACAATTCATTTGCCCTGCATGTTGCCTGTGCTGACAAGACATACGCACATATCTCAGGCATGATTCCCTTCATAGGCATTCACGAAACTTGGACTTTTTCCAGTGTTGTCAACTGCAGATTCAGATGGATTTTATGGAGGTAGTATGTAATGTGCCATCACAAAATGTTTCATGAGAATTAAAGGGCCAGTCTGTGTCGTTACATGTCGGTCAAAATGATCCACAAACAAAACAATAAGATGAAATGAGTGTTTTGCTGTGAATCTATCAACAAAGATCAGGTGCAACTATCTCTTTAGAGTTAACCCGAGCTCTAAACGGATGTCCTCTTTGTTTTCTGATCCTTTGAGTTCATCAAGGATTAAAAAGTCCCCCCAGATCTGTTATCTAGGGAGCCCCTGAAGACCCAAAAAGTACAAGAACAAGATACAAAGGTGTGCCCATAAGAAAAACTATCTTGTGTGAACATGATTATTCTGTGAGGACAAGTTCTCGTCTTATACACAAAAATTAAAAAGTTGTGCGCACACAGAAGGAAACAACTTGTTCTCACAGGAGAATGTTTTGGATACGGTAATATCTTGCACAGACGGGGTAACTAGATAAGATAGGATAACTCGATTGTTTCTACAAGATAACGGTCTTATCGTCTCAAGATATTGTACACAGGATATAATCATCTTGTAGGAATAAGCTATGATCCTGTGTGCTCAAGTTAAAATGTTGTTTCCCACACAAGGATTTTAAAATATCTTTTTTTTTTTTTTTTTTGAGTAAATTATCTCTTATAAACAAGTTTTCATCTTGTGCACACAAGATCATACCCTGTGCACACAAACTGTTAAGTTATGCACAAAACTTATTAGCTTGTCGGCACAAGTCGATAGCAGGTTAGTAACTTTAAGTCTTTAGTGGGAGCATGCAAGATCTTGTTGGAATACGCTATGACATTGTGTGCACAAGACAACAAATTGTGCACATTTTTAAAAAATTGTGCATACATTATGATTACATTGTGTGCACAAGTTTGTCTTTTGGGAACAAGATAGGTATCTTGTGCATCATATCAATACTTTAGCTTTACAATTGAATAGCTTGTGTGCACAAGTGTTGATCATGATGTGCAAGATACCTATCTTGTTCCCAAAAGACAAACTTGTGCACACAATGTAATCATAATGTGCACACAATTTCAAATTTTATTGTGCACAAGTTATTATCTTGTGCACACAAGATCGTAGCTTATCGACTAGTGCTAATAAGTTTTGTGCACAATATTACTATCTTTTCGGCACAAGTTCTAATCTTGATTGCTCAAGCTATGAACTTGTGTCAACATGGTGCACAAGAAAAGTAATTTGCTCCATCAGATATTAACCAGTGCACACGAGACAATCATACGCTGTGCATAAAACAATTATCTTGAAGGAACAACTTGTCTTATTGAGCACGCAAGATCATTATTTATTCAGCATGCAGAAAATACCATCACTATTTCTACATTGAAAACCATCAGAAGAACATAGAGCATAAACAACAGGTGGTGGTAAATGGATATCAAAATATAAAATTTGTGATTATTTCTATTTTACATTTTCAGAGGATTTGTGACTCTACCTTGATGCTCCCTCCGACCTCCTCGCTGTTGGACAGAGTGGCGTTGAAGGTCTCAGTATGCTGCGGTGTGGCCTCCTTTGGCCTCTTTCTCTCCTTCTTGGCATCCACTCCATCCAGAAGGACGCACTGAGTCCAAAACACTGCAGCCACCACTGCCAGAGGCCCAGCAGCACACCACATCTTCACTCTGTTTCTCAATCAATCCCTGCAGCAACAGCCCGTATCTTCAGCGGAGAATCAGAACTCAGAGGGGATGCCCGCGAGGCTCGGGAAGGAGACCAGAGGAATGCAGCTTGAGGGACTCCCTGTCCAAGAGACTGTCAGACTGACTGCTGCTGCCGTCGCTCCCTCCTTGATGAGCTCTCAGGCAGCGCAACGTTGCAGGGGCACTGTTAACTCTAGCCAGAAAGCTAGAGGAGGCTTACTCAACTATGAAATGTGTCAAGCAGAATGGTGCAAGGGAATGACAGATCGGCGCAGATCTGACAGCAAATAAACCCATTAGTGAGATTTTTCACGCTTTCTGCTCTGTTGGGGGGTGAGGTGTAGAGGAGGAGGGGATGAGGAGGGGTTGGGTAGGGGGGGGATACAGGGGGGCAGAAGAATACAGGCAGTCCAAAGCTGAGGGTGGGCTAGAGATGGATGGCAATATTCTCTTTTTGCGCCCGCTGCTCCTCACTCTGAGCTCCAGTCTGCAGCAAAATCCACAAAAGTTCACAAGAAGATGCAGGTCAGTGTTCAGATCTGCTCAAGTCTGCACCCAAGAGGAGATGAATGAGGTCCAAGTTTGACTTCTTGTCTCCTTTTAGGTACTCAAATCACCAAACTCTACAGGTGTGCTCCTCTGTCTCTGTCTAACACAGTTCAGGTGTTTCCCTCTGACTGCTCCGACCGAGTCCAAAGCCACGTGCGAGTCTCACATCAGACACTGGGAGTGATTTGTTGTGTTGTTGCTGCAGCTCCCGTTTCCCTCCCCGTTCCCTCTTCTCTCAGCTGCTCCTTTGCTCTGACTGAGCTTACAGGAGGGCTCACTCTGGAGTTTTATCATCACCCTTTTCTCCCTCCCGCTGCTCCCTCTCTTGCCCCCTCCACCTCCGTTTCTCCCCTCCTTTTGCCTATATTGGCAAACCTCACCGTCTTACTCTGTTCTGTTTTATCTCATAGATGAAATGCTCGAGGTGAAGACATCTTTTGGCAGACAAATTGTGTGTGTGAGATGTGTGCAAAGTCGTGTGTCTGTCTGAGAGTTTAAGACGTCTTGGCTCAGTACTTGCAGGATCTTAAAACTTCCAAACAAGAAATAAAAGTGCACATTTTAAAGTAAATTACATTGTGTTTCACTATTAACTATTGCTTAAATACTGTATGAGGTTAATGACTGTTGATTTTTTGACTAATGCTTTACTTGTCTTGGCAACCTACATATATTTTAATACTTCTAAATTGCAGGTTTCAGTAAATAACGCATCCTCATGGGAACGAATTGTCTGTCCGAATGGTATTCAGCCCTCTCCCTCTCCTATTAGGATAAATAACATGTTTGCTCTGTAAGAACTCTCATTTTTCGACCCCTGTTCTTGTGTTTAAAAGGTTGAACACAGCGCCATCCAGAGGCAGTAGCTTGCAGTGCATAGAAGTCACCAGAACCTCTCCAATATGGCTACCCTCCAGCGTCATCCAACTTCCTGATTCCCCTGTCACGCCCGGCTGACAGCGTAGCAGGTAGCTGCAGCCAATAACGTCAAGACTGCGAGAGGGAAGCAGAGCCCAGCCGGAAATGCACATGGTCTGCTTTCAAAATAAAACAAAGAACACAGAGGACCACGTATGTTGAACAAAATTAAACATGTCATGAATAGCCCACTACTTGGGTTTGTTCACTGTAAATTTGCTAAAAAGACTCAGATTTTGGTCAGCATGTTTAAACTGTCAGTATACGGATTTGAAGCCGAAAATGTCTCGGTATTTCCGCAATTTTCTCAATTTCCAGAAACCAATATTGCGCAGTAGTGTTGTACGCATTCGGTGGGAGAATCGCTGCGATGACACTCAGCTCAAATAGTGTATCCCTCAATTTAGCTACGCAATCTGTGCTCGCCCATAGGCTGTATCAAGTGTCAATCATAGAAAACATGAACTCCCTAATAGCTTTTAAAAAATGGAGCTGTACAGAAAAAAGAGGACTTGAGCAAAAACCAGTCTTACAGTAACTACATGTCAACATCTTAAGCAGGGGGAAGAAAAAAAAATATATTCTATGTAATTAATTTTTAAAGTTTGTCCACAGCCCCATAGGGATGACTGGCAGAAGCTGGATTTATGACCTACTGCAGCCCGTCACCAGGGGCAGACAGCGACCATTCTATATTCATTGCATGGTAATGCTGGGTTCGAGATACCTTGAATGTCAGAAGTCCCAGCTGAAAATGACGTCACACCCGAGTGACCAACATTTCAGTTACCAAGTCTGAGAAAGCAAAATCAGAGGCAGAAACAAGATGGCTACGTCTACAAAAGTTATCTTAGCGCTTGCCTTATATTCGGACAAGGCAAGCCCCAATATAACTTTTCAAAGATGTAGCCATCTTGTTTCAGGCCTCCCATTTTGCTTTTTGCATTTTAACTGAAATGCTGGGAACCTGGGTGTGACGTCATTTTCAGCTCCGACATCTGACTTTGGAGGTAACTAGAATGCACCATAAATTTTAGCTAATCTGTGGTGAAGTATTCCTTATTGTCTACACGTGAAATTAATGTTCATTTGACCAAAACTCCCATATGTTTCCTTACTCTCTTCAAGCATCTTACTCATGTAGGTTTGTAGTTATTTCCCACAAACATCTAAACACTGTTTTACTTTGAAAGGGCAGACTGGATGTCCTATCTGCAAGTAACGTTACCTTGACCTCGCATCAATGAGCCAGGAACCAGTTGAACAGACATCCCTTGAGTGAAGCAGGGCTTATTGGAACATCAACAGGGAGCTTAAAGCCGTCCTCTGTCCCCGCAGCGGTGTGTTTTTTTACACTGAGCCGTCCCACAGCTCGCAGTGGGAGTGTTGTGGAAGAGCCACGTGTACAGGAACTGGATTTGACAGCTTGCCTGACTGGAACCTACGCAGGTCTGTTAAAACAACAGCACTAAGCTAGCTGAAACATAAACTGCAGCTAGTGACCATCTCTGATTACCAAAGTGGTTTGAACTTCCTCCTACCTGACAGGTTGGTCATTCTGCTGCCTTTACCTTCCTTTACAGCTGATAGTTCGACTCTAACTCTGCTAAATTAACATGTTAGTTAGCCACTCAGCTAACACAGTCAATAACGCATCATAAATTCAAACGTCGTGTTCTGGTTTAAAATTTGTCGCACGAGCTCATCGTTATAACCGTTGAGACGCGTTTACTTTACTCCGAAAGCTCGTAATTCAACGTTTTAAATCGTATGAAAGCGGATAATGGGAAGCTAAATAAGTAAAAGTGACCATGATAAGGTTTGACAGCTTAGTTATCCTGTTATAATATTATGTAACACTTCACTTTGAATTAACAGACAAACTATCTCCACGGATATTTACGTCCTTTTTCTACATGCTTGTTTATTTATGACCGTACAGCTGGCCTCAGTGGAGTTTTGACGCTTTAATCACGACATTTTTCAATTAAAATTTAACCTATACATGACCTGGATGTGTTTAATTGATGTTTAATTGATATAAAGTGTTTTTTTAACCGTGAATTGATTCCTCCTCTCTGAGTCCTGCTTTAAAGTATGTCGCTTGGGATGTAGACGTGAACGGGAATTTCCAGTGGGCGTGATTCAATCGTGGAAAACCAGATGTAACTAAAGCCTATCATTCAAGTGACTTTCAAAGCTGAGGAATTTTGGATGCTTATCTACAACCACATTATGTGGACCTAACTTAACCCGGACTGACGCTTGTCTTTCTACTTTTTTCCCTCCACTGAAAGGGATACTCCGACATAAAAGTAATTTAGGGTCAAACACACTATAACAGAGAGTTGGACACCCAGTCGAGAGATGAATGTTGCTGACAGCTTGCTTCTCTAGTTATACCAGCTTTAGTAACGATCGCACGATAGCAATACACAGCAGTCTGAGGAGCCATAAACAAACCTCAACAAAAACGCCACTCTATAGCCACAAATAATGCTCAGAACAGCACCTAACTTTATCAACAGAACATATAAGGTCCCAGCCACCAGACATCTTTTTAACTTTGACTAATTTCTTTCGCAAAGAGACTAAACACAACTCACCTACTCTCTTCCAGCAGCCGCTTGTTTGTAGCTAGATGGACTACAGCGGGGTGACACAGCTCAAGGAAGAACATTTATGATCATTTTTTCATGGAAGTGCAATCAGAGCGAGATGCTAAGGCAGAAGAACTACTGCGTCTGTGGCGCAAAATGATAAATATCGTGATTATCTCTTCAAAGAAATGATAAAGAAATTATCATAAATGTTCTTTGAGCTGCAGCACCCCGCTGTAGTTCGTAATGGCTGGAAGAGAGTGGGTGAGTTGTGTTTAGTCTCTTTGCTAAAGAAATCAGGCAAAGTTAAAAAGATGTTTGGTGACTGGTACTGTGGCTGTGACCCTATATGTACTGTTGATGAAGTTAGGTGCTGTTCTGAGCATTATTTGTGGCTATAGAGTGGCGTTTTGGTTGAGGTTTGTTTGTGGCTCCTCAGATCGCTGTGTATTGCTATCCTGCGGTTGTTACTAAAGTTGGTATTCAGAAGCAAGCGGTCGCTGGAATATCCCTTTAACTATCTAAATAAGGGAGGTTCATAATGAAAGTTGTTGAGTGGCGTGCAGTTAGACTGTTTTGAATGCGGTCAGTGATAATGTTGATCAAGTATAACAAAACTAAACAAACACAATGTTTGATTCACATTAAAGTAATAAGAGAAGTTATATTTACCAGTTCAAGACATGGGAACATGAATAGGTCATGTTTTTTTAGTTGAATAAATTCAGGTTTATAAGGGTTTAAAAGCTGGGAAGATCCACCTACCCTGACTGATTTGTTGCTTCATTTGCATGTAAGTTCTGCGTTGAGAAATCTTTACAAAAGGAGTGAGAAGGTGACTCAGATGGAGTGAAAAATAGCCAAATAGCCAAGATATTCTGAATCTCTTCAATGACTTTTTTTCTCATTTCTTCAGGCGATCATGGCTGTTTGGAGAAAATTATGGCCCAGAAACGTCCTCTCCGTGACCCTGCTCTGCTGTGTTTTGCTCCACACTATGAATGTGCACGCACGGCCAGCCAACATGTCCGCCTCTAAAGACAAAGCTCCACCTGCCAAGGACGAGAACGAGATCCTCCCCCCTGACCACCTGAACGGGGTGAAGATGGAGATGGACGGCCACCTCAACAAGGACTTCCACCAGGAGGTTTTCCTGGGCAAAGAGATGGAGGAGTTTGACGAGGACTCAGAGCCGCGGAGGAACAGAAAGAAGCTCATTGACATTTTCACAAAGTAAGTCTCTCTCTTCTCTTTTTTGTGTCAAATGTCTGTCAGGAGCTGCAGCATTCCTGAAAAAGACTTTTTAACTTAGTAGCTGCAGATCAGGTTTTTTAAGAAGCAACCAGATAAGCAGTAAAGTGCAAGCCTTTCAACGAAATCTCCTCTGATCTCTGATTACTGTTTTAGGACTATTATAAAAAGTCTGGGTGTGTCACAGCAAGATGATACAGCTGAACAGAATGTGAAGTGACGAGACTAATGTGAGGCCCTGTAATTACTCACGAGATATTTTCTTCTCTGCGGAAGGCAGAAACCAGACATGCAAAAACTTATAAACAAAACAGGGAAAGGGATTTTTTTTAATAGCTTTTATCTATGAGAGGCAAGTATACAGTTCCACTTCAGAGAGGTACAAGGTCTTTAGTATTTAACTTTGAACATAAATGAACCAAGAACACCCTTCCTCCTCCCACCCCCAACCCCCAAATCTCCCATCCGGCCAGATGATATTTAGAAAATAGACAATACACTTACAAAACAGTCAGTAAATAAAATATAAATAAATGTACACATACATACACATATCAGATAGTAAACATGACAATAACAACAGTAATTAAAATAAATATATGGATCAATATATTATAGGGTCTGGATTTGCTGAATGCCACTTTTTTCCTTTTACAGAGTCGATTTCAACAAGGACAGGAGTGTGAGCGCCAAAGAAATGCAGCGTTGGATTATGGAGAAGACGGAGGAGCACTTTCAGGAGGCCATGGTGGAGAACAAGAACAGTTTCCGAGCTGTTGACCCAGACGGCGACGGTGAGAGAGGGGGACACAGTCTGCTGGAGGGTTGCCTGTTTGGGAAATGTCGCAATACGGTGTTAAGCAAATATCTTAAGTCATGCTTTGTCTGCAGGTCATGTGACATGGGATGAATACAGAGTCAAATTCCTGGCCAGCAAAGGTTTCAATGAGAAGGAAATAGCTGAGAAGATAAAGAATAACGAAGACCTGAAGCTGGACGAGGAAAGTAAGTATTTTCATAAATATCTCAGATCTTGTTCAGCAGATTTTCAGTAAATGTCACCAATATCTGAGTCAAATCTTCTCTCTTTCTGAACGCAGCTCAAGAGGTTTTGGAAAGCCTGAAGGACCGCTGGTTTCAAGCCGATAACCCCCCATCTGATCAGCTGCTGAACGAGGAGGAGTTCCTGTCTTTCCTTCATCCTGAGCACAGCAGGGGCATGCTCAAATATATGGTCAAGGAGATTGTGCGAGACTTAGGTACTTCAACACGTCTTTGCAAACAGTTTAGGCTACAGGTTGGGAGAGGAAGCAGGTTGTTGACACAACACTGTTGCATCTTTTTAAAAGGAATAGGGAACTTGTTAGCAAACAGGATCGTTTACACACCCAGTTTATATGGAAATGTGATGTGTCCAAAGCCAGTGTTGACTGTCTTTTTATCTCTGTTTGGATTTCAACCAACCTGAGTGAGGAACATCTGTTTCCTCAGCTGCCTCAAACTCCTCCTTGTTTACCAGTTGGTTGCAAACACACTTAACTATGAACTAGAACAGTGGGATAACACGCAATCAAATCAAACTGAATAAATGTGGTTATTTGGTCCATTGCTAATCTGAGATACTTATATTGACCTACAAGAAACTAGGTCGTTTAAACTTTGCCTTACCCTTGTGTACTCATGTTAGCTTCATCAGTGCCAGTTGGCATTGTGCCTTTTGATTGTACAGTACAAAGTTCATTCTGTGAGCAAATTTAAAGAACATATTGTAAACTATTGAATTGATTTTAGATGTAAAAAAAAAAATAGATGACTCTTAACGTAATTTGCCCCAGATGTATAAAGCTGAAGAAGTGTTACAATTAGATTTTAAGGCTTTAAAAAGCTGCCGAACAAAAGATGACAGACTTTAGGTGATAAAGATGACAAGTCAAAGCTGAAAACTTCATTTTACTGTAAACAAAAAAATAAAATAAACTTTTTATTTAATTTTTTAGCTTAAATGTGAGTCTGAGGTAAAAGCCTTACTCGAAGATTTTCACCATAATATAGTGTTTAACCAGTGCTCAACATATAAAAACATTTCACTTTATTTTAAAGGAGCTGCTCTGTGTAAAGTCTCCTTTGTGTTTATTGCTCTTTTGTTTACAGACCAGGATGGGGATAAGAAACTGACCCTGTCAGAGTTCATCTCTCTGCCTGTGGGCACCGTGGAGAACCAGCAGGCTCAGGACATCGACGACGACTGGGTGAGAGAGCGGAAGAAGGAGTTTGAGGAAGTCATCGACGCCGACCGTGATGGCATCGTAACCATGGAGGAACTGGAGGTCAGGAGTATTCGGTGTAAACGCTTTGTTTAAGGCTTCCTCGAGGGTGTTTTTTTTGTTAGTTATGAAGTAAACAGACATACTGAGGTCGACCTTTCTCTGTGTGCGAGAAAAGCAAACAGGACTATCAGAGGATTAACTGTTTAAATAAGGAAGTACAAATTCGAGGTAAAAGATGAGCTCAATCAACCCCGATGCCAAAAAAAGTTCAGACTCTGTAATATTAAAAAAAAAGAAAATCATTTAGATGCCTTGCTAATCCCCTTAAGCCTTAATTTGAGTAAAATTGTGCAAAGAAAACACATCCAATATTGAAACTGATTTCAAATTATTGCTCTTTTTGAATTTGATACAGCAGTATGTTTTTATAGGGACAACAAAACACAGAAAAAGTGGTGTAATTCTGTTAAAAAACAACCTGACAGGACATCCCCGAACTAATGAAGTTTGTTGGCAGCAGCTTAGCAACATAAGTGGGTATAACAGGAGGATTCCAGAGAGGCTGAGTCCCTCCAGAAAGAGAGAGTAAATAGTCCAGCCAATGCAGAAAATAGTCCTTTGTAAAACACTGCAAAGCATTTGAGGATTAAACATCTAGAGAATTTATAAAACACAATCAGTACTTGAATCTTTTCTCCTCTAACAGGAGTACATGGACCCCATGAACGAGCACAACGCTCTGAACGAGGCCAAGCAGATGATCGCCGTCGCAGATGAAAACCAGAATCGCAACCTGGAGCTGGACGAGATCCTCAAATACAGCGAGTACTTCACGGGCAGCAAGCTGATGGATTACGCCAGAAATGTTCACGAGGAGTTTTGAAGAAATAATCATCCCCATGCATCCTACATCTGCTTCAGGGACAAGCCTGAGAGGATAGGATAGGATGATCTAGTGTGCAATCATGTGTTTGTAAGCCTAGACTCAACGGCCTCTTTCACTGCTGACTAAAGTTTATACACCCTCCCTTATAGCCCCAGATTGTCTGCCTGCTCTGCATTAACATCTGCCTTCTGTGTGCCACTGAACTTTCTCGGACTCTACAAGGCCCCTCGGCACCTCCTCATTTGTGTTATATTGTGAAATGTGTGTATATGAGAGTTATAACCCTGCCTACCTGTCCCTGTCGCAGTAGTGAGAGAGACTGCACAAGCTAGGCGAGATATTTTACTAGGCGCGTCTGTATAGTGTAAATAATAATCGTCACTTACCAATGACTCCATCAGAGAGACAAGCTGAGGGAATCTAGTGCTGCTGAAAGGAAGAACCCTTCCAGGTAAATCGCAAAGTTACGAACAGTTATGGCTTTAAATACCACTCGATTCCTCCTGATATAAAAGAGGATTTTATCATTATTGCTCTCAAGTTCATCAAAAGTTACATCCGTCCTACTTCGAACAGGGTATGTCTTTGTAAAAAAATAAATATAGCTTTTAAAAAGTGTCAAACTTACAATAATTGAGTTTAAAAAGCATTAAATAAAGAGACTAATATATGACACATTTTTATTTCATTGAAGGAAAAGCACAGGTGGGAATGTTTATGTTGGAATGATTTGCGCCTGTTTGCTCAAGTGTCTCTTGGTTTCGACACTCCTGGGATATGGATTCTCATTTTATTGTGATGTCCTAGTTCATATAATGGCTCACTTTTGAATGCACTCGTTCAATTCCACCTCTTTGTTGTTAAAAATGCATGAACCGACATCTTTGTTGTTGAGATTTTCAAAAGACTTGCGGTGTGTTTTTTTGGATCCTGCTGCAGGCCTCTCTGTCCTCGCCCTGTTTGGATTGTAAAATAAGATTTATGATGACAGAATGTGACACAGCTTTATATGATGTACTGCAGATAAACTGGTAAACAATAAACATTTCTTATAAATAGCAGTAGAAAGAATTGTGGCTGAGTTTTCACACACAACACGTTCCAACTGAACAAAAATAAAACCGGATTCATCAGTTTCGTGGGTGAATACATGTTTGTAACCAACTGAAAAGTCTTTTTTTCCGACTGCCCTTAAACGCCCCGGAAGTCACGTAAGGAAATTCTCACCTGTACATGAGAGGTAATTAACTCGGCCACTCAAGCAGCAAGCACCTGTTATTATTCAGTATTTGGTGAGTAAATATTGTCTGTATAAATATAAGAATTGGTATAGAGTGTCATTTTTTGTGTCAGGGGCGATTTTATCCACAAAACTGTAGCGTTGTCCCTAACCCCATGACACATTTCTGGCTCTGAACCAATAAAAACTCTGTGAACTAATGATGTCAGCAGTCAGCAATGATGGTTGCTGATTGGATTCTGATTATCCAATCACAATTAAGTCATGACTTTGTGCACGCCCAGGGGGAGTGACAGATGTCGTATAAGACAGGCATGGCTAAGCTATTGGAGAAATGGAGGAGTAACTGCTCATTTTCAGTCACAAATATGAATTTATGTGAAAGGTAGCCAAACAAATTTGCTCTCAGTAAAATTTAAAGTGTTACAAGTGATAGTATTTCAAGTCTTCTTCACTATATCTCATATAATTAATTTCTAGGATTTTTTCAAAGTCAAAATGTCATAGTATAGTATGTTTGAAGTGTCATAGTATAGTGTGATAAAAATTTCAAATATATGTATGAAAGAAATAAAGTGTAGTATGTGATAAAATGTCATAGTATAGTATGATAAAAATTAGAATTTTTTTACTGAAAAATGTCAGAGTATAGTATGTTAAAAAATGTCATAGTATAGTATGTTTAAAAGGTCATAGTATAGCACAAATTTTTTTTTTAAATTTATTCATGAAAATTATGTCATAGTATAGTATGATAAAAAATGTCATAGTACAGTATGTTTAAAACGTCATAGTATGACCAAAATATCGGATTTTAAGGTGAAATTTTTTTTTAGATTTTAGGATGTCTGGTCAAAATGCCATAGTATAGGATGATAAAAATGTCAAATTTTAGTGCAAAAAAAATTTCAGATTTTAGGATGAAAAAAACATGCCATAGTATTGTCTGATCATAATGCAATAGTATAGGATGATAAAATGTCATATTTTAGTGGGAAATTAAAAAATCATATTTAAGTCCGAAAAAAAAACGACATACTATAGTATGACCAAAATTTCAGAATTTAGGGTGAAATTTTTTTTTCTGATTTTAGTATGTAAATACATGCCATAATGATATAAAAATGTCATATTTTAGCGGGAAAAACAATAATTAATTTCTTATCGAAGAAAAACTACATAGTATAGTATGACCAACATTTCAGATTTGAGGGTGAAAAAAAATTCTGATTTTAGTATGAAAATACATGCCATAGGGTAGTCTGATCATAATGCAATAGTATAGGATGATAAAAATGTCATATTTTAGTGGGAAATTAAAAAATCATATTTAAGTCCGAAAAAAAAACGACATACTATAGTATGACCAAAATTTCAGAATTTAGGGTGAATTTTTTTTTTCAGATTTTAGGATGAAAATACATGCCATAATGATGGTAAAAATGTCATATTTTAGCGGGAAAAACAATAATTAATTTCTTATCCGAAAAAAAACGACATACTATAGTATGACCAAAATTTCTGATTTTAGGGTGAAAAAAAAATTCAGATTTTAGGATGAAAATACATGCCATAGGGTAGTCTGATTAAAATGCCATAGTGTATGATGGTAAAAATGTCATATTTTAGCGGGAAAAAAATAATTCATTTCTTCATCCAAAAAAAACGACATACTATAGTATGACCAAAATTTCAGAATTTGGAGTGAATAAAAAATTCAGATTTTAGGATGAAAATACATGCCATAGGGTAGTCTGATTAAAATGCCATAGTATATGATGGTAAAAATGTCATATTTTAGTGAGAAATTAAAAAATATATATTTTCATCCAAAAAAAACGACATACTATAGTATGACCAAAATTTCAGAATTTAGGGTAAAAAAAAAATCTAATTTTAGTATGAAAATACATGTCATAGGGTAGTCTGATTAAAATGCCATAGTGTATGATGGTAAAAATGTCATATTTTAGCGGAAAAAAAATAATTCATTTCTTCATCCAAAAAAAACGACATACTATAGTATGACCAAAATTTCAGAATTTGGAGTGAATAAAAAATTCAGATTTTAGGATGAAAATACATGTCTTCGGGTGGTCTGATTAATATGCCATAGTATAGGGTGTTAAAAATGTCTTATTTTAGCGGGAAAAAAATAATTCATTTCTTCATCCAAAAAAAACGACATACTATAGTATGACCAAAATTTCAGAATTTAGGGTGAATAAAAAATTCAGATTTTAGTATGAAAATACATGCCATAGGGTAGTCTGATTAAAATGCCATAGTATATGATGGTAAAAATGTCATATTTTAGCGGAAAAAAAATAATTCATTTCTTCATCCAAAAAAAACGACATACTATAGTATGACCAAAATTTCAGAATTTAGGGTGAAAAAAAATTTCTGATTTTAGTATGAAAATACATGCCATAGGGTAGTCTGATTAAAATGCCATAGTGTATGATGGTAAAAATGTCATATTTTAGCGGGAAAAAAATAATTCATTTCTTCATCCAAAAAAAACGACATACTATAGTATGACCAAAATTTCAGAATTTGGAGTGAATAAAAAATTCAGATTTTAGGATGAAAATACATGTCTTCGGGTAGTCTGATTAAAATGCCATAGTATAGGATGTTAAAAATGTCATATTTTAGAGGGAAATTAAAAAATTGTATTTTAGTCCGAAAAAAAAAAACGACATACTATAGTATGACCAAAATTTCAGATTTTAGGGTGAAAAAAAATTTCAGATTTTAGGATGAAAATACATGCCATAGGGTAGTCTGATTAAAATGCCATAGTATATGATGGTAAAAATGTCATATTTTAGTGAGAAATTAAAAAATATATATTTTAGTCCGAAAAAAAAAACGACATACTATAGTATGACCAAAATTTCAGATTTTGGATGAATAAAAAATTCAGATTTTAGGATGAAAATACATGTCTTTGGGTAGTCTGATTAAAATGCCATAGTGTATGATGGTAAAAATGTCATATTTTAGCGGAAAAAAAATATTTCATTTTTTCATCCAAAAAAACCGACATGCTATAGTATGACCAAAATTTCAGATTTTAGGATGAATAAAAAATTCAGATTTTAGGATGAAAATACATGTCTTCCGGTAGTCTGATTAAAATGCCATAGTATAGGATGTTAAAAATGTCATATTTTAGAGGGAAATTAAAAAATTGTATTTTAGTCCGAAAAAAAAAAACGACATACTATAGTATGACCAAAATTTCTGATTTTAGGGTGAAAAAAAAATTCTGATTTTAGGATGAAAATACATGCCATAGGGTAGTCTGATTAAAATGCCATAGTATAGGGTGTTAAAAATGTCATATTTTAGCAGGAAATTAAAAAATTATATTTTAGTCCGAAAAAAAAAACGACATACTATAGTATGACCAAAATTTCAGAATTTAGGGTGAAAAAAAAAATCTGATTTTAGGATGAAAATACATGCCATAGGGTAGTCTGATTAAAATGCCATAGTATATGATGGTAAAAATGTCATATTTAAGCGGAAAAAAAATATTTCATTTCTTCATCCCAAAAAAAACGACATACTATAGTATGACCAAAATTTCAGAATTTGGAGTGAATAAAAAATTCAGATTTTAGGATGAAAATACATGTCTTTGGGTAGTCTGATTAAAACGCCATAGTGTATGATGGTAAAAATGTCATATTTTAGTGAGAAATTAAAAAATATATATTTTAGTCCGAAAAAAAAAACGACATACTATAGTATGACCAAAATTTCAGATTTTAGGATGAATAAAAAATTCAGATTTTAGGATGAAAATACATGCCATAGGGTAGTCTGATTAAAATGCCATAGTGTATGATGGTAAAAATGTCATATTTAAGCTAGAAAAAAAAGAAATCATATTTTAGTCTGGACTGTGACTCTGTGTCTATTTTATTCAGACCCTCCCCATCCTTCTTCCCAACACCTTCAGAGGAGAAAAAGACTGATTTAAACCCCTGAGGTTGAAGGTTCCAACCCTCATCCAGGTCGTGGTAAAATTTAAAGTCTAGTGTTGAGAGAGGAGACTGAAAGAGGAAAAAAAACAGAAATCACCTGTGTGTTCTCATGGCTCAGAGGATAGGAAGACTGACTGGAACTCTTGAGGTCGTGGGTTCAAACCTTACCCTGATTAAGGTAAATTTTAAAGTCTGGTGTCTAGAAAGGAGAGTGAAAGAGGAAACACACAGAATCCTCTTCTGTGTCCACATGGCTTATCCAGATTGAGTTGAAATTTAAAGTCCAGGAGCCAAAGTACGAAGATAAACGCGCGCAGAGCTCATGTTCAAGTGTGGATGGTATCTGGTAGCGCAGTGAGGTAGTCAACCGGCACCCAATGTGGGTTCTCCGGTTCGATACCCACTCGAGACAGGAAGTTTAAAGTTATGGGATGATGATAATAAATAGAGAATTCTTCTCTCTAAATAGAGAGTTCTTCTCTAGCAATAAGAGGTACTATTCATCACTTCTGATGATGATAAATAATAATAAAATCATCACTTCAAATGATGATAATCTGACCATGACTAATACTCTCCAGCCACGAGCTGGGATCAAACCGGCACCCGTTGGGTGTCAGTAGACTATCATACAGCGCCATTAGATACCATCCACACTAGGGCATGAGGTATGCCCGCTTTTATCTTTGTACTTTAACTCTTAGACTTTAAAATTCAACAAAACGTGGACAAGGTTTCGAACCCACGACCTCAAGAGTCCCAGTCAGTCTTCTTATCCTCTAAGCTATGTGGACACACAGGAAGAACACATTAATAAATAAAAACCACAAACACACTGTGACTCTGTGTCTCTTTATTTTTATCAGACCCTCTCTGAAAATGACAGACATCAAATAAGTGCACCAACATTTCCATTCAAAAGGAAAAACTTGAAGTCTAAAGATAATTTAAACAAGAAAATCGCTCAATCTGAACTATTTTAAATTAACGGCAGACTAATGATACCTAAAGGCTCTAAGTAAATGATCTAAGTGTCTCAAATCTTCATTTTAATCGTGACTTAAGTCTCTAACACTCTGTGAAAAGGTGAAATAATAAATTCTGACTCTAAACTTAACTACCACTTGAACTAGGAACAAAACTAAAACATCATTAGGGAGACACAGGAGAAGGGCGAGTGGAGGGAGAAGGAGAAGGCCTCCCAGCTCCAGGATCCACCGACAGTGAGTCCTGAAAGAAAAGAAGGGAGACAATTATTTCATCACATTTACCCCAACAAAAGACAAAAATCTGTGCTGAGGATGTCAAACTGGACTTTGGTGAGGGCTGAGAGACGCTCTCAGGCTACTTCACTGATCAAGAAGTTGTTTTTTACTGTGATGTCTTCTGAAACAGTAAAAATAAATGAAAAGTTTTCCTGAATTTGTGCTCAATATCTGTCTGCACTGTTTGCATGACTGTCAGAGAAGCTGATTTAAGTCCATGAATATCTGTGACTGATTAAACCTCCTGCTGTGTTTGCTGTTATTATTCTTGTGTCTATTACATCAATAAAATGTGGGACTTTTAAATTCAGTGTCAAATGTGACTCTTTCATGATTTAGTACAAGAGTTTTTAAATACATTACACTTACAATATAATATGCAAAACATGACAAATACAGGGAACAAGAGATTTTTTTACCATAATCTACTTATAGTTTAGTCTCTGGACTTTGACCGAAATTAATATCCACATTAGATTATAGACATCTAAATTAAAATATTTCTTTAATTTACAGGTTTTCAGCAGCTGTTCTCGTAACTATGTTAGTTTATATTCATTATATTTATTACTGAGAATTTTGGCAAGTAGGAGCTTCCAATGTAAAGTGCCCAAGACTTTTAGCGTTTAGATTTTTTCCCCCTCAAATAAAAGTGTTTAACCCACTTAAGTATTGAAACAGTTAGTGGTTCGCTAGCATATTAGGCTCAAACACGAGCGCGGTTAGCCTGTTAGCGTTAGCATCATCCACTAAGCGTCTTCGTGTTTCTGTTCGCTTCTTTTTTACTCACCTCAAAAGTTACGATAATTCGGAATATGTTGTCCTCCTTTTCTATCGCTCTCCTTTCTTCTATTTTTAAGTGTTTTGATAAAAATGTCGACAAACTGTTCTCTGGCGTTGTTGCAGTTTGCACACCTGGGCATAACTAGCAGTAGTGGTGTGTCGCTCGCGAACGATTCGTCCAAAAAAAACGAATTCTTAAGTGACCGTACTGAACCGAACCAGTTCATCGAGTGATTCGTTCGTTTCTCACTTCAGTTGAGCTGGAGTGAGAATCAGCATTTCCAGTTGAGCAGCTGGTGAATCACTTGGTGAACGAATCACGCATTGAACTACACTCTCCGGAACCATCTTTGTCCAACAAAACTCAAGGACACAGCATTATTCTAAATGCTCAGAACGAACGAATCACTCACTGAGCCCAATATACTGAGCAGACCTGATAAATAGCATACTATAGGACAGTACACTTAAAATATCATGACTTATAAACAAGTTCATTTTGACAAACCTGTTCGTCAAAGCAACACAGCCAAACACTCTTGTCTCCCGGTCCCAGAAGCTCTGATCTGAACTGAATCCTGAACCGTTCAGCTGTGTATCAGTTCAGGAGGTCAGAGTCGCAGGGTTCTCCCGCCAAGCGCTACATGATTCGGTGATTTGGTGAACAAATCTTTTCAGTGTTACACTGTAACAGGCATGCAAAATGATATAAAACTGAAACAAGACAAAATTCAAAGAAAGCTTTTTTGGTGAATGAGTCCATGAACTTTGCTTTGAGGAGATTTTATTGCATGTACAAGGGTTAAAGTTAATTTGTGTCCGTTGTAATGTAGCACTTCACAACACAGCAGGATTGTAAAAACATCCATCATTTCACTAAACCGATGATTTTTAGAAGCGGTTACATACTGAACATCAATTGATACCTTTATAAATCCTCTTTGTCAGGTTGAATTACTCACAAATCAAAGCACAGATCTACCTAAATGCTCTGACTCTAAATGACTGTAAAATCCAATCAGGTTTTATTTATGTGCACGCTTCACTTCACAGACAGCACCTCACAAGACAAGAGCTTTGATATTTTTGAAGATTGTTTTCGTATCTTTCGTACAAATTAAAGATTACATCGTTTATGAACCTGTCCAGAATGCTACTCCATGTCAGACACATGCAACCCGAGAACAACTCTGAAAAATGTCTAAAAAAAACAGCTAATCTCCTGAAATACCAACTCACTAGTCTTCAATTTACCGAACATATAAATATAATCCGAGAAATAAAACAGAACCGACATGGAAAACGTGTGGAGAACACAGTGACACGTCATTTTACAGTACAGTACATAGCTTACCTTCTCCGGTTTTTTCATAGTACAGATAAAACACACACGCACACACACACAATACATTCAAATAAAACACACACTGAAGTATCACAACATCCTTACAGATTAAAGGTTCAAATAAAAGACGTTACTACAAATAAGTAAGGCGGCTGTGAGAGTTTAAATGCAACTTTTAAACGTTCAATTGATAGTAATAATAAGTGTAACGGAGAGCAGCAAGTTTCAGTTCTTCAACGTTTGTTTTCATAATTAAAAATGAGAGCATGATTTAAAAAAAGATCTTAACACTGCAGCCTGTGAGGAGTAGATTTTCCAGCTTGAAGTCGAGTCCTCTAAAAGAGCTGCAGTTCCCACATTCTCCATCGGCTGTGGATGTAAACACCCTTCAATCAGAGCTGACAGTCAGCTTCTTAATATTTAACCTACAGAGCCAAAAGCAGAGGGGAACTTACGCTGCAGATTGCACTCTTTTTGCTCTTAACATGCTGTAAACCATCCCCGATTTTTGGAACATATTACCGGAAAGTCTGATCATGATGAAAACATAAATACATTCGGTGTAAGCAGAAGAAGAATAACCCCAGCGTAAAGAAAAGTTCTGATCACAGTCAGTCATGATGAGCTTGTGCTCCTCTCTAGTGTCGGTCTCCTTTTGGTCTTAAGGTCAGTTTGTCACAGGTAGGGATACTGGTTGAGTTTCCGCTGGTAAGAAGCACTGGAGTGGTGGTAAGGCTGCCCTCCCAGCTGCTGCGGCTGCTGCTGCTGCTGCTGTTGGTGGTACTGTCCCGGACCCGACCCTCCTAGAGCCAGGGCACCGTTTTTCTGCAGCAGCGCCAGCGATGAGTAAGCTCCGCCCGCCCTGCTGTGACGGGACGACCCGCCCTGCATCTGATCCACGGCCTGGGAGACAGAGGCCAGGGCGGCGGAGGCCGGGTAGGCGTAGAGATTCGGGGTCGAGCTGAAGAGAGGGTTCTCGTGAAGTCGGTAGGATGAGTGGGAGGAGACGGGAGGGGGGTACGTGGGCTGACGCCTCAGGGAACTGCTGCTTCCTGTTTGGTCATGTGATGATGACATCACGGACTGCTGAACCTGGAACGAAAGAGAAGTGATACTGTTGAACTCTTTGGTTTAAAGTTACTGCCATTGAAAATGATTTTATGCAAATACAACAACTTTAAAATCTGTATTTCTGAAGTGATCTGGTTACCCAGTCTTAAAAATCTTCCACTATTATCCAATCATTCTTAATATTCTTCTATTTACATGATATATAACATCAACACACTCGAAGCCCAACTAGAGACAGGACAGATTTGTAAATCCAGCACGTCCCAGAGAGCTCTGATTAAATTCAACATCCTTGTAAGGTCGTCCAATACTTCAGTTCAGCTCCAGGTCAGACATCAGATATACTCCAAAGTAAATACCTGACTCAGGTTCAGAGGCTGAGACCTGCTGGATGCGGCTCGCTGATGCCGGTCGGTGGTGGACTCTCCTGAACGACTGGACTGCTGAGTGGAGGCCTTCTTGGACTTTCCAGAGTTACCTGAAGGTTGATCTGCCCGTAAAAAAACAGAGAAGACACAGTGAGCTCAAACAGGCGACTAAAAAGAGTCCAAAGAGGAGTAATTTTACTGTTCCCTTGGTGTCTTTGCTGTTGCTCTCCCTGCCTTGGTTTTTAATGTTTCTACATGAAACAGTAGGAGGGCAAAAGTAATCCTGACTGGATGGTATTTATGTCTAAATAGTATTATGGGCTGATCGTGGACCGGACCTGGAGCTGGCGGGGCTTTGTGGGTTGTGCTCTCCCCCGGCTGGCTCTTCACTGAGGGCATGATGATGGCCAGGGACTTGGTGGGCTGTGAGGTGGTCTTTGGGCTCAGGGGGCTGCTGGTGGAAGAGTCGGAGTCGTGGGAGTCATGTACCGTCACGCAGCTGATCACGTTAGGCCTCTGGCTCGTCCCGGAGCTGTGGGAGACAAATGTAAAAAAATCATTTCTGAAAATTTAAGTGAAATATTTACAGACAGGAAATGAGCGTACCAGGCCGCAGGGAACTTCCTGTCATCCTCATCCTCGGAGTCGCTGTGGATGGTGATGATGCTGACAGCAGGGCTGGGAGTGTCAGAGATGACGATGGGCTGAGATTGGTCACCAGCATACGACGAGGTGTTGTGGACCACAGTCGAGGTTGAGTGTACGGAGGAAACAGGCCTGGAGGAGACAAGGACACTAGAAATCAAGGAGAGACACTCAGCTGGGAGCTACACTTGCTCTCCATGAGCTGAGTGAAAGGGAAGTCTAAACGGTTTTCCTCCAAAGCAGCTGAAACTAAATTAACTCGGTTAGTTTTGCTCTTTGTACGGGAACGTTAAATAACTCTCTTTTCCTGACAGTAGAATAAAAGCTGGAACAAAACTGCAGAGGCCCTCTTGTCTCATTAACCGAAGAGTAAAGGATCAAACGACCGGCGCCGCATGTATCCTCGGTTTACCCTCCATGTGGATATAATGTGAACGTTTGCTGGTGTGACCGAGTACCTGGCTCTGCTCTCTGCGTGCCGAGCCTTTGACCTTTTGCTCTGTTGGGATCTTGTGTGCGCCGCTCCTGAGTTGTGACTCTGCGAGGCAGCGTGACGGCCGACCCCTGAATCCTGCTGGCTGGCTGCGTCGTACTGGTTTCCATGGCGACCCCTGTGAATAAGAAAAACGGGGCAAAAACGACCTCAGGCTGTGCTTTTATACAAATAACGGAGGCGCAGAGTCCTGTTGGACTAAACTCACCTCCAGCCTGAGGCTTGTTGGCTGTCAGAGATAGGAGCGCCCATGGGGGAGTCTGGCACCACAGCCTGACCCGGGTTGTGGATCGCCATGCCGGGCATCTGCTGCCAGGTGGAGGGGATGAGAATCTGCTGTGTACCTGCAGGCCAGCCCTGCTGTATACACACACACGCAAAAAAAGACACTTGTTCTTATTTAAAGGCTTAATCTTCACTTTCAGAATGACATGAATTAAAGGGATATTCCGGCGTAAATGAATCTAGGGTTAAACACGCCCTAACACCGAGTTAGACACCCCGTCGAGAGATGAATATTTGCAACCGCTTGCTTCTCTAGTTATACCAACTTTAGTAACGACCGCAGGATAGCAATACACAGCGGTCTGAGGAGCCGTAAATAAACTTTAACCAAAACGCCACTCTATAGCCACAAACAGCACCTAACTTCTCACCTACTCTCTTCCAGCAGCCGCTTGTTTGTAGCAAGACCATTACGGACTGCTGTGGGGTGACGCAGCTCAAGGAAGAACATTTATAATCGATATAGTTCCATTAAAAAATGATCATAAATGTTCTTCCTTGAGCTGCGTCACCCCACAGCAGTCCGTAATGGTCTCGCTACAAACAAACAGCTGCTGGAAGAGAGTAGGTGAGTTGTGTTTAGTCTCTTTGCTAAAGAAATTAGTCAAAGTTAAAAAGAGGTTTGGTGTCTAGTACTATGTCTGTGACCCTATATGTCCTGTTGATGAAGGTGCTGTTCTGAGCATTATTTGTGGCTATAGAGTGGCGTTTTGGTTGAGGTTTGTTTATGGCTCCTCAGACCGCTGTGTATTGCTATCCTGTGGTCGTTACTAAAGTTGGTATAACTAGAGAAGCAAGCGGTCGGCAACATTCATCTCTCGAGGAGGTGTGTCACTCAGTGTTACTGTGTGTTTGAGCTCAAACAAATTTTTGCCGGAACATCCCTTTAAAAACCAGTATGAGCGCATGCTCTCCCCGCACAAAGACAACCAACAGAGATCACATTTTAACTCTGAACACCCAAAGCACAAGATCCAGAGACATGGCAAACACCTGTATCGTATTATCAGACGTATTTCTGTTTAAAGAGCAGCTTCTTCTCAGATATTTGCTGCATGAAATTCATTCAAATCGAAGGTTTGACGCCTCATTTTCCCTCCAGGTCAGCACAACAGTCTTTTACTGAAGAATTTGATCTTGTGCTCGTTGTTTCCTGAGTTATTCCTGTGCAGAGAGAGCTGCTTTTGTTACCGCTCAGAGAAAAATGTGCTGAGAGAAGCAGCAAACACCGCAGAAAGCTTAAAAAAAAGAGAGAGAAAAACATTTCACTGAGGTTGTGATGCCGGGCATGCCGGTGATTCAGTCCTGTGTGCTGTGAAAAGGAGAAGGATCCAGAAGGAAATAAGACAGCCCACCTGAAACAGACTGGAGTGTGTTAGTTTGAGAAAGAGAGGGAGGAGATTAGGTTTTTGATGCTGGAATGGATTCAGACTTTTTAAATGAGACGGAGAGTAGAGAGAGGGAGAGACATGCAGGAAAGAGTTGTGGGCGAGGAGTCAGACTTGGTGGAGCACGGATTTTAAGAGTGTTTTTTGGTTATCTTAAATAGATACTACCCAAAGCCACTGGAGCTTTAAAACCCCAGTGGTGTGGGTGTCTTCTGACGGTCTTTCTTCTTCAAATCATGCAACGTGGACCAGTTTGAAGAAGGCCAGTACTTTTAATTCAAGAGTCTGAAGTGTGGCAGCTCGCATCTTGCAACACTCTGACAACAATTTTCCAATACTCTCAAAAACTCTTGCATTAAAAAAAAGTTATATATATAAAAAGTTGCATCAGGGTGTTAGGAAATCAATTTGAGTCAGATTTAACCCTTGAACCTCTAAATCTCCACATTTCTGAAAATATGAGGCTTTATAAAATAAAAGAATAACATGCATGCTTTGAGAAGTCTCTAACTTTGATGCATCAGCCACAAACAAGACCTGTAAGTTTTCATTTATCTCCTGCTGCTTCATTTTTATAGTCAGAAGGAAGAAGAAGAATAAAGATGCGATGATGATGATGATGTTTTACCAGCGCTGAAATATTCTGATCCAGTAAACCGCCGAGGCTTTCACCCCTACAGCCAAACGGCAGGCGGACTGAATCTAAAGGTGACACTCCTGCTACAGAGGCGAACAGGCTGCCCACCAGCAGAGGGTCCAGAGAGGAGGCCTGAGAGGAGGTGTGAGGGGAGGGTTAAGACATCTGAACAGACTGAGAGGACACATGAAGAACAGAGCTGCTCCGGAGGACGGTGCTGCTTTGGATTCAAAGGTTTTGATCAGTGAAAACAATAAGACAAGAATAAGAGGAGCAGAGATTTGAGACAAAAGGAACAAAACAAGAAAAACAAGTAACTCAAAAGATTTTTATGATTCGAGAAGAAGCAAAAAATGAAAAATGAGTGTGATAAGTTTTGTACATTTTAGTCGTTAGCTCCAAAAACTACAGAGATTGAAATGAAACTCAGGAGACATCAGGAGACCGTTGAGCTGCAAAGAACTGACAGACATCTGAGATTTGTTCGGACACTCTGAGGTTTCACAGCAGGTCCTACCTGAGCCAGCATGCCGGGCTGGATGTGGAGCGACTGGGACGACTGGTTTTGAGGAACTAGAGGGACTGAGTTGTCCATTCTCACCGGATAACCAGAAGGCTTACTCGACGTTTGAAGACCTGTAAGAAAAAACAAGATGGAGGCAGATTTAGAAAAGTCAAATCAGTCACACTTGGATGTATTAAAAACAGATAGCATGACTTCAGCATGTATCATCCTCACCCTGGATGGTCGGAGGACAAACTATGAGCGTCTGCTGGAAGGGCTCGGTCTGAGTGCAGAGCTGGGTGGGTCTGGTCTGCAGGGGGACGCCCTGCTGGGTCAGGCCGGGGATGTTTATGGTGGCCTGCTGGTAGAGGCCGGGCTGGTAGTTCAGCAGCGGGACGTTACTGCTGAGGGACAGGGACTGGCCTCCTGTGGACGCCATCTGAGACAGAGACAGGAAGAAAGTTAAAGCATCGAGTGCTGCAGGACGAGACCTGAGGAGATGTCGGCATCTTAAACAACTCTGAGATAATAAATTTATTATCACATTAAGAATACAGAGAAATCCGTCAGCGTTGAACTGTAAACTGAGTGAAATTAAACAAGAAAAGATCCCTCTGTGAACAGTTTTGTTCAGGGACATAAAATACACTCAATTAATCAACTAATTTACTCTTTCCACACCTCATTTGTCGTTAGAGTGAGAGTAATTACAAGAAAATGCAGTTAACTTATGAGACAGAGACTGAAGATGCTTTTCCAGAAGATAAATTTGGTCTTAATGAAATATGATCAGCTGTTGATTTACGAGCAGAGATGGGAACTGTTCATTTTTATTCTAACTTATACAACTTTCAAGACTTCGTAATGATTCAAGTCCTCGTTAAAATCCCTGATAAGTCTTTCCTGGTGTTTGGGGGTCATTAGTCCATCTGCAATGTTTACTTTATAAATATAAATGTATATAATCCTTCGAACTAGGGATGCACCAATACGATATTTGATATCGGTATCAGTTTTGATACTGAAAAAAAATCTAGATCAGGTATCGTGACAATAGGCCTGATGCATAGGTGCCAATCTATTCAGTCTAACTCTATGCTATGGCAGCCTCAGGTAAACAGCCTATGGGCGTATTCAGATTGCGTAGCTCACCAGGGGGAAACGCTGTTTGAGCCGAGCGTTATCACAGCGACTCTCGGCGACTCTCACGCGCACAACACTACAGTGCAAAGTTGGTTTCAGGAAGTGGAGAAAAAACGCAGAATTACAGAGAGCTTTTCGGCTTTAAAACTGTATACTGGCGAAAGGGGAACCAAGTTGTTCGTAGTATATACGGTCTATGGTTGGGACTTGCTATGACGTCTGAGTGTGCTGAACTTGACAGCCCTGCAGTCCCAGCAGTTGGAGTTTACAGAGTTGTTTCAAGCTGCAGACAGTTGCATAAACATAAATTACATTTCCCTTCATCTTTCTCTTTCTCTTTGGTAAATACAGCCACACGTTCAACCATTTCCACATGTTCAGACATCACTTTTAAGCAGCTGACCACCAGAATTCGTCTTTGTGTGGTTTAGTACCTGTTGGCTGCAAATTCATCTTTTTTCATAAATGTGCTCTTCTTCAGGACACCGTCACCTGATGTTCAAATAAAAACTTAAAGCACCACCTCTGTGCAATCATGATCATTTTTAACATTCAAAACCACGCAGCCGCATTAAATCAGTTTCCATAAGGATTCTGAAGCGCTGCGGTGATGTTATGAATATTGATTCAGCTGACTGTCACAGCAGACCCGCTGAGCTTCTCAGCGGTGCAGCAAAACACGATCACGTTGAAGTGATATAAATGCTAATCAGAGGATTTCCTGGCACTTAAAATGTAAATGACAATGCATAAAATACATAAATGAGATTACAGGCACAGAAATGAGCAGGTGGATAAACGGACCCCTGAACTCTCACCTGGTTGTGCTGGTTGAGCTGGCTGCTGAAGGTGACGGTGAGGTTGGTGGCTGCACTCGGGGTGTTGTTGCTGGCAAACATGTTTTTCCCGTTCTCAAAGGCGCTGCATCTGCGTTTACATATATCCATATTCTGGAAGCAGGACTTCACACTGTAAAGACAATCAAGATTAAACAATCAGGCGAGGAAACAATCCCTTAAAGGTCAAACTCAGCTCCGAAAATCGTTCATTTTTTAGCGTGAGGACGGTCTTGCGTGTGCCGTCTTACTGTGAGCTGTGAGGGAAGTGTAGCAGGTGCGTCATGGTGACAAACGGGTGGTTCAGCGTCTTCATGGGTGTGATCCGTTTGTCCGCGTCCAGGGTCAGCATCTTCTTCAGCAGGTCGATGAACTCCCGCCTGTCAGCCTTCTCTGCCAGGATGTCCGTGCCCTCCAGGTTTGTCATGTTCACCTGCAGAGAGGAGGGAGGACAGGAGGTCTGTTAAAGGAGCAGACTTACACCCACACAGGTTTTTTATATAATCAACGTCCAAGAAAGAGGATTTTTAAAAAGTAAAATGAATTTAAACACCTTCGTTCTCACCTGCATCATATCATCCAGACAGTTGAAGATGTATTTTCTCGCCTCCTTTGACTTGATGCCCATTTCTGCTTCGTGCTCTGCAGGCGTCTGCAGAAAAATAACAACAGCAAATCTCAGTAAATGCGCTCTCTGCTTGAGCTTGTTATGGACATTCAGTGTTTCCTTTCTGAGGGGGTGACTCACTTTGAGTCTCCAGAGGGGGTAACTCGAGTCGGGGCCTCTGTTGAAGAAGCGGCTGGTCTTTGTTCCTGCACTCAGCAGATACTCCGCTGGAAGGCCCTGAGTCTGGGAGATGTAACGAATCTGAGGGAGACGACGGGAAAGTGTCAGGAGATGGAAAACAAACGTAAAGCCGAGAAAAGATCTGAGCTTCAGTGTTTACATGCAGGGGTGTTACTGTCAGACTTTTGTTCAGTTACAAACAAAAACTGTTTTATTTTTTTAGTATCAAAATCAGAGACGAACAAATCTTATAAAAAAACAAAAAGAGCTAACCTGGTGAGTCTAATACTAGTCTTCTCATTCTGCTATATGGAATAATGTGAATAATGCTTTAAAGGGATATTCCGGCATAAAATTAATTTAGGGTCAAACACACTGTAACACTAAGTTAGACAGCCCCTCAAAGTCAGGGCTGTCACCACTTCTTATGATTATTATTTCCAGAAAAATTAACACTAAATTTACAGCAATATTTATGAAAATCAGTCAAAGACAGGAAGTTTCTGGTAGATTAAAAGTCACTGAATAGAATAAAAGTAGCTATAAAATAATTGTCAAATATAAATGTTGAATGTTGAATGTCAACACTTTATTTTCCTTTTCAGAAAGACAGTTGATGCCTAAACCAGCCTGATATTACATAATGATAATTTCCTGGCAGTTTCTGAAATGTAAATATGAGAAAATGTGTGAAAAATGACAAAAAAAGGATCTTTTTCTGTTAAATCATGTTCTGCTGCTGACCTGATCGTACTCTGAGGCACCAGGATAAAGAGGCCAACCCAGGAACAGCTCCGCAATAACACATCCCAGAGACCACATGTCGATGGCTTCACAGAAAGGAAGGCCCAGGATGATTTCTGGAGCTCTGAGGGAACACGTTAAGTTAATATTTGCAGCTCTACTTTAAGAGGATGTGATCCAGTTAACAGACTCACCTGTAGTATCGAGACTGCAGGTAGGTGGAACAAACAGCTTTGGACACGTGACTGGCCGAGCCGAAGTCGATGACTTTCACCCTGTACGGCTGCCTCAGAGGATCCACCAACATGATGTTCTCTGGTTTCAGGTCGGCGTGGATCAGACCCAGGCTCTTCAGCTTCATCAGCGCGGTGGCGACCTGCTGCAGGATGGGCCGTATGCACTTGAGCATCAGAGGGCTGAACTTGCTGTGCTTCAGGAAGTCGTAGAGGTTCTGCTCCAGCATCTCGAACACAAGGCACGTGTGGTTCTTGTGCTGGAAACACTCGTAGGAGCGCACGAAGTTGAACTCATCCGCGTTCTCCGTGCTCAGCCTGCTGAGGATGCTCACCTGCACCACAAGGAGAACATTTACATGACGTTAACAACACACCTGACCCAAATGAAGGCAGGGTGAGATCCTGAGCTTGTTCTCACCTCAATCTGACCCTGCCGAGCATAAGAAGGATGGTTCTTCAGGATTTTAATCGCCACTATCTCGTTTGTGCCCCTCTTCCAGCATTTTGCCACTTGCCCAAAGGTTCCCCGTCCCAGGAACTCCAGCACTTCGTAGCTGTTGGACATGGAGCACAGGATTTCATGCTGCACCAGCTGGTAGTCGCCCTCGCTGTGTGAGTTGCTGCTCTTGGTGGTCGAAGTAGAGTGTGCTATAGACTGAGCCGTGGTGGTTCCTCCTCCGCCAGCTGTGCGGTTCGAGACGACGGGGGCTGAGAGCTCCTCCAGGATCTGGACGCTGTCGCTGCTGTCCACCTCCTCGCTCTTCCTCTTCAGGCTGTACTGCTTGTGGTAGAGGTCGCACTGCTGGGATGACGACTCGGCATCCTTGACCCGCCGGCTGGAGGAGGAGGATGAGGACGAGGAGGAGGGGGGTCCGCGGAGGCTGCCTGTGCTGTCTGCCGCTCGCACCACCGTCTGCTCCCTGGAGCTGACCGTGGGCGGGGGCGCCTGGTTGGAGTTGTACGCCGGGTTGAAGTTGGAGTCAGAAGTGGAGGGCGCAGCTGCCTGGGAGGGGCTCTGCTGGTAGTAACCATTATCTCCCAGCTGGTTCGATGCTTCCCAGGCAGGGTTCTCCAATTTGAGCCTCTTCGAGCGAGAGTAGGCACTGGAGGAGACGGAGGGAGAGGAGAACGCCTGGAGCTGCGACGACATGTCTGAGGGCAAAATCCAGCAAAAAACGAGAAGATCTCTACAATGAGGAATGAGTCAAGAATATTGGACACTTTTATACAATCTGACATGTAAAATTGGGAGAGAAAAACAATCAACACTGCCTCTGTCAACAGGGGATAATGAATTCTTATCTTTACCTTATCTGTATGAAACTTAGAATTACAGATGAGGTTGTGAAAATGTTTTATACTTTGATACTCTTTAATACCACATACTTTGAGGCAATAAAATATATATATATTTTTATATTTACAGCACCTTACTGAATCACATTTTTGACCAGAGGGGCCTACATGCAAATGAAAGTGAGAGAAACAGAGATGTGAATGTTTTCACAGCTCTTAGGAACTTAACCCTCTGGGGCTCTTAGGACATTTTTACTTTTCGGACATTACATCAAACATAACAATGCATCAAAATCAATGTTGTTGTGAATTATTGACACATCATAGACCTTGATAAAAGAAGCAAAGAAATTCCTGCCCCAATATCTTATTTATGGAAAATAACTCTGTCATTTTTTCCCCATTAAAAATAACAGCGACAACATCGAGTCAAACTGGCATTTAAAGGGTTTAAATTCTGAAAATATATGAATATTTGGTAGCTATAATTAGGACTGAAGTTGATAAAAAGATTTAAGCAAAAAAAGTGGAAAAATATTAATGTTTAGTACTTTTACTACACTTTTTGGAGATGGACATTTTTGTTCATCTAAGGACATAAACGTAACTGTTTTAAAGGACCCCTGAGGGTTAAAAACAAATCCACATCCCCACACAAACATGCAGGACGGTTCAATATCTGGTTCTCTTGCTGCTGATGTTTCACAAAGGTAACACACAGTTTGATTTCCTTATGAATTGGTCAGAAAATAGGTCCTTTAAAGGCTTTGGAAATAGATCGACAGGCACAGGGAGCCAAGCTTGGCAACAGGTCAGGATTTGCGCTGCAGAAAAACATGCTCTTATTGTTGACAACAGCCTTGGTGGTGTGTGTGCAGCAGTTATAATGGTGTGTATTGTCTGTTGAGTCTGTGTCAGACTTCAGCACCAGATGGAGGAGACCAAGCATAGATCTGGTGGGAGTCTGGTGTTAAAGATCCACAGAATGTAACGTGCATATTATATTTTTATGGCTAAAATTAACACCATTTATAAGTTCGTATTAACTACCTGGTTTGCCTGGTTTAGGGGTCAAGATTTTGACGTATGGCCCCCGCCCCTTTCAGTACCTGTGCACGCCTCTGCGCCGAACCTGCAGCCTGGCAGTAAAACAACAAAAATCCACCATTTTCAATCCATGATAATACCTGTGTTTGATGAGTGAACACACCGGCGCAGGTCGGACATTTAAGGCCTCTTCATCATCTTCTCTCCGGGCTCTGAGTGGTGCTGCAGCGGAGCAGCTGAGCGTGCTCTCCGCCTGCTGATGAAGCTCTGTTACAGGATGGAGGAGGAGGAGGCTCCGCTAACAGGCTCTCGCTGCGAGCAACCGACTCATGTCTGACTCGTATCCGCGGTCACATCTCGAAGTCGAGGCGCGTAATGTCACCGGAGGTGTCAGACGGCATCATAATGAGCGCTGTGGTCCAGACAGAGCTCCATCATCATCTTCATCATCATCATCGTCGCACTCAAACCGCTTAGCGTACTTCCTGTTCTCTCGACGTAACGGCGTGACGCACCGAACGTCAACGTGACTCAAGTTTATGAAGCCATTTTTTTTGTAAACGTTTCATTATTTTTTTTTCGTCAAAATACAAAAATTAATGCACATTGTTGATACTTAGAGTATGAAGTGTTGAACCAGCTTTTGAGATTATCAAAAGAACATGAAAAAAGAAGAAAGAGAATGTTGTTCGTCACTTATTGGTGGAAGTTATTCACCAATCTGTCACTTCAAAATGCAAAATAGTGTTTTCTTTTGCCTCAGTTTACCAAACAGTGTCAAAGAAAATATGTTAAATAATCAGATTGTGAAGCTTGAACCAGAAAATGCCGTGTAATAAGTCAGTTAAAGCAGAATTCAGTGGTCTGCAAATAATTTAGACCCAAATTAATTCTACTGTGTTGGCCTTGGAGGATGTGGCGTCCATTGCTTCCAGAAAGACAGTCAAGTTACGGTTTATCAAGTCATAAAACAGTCCCCCTCAGAGAGACTCTGGCACAGGGAAGTCACCTGCATACAAACTCATTTTTGCTTGTTTATATGGTTTCTTCTTCTTCTTTTGACCCCATGCAGAGACCTCCACTACCGAGCCATGTCTGTTCTAAACTGCCTAAAGGCCTAAACATCATGGCCATCTAGTGTTTCTCAAGGATCTCTGACCCTTTAGATGAAAACATGTAGGGGAGAGTGGGATAAGATGAGCTATTTTTCATATTTTAGATCACTACATCAAGGCAATCATAGTTTTGTCTCTAACTTGTGTAGCTATCTGCATATATTTCAAGATGTTTTCATCCCTGCAAACCAACAAACCAACAGAATGAGTGTAAACATAACTGTCTTGATAATATAGCATGCCAAAAAAAAGTGGTCTCCTATGGTCAACTTACCCCGTGTATGGGGTATTTGACCATAGGAGTGCCCTCGACTGACCCCAGAACTACTATTATGACTTAATTTGTCCTTTAAGCTAAAGTGGCGGACTTTATGTTAGGTTTTTGACCTCATGTTGTAGCCCATAAATGCCAAAAATGATGTATAAAAAATTTTAAAATGATCTTTTTTAGTCTGAACACAATTCTAATAACACTTATGACAGACTAAATTAATAATCCCTTCACCCAAGGGCTTCTAACCCTCACAGACTCCATGAATTGATGCCCATCTCCTAAATATTCTGTCACATGATCAATTTCTTTTACCGTTCAAGCAACAGGGGGTGGCTCAACTTACCCCACTCTCCCCTACTGTAAATGGTGAAACCCCCTGATTCTAAATTGAGGAATATTACCTCTAAATTGTTCTTGTTTTTCTTACTGAGCCTCACTGGAATACCAGTAATATCATTAACCTGTTTCCACACCAGAGGGCGCTCTGAGCCGGTTGTCTGAGTCCACACAGACACTTCACTGCACATGTTTCAACACAGACAATCTTTATTCTCAGTCCACTTTCATCAGCATTCCTCTTCATTCTGATATATTAGCATTTTGTGCTTCTTGAGCATGTAAACAGTAACAGAAGCACTGTAATTCATAGTGGTACTGCAGAGTACATTAAACTAAACATATCACAAAGACTACACCAGCATAGTCAACATTTGACAAACACAGTCTGCTCACTGAGAGGAAAATAACACGGCGACTTCGGGATGTTGGGTTGATGATACGACACGTAGCTGAATTCAAGTTTAAATATGAAATAATATGGAGTAAATGCATGCAGTACAAACAGAACAATAATGTAGTATTGATGTATTTCCTTCAATAAATCAAACATGTTGATGAGAATAACGGAGGGCGTGCAGCAAAAAGGAAACAATCTTAAGAAGTGCTTTATCAAAAGTTTCATCTAACATTGTAAAAAAAAGCTTTTTTTATGTACATTAAAGAGGAAAAGACCAGCAATTCCACATTTAAAAATAAAAAGTTGATCTAATAACAGCACATGACTCTAGGGGATATAATGCAGTTTTAAAAAACACTGAACTCATCCAATAATTTCTTCACTACAATCCACTTTAAGTTGTTCATTTTTATAACGGAGCTAACGCAAAATAAAAGTGAGAACATGATGTTTTTCTGCGTCCAAGTGATGCTATGTTGGGACTCATGGTGTTTCAAGTTTCTGATTCTCCCCCGCCTCCTGGTCCACTACCTGAAGGAGTGTCTGAAGTGCACACTCCTCCGCTTCAGCTTCTCTGGGTTGTGTGAAGCCATGTGGGAAAATTCTCGGAAGATGTCAAGGTATGTGGCGTCTCCTGGTGAAGAAAACAAGAAAAAAACACAGGGATGAAAATGAAGCTATTATGAATAAACGCAGTGATAAAATCAAAAAGCAGAGGAGCCTCATCAATGAGAGGGGTAAAAACAGGCTGAGGCACCATGAAGCCTCCCTCTTTCAGCTCTCCAAATACTGAGCCTTTGCTTTCCTCGTGTCCATGGCAGCGGCTGAATCTACCGACACAACAAAAGCAGTTGAACTCTTTTGTGTACCCCCTGAGAGCTCCCAGGCTCGGCTAATTAAAAAAGGAGGAATGAGCATTCCTGGTTCTCCCTGTTTCTGTATGTGTGAGTGTGAGAAAGAGGAGCAGACGGAGAGATCAAGGAATCAGAGTTTATCTGTCCGCTCGGTTTTAGTGATACTTCTTTTAAAGCCGCAATCGGAGAAAAAGAGCAAACCAGAGTTGATTCATATGCAGCAGTAAAGAGTAACTTATGCATTTTCTCATAGATTTCTAATTTATATGAGTTTTATACACCAAATACTGCATGATTTTACTTCACTGCAACTCTACATAAGCTTTTCTTGTTTAAAATTTGGTGATTTACACATTTAAAATTAATAAAAAGCACTTTAAATTATGAAATATTTTGATCTACTACTGTTTTACTTGTATATTTACTCATATATTTCTAATTTATGAGTTTTATACACTTAATACTGCATGATTTCACTTCACCACAACCTTACATAGGCTTTTCTTGTTTAAAATTTGGTGATTTATACATTTTAAATGAACAAAAAGCACTTTTTTGTATGAAATATGTTGATCTACTACTATCTTACTTTTACATTTACTCGTGCATTTCTAATTTATGAGTTTTATACACAAAATACTGCATGATTTCACTTCACTACAACTTCATATAAGCTTTATTGTTTAAAATTTGGTGATTTTTGCATTTAAAATGAGAAAAAAGCACTTTGGATTATGAAATATGACGATCTACCACATCTAACTTGTACATTTACTCATACATTTCTAATTAATATGAGTTTAATACACCCAATACTGCATGATCTCACTATACCACAACCTTATATAAGCTTTTCTTATTTAAAATTTTTGTTTTATGCATTTAAAATGGAAAAAAAGTGCTTTATACTATGAAATATGACTATGTGGTAGAAATTAAACTACCTAACACTTTCAAAAATACAACTTAATTAGTTAATTTACAGAATTTAATCAGAAACTATTTTGATTAGAAGCAACTATGTCAATACGTCACAGCTTTGTCCTTAAAATAACATGATTGGTGTGTCATAAACTTTGACACTTTTTAATATAGTTTTCAATTGAATTTGTGTCGAAAACAATCAATTATTTTAACATACTATTATTAAATTCCACTTAAGCTTCAGTGGAAAGAGTCAATGCATGTTCCTTTTCTCGTTAAAATATGCTGCAGAAATCAGAAATATTAGTTTGATAATTAGTATGTTAGGTGAGAAGTTTGTTCATGCTGTTAGATGTTGTTACAGGAAGTGAAGGAGGACGTTGAAATGAAGCGAAGAAAGAGGTTAGTTTTAGTCACATCTTCCGTTTATTTTCAGTACCATTTTTAAAGGACACTGGGAGGAGTATTAAACAAAAAGGAGTTGAGCAGTGTTAATATGCACAGGTACTGTATATGAAGAGACAAACGCTCTTTTACAATATTCAAAGAAATCAGACAGATAACAGTCAGAGACGGAAAAATACAAGAGAGTTAAAAATTGCATGTTAGAAGCAAGCAGTTAAAGTGTTAATAGTTTTAGTTTATTTACACAACAGTCAAATAAATGACCCACTGACTGATACACAGCAGACACACACCATACTGTACAACACATAATCCTTCAGTGGCGTGATGCTAATCATCGTTTGATCAGTGATAACATCATTATCGTAGTTAAAACCTGTTCGTTAAGTCGGTGCGAAGCTCTGCGGCTGTCGCACTAAGTACTGCACAAAGTTAGAGAAGGCTGGATTCTGTGTTTTCAAAGTGCTGTGGACGGATATCAGGGGAGAGAAGGAGAGGAGGGAGATGCTCTTTCTGTCGCTGCCTAAATATTTCACAGCTGAAGGGATCTGACCTGTTTCAGACTCTAGAAAGGGGACGGGTTCAGAGCGGGGAAAAGATGTTTTTTTCTTTTTTGCTGAACTGTGTTAGTGGGACATGATGATGTACTGACGTCATTTAGTGTAGGAAAAATTCATTTTTCTTTCTCACAATAAGCAAGATGCTGGTTGGTTGGCCATTAGCTCTCTTTCTTAAGTAATACATCAACAAGATCTCCAATTAAGGCCTGTGTCCACTATCTGCAGCAAAGACTTCGCTGTTTTTTTCTGAGATGTTCTTTATAAATAGGATTAGATTAGATTGCAGTTGGGGCCTGTGTCCGCTATCTGGTATTAGGGCCTGTGTCCACTACCTGCATTTTTTTTTTCATTTTTAAGTTAGCAGCAACTCTTTTCTACGCTAAACTAAAACAGATTTCAGAGTTTTCAACAAATACTAAATTCAAGAACACCAGTTTAAGATGTATTTTGTCTAAAAGCAGCTCCACTTCTCGAAAACTTCCATCAGCCAAGAAGGGGCAGGAAAAAGAGGGCAAAATTAGGTTGCATGTTTGTGTGGAAACAGGCCCTTAGGTTCTATATATTCATATTTAAACTTCTATATAATTATATTAACATTTGTATGAGTGTCTGTTTCAGCACTTTCAGCTGATTTCTAATCTTTAAAGATGTCTGCTTTTGATGTATTTTTTCTGGGTGTCCTGGCAACTTTGAATTCGTGTTGCTGTGATTTTTTTTGTTTCATCTTTTTTCATCTCTTCTACATCAATTTACTTTCTTTGGTACAAAAAAAACCCTTGTTGAACTTTGATATAACTATGTTTCCAAAACCACTCAAATTTGTTGTTTCCACGCTCTGATTTTAATCTAAACATCGGGATGTTTTGCAGTTTGGCCTTTGTCAAAGTCAAGGAAAAGGTCCAAATTAAACTAAACAGCACTGGGAGGGGGTCGTCTCTCGCCTCCAGGAAGGTTCAGTTAGTGACCACAATAATTTCCAAACAGTCTTATTTAATCTGAGGAAATTTCTGCAAGCACACAGCTTCTCATGAGAAAGGAATAATTCTGGCTCTCTGTTAAAAAAGCTGTCCTTGGTCTTTGGTAAATATTTTCTTCAGCCTAATCAGGCCTCTGATAAAACAGCGGTCTGCTCCTCTGCTTCAACAAACAGTCGCGTCACTTTCTGGATCACTGCCGCTCACTGAGAGCCACAGAAGGGTCAGACAAAGTGTACTCATGAGGCCGAACTTAATCCAGAGCATTAAGGGGATCAATAAATACTGTTTTTGGCAGCAACATCATCCAGCTAATGGAAGACAGTGAGAGGAGTGTTCGGTCATAAACGTCTGTCCATGCACTGTCGATAATATGGACATCAATGTTATTCAATAATACTCAAAGTCAAATATTCACATACACCGGGCACAGAAGTAAACAAAGCCGACCATGCATTATAAACATTATTGTGAAACATTACCATAAACAAACGTCTGAACTTACAAATACTGTACAAACAGTTATACATGTTAGCTTAGTGCGATTTATCAAAAATGTCCATCTGCAAAGTGAATACATAATATGAAAGTGTGGAGTATCGGCTCTCTTTCTCATAATAATAATAATAATAATAATACTGTTCCTGTGTGTGAGAGTGCTCAGCAAAGTAAAGTCTAACAAAATATATCCCGCTTAAAAAAATACCATCTGCATCGTTGTCAAACTTAATACAAAAAATACAGATCATCTGCTCTGAAATTGTCATTGCACTATTGCTCTGGACGTTTCCGCTTCAATAAAAGCAAAAGTTCTTCAATCTACGCTAAAAAAAAAGAAAGGGATTAAGTACAATGACACATGAGCGTAGAACAGAAATCATGTCACCGTTGGAAGAAAAAAGTGCATACTCTTGCTTTTGATTCAAAATAAAAGCTTTCTCGATAAATACAGAGGACTGATCTGTCACACTCAGGAGTCACAGTTTCCACAGCCTCACTCTTCCTCGCACCACTGTCGAGTTAAAATAACAGCTTTACACTAAACTTATCCTCAAGTTCATGAAAAAGCAGATTAAATTAAGGGGATTGATTGGCTGCAGTTTTAAAGATAATGCCTCAAATGAGTTATAAAGTGGGAGGTACATCTGGTTCTGGAAGTGTTTTTTTTCCTGTCTTTAAAAGGTACAGTGGGCAATTTTCAGCAGCGACTTTATAGAAGTGGAATAACCCATTTGTAAGTTTAATTAAATTAGTGTATAATCACTGAACTCTTAAGGTTTATGTATATGTTTCTGCAAACATAACTAAGAGGGATTATTTCTGCTTTGATTCACATTTAGTTTGCGCTTTTGGATGTCTGACAGCTCTAAATACTACATTACCCATGAGCGTTAGCAGAATGAGCCATTAAAAAGTCTGATTAAAACAGAGAATAGTGCACTATTTAGTTAGCTGTCAGCCATAAATGCAGTTCCCATGGACCCAACTACACTGAGGAGAGTTTAATCTTGTCGTTACAATATAAAAGCACAATGATTTTTATCAAAATCTAAGAGCAAATATATGATTTCAATCATTTCATAAAAAGGCTGAAGTTCTGTTTAAAGTTAATTTATCCAGTCATTTACTCTCTTTTGTTTTTAAAGTTCGTCCATGTTATTTTCTATAAGTCTTGATTATGTGACTTATTTTTCGATGTATTTTTACTCTTCATTTCCTCTTTCTATTTTTGTTTCCCTGTTTTTAAAACACATCATGACCGTGTGTTTTTAATTAAATAGATAAATTTGTTCTTAAAGCTTCGGTGAGGCGCCCGATTTTGGCGCCCCCCTGTGGACAAAGGTATATATACGGGTAACACTTTGCAATAATCATAATTTATGAATGGCAAATAGATAGTTCATTAATGTAAGTTCATATAATTTTCATTAATTATTAATGGACTATTTATTAAAGGTTTATATAGGGTTTAAATATTGGTTGTTAAACATCGAGATTAAAATGTGTGTCAGTAGCACTTTGTAAATGTTTAATATTTGGTTTTTAATCTACCTATAAATATTACTTAGATGGTCATTGTAAATTTAGGATTTTAAAATTGTAAAATTTACAATTTATTAATGGTCTTTATGCTCTTTATTGATGATGATTAAACATCAATAAACTATCTGCTTACCATTTATAAATGGTCTATTTATATGTTTATAAATTTCAGTCTATTTCCATTGATGTTAAAACTCCTTATTGGAGCTTTAATACAAGAATATTCAATCCAGTATACTTTTATACTGAGCTGAGCTGGATGACGAAAAAAAACAATGTGACTTCCAGAACAAGTTGTGATTGGTTTAACCTCCCAAATAGAGTTTAAAGTAAGTAGCCAACTAGTCCAGATCTGAAGCAGGTCTTTGGCTCTGAGCACCCTGTTCCCTCTGAGACTAAGCAAAGTTGTACCCAGAATTCCCTGCTGACGATTTTTATCATTGTCCTACAAATTTCCGTCCCAGAAAAAAAACAAAAAAACCTGCTAAGCCTCCCCTGGCAGTGATTTCAACACTCTGCTGTGATTGGTCAGAAGTGTGGTGAGTGTTTTTTGGCAGCTGTTAGATGTGACATCATTTCAGGAGGTCGACACTGAGCTCCTGTGTGATCCTGAGTGAGGAGCTGCTGCTGCTGCTGTCTGAATCAGCAGACTGTGAGGACTGAGGAGAGGAACTATTCGTTTTTTCTGATATATCTGATGCAGAGAAGAAGTGAATCTGGTGGTGGGACGCTAAAAAGCTCAACCCCCCAGAATCATATGTCTAATGGCACCCCCTGATTGGACTAGTACTCGGCTATATTGAGACAGATAAACTCCTGGATGCATTTCTTATACTGCTGCTCAGTGGGGCTGCTGGTTGGGTATTGACCTGGCTGTCCAAACGGTCCCTCGGACTCCCGCATCTCCTCGTTCATCCTCGCCAAACGTAGCCTGAAGAAAAACCAGGAGGAGGAAAAGACATGATGTTAAACGTGAATCACTGCAGGATGATTTCAATAATTAAATAAAACACTTTTTAAACATACAGAGTGACGATATCTGCGTTGGCTTGCTGCACAGCTATACTCAAAGGATCCTGTCCATCCTCGTCCTCGTCGTTCTGTGTCGCTCCTCTTTTCAGGAACAAACACACCTGCCTGAAACACAAGAGTAACAGACACTTAACTGCGAGCGTGACTTCAGCGTAGCAGGTTATGAAAGCGAAACAACATGAGCCGTGGTTACACGTGTTACAGATTCAGCCCAGAGTAAAGCCCGTCTCTCACTGACTCTCTGACTCATGACTCACCCAGTGTGTCCCAGATATGTGGCATGATGCAGCGGACCTCTCCCCCGTGTGTCTCTTTGGTTGACGTCAGCGGCGTTCTGCAGCAGGAACTCACAGGCGATCAGTGACCCCTGAAACAAAGCGACAACGGAGGTCACATGACACCGAAATGATCAAGTATCTTTGAAATTTCTATTATGCGTCAATGATTTCATGATATTTATGTAAAAAGAACGACAGTGTGGCCGACTTATATAAAATTTTATCTTGATTTGATCATTTTTAGTTAATCACACTTCTCTAAGTCTCTTCATGTTCATACCTGTCCAGAACTTTTATCGATGGAAGTCAAATTTAAGAAACACGTGTTTCATTTAAAGCTTCTATAAGGAGTTTTTGGACGTTTAAGAAACATGCTGGATTTCCTTCAGATTAGCGGTTCTCAACTAGTGGGTCTCGACCCAAAAGTGGGTCGCGGACATGTTCTGGATGGGTCGCGAACAGCTGGTCAAAAAAGAATGCAGATCTGATGTTTGACATGTCTTTTATTTTGAAAGGCACACATTATGATTCTCCTCAGTTTCCTATTAATGTGGCCTGAATGCAGTAAAAAAATACGTCTTTAAAGGTTTATTTTTAATAAAAAATAAATCCGCTTTGTTTAAATTTCGTAAAAGTGAGTCACGACTTAAAGACCGAGGGAGAATATGTGTCCCAGAGTCAGACCAGTTGAGAACCACTGCTTTAGATGACTTTTCATAAAACCTAAAAGCAAAAAAGGCCGCAGACGTAGTACAAATCAATCTCCACAAATGGCAAAAGCCTCCATTTCCCATAATGAAACTCAAAGTTCATTACTCCATGGATCTGGCTAATTCCTGGCACCGCTCACCCCTATCACGGCTTGTATGAGAGGCGTTTTTCCTTCATCCTCGTCGTTAACTGAGTTGACATCGGCCCCGTGGGCGAGCGCTTCAGCCATGACGGGCAGGTTTCGGGCTTTGGAGGCTTTGTAGAGCAGCGCCCCAGGATGGAGGTCTCTGATGTCTTCCGGGTCCGATGTCTCGGGCTCGGCTTCCAGCTCGGCTTCACCGCTCGAGTCCTCTGACACCTCGCACTCTGAGGAGAAGGCGAGACGAACTTTTTTAAGACGCTGTAGCTGAAAATGTGGGAAAATTTGGGTTCAGGACTATCTACGACAGATTCCTCACCCTCTGTGACGCTGTCCACCACCGAGCCAAACACCAGGATGTCTGTGCTGCCGTCTGTGCTGCCTCCCAACCCGCTGTCACTGCTCAGACCTGCCGGACCGGGAGACGCCAGAACAGGGACACATTAGTTACCGCTGTCTCTTTCCGGCTCATCGGTTTACTTCACACAAACAAAGATGAGTCTCGCACAGAAACACACGAGCCTCGAAAATCTGATCCACTATCTGGGTTTGAAGCTTCAGTTAAAACTCTGAGAGAGCAGGTAAAAAAAGTGAGCGGCTTACTTCGAGGTCCTGATCCAGTGTCAAAGTACGAGAAGAGTGAGTCCAGCTCATCGGGACAAAACAGGGAGTCTCGTCTGAACTTAGCAGCTGCTGTGAGAGAAAAGAAACACATCATGTCATCCTCTCCACGCCCCTCTTTCAGACTCAGGAGCTCTGATTGACACAGATATAAAACTCCAGATTTAGTTTGAAAACTTCGCTCACGCTGCACTAACTGAGCGGCGAGTACAGTCTGTCATTTCTGGCTCCCGTCTTTGCACTTTTTTCCCCCCTTTGGGTTTCTCAAAAATGGAAAATTGCTCAGGGCGGTGGATAAATTATTAAAACGTCAGAGGCACAAACTGGGGCTGGAAAGGCTAAAAGTTTAGGGCAGCCTCGAACAGAACTGAATGACCTAGATCACCACAAAGTCCAAGGGGGGGAGAGCATTTGGGGTACCTACCTGCAGAGAGGGTGGAGGGGGAGGTGCTTCCGGGCTCTTGTCGGTATCTCCGCCGTGTTTTGGGTACGGTTGTGGCGCTGTTGTGTCTCCGGCATTTCTTCACACTCCACCGCCGCTCGGATTTCCTCTCTCCGTTGATCAGGATCTCTGTAGAGCCGAGTTTCTTCAGGAACTTCTTCTCGACGTACTTCGCCTTTATCCAGGCCTCCTTCTCCTGTCTGCAAGAGGAACAAAAAGCACTTACAGACTTGTCGAGTCCAAAAGTGACACACTCAATTAACCTACTAGCTTATAATCTGATTTGTTACCTTGAGCTGGACGGTAGTGGTTTCTTCAGACCTTGTTCCTGGTAGGAGCCTTCATAGATGTGGTTGATGACGCTGTTTCCGAGCTCGCACATTAACTGCAAAATAAAAGGAGACAAGGATTCACTTATTTTTATGAATCTGATTGTTTTTTTTCACCCTGCTTCACATCTAAACTTAGCTAACTCTCTTTAAGGCTCAACATGACTGAGACAAACCTTTAATAGTTCTGGTTCCCATGAGTCCAGTGTGAGCGAGCGAACCTTCGAACAGTGAACCCCGAGACTCCTGCAACAACAATATAAAACAGTTTTCAGTTCAAATGTTCTGTAGTTATAAAAAACGCATCAAGATCATCAATATTACTGTGAAATTTTTGGACTTTTTAATTGAACTTTAAAGATTTTAAAATAAAACGACACAATCAGTCATATAGAGGGAATGCAAAACAAAAGTGGAGCAACACATACTTCACAAACTTACAGGTAGCTTACATGTCATCATCCATTTCTTTATTTCATAGTTATTTTTTTGGGATGAGGATAGGCATTATTTTTGTTGTCATTATTGTTTGTATAATTTTTATTATTGTAATAATAATAATAATAATAATAATAATAATAATAGTTATTATTATTATTAATAATAATTTTATTGTTGTTATTTTTTATTGTTCTTGTCATTATTATTATTATTTTTTTTTAATTGTTGTTTTTGTTGTAATTATAATTATTTATTTTATTTTATTTTATTATTTTTATTATTATTATGATTATTATTATAACTTTATTGTCAAATTATGCTTTTATTTTGAAATCAGCTGCTCCTGGTAGATCGTAAGTTATGAAACTTGATGAAAACAAAAGAAAAATGTTCAGTTGACTCGTCTCTTCGAGGGCTTCTTCATCTCTCCTTTATTTCAAAACATGTTCCAAAAAAAAGGACCACTATTATTACCTCTATAATGACGCTGATATTCTATTGATTCAGAAAAACAGTTGTCCTCTATACAGATTTGGTGCAACAGCTCTAATTATGACTATTCTTCAGATGTAGTTTGGTCTGAATAGTTGCCTTCAGTGACCTAAAATCAGCCGAGGGAAATGGGAGAAGTTGCTCCTAATGTCATGCAAATCACCGAGTTCCTAAATGAAACAGTCTGGTGTCCTGGCAACAGTGATACTGTGTTTTTTTCCCTCTGTATTGTACCGAGCGGCCATGTATGATCTCACTGTGAGAGAACGAGCCCAGAATAGGGGGCATGAATATTCAACAGGTGGAAACACACACAAACACACACACACAAACACACACACACACACAGAGGATGAGGGGTTTGGGATTACATAAGCAGTAATAATTAAAACTTCAAAACTCCACATTAAAAAACAGATTTATCCCGGTCAGAGTTTAAAACGGTGATGTAACAGAGTATTAGCATGAATGATGGAGGGATGTGTTTATCTGCCGCATGGCGGTGCCTTCATTCAACAGCATTACATCATATCCACCTCTCAATGAAACCTCTCAATGGCTCGGTCACAGTGTGTGTCGCAACTCTGCAGCCGCCTTTATCTCCGCACTTCACCTCCCTCAATGGAACTCTCAATCAAAGCCTGATCCAATAAGCAGCACATGGAGCTTTAATCCCCTCAGAGGTGTGTGGGACGGACGTGCCGAGCCTTTAACAGCTCCAAGAGAGGATATAACGTATGGTAATTTCCAAATTTCAACCTCATTTCTAGTCGTCTTTCATCCCAAGTGTGAAAATGTCTGCAGTCGTCAGCATTTTTTTTTCCAAAGCTCTTGATACTGGTAAAAAACAGGTTTTCTGATCATACAGTCAATCATTTGTAGAACCAAAGAAGTTAGATTAGAAAGTGCTGCCTTAGAGCTGTTACAAATCTACAACGGGGTACCACAAGGATCAGTTCTGGGCCCACTACTATTTGCTGTTTACATTAATTGTCTTGTCCCAAATGCTGCTTTTCACCTCTATGCTGATGATACTGTCATTTCTCGCTTTCTCTAATCTATTATGATCAGCTTTCAGCAACCACTCTGGGGTGATATATAACCGCAGAAATGTTTCTCTGTGTTCTACCTGTGGATGCCCGAGCACTCGATGCACAGCAGGATGCCCAGGTTGATCGAAGCCCAGCGAGGGTCGGCCTGGCCGCAGTCGCAGCACTGTTCGTTCCCAGGCAGACACTGGATCCTCTGCAGGATGGTTTCTCCTCTGACGCTGCGCTCCCGAGGCTCACTGGCTGAATCGATGCTGCTGGTGGACGGAGAGGCTGTTCTGTCCAGATGCTGAAAATAAACATACGATAAAAGTCTTTTATTATTGGGGGCAAATCTAAGATATGAGATGTTTTTGTAGACTGGTGTAGACTGTTATCTTACCTCTATGTAATATGTGTCTGGACTCTCTCTGTAGGCTGAGGCGATGCTAGCTTGAACAGCCTGAATCCAGGCTTGTCTGAGTTTCTCTGAGTCGGCCTGAAGCATACAACTCCTGTACAACAGAAAGTCAAACGGATTTAAAAATTATGACATTCCTCTTATGTTTTGATTTGCATTAAGAGTAACACACCCAGCAGGATGTAAACACAGAGAGTATCTTCTGCTGCTTGTTTTGGAGTGACTTTTCACAGAAAAAGGCAGAATTTTGACCTTTTTTTCATCATCCCAGAATTCTGATATCTGAGTTAGAATTTTGACTTTTGTCTCATAATCTAGAAAAATAAAGGAATTAAGAAAAAAAAGTCAGAATTCTTTCTATAATCAGAGAATTCTTTTTTTTTTCTTAGGAATTCTGAAACTAATTTTTTAGTCTGAATTCTCAGAATTCCTTGAAAAAAGTCATAGTTCTGACATCTGAATTCATTTTCAGAAATCTGAGATGAACATCACAATTTTGACTTCTTTTAATTATCAGAATTCAGATATTAGAGTCAGAATTCTGAGATTAATTCTGAGTCTGAATTTCAAGATTAAATTAAGAATTACAAGATTAAAGTCAGAATAATGACTTTTTTAAAATCCCAGAATCTAAGAATTAAATATGAATTCTTTTTTTTTTTTTACAAATTCAGAGAAAAAGCTGAAATCAACTGAATTTTAATTTTAACTTTAAATTCTGAGAAAAAAAAATCTCAGCTAAAAAAAAACTTTTGACCTTTACTTATTTTAGTGGGCCTAATCCTCTCGCGTAGTGAGCAGATATTTGCTAGCTATAACTCCATACAAATATCAGAGTCTGTTGGTAATACAGCTAATTTAGCAGATATTTGATCACAAACATGAGTATCGATTAAATCAGAATAACAGAACCGAATGAAAAGTAAAGGAATAACCAAAGATGTTTTAATTCATCCTGTTGGGAGTCGGTAGTTTATGAACAACCTTACATGATAATCGGTCCCTCAGTTCAGTCTTACTTGAAGGGAGAGACGACCTCGAAGCAGAACCTCCTCTCGATGTCCTCACACGGTTTCACAGAGCACAGCCGGAGGTCTTCCACCACCACCGTCAGAGAATCCTACAAACAAACACAAACAAACAACTCCTCATTTCTCTGCTTATCAACAGCCTGAACACGACACAAATACAACACAGCTGCTCCGCTTTGATAAGACGTTTCATCCTGGAAGCCTCTGAGAAGCTAAACACGAGATATTTAGACACAGAGGGAGAAGAAAATGACCTGAAAACTGAAGATTGAGCACTCAGATACCTGTTAAGATCTCTTCACTCACAAGTATAGAGTCGGTAAGTGGTGATGGATGTCGGCGAAGATCACCATAACATCAAAAAAACATCCAACGTACCCCCCATTAAAGTGCACTTAACCTCTCAGAGCTCACTTCACCCCGGGGGAGAAGCTGATAGCCGAATATAGAGAGAGTGTGAACTTGCCTTCAGCTTCTTCTGATAGACGAGCTGGCTGTTCTGTATGGAGAACCACCGTCTGCAGAGAGACAGAGAGAGAGAGAGAGAAAGAGAGAGGGGGAGAAAAAAAATACCATTTAGATCTGATGGATTTCCTCTGGAGCGACGGGGTCAACACTGTGGAGAGCAGCGATCAAAAAGAGATAAAAGTATTGACTGAAATGAGTTTCGCTCCGGGCGACACAAAATCAGAATCATGTGAGGAGAAAGGCAGACAACCCTGTCAGCGACGGAGGAACATTCAGCACTTTGAAAAGCATGTTTAATCATATTTTTGTCCATTTTTTCACAACTTTAATAAGTTTTTTTTAATTGTAAGTCCATCTTTTCTTACTCTGTACGGCACAATAAGTGTTAAAATGAACTTTACAGACAGCTACGACTAGTTTTTACAGTAAATATTGAGCAGATGTCAGATTTGAAGCTATTACTGTATCATATTTACACACGGGCATCTTGACATAAAATATTCAACTCCCACTTTATACGTATATCCAGCTGCAGCTTCATATACTGTATATATTTTATAGAGTTCTATTATTAATGTATAGCAGGGGCTTTTAGGGTCTGGACACCATGGACCCCCTTAAGACAGAATTGAGACAAATACACCCCCCTCCCCCAACATGACCCCCTTTTAAGACTTCAGCATGTAAACAGGACCTCCGCGTTCAGACCTGTTTGTTCATATTTTGGCGATAATTTAAAGTATGTAAAGTCAGCTGTGATTGGCTCTTGATAAATAAGTTCTCAACAGAATACCAAAGAGATCTAGGAAAGTTTTAGAGTCAATGAGGCCTGGTTTTTTTACGTTATTTCTATACAGATATCCTCAGAAATCTAGTAACAGATTAGAAAATTAGACAAACAGAGATATCATGGAATCAGCAAGTGAGCTCCAGTGTTTCTAAACCTTATTTTGTGAGCAGCTTATTTAAAAGTACGCCGAATTAAGTATGATCAATACTTGTTTATGATGTTCTTATTATTATGCAGACAACTATCACCTGAATACTTTGATACTGCAGAAAACTTAAAATTATGAGGTTTTTCATGCAGGTTTTGTTAATAAATGACCTCTCCTTCTTTCTTTGTCTCCCACGTGCATTTAAACTTATTTGATCAGTGGATAAACAACACTTTAGCATGTGTATGTTTCTAAACCTTATTTTGTGAACAGCTTATTTAAAAGTATGCTGAATTTAGTATGAGTAGCATACGTTTATGATATCCTTATTACTGTGCAGACAACTATCACCTGAATACTTAGATACTGCAGAAGACTTAAATTAAGAGGGTTTTCCAGGCAGGTTCTGTTCTAAAAGACCTCTCCTTTTTTCTTTGTCTCCTATGTGCATTTAAACATATTTGATCAGCGGATAAATAATACCTTTAGCATCTGAAACTAGACTTAAATGTTTCTGTTCTCTGTGTTAAGATTTCACAAGGTTATTTCTCCCAGATTGAGTGCATTTTTGGTGCAAAATATGAGCCAGAGTGCCACAAGTGTGCACCTTCCTGTAGTGTGCAGCACAGATGCATGCATAAGGTAGAAACACAGGACAAAATAATGATAAATAAACATCAAAAAAAGCCAAAACAAAACAAATAAAGTCCTAATTATTACTTCTCTTCCTCTTGCTGAAGTTGTATTCTTCACTCACAGTTACATAAATTACAAACACAATTCAACAGGGTGGTATATTAGTAGTACATGGAGATCAGGGTCATCATAATCACCTGTTCCAGGTCTTAAAGGCATTGCTGGCCCTCTTGAACAAGTATCCCTCCATCACCACACCATTAGGAGCATCAACGTTGAACTCCACCTTGGAGTCGTCATATGAAAAGTCCTACAAAAAAAGAGAGAGATGAATGAGAGACGTCAAAACTCAACAGAGCAGCTGAGGAGCTCTGCCGCTCTGAACCTCATTAATTATCAAACAGGCAAAAGAAAAACACACACACACACACACACACACACACACACACACACTCGCCTCTTTTCTGCAGCTACACTGATGCATGTGTGCCGTTCCTGGATGCAGCAGCGGTACTGTACATACAGTCCAACCGAATCATTACACTGTGTGCATGTTTATAGTGCAATCATGTAGAAACGGTCACATGTTGGCCCATGGATGTATAGGAGTTGCATGCTATCTGACTGTGTGGCACACAGGGACATTTCATAACCCAGCAGATGTGAGTGTGACGCAAACTATTACATAACGCCGGAGCATGATTCATGTGAAATTAGCCTCTGAGATTTTCATGACTTACAATTACAAACACCTTGCGCTTCAACACTGGCTGACAGAGAGAGAGTTATTTTGGTGTCTTTCTCTCAGGGCAGAGTTTCGAGAAGAACAGCCTCCATCTTTTTAAGCTCACAAATGAAGGGGTTGAGTGTGTCCTGAGAGGACTAACAAGAGGAAATGTAATAAAGTGCGGGGACAGTACATTCACTTAAGAAAATTTGATTTAAACATCGCATGCATGATGCTCTGAGTAAAGATAAAGTCCTCTCAGCGGAGTCGTTTATGATATTTCAGGCTTTTTTGGGCTTAAATGTAGATTCTTGCAGATGCTTTAAAACATATCATTCATTGCAATAACTTTTGTTCATGTGCAAATCAGTGTCTCTGATTCTGCAATAAGCAAAAGTTGTAAAAGAAAGACTAATTGATCAGTCAGGCCAATTAAAGCTGCAGTGAGGAGTTTTTGAAACAGACTAAACTGGTTTTGTTGAAGTACAAATATGATTATTTTCATACTTTAATGGAAGTTTTTGTGTCTTTTACTGATGTAAGGGGGTAGATATGCAAAAAAAAAAACTTTTCTTACAGCAAATCTTTATAATAAATTAATAATTTCATCTTAAAAGTGTTTTTTTTTTTTCATTTAAAACGACTTTCACAAAGATTTAAGAGTTAGGGGTGCCAAAATTAACACACAGAAAGTTCCTGACAGGAGCTTTAACTGTGTTTTGAAAAAAGAGGCAAAGAGGAGTCAGTCTAAAACATCACAGGCTAAGACCAACAATATTAGATTGTATTATGCATGGATTTATGAGTATTAATGGTTAAATTATGTATTATAATATTGAAGTTATAAATCTGACACTAGACAACCTGCTCTGTGGTTATCGACACCTGCTGTTGAAAAAAAAACACAATACTGGGCAACAACCACTGTTTAAAATTGATAAATTATAACTTTAAGTACTTTTTATTCAGATTTTTTCATTTATTATGAAAGTTTCAGACATTTTTAACCTTTGCTGTGAGCTGCTTTAATAAGTGAATTATCTTAAAACCTGGAGAAGTATCAGTACTACAAAAATTTTACATTTAACTACAAAGACATAGTGCACTCCTCGCCTTTCAAACACAGACTCTGTATTAGATTACAGATTCATTACGTGAAACAAGAAAGTTTTGCGACTATAACAGAGAAATTGTTGTTATATATCAGTGTAAGAGCATTGGAGAAGAGTAAAACTGTAAATACGGCTCAAAATAAGCCGCTTCAGGAGGCGATAAACAATCCATAATTCATAGCTAAATCCTCAGTATCACCAGGAGAACATGAATTAACACCCTGAAGTACAGTTTTAGGCACATAAATAAGATCTGCAATGAATATATTCAGCAGAGTGACCCAGACGGAGCAGATGAGCATGATTGTAAATCTACTTCTGCCTCGCAGGACCTGAACAAACCGACAAACAACCTGAGCGTGAAGTAAAAACACAAATCCACCCACCAAGCTGTGGTCCCAGCGGCACAGGATCTTCATTTTCAGACGTTTCGTGTGTTCCAGCAACATTAAAAAATCACAAAAACCCTTAAAATAAAAATACAAAGTTCCTAAACCTGCTCCTTAAATCCAGATCTCTTGGAGGAGCAGATGCATCCTCCCTCTCTCTCCCTCTCCCTCTCTCACGGTGGACACTAACAGGCTGTACTGTACGGCTGCTGCAGTCGTAGTAGTCGTCTCTGTAATTCCAGCACTGACATGTGTGCCACCTGCCTGCTGCCCTGTGAGCCTCCGGATTAGCACTAATTACCATACAGCTGCCAAAGTCTCCACGGCAGGGTCCCTGTGGAAGAATACAGGACTACAACTGACACAGAACTGTAGCTGCTCCTGTCCTGATCCAGAGACGAGCAGAGCCGCTTTGACACTCCAGTGACTGAGTCTGTTTGAGTTTTACAACTCCCTCAACACACCTCCCCTCCTCCCTGGAGGAAGGGGGGAGTTTTGGTCCACTGTTGACCCATGAGGAATCCACCTGGCAGGCTGCCCAGACAGAGCACCAAACAAATACTACTCTGGGTTTTATTTACCCTCCACACACAGCAGCTCTGCTCACTTCTGCAACTGTACTATCAGGAAAAAGTTGATGCAGCCTACCTTTTCGCCTTTTCGCAGTAAGACGTCCGGCTTTTTCAGATACAAGATCACAAACACTGAAGAGGAGGTGGTATTCTGAAGCAGCCCACAACAAAGATCATCCATTTTTAATGACGCTACGTCACTCAGAGAGAAACCGAACATCGGTGAATTATTGAACATGCGGGAAACAGAGACTTCCAAATGTTCCCAACAAACAAGTAAATCGTTTCTGCAGAGAGAGAGAGATGCTCGTAGACGTCATGATGCCTCACACACCTGCTGCTGCAGGTCAGACTCAGAGACTCCAAATGTGCACTGATTACTCCATCCATTGTGTCTCGTAAGAACTCCACGGCACAAGCTCTCTGCAGCTTTGCACCATCATCCGGTTTTGCATTACGTGTACCTGACGGACATCTGCTGCGAGTAATCCTCAGCAGGCTGGGTCGCCTGGGTTACAAAGTTACATCCTGGCCTCTCCAGTCTTTTTAAAATAATATCCAAACGTGCAAAACTGATCACAAGGTTCATGTGATCATTTAAAGGAACATTCTGCAGCAAAATCAGATGGGCTTGTGCTAATGCTTAGATGAAAAAACGAGATTTCGCAGCAGATCTCAGGAGAGCTTAACTTCCTGTTAGTCCCACCGTAAAGAGATTATTTCAGCTGTTTCATTCACAAAACCTACTCAAAGTCAGGCCATTAAAGCATGCGATCACTTCCACTACAGAGCCATAACAGAGGTTTTTAAACCCTCTCTGGTCGTGTTGTAATCAAACTTTTGCAGTTTTAGTGTTTTTGTCTGTTTTTTTTTTATGTGTTACAGGCTTTAATTTCAACATGAGTATTTATTAATAATAAACCAATAACACGTATATTATTACTGTTATTATTATTATTATTTTATTTAATTTTATTTGTTGGTGTAAGTCTGGCTTGTTTTTATGTTTTTGCTGGACTGCAGACTCATATTTGTGTTTAGAATGTGTGTTCTTGTTTGTAAAGTTAAAGTATAAGAAAAAAAGATGTGACAGACGATGATAAAGGAGAAAAAAAAACACATATTTCAGTTTTTTTTTATATCTAATAAGTGTATAAGTTTTTCTCTGTATGTGTCTGACCAAAAGATCAATAAATAAATAAATATATAATAAATAAATAAACCAATAACACCTTTTCAGTCCTTATGTTTGATTTGTTGTTACAAGAAATTTGGAAGAAAAAAACAGCAAAAATAAGAAGCAACAAGCCATTTATGAAGCAGCCTCTTTACATGATGATGTGAAAAAATAATACAGCTACAAATATTTCAATGCAAAGCAAACAACGTGGAACATATGTTGCCTCCTTCTTCTAAAAAGTGAAGATTTTAAACTCTTTTCTGCACAAAACAAGTAATTTCATGAATGCATGTGTTCTGGCTGTTGGAAACACGACTAGAAAATGTCACCAAGCTCCTCGATGAGAATGTGAAAATGATAGACGATAACTTAAATGCATCTACGAGTGTTTTCCTGCATATCCGTTCATGGTGTCTGCTTTGTTTTCTGATGTAGAGCTTCAGTACTACATCTTTCAAGTATCATCCAACAATTTCTACTCTTTGTTTTTTTTTTTTTTACTGCAGCATGTATCTGGAGCAAAAATAACCCCAGTGACGCACGCAGGCGGTACGTAGCGCCCCATTTGTGATGCAGACGTAGAAATCTAAACCAGCAGGAGGAGCCGGCTGCATCGGACAGGACTTCTCCATTAAAGCTGCAGTTAAAAATGAATGTCTCTGGCATTCAGACGCTCTCTCCGCACTGTGTGTTTGGCCGGTGTGTAGTGACAGTCCATCGTTCAGAGCACTTTCACTCACTTTCTGCTCCCCTGGTTTTATCACTTGTACTGAGGAAGGACCGCCCCTCTTTGCCCTGTGTAAGTTTACACAAGGCTTATTGCACATGCTCGATGCAGCGAGGAAGAGAGGAAGCAAAAATCTGGGTGACAAAGTAGGGCATAGTGTTCTTAAAACAGAGGAGAATAAAGACGAGGAATGAGGAACACAATCGGATCCTGCTGCTTTGTATATAAGTAAATTTAAAACATCTTATATTTAACACTTTTGGTGACAAACGCGTCCACGAAGGGTCACTTTTTCCTCTTAACCTCCCCGTTAAGTTTCCCCGTAACTTTCACTTTATTGCAGCAAATGGCATGATTTTTGCTGACAAACCTTATTTTTTTATATAATTTGATTTTAAAATTTTCAAAAGGTCAAGCAAATTTACTACCCTATAGCAGTATTTGTGGTTGTTTTCAGCCACTAACTTTGACTGCTGTAAAAATATATCAGATAAATATTTTTTTCAAATTTTTTTGCATAAATCTTTTAACCAACCTCAGTCTTGATCAAAACTAGTTAGATTAGTTAGTAGATTAAAATTAGTAAAATTAGTTATTAAATTTTTTTTAAAAATTTTAACCCTTTGAATGCCAACTTAAAAAGAAAGTCACTGATATGGGGAAAAATACACACAAAATGAGCTATTTTCAATATAAAAAGTGATTGGACAAAGAAAATTTTTCACCTTCTATCACAGTCTTGGATATGTCAAAGATTAGTAACATAATTGGTTTTGATGCATGTTTAGTTTTTGTGCAGAATCAGATTTTCAAAAAAACTTCCCTTTATGGTTTTAGTGGCTGTTTTCGCCCCATTGACTTCCATTATAACCACATGTTTTGAATGCAGAGACATGCCACTATATAAATGTAGTTTTTACAGTCAGGGGGATCAACCCTGTTTAAGGTCTTGATGTGTATAGTCAGGCGCGTCAAAATTAACCTCAGAATATTTCGTAATTTTGCGTCCTATATTTGCGTCGGCCCCGGTGTGTAAGGACCTTTAGAAGGGCTCAAATTAGGTAATATTACTATTGATCACCTGGTTCACTCATTTACCCATTACGTAGCCCTGTTGTATTACTAGCCGAGTTTCTGTATCTGTATAACGGTGTTTATGAGCACGTTTGTGTGTGTTGGGTGGGGAGCACAGGGTTAAAATATAGGGTATGTAACTGGGACTGACCTCTGACGTGTATGTTCAATTAGGTGTTTGACCTTGATATAGCTAAAAAATCAAAACATGCACCCCAGCTCAGAAAACAGTAAGAGGAGCAGAAAGAGCATCTCTGGAGGTCAGCAGCTACATCTAGGACACCCCCATTACCTCCTTAAGAAAGTGATGTAACAGATGTTTTTTTTTTAAACCAAGTTCAGTGTTTCTAATTGTTCGGTATAAATGATTCAGGATGCACTCCAGCTTGCCCTCAAGGCCTCTGGAGTTTGTCTGCGGCGTGACGAGAACTTCAAAGGGGGCGTGTTAATGTTCAGAGCCGCACACTCCTCTGAAATACGCTGTTCTTCACATTTAAATGAAAACTAACAAAAGAGGACTCACCTGTAGGAGCGTCTGAGAGGAGATGGCGGCATCGAGAACATGTGGGAGAAGAAGAAGAAGAAGAAAAGCAGTGTTTATGTTATTAAATCTTTCAGGTTCAGAGATGATCCTTTCAAGAAAACAAAAAAAAACAGCAGCACCCACCTGTAGCTACACCGCTAACTTCAAACTCTGCTCTCATTTTAGAGCAGCTTTAACTCCTGACCTCCTCATTTCGCTATATTATGTGTCCAGCATGAAGCTTAGTGTCTAACAGCCCTGACAAAAACAGATCAATAACCGGCACCACATGTGACCCCGGCCCTCCGTGAACCGCACAGACCGCAGCGCCTGCAGGGAGAGGCGCTGACCGGAGCGGCCTGACAGATGGTCACTGATCCTGGGGTACAGAGGAGCCAGACACTGAAAGGAGGGCTTTCTGAATTATTCAAAAACAACAAGATGCCAGAGAGGGAGGGCTGCCGACATTTATGGGATCCATTATTATAGGAGCAGCAGGATACTCCGACTATTCATAGAGACGCTTTAAAGTTTGTTAATTCACTCAAAAAAGGAGTCAGCTGAAGCAACGAGCCAATTAATGATAGGTTAAGGGAAGAAAGTAGTTGTATTTTTGATTTTTTTATGGTAAAAACTTGACAGATAGAGGATTGTAGGTTTTATTCATAATTTAAGAGACTGTAGGGGTGAGCGAGGATTTGACATCTATGTTGGTGATTTTTTACAGATATACTGATTTAAAGTGCTGACCATCTCCAGGAGACGACAGTTGGATAAATAAGTCTTAAAAACAATTATCTGGACCTGCTCTAAAGCTTAAATCGATGCCTGGACCTGGTTAGAGGGATTAATCAAACACTTCCCAGCTGCCCAGGTCTAATCCCTCCTCAGCCACAACAGATGTACACGGATAAGTGGCAGACTGGAGCCCCGGAGGTGAGACCTGAACACATCCGCACCCTGATTCACAGATTCATAAAACAGCTCTGATTTAACCTGCGGACATGAAACGGAGAGGGTCAAAATCTGTGTGAATGGCTATAAAAAAGGAAAAAAACCTCTTTATATTACAGCATCTTTTACTGAAACATAAATTTAGTTTAACTTTACTTGCATTTGTGTATATTCTGGGTGAGTTAGTGGACATATTCTGTTTTCTCATGACAATAAAATCCTTCGAGGATTTGTTTTTGTCTTTATGAAATAGACGGAAATTCTTAATAATACCTCTTAATGACATCCAGAGACAAACAAGATCACCAGAAACAAGATTAACGATTTAAACATCGTATTTTTACAGGTGGGATGGAATAGGTGCTAGCTATGCGGCTAAAGAAAACGTTGTTTTTACAATGTTTACAAGAAATAATCTCCTTCACTATCAAAGTCAGCGGGATGAAAATTTTGGTTGAGTGTGTCAGAAAGCCCATGTTGTTTAAGTGTTTTCAAGTAAATACTGTTCAGTTATATTGTATTTTACAGAAAGTTTTAATTTGTCCTACACACGTGAACGCACCATAGACTTTTGGACGCAATTAAACGCACCACATCTGTGTTTGAGATGCCATAGCTGTGAAAATTTAGTTTTCCTCCTCATGCAGCAGAGGATAGTTCATGGATTTTTTACCCAATATTCACCTTTACATCCTGGGTTTATTGTGCGTAAATGCCAGAAAACCACAGTCAAATAAATCCACCACTAAACTGGATATGTGTCTTTAAACGGGGACACACACCTTGCCACTCTAAACCCAGCTAAATCCTGGAGAACGCCCTTTTCTACTTTTAGAGTGGTTTGTCCACAGGGGGCGCCAAATGATACACAAACTAAAAGTTACTCAGAGGAGCTTTAAATACCTTAATTTCAATTCTACATACAAAAACAATCGACAAACTGTTTCAAACAAGCCAAAAACAGTAAATCATTAACAACTTTATAACTAATTCAGCACTTTCATGTAGCGTATAACATGACTTCCTGTTGATTTCATGTATTGAACACCATCTTATGCTTTTTTGAGACCTGCAGATACTCTTCATATTTCGCCCCAAACTTCATGTTTTTACGTGGTCCATTTAAAGACAAATAGGAACTCACCCTCTGCTGAATGGTTGCATGTTTATGCTCCATCTCCCTCTTCTCCATGGCTGAATCGATCACCAGCTGATCCAGCTGAAAGTCCAGTCACACAGGGAAAAAGTGAAAAACATCTCGTGCCATTCAGATGAAAAACTCGAACATGTTTTTAAGAGTGAATTCAGAGTTTCAGAGAGGCTGACTGCTGCTCTTTCCACCCCCCAACGAACGCTACATCAGGTCAGAGTGTTGGGTAACGCAGCATCGATTCACTTCTGCTGCAGCAGTCGGCTCACTGTGACACACGAGTGACCCCGAAATCACACGTGAGAGCGACACTGGTGTGGATTTATTTTACACTAAAAGAGAGAGGCTGTTCAACTTCAGATAAAACAACCAAAATAAGTCAAATCGAATCAATGCAACATCAGGCGCACAAAAACACGTCAATCGGCCGCTGTGGTTTGGATTCAGATGATACATTACGTAACCGCTTTTCGTCAATAGTTCAGACGAGGACCGAACCGATTCAAATCAAGACAGAGAGGGCCTGAGGAAACACTCAGAGCAGATGTTCGGGAGTGGAGCCGACTTTCACTCACCTCAGCAGCCAGTTTCTTCATGTAGGGGTCGATCTCATCCAGAAGGTTGTAGCCCTGCTGGAACAGAGAGTACTGGGCGTGCATGAAGGACAGCATCTGGACAGGATAGAGAGGAACATGTTAGTCTGTGAGGGGTCGCTGAGCAGACTCTGTGTTAATGAGAAGTTTACGGATTAATTAAAGGAGACCTGCTGAACTAAAGTGGCGCCTGGGCTGTCACTTCTTATTCAAAACTTGAGTCTTTAGTCAAACTTCAGATTCAGATTAAAACAAAGTGTATCAGCACAACAAGCAGAGGGCGCTCTCATCGTAACCCGACTATCGCATACACTCTTGACCTCATCAAATTCACACAGCTGTGTTTTTTCTGCAAAAATGGGGGTCAAATGGTGACACAAACATCATCCTGATTTGAGAGGCGTGTTGTGGAAGTACTTTTGGTTTGTGTGTCTGTGTGTGTTCACTTACTGCATCCAAGATCTCAAACTTTTTCTTGGCCTGGAGGACGTTGATCTAAAAAAAAAGAAGAGGAAAAGTTTCAGATTAAAACAAGTCGAGTAAAGAATTCAAATTTCAACTTTAATTCATGGAAATTTTGACATAAAGCAGATTTTAAACCCTTCAAACAGCTAAGAGAGCTCCCTCTAGTGGACATATTTCTTTTTTCCATTTGCTCCACAATCAACTTTAATTAAAACTCACTCAGATGAATCTAGTCCACAATATGCCCCATTACAGCCAAACAGGAACTTCACACACAGACCGCCATCACAAACACGGCGCCTGCAGCAGTTTGAGTTAAAGCCTTCATATTGTATATCCTAAGTGATGCAAACCTAAATGACATTTAAGAGGTCACTCCGGCATACAGCGACTCTTCCTGCAGCCTCGACCTTTTCCGCCTTGAGACACTTTCAGTTAAGACTCAAAAGATGTCTGGGAGGAGAGAGAAAGGCAGACTTAACCAAGAATGGAAAGAGGGCACGGTCGTGACAGCGATCACACTGAATCAGTGTCTTTGTTCCCGCGGGCGGCGTGTGGAGGAAGATACGACTTGTGGGCAAAATAAACACACTCAGAGAGGAGTGTGTAACATAGGGAAGAGGACAGACACAGATTACGCTGCAGGCTGAGAACGCAACGTCACATCGTTCCTCCTGCTGCAAGAGCCGGAATTGTCTGAGCGAGAGTCTGTGTTTATGCTTAAATATTTCCAGGTTTGATTCATTTGCATCAAACCTTAATAAGTTTCTGCAGAGCTGCTTCTTCGACGGTCTTTAAACTTGACAGTTCTTCTAGTTATACAACAACTTGGCATTAAAATGGGACTCAGTAGTTTGTCAGCTGTCTATATCAGAGAGAAAAGCAGAGTTTTAACTTGTACCTTTAGTTTTTTTCACTCATCCTTTACCACAAAACCTTGTATTACTTCAGGGAGAAAACTGTCTCAAATTGGCAGCATTATTCACACGCTTTAGCGATATAAAACCTACTTTTTTAAAACTATTTTTTGTCCCTAAACATTTAATGTTTAGGCGACTTTTATCAGCTTATCTAAATCGAACACAGACGTCTAAAAGCTTCACTGCCGGGTCAGTCACAGCAGTAAAGGAGGAAAACCAGTTTGTGGAGGAAGCAGGATGAGATCAGTTGATGTACTGGGGGCTGGGACTGACTTTGTGGCCTGCCTGAAGTAGCACCAAGCTTGGTGTGTCACCTGATCTGTTTTCTAGTCCTTAACAAAGTTCGACCTGTAGCGCACAGCTGTTATTTTCCTGCACATTGTGGACTTGCCTGACTTTTTATTCTTTCTGTTCTTTGCATGACTGTTTCTTCACGTCAGTTAAGACATTTAAACCGGGACATCATGTACACATTTCATTCTGTAGTTTTTCAATCATTTCTAGAGTCGTGGCGAATCAAATCATCAAACTGCCATCATACTTCCTCTGATAGGCTAATAAAGCGATCAGATTCATGCTCAAATCTTGCTACGTACGCTAGCTTTTGTACTCGCACTATACTACACTACACTTTGATTTATACAGCTGCTTTATTTCATTTTAGTTTGTTTGTTCAAGGTTTTCAATAATGCGATGAAGGTTCAGACACATTAAAGATAGTCATCTTGAAAGCCGTGTGTGTAAGCTCTCAAATACTTTTAAAGTTTTGTTTCTATCTGCTACAGAGGCAGAGATATCCGCTTTTTTGTAAACCTCAAGGTTTCAGAAAACCTCAGGATCTGGGGGCCCTCAGCATTTCAGAGGCGTGTCTCAGACAGGGTTCAGGTCTTAATGGGTTAGGACGTTTGAAACACATTGAAATAAAGTGCACTTTCTTCATTATTATTGTTTCAAGACCAAATAGAGATTTTTAGTGTCTGTTTATGTCGTAATTTTCCGAACCTGTAGTACGTAGTCCAAAGCGAGGTGTCTGAAGCACTTGCGGGTGATGCTGAGCGTGCCGGCGGCCTCTTCCACCTCGTGAGGTTTATTCCTCGGAGCCTGAGCGTTCTTCACCTGCGCGATCTCCATGTCCTCGCGAACCCTGTCGAAGTGCTTCTTTGTCTCCTTGAACTTCCGGACGTCCCTGAGAGACGGAGACGAACAAAGTTTGAGGGTTAAGGCGGTGAAATCGCTAAAAAAGCCACTGTGAGGTCACAGGTAAGCTTTTTGTATCTGCTTTGTTCACAATACAGAAAAGGGTTGTACCTTGTTGAATATTTAAAAGGACCAGAAAGGTTTTTAAAGGGGTGACAAGGGTAAGTCCTCTCTTTAAAAGATTGTGCACTTTGGCTTTTTTTTGTCTACCTGTGATGAATATTTAATAAACGCAAAGTTCAGGAACAACGGGATAACTCACTCTTTCACAAAATTGTGCAACTGCTGCTTCACAGAGCGCTGAGCCTGATCGAACAGGATCTGAAAGAGACGAAAAGAAGACGAAATTTGATTGAAAACATGAAGATTTGGACAAATAGAAAGATTTAAACTCGATAAAATCAGTTTACTAGAAAAAATAAAGAAAAATACACATTCCTGCACATTTTTATCACTCCCAAATGAGAGACGGCTCCATGCATGAAGATTTTTGGAGGGAAAACAACAGAAGGCTTCAGTAACTTTTATTTCTGACCAACAGAGGGCGACAGAGCACAGCTTTTCCTCCACAGGGTGACATGCAAATAATGCAAATGAGCCCTTAATGCCTGTTGGAGTGAATAGTGGAGGAATGTCACTCTGAGTCAAACACACCCGCTCTAACACAATAACACTGCGCCTTTGGTGAGGTGTTTTACATTCAGGATCCCTCCTCCTCCTCTGTTTCACCCTCTGAGCACATCGTCTGCTGTGATCACCGCCGCCGCTGCTGCTGCTGCTAAATAGGTCACTCGGGCAGAGAGGGAGGGAGGAAAGGAGGCTGGAGAGGAGGAGAGGAGGAGGTTTTTTGGTACATTGTGACACTGCAGAGGCGATGCAGGGGTGCAAAAACCCATGTGCTCGATCGGTTCGAGGGTTTGCATCCTCATCCTGCCTGAATAATTGGATAAACAACCACACGAGGGGATTAGAAGATTTTGCAGGGTTGTTTAAAACTCAGATTACGGGTGTTTTAACTCGGGGATTACTGGCACCGAATGATGATGAGTAAGACACTTTTCTGTAGTGGCAATTGTAGGTGTGGAGCACAATAAAAAGTAAGTATAGATGAGTTTGAGCCGAGCAGACGTCAAAGTATAAAAAAAACTTGCAGATGTGGAAGTGGTCCGCTTTTTTATTGCCCCCTCTAAGAACAACGTGTTCGTCTTGAGAGCGGGGAGAGGCTTCATCTTACAGCTCTATAAATCCACTCAGTGTAAAAGATGGCCGACTCTCTCTTTTCCTGTTTATTTCCTGAGTGGAAACTGTTGGAGGACATGACCTCTGAAGGTCCTGCAGTATGATTCATAAAGGCAACCCTCCTCCATGTAAACAGGTGGAACATGAGTTGAATTAGAAACTGCTGATTGCTGTTACTTGGACATCAGCTGCTCTCTGAGTGTTTTTAACTCAATTATTCAATGATTACTGTGATCTCAAGCAGGGCTGGGCGATATGGCCTCAAATCAATATCACCACATATTGATCAGTTCACCCCGATAATAGTGATGGGCATGGCAGTTCTTCAGATGTACTGCTGCGGGTTTAATGCACAACTTGTAACATGCTGTGTCCTATTGTATGAAAGTTATTTGGTGGCAATTTAGAAGTGGAAAAAAAAAGGTAGTTCTGTCCGAGAAAAATGATTCCAGAGAGTGTAGTTCAATGCGTGATTCGTTCACCAAGTGATTCAGGCGTCAGTACATGTGGTCCCTCGTTCACCGACTGCTGGCCTGGCAATGTTGTTTCTCACTTCAGCTCAACTGAAGTGAGAAACAAACAAATCAATCAAGGTAGTGATTCCGTTCAGTACGTTCACTTAAAAGATTCGGTTCGTTTGAGCGAATCGTTAGCGAACAACACAACACTACTCAATAACGATAAATGGACGATAACTACTCCACAAGCTGCTCACCCCCTCCCACATTAACTTCGTCTACTTCAGCTGCTACAACTTTTGAACCGTCCTCCATCTCCTCACCTGTCTTTACCTCTTTGTTACGGACTGGATGGGGTGGAGTCACGTCTCTGATGTAGGACAGAGTCTTAAAGGGGCATGAGACATAGCCTAGGTACACACATCCAACCAGCTTTTATTTATCTGTTTTTTTGACACCAAATATACTGATATGGGCAAAATGACGTTGGTTATAGTTGTAAATTTTGGTGTCTGTAAATTTTCGGTTTATCGCCCAGCCTTGAAAGACTGCAAAATTTGCGCAAAGTTGGTGGTGGAGTCTCCTGTATGAGAGACTAATGACCCGAATGACTAGTGTTTCAATTACCAAGTCAGAAAAAAGCAAAATCGGAAGCAGAAACAAGATATAATAATAACAGTCCGAATATAACAAGGACAAGGCAAGTGCTAAAATAACTTTCATAGATGGAGCCATCTTGTTCCCGCCTACGATTTTGCTTTTTTCCGACTTGGTAATTGAAACGCTGGTCACTCGGGTGTGACGTCATTTTCAGCTCCAACATCTGACTTCCAAGGTTACTCGAACACGGCATTATTTTCTGCGTGTGAATAAAGGAGGTGAGGTCTCAAAGTGTGTCACATACTAACAGGTGAAGCAGACTTTCATGTGTTGTTCGAAGCTTCATGTCCACTCCGTCTTCACTGACCAGGCTACCATCAGGCATGTGTGGTCAATCTGTTTTTCCTGACCGCTCTTTAACAAGCTCCCAGAAAAGCACAAGTGCGCCGCCGAGGATTCCCACAAACACGCGAGGACTTACAAGACCCGCGGTTGTAAACACCAGGGTGTGAGATTACGCTCTGAGACGGTGACTCAGAGCAAACCGCTATCTTTAAACGCCGTCAACAAATCAACAAATGTTTGTGAGTGAGTGTGGCGGCGGCGGCGGTGGCAGGATAAACTGCTGTGAAACTTCCTGGTTGTGGCGGTGTGCAGCATTCCTGAGCTGCTTTGTGGCGAGTTGACGCCGCGGTTTGATCGGACAGTGGGCAGCAGGTTGTTCCTCAGATATGCGATATGTCTGGATGCATTCTTATACACGACATTGGCTACTCATAGCTTCTGTCTGAAAGACCTGAAGTGCCCTGGTGTATTATGAAAGACGGGTTCAGTTGCTATGATACATTAACCCTTTCATGTTCACTTGTAGTCTGGATGTTGACGTTTACCCTCAGGGCTCCTACCTCGTCCCCGCTGAATTTAAGTCCTGTTTAAATTATGAGTCACGTCTCCTCAACAATTATCAACTATCATAACATTTTACTCTCATGCTTGACGGCACATAAACAAACATAACAGAGCCGGAGAGAGGTTAAACAAAGAGGAGTCTGTGAATGAGTGACGGATATCTGGCGCATCATGATATCAGATCTGAGGAATGAGACGCCTATACGAAGCATCACAATGGACGACTGTACGGACTATAAGATTACTAATTTCACCGACATGTCGAGGCACAAACTGAAATGATGAGATCAGGTAAGAATAAACACTTTTAAGCGCCGCTGTCAAATCAGACAAAAGACGTGAGAGAAACCTTCGCTTTGAGGTTTTATTGGGAAAGGTGGAAAGATAAACTTCACCGAGTCTGCGGCGTTAAGATCCGGGATTTGACCTACATGTTTAAGCACTGAGGTCACACTTTAAGCTGGTGGACTGCACTACGCTTTGAGGTATTTCTCCCTACCTCATGTGGATGTGGAAAAAAAGTACTCCAATATACCCACGGCTTAAAAAAAAGCACTTTTAATCAACGTCTGGATACTTAAAGATATTGTATGCATGCATTTCCATGATTAAGCGACAAAATAGAGACCGTAGGTGTGTTTTTATGAGGTCTGGACACTGATGTGCTCCATTTAAAAGGTGCATTTCACCTTTTTAAGAGAAAGGATTCAGTTTCAGTCTGAGAGAGGAGAAAACATCTGCACTCACAGGCAGAAAATTCCTCCTGCCGCGTCTCGCTTTGTCTCGTAGTTTCCAAATATAACTGAGACGGCGGCGTTAGCATACCACATGGGAATACAGTCGTCGAACATGTACAGCCTGCTGCACAAACAGACTTATTCTTTGTTATTTTTGGTCTATTATTATATATTCTCCTTATTTTATTGAACCGTCCGCTCGCTTCATCAATCACGATAATTTTTGTTGTTTTTTCCACCTTTTTTATCGCCTCGCTGTTTGGTTTTCATGCATGTTTGAGGTGCAAGAAGAAAGAAAAATGGATGAAAAAATCATGAAATCATGATGCATGCATTTAGGCGAGAATAATGCGTGTTCATGACCTAAATTCTCCCACCCATACGTGCGCCTCGCTCTATACCGTTAACCCCCATCATATAACGCCGGTTTCACTTCTTTGAGACTTGGCAGCCGAGATATTCGTCTCTCTTTCTGCCGCCCCTCATTTCTAATGGATGTTCGGAGAGTCAAACAGGAGTCAATAATTGATGGAGTATTCATATGGAGTTTCATGCCTGAATTAAACAGAGAGTGTTAAAATCGCTGGCCTGATTCTGTAGTCGATCTGCAGAAGAAGAATCGGTTGTGAAAGTCTCGGCGTCGGAGCAGAAAAGAGAGAAACTTGGCGTGAGTTTGACGTTCACACAAACAGAGCCCGCTTGTTCTGTTGTGCGCTGGTACCGGACTGGCAAAGACAGCCAGGATATCAGGAAATGGAGGGAATCGGGGGCCAAGACTCTTTTATACTTTTCTTGGACGGGAGTGTTGGCTTGTCTGAGTTCATATCCACGTCTCTGCTCGCACACATGTGGAGCCGTCGTCTGTGTTTATGTTTGTCGAGCTGACTGATACAAGACTTTTCAGGCCCGTACCGACACAAGAGAATCAAGAGACATGAACTGATATGGTGAGCTGTTTTTGGGGATCACACAAGAATTTTAGGAGGCTGTTTTAGTGCGATTGCTCAGGCATGAAGGTTTGACTCCAAAAAACTCAAACTATAAGGAGCTGATCGATTTTCATGAGTAAAACTGGCTGCAAAACGCACAAACTAAATTTTATATGTAAGAATCTTGAAGTTTTCCTCAGTCGGAAAAAGGTAGATTGCCTTCTCCAGGTCGGAGGGGCGGTCCTGCCTCAAGTGTAGGAGTTCAAGTATCTCGGGATCTTGTTCATGAGTGAGGGTAGGATAGGGTAGGTCAGCAGTGAAGCGACGCTTAACCGATCAGTCGTGGTGAAGAAAGAGCTGAGCTGTAAGGCGAGACTCTTGATTTACCAGTCGATCTACGTGCCGATCCTCACCTATGGTCATGAACTTTGGGTAATGACCGGAAGAACAAGATCGCAGATACAAGCGGCCGAAATGAGTTTCCTTCGCAGGGTGTCCGGGCTCAGCCTTAGAGATAGGGTAAGGAGCTCGGACACTCAGGAGGCGCTCAGAGTAGAACCGCTGCTCCTCCACGACGAGAGGAATCAGGCATCTGGTTAGGATGCCTTCTGGACGCCTCCCGTTAGAGGTGTTCCAGACATGTTCCACCGGGAGGAGACCTCATGGCAGGACCAGGTGGAGGGATTTTATCTCTCGCCTGGCCTGGGAGCGCTTGGGAATCCCCCCAGAGGAGCTGGTGGAAGTGGCTGAGGTGAGGGCCGTCTCTGCTTCCAACCTGAAGCTGCTGCCCCCGCGACCCGGACCCAGATGAAGCGGAAGAAAACAACTACGTTGACGAATCTTGAAGTAAGATACTTAAAGACAAGTTTAATCCATCAGGGGACTTTGCCATTAAGTCATAGCCCCGCCCCCTTTTGGGTAAGAGCCATCAATCTGACACTCTAGGGTCTAAAATAACTATTATTCAATGGCTATTGGGAGCCCAGTAGGGCTGTAATTCTTGGTTGACGAAAACCCTGGAATTTTCAACCAAAAATCGACGAATCGGCGAGAGACGACGCAGCTCAGCAGGGTGAAAATATACTGATATCAGCACAAGAGGGTAATACGTTGAAACGCTCAGAATAAAAATAAATATTCAAACTTCCTGTCTTCAGCCGGTCTGCAGTAGGTTGGGCGAATCCAAAATGGTGAAAACACCCATCGAGGTGAACTGTTCGATGTATCGTGATATTGATTTGAGGCCGTATCGCTCAGCTCTAATTTCTAACTCGAGTGTGTTTTGCTGCTTTGGTACCATCCCTGCTCACCGTACAGCGCTCACACAGTCCCACTCCTTCAGTCTCATTTCTTAATCTTGAGCGTCTGCTGAGCTGCAGGGTAAACGCAGTGGCAGCTGTACAGCAGAGTATGCACCCAGAGGGACGTCCGTCACAAGTCGCCGATATAACCATCATCATTTCTTATTCATCGGAGCGCTGCTGGGGTCCCTGAGCTGCAGGAGCGCTGCACATTTTAATGCACATGATGTCCTCTCTGATTTAAACACCGACAAGTAAAAGATGTCAACAAGAAACGAAGTCGTCTGAAAGTGTTTCATATGAGCGAATCTTCGGGCTCGTCTCGCTGGGTTTAAGGTCATATCGTTCAAATAAAACTATCCCTCTTCTCCGGGGATTTTCTCTCATCGCTTCAGTCTCACATCTCGTCACATCTCGGGTTTGAATGTCACAAGGAAGACCTTTGAGAGCCAATCAAACTCGTGTCCACTCGCAGTCTTGGCTCTAATGCATTGAGGGGGAAAACAAGGGGGCTGAAAACCCAGCTGAGCTCTCAGAGGAAGAGGCCAGCTGGTCTGAAGCCAGACCTCACTCTCTTATACGGTCTCGAACATGTGACATATTGAACCTGACAAACAGAGAATCTGTCAGTCCGACAGACGGGGAGCACTGACAGAATAATGGAGCTCTGAAGACGGGGACTGGGAAGGTTTGGAGGGAGAGGAAGCATAAAATCCTGGAGCAGCCAGAACTCTGATATGAAAACAAAGAGTCTGCAGAGACAAAAGGAGGACGGTGCCATATAAAACAACTCTGCACAACATTTTCCTCTGCAGACTCCGAGAAAGGAGAGTCATCAGATTTTCACAACTTTTATACGACAGATTTTTCCACGATGATCCTCAAGAGCTCGGAGTTTCATTTCTTTCAACACTCATCAGAAGTAAAAGTTTAAAAAAGTCGTTTTAGCTGTTTGCAGTTGTTCCTTTTGTCCTTATACTCTGCCTCAAGTGGACACTCATGGAACTGCACCTTTTAAACACAATCCTGACCTATTATCACGCCGCTGCTGTGTTTGATGTAAAGCTGATTTAATCCATGATAGAGAAATTAAGCTGCTGACAGGAAAATTAAATCATCGTAAAGCTCCGTAAACCAGGAACGGGCAGATTTGGGTCATAACTATCTGTGTGATTTTACCTCAGGATCATTTTAATATACATATACAGGAGGAGGTCATGTGATCACGGGCCTTTAATACCATATTAACTGTCTTTTTGCAGTATCATGTACGTTTACAGTCATTTCATGAGATTGTGGTTGACAGTTAAGTGTGTCGTGTTTGTCTATATGGGGCGCCACGTTGATCCACAAACACATACTGTACATCAGCCCAGAGGAGGCGATTGTATACATACTGTACACAGACACACACACACACACACACACATATATCACTTGTCCATATGTTAACACACTGTGACATGTCAAGGTTAGTACTGTCCAAAGGCTAAAGCTAATCCACGGCTGGATGAGCCACCCTGACCATTAACCCTCCATTTGTACCGCTGACCCCACTCTGCCTATAGACTCTAATGAATGTGTGTGTATGTGGTTGTGTGTGTGTGTGTGTGTGTGTGTGTGTGTGTGTGTGTGTGTGTGTATGTGTGTGTGTGTGGTTGTGTGTGTGTGTGAGACACATCTTTGTTGCAGCTTCAGGAGGGAATGTGACGGACACACATGCTCTGCATGTTACGGCATCATTAAGCACGCATCAGGTTCAAGCTAATGGGCTTTAAAGGGTCTCTGAGGGCCAGGATGGGGGTCAAGGGGGGAGTCAGGAGAGGGGAAACGGCCCGGGGTTTAATGGGAGAGGAAAAACACTGATGAATAAAGAGCTGTTTTACTGGTATTCAGGGTTGTAGTTCTCTTCAGAGTATTTCAAACACCTGAGGAAGGGTCTCTCGATAACAGTTAATACATTTAAAGGTGGGGTAGGCAGGGATCTGTTAAAGACGCATCTTTATCAGTCAATAGCTTTTAGTTATTGATGACATTTGGTAATATAACGATATCACTGTGTTCTCTTATATCTGTGTAGTCAACATTTTAAATTTTTTGAGTGGCCCGCTCTTTCTAACTGTAAACAAAGCCGTTCCCCGTCTCCCCCAACCTGATTGGTTGTGAGGTGGACGCTGCTTCCTCGTACTGTGAGGCACACTCCACGTCCTCGATTTACGATCCCGAGCCCAAACAAAGTTAGCGAGCAACAATATCGGACAGTAGAAACCAACATGAAAGTTCGGAAAACACAAGCAATAAATTGAAGTAAATACCGGAGACTCTGGAGGAATAACGGGCGCTTAAAACGGAGGTAGAACGGACAAGAGCTAAAAAGCCGGGTCAACATAAACGATGGGGGACGCTTGGGGATCTTGGTGACCCTGTAACCTTTCTGCTGGACAGGTAAACCGCTTTAACAAAGTAAGACAAGTGTCTGTAACAGAAGTGTTTCTTGTCAAACGGACCTGCTGTAGCGTGTTGTAGCGCCATCACTAAACTGTTGACCTCGGGTCCTGGACTATGTCACTTTATCCTTGTTGTAGAAGTCCTGCAAACACTGTGTTTGTCTACAATGCTTATAAAAACTATAATTAACTAGAAATAAAGCTGAAGTGATTGTGTTATATCAATGCTTATGTCTTAATGACTTAAAAGCATAACAACACCATCCTAACTTTATCCTAAGTCAGTGCAGCGCTCCTTATCTCTTACTCCTGCAAAGACAGTTTCAGTTTTATCCTTGTTTCCACTTCTGTCCTCTGAGAGTCCTCCTGAGAGGTGATGCTGCTCTGACTGACAGTTACAGTAACACAGCGATGGACAGACAGATGAAATCATGTGTGCTTTAAGGGTCTACTGAGGATCAGTTCAGACACGGCTCAGTTTGACCCCTTCATTGTTCTAAAGGGAGTGCAGATCCTCATGAGGCCTTTAAACGCCACTTTAATGTTTCATCTAACCCCAGGATGATATCACTCTGTCTCACTCTGCCGAGCGAGGGGCACACGAGGACAGTCTGAAACACTTACCATGTGGTAGTTGATGATTTCCTGAAGGCTTTCGCCGCACTTTTCCAGACACTCCTGGAAAAAAAAGGACATCATGAAAGAGTTTCAGCGTGAAAAATTTCAAAAATGAGAGTCAAAGACTGAAACAAAGACGAATTCACATCATTCAGAATCAGAAATCCGCACGGCGTTACAAATTTGACCACGTGTGCCAAGTTTAAAAGCTGTTTTGATTATCTTCCAAGTTGCTTCATAATCATTTGGCGCCTCTGCCAACTTTTTCCTGCAGAGCCAAATTTCTTCCCCTCACGTTTTGCGAGTGAGGGTGTGATAAATGCCAGGATTTGTCGCATGAACTGGCAAACAGTGTCGCTCACTTTTCGACACGTCTCGCTTTAAGAATTAAGACTTTTTCAGCCGCTTTATACTCGAATTTTAAAACTCTAATTCAAGATTTTTGACGGATCTGCAGAAACCTTTCCAAACATTATTCCTCGCCTGGACTTTCATAAAATCTTCATCCAAAACCACGGCTATATTTGTCTGTGAGAGTAAAGCAGGCCAGTCGAAGTGGTCGAACACTAACCCGGTAATTATTTGAGTTCTGAATGGGAGAAAATGAAATTATCCACAATGTTCAAACACAGTCAAAGCCGATTATGTCACCGAGGTGCCGCTCAGTCCAATAACAGATTCTTTCCCCTGGACTTTGAGCTGGAAAAGCAACTTTAATTGCAGGCCCTAATCCTATTCTTTCTGTCTTTTTTTTTACAATGGAAACTACAAAAATGAACGAGACTTTATTAGAAACACACAATTAGTTAAACTGCTGAAGCCAAGAAAGCTTTTAATAGTGCTCAATGTCAGCAGCAGTGAAAACAGTCAGAGATGCTGCTTCTGAGAGCCAAGAGTGAGTTTCCAGATCCTCGTTTACAGACCAGGTCCACAAAAACACACCTACTGTATGTCCGCTTACTCTAACCTTAGTTAAAAGTGGTTAGATTGAACGGTTTGTCCCTCACCGAGATCATCTCGTCCTTCTTGCACTGCTGAGACAGATCTCTGATGCCGTTGACGAAGAGCTTGTTGGCGCTGACGTACGCCTTCCCGGCTTCTATCATCCCGCTGCATAGCTTCACCAGCTGTGGAGAGAGAAGACAGAGAGACGCATCCAGACGGCGATTAATGAGGGTATCGATTTCACCACAAACATTACATTAATGTCAGTGAAGCTGCTATTTTTCAACGAGGCTCTTCTGTCATCTTTACAGACGCAAATTAGGGGGTTTGGGTCGAGCAGCATGTGGGAATTTAAAGACACGAGTTAAATGTGTCTGAACATATTAAAGCTTTGAATGTCAAAGTCTGTTCAAATCAAATTTATGGTAAAACAATCATGAAAAAGATATTAAATAAAAAGTTTAATCTGAAGTTAAAGCTACAGTGAGGAACTATCAGTTTGTGTCAAGTTTGGCGCCCCCTGTGGACAAAGTAGGCATTGTCACCAACAACAACCTCATCCTGCTGACTTCTGACAGTCAAATTTATTTAATGCTAAAACATTATAAGGAAAGTGTAAAAAATAGTGGTTTCATTTGATTTTGTTTGTCATAAAAAGACCGTTATGAATTTCGGTGTTTTCTAAATGTGAAAAAAACTCCTCATAGGAGCTTAAAGGGATATAATGAATTAATTATGATCATTTCTTCATGGAAATGCAATCAGACCAAGACACTAAGGCAAGGAAATGATAAAGAAATGATCATAAATGTTCCTCCTTGAGCTGTGAAACTCCACTGTAGTCCGTAATGGACTGGCCCGAGGTCTCGCTACAAACAAGCGGCTGCTGGAAGAGAGTAGGTGAGTTGTGTTTAGTGTCTTTGCTTAAGAAATTAAGCAAAGCTAAAAAGATGTTTGGTGGTTAGTGCTATGGGACCCTATTTGTCCTGTTGATGAAGTTAGGCGCTGTTCTGAGCATTATTTGTGGCTATAGAGTGGCGTTTTGGTTGAGGTTTGTTTATGGCTCCTCAGACCTCTGTGTACTGCTATCGTGTCATTACTTAAGTTGGTAAAACTAGAGAAGTAAGTGGTCAGCGGCATTCATCTCTCGAGTGTCTAACTTGGTATTACGGCATGTTTGACCCTAAATTAATTTTACGCCGGAATATCCCTTTATGCTCCCATGAGGAGTTTTTTTCACATTTAGAAAACACCGACTGAATAAGCAAGAAAAGGCAACAAAGAAATGTGCTTCAAAACAAGAGTGAGAACAAAGAGCGCACAAACACAGGAACACATGTTAAAGTGAAGAAAATAAACACATGATCAAAAGCGGTGGGAATTAGCTTACAGCGATGTTAAATGAATATGTCTTCGGTTTTCACAAGTGGTCACACATTTTGCATTTTCTAAAGTGACATCTGGGGAATTCAAATCTTAAATGCTACACAGCTTTGATGGCCTCTCACCATGTGCCCGGTCACGACAGTCAAACTTTAGTTTTCCCACGTATATAAAACTCAAAAACCGTGAAGCGTGTGTGTCTAACAGCTGGGTGTTTGTTGTCGAGTTATCGCTTGTAGTAACATATAGATGTAGCCACATTCTCAGGTGTCGTCCATATGTTCCCCCCCCCGCTGTTACCGTAGCGACTGACACACATTGGGATGCTAGAAAGGCTTAAAGCTCCCCAGGATAACAGACCCTGATGATTCAGCATGTGTGGGTTTCTTTCAGAGTTACTTGGATCTCAGCCAGTGTGTACTGTGTGTATACGCTGTGAACATGCTGACATGCTGCAGTGCACATGATATATCTGATAAAGGCGGTATTGTTTAGTTTTTACTTCTGTGTGGTGGGAAAATAACTCTCTGTCTTTTCGAGCATGTTTTTCTACTTTTAAGCATCCTTTCTCCGGGGGAAAAGCTTCCCACCAGCTGCTCACCAGCTTTTTCTTGTTAGTGTTGTTTGAACTCGACTATTTTGGGAATTAAAGCTTCCTTTTTTAACCCTGCTGGATTGGATTAGGAAATCTTTAGTGACACCTCAGAACGATCTGGTTTACAGTCGTTTCATCACATGTTGAAAGAAAACAATTAGAAAGTGGATCAGAAAGTTGGAAACTGGAAAACAAGAGGCTGTGGCAATCATACAAAGAGATTTGGAAGATATTTCAGTCTCCGAGTACGAGATTATGCAGACAATGACTAGGAGAAAGGATTCTGTCAGAACTAGAGGTGTAACAAGTAAGGGTAATACAAAAAAAAAGAGAAATAAATGTGTGAATATTAATGAGGGCAGCTGAGGACGTGCACCATTAAGCAAGATTTCTCACAAAAGGACATTATAGTGCAGCATCGTATCGTATTGTGTCATATCGTGACGTGTAATGTCATGTTGTATCATGTTGTATTGTGTCCAATCAGTTGTGTTGTGTTATACGCATCATTATGTGTCATATTGTATGTAACATGCCATGTTGCGTCATATTGTATAGTGTCATATTGTATCAAATTGTGTCATACTGTATCGTATCGTGTCATATTGTTTCTTGTCATATTGTGTCATATCATATCGTATCATATTGTGTCATATTGTGTCATATCGCATCGTGTCATACTGTATTGTTTCGTTTCATAATGTGCCTTATCATATCATATCGTATCATATCATGTCATATTGTAATGCATCATATTGTGTCATATCGTATTGTATCATATTGTATTGTTTCTTGTCATATTGTGTCATATTGTATTGTTTCGTGTCATATTGTGCCTTATCATATCATATCGTATCATATCATGTCCTATTGTAATGCATTACATTGTGTCCAATCAGTTGTATTGTGTCATTTTGTATCATATTGTACCATATTGCGTCATATCATGACATATCAAGTCATATCGTGTCATGTCATATTGTATCATGACATAAATCGAATTGTGTCATATCGTATCATATCCAGTTATATCATATTGTGTTATGACGTATTGTGTTGTGTCATATCGTGTTGTATTATGTCCAGTCATATTGTATCATATCCTGTTATATGGTATCGTCACGTGTCATGTCATATCAAATCAAATCAAATCCTATCATATTGGTTATCATCATCATAAGGCACTGTATCAAACTGGACTATTTTTTATAATATTATACCATACTAAATCGCACTTTATTGAATTGTAACATACAGTTTTTTATTGTATCACATCATGTCGTGTCACACTGCATTGTATCATACTGTACCACAATATCACACTGCATTATATTGTACCTGTAACTGAAGTGTACTGTTCAGTAAAACTCCTGTTACAGTCTACATTTTGTGTCCTATACAAACTACAAACATTATAAAGTCTGATTATATGTTACTGGAGAAATTTTAACTGGCATTACTTTTATTTTGAAATGGTTTTGTCACTTTAAATAGCACACTGAAAGTTTATTTCTGGGATCAATGACTTCATTATTCACCTTCAAACTAGGTTAGATTGTAAACAACCAGTACAAGTATTGAAAACATATGAAAAAAAAGTTAAAAAAGTGTGAGAGGTCAAAAACAAAACAAAGAAACTGCTGAGAGATAACGGTTCGATTCAGAGCTGAATATTCCTGCACACTCTGAAAATGTGTTTCCTCTGCCTGGAGTATGAACCTTACCGGAGGTTTCCACTTTCCAGCCCTGATGGCAGTCAAGTCAAACCAGCTTTCCTGACTAATCCTGGCTCTCACCGTTACTCAGTGTCATGAAGAGCAGATGGAGCAGTGACACAAGCATTACAGGCGCAGCATCTGGCCGCCTCATTACAAGGAAACTGGAGGTTTTAAAGCTGCTGTGATGCAGTCTAATGTTTTCAACGAGTCCAAATCTTTCACCGCTGCCACGTCACGTTTCAGCCAACCTCGACTGAATTGTTCAACAGGCCTGGGAAACATTACTGACCGAGTGCCATCAGAGGAGGTTAGCAGCGTTAGCACTTTGGGATAATGCGCTACAGAGCATTTTATGATGCTGGAAAAGAGCAGCGGAGGGAAATGAGCGGGCTGTGTTTAATGTCCGCTGCAATAAGATATGCTGTGACAGAATGTGGAGAACAACATACCAGCATTCCTCAGTTTTAATCCAATGTTACTACGGCAAAAAACTGGTCCAAGTCTGTTTCCCAGAACTGAAATACAACCTGAAATTGCCTCTAAATCAATTCAAGATTTGCGAATTCAAGACCTGGAAAGTGAACATGGTGGACTAGTCCAACTCCGGCTGCTGGTTTTGGAAAAGTAGGCTCCGAGTTAAGCCTGAAGGTTCAGTGATCCAACACAGGAGGAGGCATGGGAAATAGAGAGATGTAAAAGACAGCATACTTCATTTTATACTACGATTCAAAAGTTGAAAAACGCACACATAGATATGATTCTCTGCTTCTTTAAACTGGTCTAAACACAAACTTAAATGAAGGTCTTATTTGCCAACGTCTTCCTCTGACTTTTTCCAAAGTTTGTGCAAAAGAAACATCGTAAGAGTTTGAAGACTAAAACATACAGGATCTGTATTGAGCACGTATCGTCAGCGCCACGTATCACGCAGCAGCTCTGTCGCAGCTCTGTATCAGAAGCGTATCAATCGCGGCTCTGTTAAAAATACGTGCAGGGTCTATTTTTGCTGCTCTACGCTTCCAATACGCGTCAATCCACACAGGGAAGGTCGTCTGAAGGTAACAGCAGAGCATAAAGGAACATAGTTTACTTTATTTAACACGAGTAAACCTGCAAAAACCGAAACTGTGAAAAACATGTTTTTTCACATACAGTAGAGGCTCAATGGTCTCTGAATTATATCCATATTAGCAGGAAATAGACCACAGGAAGGAAAAACAACCTGTTGTGAGCATGATGTTTCCTCTATACTGAGACCAGCTGACCCCGGCTGCACTACGCTGCTGCTACGGTCTGAATACGCATCCTGTATGCGAAAGACAGCGCTGCACGGCGAAGCAAATGCGCGGCGCTGACGGAATGAGCTCAATACAGATCCTGCATGTTTTCAGCTTGAGGCAGATTCACGAACCTGGTCTTCATATTTTCTATGTCTATATTTCTATTTCTTTATATTTCTATTTCATATTTTCAACCGCGTTCATTTAAACTGCATATTTAATGTTCTGTATTTATGCCAACCGTTACTGTATTTTCTTCTTCACATCTTAATCCATTAACGTCATCCATCCATCATCCCTTCTGGATTTTTGTGAGTATCATCTCTGCACAACATGAACCTGCAACCTTTTACTCTTGGTTGTGCAAAGTCATTGAAAACCTTTCCAACAACAGAGCACTCTCTCTCTCCTCTCATCAGTGCAGGGCGAGTGTGACTAGTATCTCTAGTCATGCAAACTCTCTGTCTGTCATTAAACTTTGTCTCTGCATGATTGAAAATGTATTGAAAACGACTGCATCTCTCATTAAAGTGAAAAAAGTGCAATATTGTGCAGAGAAGCAGTAACTATTATCTGAATGCACGAGTTAAGGTCCTCTGATGGTGGAAACTATAAAACTATCAATGTTTTATTTTCAATAAAAGCAAATTTGAATTCTGGGAATAAACCGCTCCACAATTTAAAGTATTTCTTGAGTATTTCTCAGAGATGTCACGGCCGGCCTTTAACCTTCCAGCGAGCTTTATAAAAGCAGGCTGGCAGAGAGTTGCAGCCGATGGGCATGGTTTCCATTTAGTTTATACTCAGCAGACAGAAAACAGATGATACTTGGCCTGAGCTCAGCTGACAGCTTGTGGAGCGAGACGACAAGCGTGTACCGACAGCGTGAGCTGGCATGGCCGGAAAACAAATGACTAATTTGGACACGAGACACAAAGATGACTCTAAATGTAAATCTAAATAAATAAATAAATCAAATTCAGTTTTAAGGACAAAACAAGAGAAGAAAGCCTCAGAGTGAAAGTCCTAAAATCAAGAGAGAACAGGATGGTTGTTAAATCATCTGTGAGACGTGGACTGATTTGGTTTTGCTGAGCTGGTTTGATTATAAGCTGATGGAAATTCTGCGTAACATCTGCCGCCTGCCCTCCTCTTGAAGTGGTTATTTCTACACAACATGTGGCGAGCGAGGAAGGAGCAGAGCTTTGAGAGATGATACAGACATCAGCTTTGATGTCCACGTTTGAGGAGCGACATGAAAGTTTCGTTTCCTTCGGAGAGAAGCGGGCGAATCATTTCTGCTTCTGGAAATAACTTGATGTGTAAAAAAAGAAGAAGTGCGTGTCTGTCACGTGTCTCACCTTGTCTAGTTTTGCCTCAATCTCCACGACGTCATTCTCCACCTCGTCGATGTTCGCCCTGAAACACAACAGGAAAGAGAAGTCGTCAATAAGTGTGGCAACTTGTTACTGAAAAAAAAAAAATGCATTAAGGTCGTTTATCTTGTTGGAAAACAGCCGTTCTCCAATCTGCTCCTGATTTCCCACGCTCCCAGAAAGCTCCGGGACCGCTCCATAAATCTGTAAGTGACAGACGGATTTCTGCAGAGCGAAACATCGACATCTTTCAGCGACACAGCGAGACGTTTAAGTGAGCGAGACGCCGTCCTGGGAGCAGTTCGGCTCTGTCATAACGAAGTGACAGACACAGTGAGGGGAACATGGCTGTCGGAGGAGATCCCAAACCCCAATCCCACTACCGAGTGTCAACACCAGCACCGCAAACGCCACACCCGAAGGCACCACTGAGAGAGGTGTGATTTACACCCAGAGGCGAAAAACTGCAGAACGAAGATCCTGATGACACCAACGCCACCAGCTTCTCCACGCTCTGGTTCAGCATCTTGGGAGATCAATCCTGGTAGATGATGCAAAATGAGTAAAAGCACCGCAATTAGATCATGGGAACCACTTCCTGAGGTGGTCTAGACTGGGTGTAACTTTATATATATGAAACATGAGAGTTTAAACTCACAAGGAGCTGAATTAAAGGGATATTCCGGCATAAAATTAAGTCAGGGTCAAGTCATGATCATAAATGTTCTTCCTTGAGCTGCGTCACCCCGCTGTAGTCCGTAATGGACTGGCCTATGGTTTTCGCTACAAACAAGCAGCTGCTGGAAGAGAGTAGGTGAGTTGCGTTAAGTCTCTTTGGTAAAGAAATTAGGCAAAGTTAAAAAGATGTTTGGTAGCTAGTGCTACATAAAGTTGGTATAACTAGAGAAGCAAGCGGTCGGCAACATTCATCTCTCGAGGGGGTGTCTAACTTGGTGTTATGGTGTGTTTGACCCTAACTCAATTTTACGCCAGTATATCCCCTTAAGGAGACATCAACCAAATCGAAGAAAACAAACACGTAACAAACACGTTACATTCATTCGAACATAGATATGGTTAATTTAATCCAATCAGGGTCTTTGAAAATTGAGGATACAGGTCTTTATTAAACTCCTTATTGCTGCTCAGTGGGACCCTGTGCCTTCATAGAAGTCTAATTCTTCTCCTCGGCTCTTCCTGTCTGAATCATTCCCTGTTTTTAGCAGCAGCAGCAGCATTGTGGCTCTAGGGATGGAAATATCGGTCAGTTGGCCATCGCGAAAATTTGGTCCACATTCAAACATCCGAGCGGCTGCTGGGTTTATTTATACCAGAACTGTCACCAGGGGATAAATCCTGCATGCACCCATCTTTTTCCTCTCGACAAAAACAAGGTGGGTATTTTTCTAAACTGTCGAACCCAGAGCAGCAGCAGATCTGGTCTCTCACAGAGCGACAAACACAGAGCGGCTCTGTGATGATGAGAGTATCTGTGGCATATATCGGCCACAGCTGGCAGGATATAAAACTTGTATCTGTGTCTCATCTTTTCCTCTCTGGCCTCGGGTAGATTAGCCTGCTTGGCCTGAGCTGCAGGGGACAAAGGATGGCACGTGTTCTCCTCCTCCTCCTCTTCCTCCTTTCCTCCCCCACATCTTTTCCCTCTCACCATCCCCTCTCTTCTCCTCTCAGGATCTGAAGAAAGTGTAGCGGAGGAGGTAAATCCTCCAGAGAGGAAATATCCGTCAAAAAGCTAAGTCCCATGCAAAATTAAACACACAGCTTAAATAATCAATACCATATTACTCCACATATGGACGCGTGTTATTGTAACCTTAACTGATCTCCTCCTGAACCGCCTTCAGCCAACCAGCCACACCCCGGGATAATCCCTCTGTGAGCAGTTTTCACCGCTGATGTCATTCCTCCAACTGCTCTTTTTATGATACGATGCAGACAGAGCTGAGCACGCTCTCGCTTTCTGAGACGGTCCTTTCTCCTCACATTTTCAGTGAAATTATAACTCTTTATTTATATAGAGCACATCCTAACACTTGTTTTCTGCAACCTTATTTTGTGACTACAGCTGCTGAGAAACTTTTAGTTAAATGAGACATAAAACAGTCGTCTTTAACACACTTTTAATTAAATGGTATACCTGTAACTTTGCATGTTTTAACCCTTTACTTTACTTTTTCAGGAAGAACTTGAAACACTTGATGAGATTAAGTCTGTACTCATGTATTGTATATGATCCTGTCTTATTTTAAATCAGTTCCTTCTGTTATTTCCATGTAACACCCTTTTTTCCTATTTTTATTTGATTGTTTTGTAGATGAGGGATTGTATAATCATGGATGAATGTTTATGTGATGTTTTATTTTCTGTGTTGGACCCCAGGAGGACTAGCTTTGTCTTGACAAAAGCTAATGGGGATCCTAATAAACAATAAACAATAAAAATACTCAAATGCAGTCCAGCCTTGTTAGTCATTCTTTTAAAATATGTCTACTAAGCCGATCAAAACTTGGCGTTAATTGTTGAAATCTGCGTAACTTGTGTGAAAATCATGATTTTTATTAACAAGATTAACACTGACTTATAAAGCAAACTATAGGAGAGTTAAAAGCCAACTTTTTTAAGCGTTTTTTAAACTTTTTTAACTGACTTTACAACCTTGAAACTTTTCATTTCGCCAGTTTGCAGAGTGACATTTTTACCAACAGGGATGTCATTACCTGCGGAGCAAACAGGGCAGAACAGCTCCATGTATTTGGAGCTGCGGATGTGTGTTAGCCTCTTATGCCTTATAGAGCTTTAAAAATCGCTCCAAAATAACGTTGAATATCCGTTCGAAAAATAACTCATAGCTTCAAACATATTCAAATATCTAGCTTGCATATAACTTCATCTCGCTCAGCATTTTGTCCATCTACCATGTCAGCCCAAATTCCAGAATTTCTAAACGGAGCTTCTGAAGTTCGTTGGAGTCTAGACCACTCTCTCCGAGTTTGGCTCCGAACACCCCACCATCTCTCTCTGCATGTTTCACGGACGGTTTTTGTCGACTCTCACTGCAGGAGCAGCTCCTGTGACCTGTCCCTGACCTGCCGTTACTGTGCGCTCACTCACTAAGCAGCTGCTGGATCTTTTTACCTTTTTTTTTGGCGTTGTGTTTCGTTTATTTAATATTCAAATATTAGTTTTCACATTCAAATCTCGTTTTTTTTAAAATATTCGAATATATATTTGAGTATTCGTTGACAACCCAAATGCCTCACATCGTAATAAGACGATAAAAAGTCATGCACTGAGACATCACTATCGCACAGTTGTGGAATAAATCCTAGCTGTTGTGGTTCTCAAATGAAAATCGACTCATGTTGTAGTAAAACTTCACTCTGACACCACATTATATCAGTGATAAAGTTCTGCTCTGGAGATTCTGCTCAGTATCAGTCTCATCTGAAGTGACAGCCGGGCCAGCTGCTCCAGATGTGCACAAACTCGGCCTCATGGGACAGCTGCTCCCTCTGAAGACCCTCCAGGGCTGTGTAACCCCGCTCTCCGCCCCGGTCTCACTGCACATGACTCCTATAATGGATACGCATGTTGCCCCGGGCCTGTCGCCACGGCAACCACCTCCTAAGTGGGCCGCAGAGGTCTCCTCCGGAGCTGACCCTTATTCACACCACGAGGGAGCGGGGAGAAGGGGGGAGGACTCAGTGGATAATAACAACATGAGTCACGGAGCGGCTACTGTGACGGGAGGTGAGCGTTCACACACTGTTAGGAGCTCATCAGGAGATCATTAAACCGCAGTTAAACAGAGAGAGAGAGAGAGAGAGAGAGAGAGAGGGAGCACTTTAAAACGGGGATAGATATAAACTCACATAGATGCATTCAAATGGGTTCTTTATAAATGGTTTAAACGACCAATTAAAGATGTTTGATTCATGCACATGATGTTTTTTCAGTGTCGTAACTTTTTTTGCTAGCTCCTCTGCATGCCTCCGTCTGTTTACATTTCTGCAAACATCACACACTGCATCAATCTGACTGTACGGTGGCCGAGAACTGCCACTGCTGCTGCAAAAACAAAAGGATGCAAAACAAAAAAAAAAAAGCCACTACAGAAGTTACCGATGCAAAAAATACAAAAGTTAAGTCTGCTGCAAATAAAAAAAGTAACGTTGCAGATAAAAAATTTTAAAAAGCCACAACGGAAGTAAAGGACGCAAAAAAAGAAGCATTGCAAAAAAAAAAAAAACTTACTGCAAAAATAAAAGGATGCAAATAAAAAAATACACGACAGATGAAAAAACAGCAAAGATGGAAAAAATACAAAAAAGACGAAAAATACAAAAAGACAAAAAATTGAGAAAAGACGAAAAATACAGAAGAGACGAAAAATACAAAAAAGATAAAAAAGATGAAAAATTCAGAAAGACAAAAAGTACAAAAGGGATGAAAAATACAAAAAAGATGAAAAAGACGAAGAATACAGAAAACACGAAAAATACCGAAAAGACGAAAAATACAGAAAAGACGAAATCCACAGAAGAGCTGAAGTCTGGAGAGTCAACAGAAGTGAGCTGCCGGGGTCTAACAATGACGATGCACCGGTGTTTTACTATCTAGGCACAGAAGACGACGGCGAGTTCTCAGCCACCGTATGACTGGACGGATCTGGCAGATATAAGGTATGTTGAGAAAGACCTGTTGACCCCAAAACTGACCTCTTCACCTCATATAGTCCTGTTTATTTCTGCTGATTTGATTTCATTAGTCTGGTCATCTCTCAGGTGAATATTCACTTCTTAAATTCTGGTATTCAGAGTAAGAGATGAGGAAACGCAGCTCCTGTGTGCTTCATCAGGATCAGAGTCTAGGTTTGGCTTAAAGCTGCTTAGTAACGACACAATAAGTTTAAACCCCCGTCTGGGCAAACTGAGGTTCTTGCGCCTGTTTGTGTGCAGGATTAGTCTGGGATCGTTTATCTGACTAAGAACAGAGCGGTGTAAAAACATAATAAACACGCAGATTGTGCTGAGGTTGCTGCAGCGCTGGTGGTTTTCTGGCTGATGACATGCTGACGGGGCGTCCTGAAGGAGGGCCCACAGTCGATTAACACCCCTGTTTTTTCTTTACACCAGGAGCCACCGCAAAAATAAACCGGCTCACATGATGGAAGGTGGCGGCCCTAATGATTACGAGGAAACGCTTGGCTGTTGTGAGGGAGTGAGTGAGTAAGAGGGCGGGGCGGCATGGCGGCCTGTTTTTTAGGAACAGAAGGTGGGACCCAAAGGAGAGGGATCCCAGGTAGTGACCCCTAAAACTCCAACCAGCTGAGGCGCGCCGGCTGAACCCGCCAGGGAGGTTGAATTAGCCGGCGACAGATGCAGTCGTGTCGCTCTGCCAGCATACAAATGAGAACAGCTGTAGAGCAGACGACATGCAAGCTTCAAGTGATCCTCAGAAACCAGAGCTCCGTTTGATATCACTCTTTTATCTCGTCTTTGAGTTCGAACTCAAAAGGGAGAAACTTGGAGGCTACAGAGAGGACAGGGGCGTTTGAGTGGAGGAGGGGAACCATAGGGGTTGGAGACGGGGCGGACTTGTCTGTCTGAGGGGCCCATTGTGACAAAACCTCTCCCCCGTCTGGAGAAAAAAAAGCTTCATTTTGTTGGGATATTGATTGCTTTAGCGTCCTGATTGAGGCCGGACCGCAGGGTTGAATGGCTGATGGTGGGGGTGGGCTCTCTCAGTGTGTCCCCTACAGCTACACTGAGCAGAGGCACAAGTTATTCTTAGCTATGTGGCTCCTAATGCCCCCACCCAGCAGCTCTGCACTGCCCTGCCCTGCCCCCCTCTCTTCTGGACCATAACATGAGCTCATGCAGGGTCAAAGAGGCACCGCTGGCTTTGCAATGCAGGAACTTAAAAACAGTCCAACCCTGTGGACGCACTCATAACTCTGAAATATCTTTTACCTCCTCGTACGACTTTCAGCAGGTCAAGCTTTGGATGAATTTGGTGAATCTCGATTCTATGTCTTTTGCCATCAACAGAGAAAAATGTCATTTCTCCTGTGCCTATACAAAGAGAATGGCACTCTTTTTGGTTTTAGCTTTCGCCAACTATGCGCTCAACATCCTAACCTAATGCCTGCATGTGCAATAGTGACAACACATCACTCCTGAGTGCAAAATAAGCTTTATTTTTCTCCTCTAAACTGGCACCGGTTAATCAGAGAGCAGCTGATCACTGGCTTGAGCTCCATGAATGAACGGTGTGACTGCAGGGACAGCAAAGCCTGGCCTCCATTCAAACAGTACAACTCAGGCACAGTGAGAAAAAGCATTGCTCATATGCAGGAGATGAATTTTCTATCATTTATTCCTTTAAATTAAGATTTTTAGGGGGACGTATGAGTTGTAGATGCTCATCTTGCAACTGCAGTTTAAAGGTAAGTAAAGCCTATTTATAGAGCGCTTTTCACAGATAAAATAAGTGCAATTAGATAAACATAAAACAGTACAAAAAAGATAAGTCCATATACATACACAAATACAACCATGACCATGCAGCACCTGGAAAGTCAGAACTAAAATTTTAAAATTAATATGGAAATTGACCAGTAGCCAATGAAGATGCGATAAGACAGGGGTGATGTGAGCAGATATGGGCGTGTCTGTCAGAAGTCTGGCGGCTGAGTTTTGGACAAACTGGAGCCTCTTTATTGCCGCCTTATTAAAACAGATGAAGAGAGAATTACAGTAATCAATACGGGATGAGATAACCGCATGAATGATCAATTCAAGATCTGGTTTCAACAACATTCTCCTTACTTTAGAGATATTTCTCAGGACATGGCTTGATCAAAAACAACCCAGAGGTTTTTGAGGCTGTTTTTGACACATGGGCCCAGAGCTTTCTATCAAATGGAAAAATGCATTAAGTTCTAACTAGTTTGTCCATTCTGTGCTTCTGTAGAAACACAAGGGTGCAAGATGGCAGCCTCCGTGAAAGGAGACCTGCTCCTCATGCAGACTTACTTTTATATTCAGGTGGTTTTACTCTAATTTAAACAAACTTATGAGTAGAGGTGGGAGAAAAAGTTGATTCACATACTTATCACATGTTTTTGTTTTACAATGTTTAAATTGATTATTTTTTGGGGTCAAAAATTGTTTTTTATTTTATTTTCAAATTTAAGAATAAACCTTAAAAACTGACTTGCATGTGGTGTGTATTTTTTTGGGGAAATATGTTTCAATAAGACAATCGTAATCATCCAACTGTTTCACTGGAGTTAAAAATGTAGACTAAAAATTGACAATATCCTAGAATCGCATTTTGAATCAAATCGGCATCCAAAAAATCGAAGAAGAATTGAATCTTTTTGTATCATCTTACTTTTGGAATAAAAATTAACTGGAGTTAAGATTGGAAGATTAAAAGTTGTTGTGATTGTAAACAAGGATCACAACAGGAGCTGAGGGGCGGGGCTTAACATGACCTACTCACATCATAAACAGCCAATTTTACCATTTTTGACCTTCTGCCCTTTCAAGAATGTTTCACCTTCATCCAGTCGGCGTCACGTTCACATCGCCATGCTAACAATCTAAAAATTACAATTCGCCATAATCCGCGGTAACACAATCCTAATGCATTTAAGGTGCACTGGGAGTTCAGATGTCTGCAGTAATACCCTGCTCGACATGTGTTCGGAGCCCTGACTATTGTTTCATAAGCCCGGGCTTTCGTTTCCACTTGAAAGCTTAGATGTGTTCCTCCTCATTCTTATTAAACAGGCTTGCTTTCAGCCGCTCTATAAACAGCGCTCACATTTCTGCACCAGACTGCGCCGCTGTCACTGCATTAACCTCAAACCCTCTTCAACAACACACATCTGCACTAATGGCTTCCCAGAAGTGACATGTCTGCTGCAGCTATAATTACTCATTTATGCCTCAATTATACAGACGCTGCAGGCCCCACGTCTGTGGATGTGTACGTTTGGTATCCATCACAGGGTTAACGGGAATGTCTCAGGACAGGTGCTCACATCAGGGGATGTCTATAAATATACAAGGTATCATCCATACATAAAGAAGACCTGTTTTAAGAGAGCTGAGAAAACCTCAGGAGCATATAGAGACTGAAAGCTGCCTCGTTCTCGTCCAAAGAACCCGGGGGGTCTGGCTGTCTCGTAATAAACTAGCAGATCTGATGGGTATTTTGGCAAAAGACGATTCAGTGCTTCAAGAGTGGAGGGATCTGAGGACTGGTATACTGTGATCTATATTCTATGTGTTGGTGACAAATCGAGCAGCAACATTTTTTCAAGCTACAGCCGTCTGATGAGAGTCTTTTAGTCAGACATGTTATAGGACACTGTAGCCATACATATTTAAGCCTAAATAAACTCCACAATCTTGTGTCTTTCTAAAGATCTTCAAAGGCCCCTTTTTCCCCACCTGCTGGCATCTTTAAAACCGCTATTCAAAAATCCCTCTGTAATGAGATTACAAAATGCTTCTTAGTTTCATTAAAGGTTGTATCGAACTGTATCGTATCGTAGCATAGCATATCATAACATACTGTAACATTTCGTATCACATCATATCATATCATAATGTATCATATCATATCCTGACATCTTGTATCATAGCGTATCATTTAAATCATGACCTATCATAGCGAATCATACCAAATCATACCTTAACAATTCACAACATTTTCATAACTTTCATATCATATCCTGACATATCATATCATATCATATTGTATCTAAAATATTGTATCATCACGTATCATTTGAATCACATCATAGCGCAGCATATCGTAACATATAATATTTTGTGACATATTGTGTCCTATCAAATCATATCATATCCTGACATATCATATTGTATCATCATGTATCATTTGAATCTCATCGTATCGTAGCGTATCATATTGTAACATTTCGGAACAAATCTATCCTATCATATCATATCGCATCATATTGTATCCTGACATATTGTATCATATATTTAAATCACATTCTATCGTATCTAATTGTATCACATTGTATCCCATCACACATTATATCCCATTGTATCGTATTTTTTATCTTATATTATATTGTATCAATTTGTATCATGTCCTGTTGTAACATTTCAGACCTTTTTGCATCATGTCATATATTTGTGTATCCTGTCGTATCATCTTGTTGTGTATCCTATCGCACCACATTGCTCACAGTGCTTTGCATTGTATCATACTGTATCAAATCCTATCATAATCAATCCTCAATATATCATGTCAATATCAGATTTGAAAAGTAGTAGTGGATGATATCCAACTATATCGAAGACTATCATATCTTTTACTTTCAAATGAATCAAATCACATGAATATCTAGTCCTATCATCCTTTCTGCATGTATTATAATATCATTATGCATCAGACTGTATTGTATTTAACCTCATTGTCTCCTCTGCTCTGTTCGCTCTTCCACTAGTGTAATATCACCCCCTCCCCTCTCTCCTTCAGCTGCCAAATATTTGAATGTATCTCCAACAGCTGAGAGAAAGCCGTTCACCAAGCCCCATTTCCACGGCAACAACAGACCACCCCTCACTCCCATTCCTCTCCCGGCCCACCCACTCATTCTGTGGACTCAATACGGAGACCACCAACACTCCCTAAAAAACTATTTCCTCAAAGTGGGGCCTCATGTGTCTGATCTCTGAGGGTCTGTGAAGGCATCGTCTGGTGTTCGGTTCAAGAGAGGACAGGACCTTTGAAGTTTCACTGTCGCGTTACTGTTTAAAGAGTTTATGGACTGTAAAGCCTCTCTGTAACTGATTATTTAAGTTATTTATTTAAATGCTTATTTTTTATTATAACTTTTGATTTCTTCTAATCTGACAAAAAATACAACCTACTCCGTCTGTGGGGAGTGTGTGTCCGATGTTGTACCATCTAAATCTGCCAGGATGAAATCCAAACCTCTCTGTCCTCAGGGCTCTCGGCGAAGCGGTGACATAAATCGACAGTGACTGCTCTGACTGCCACCTGACCGTCGATGTCCTTGTGGAAAAGCCGGAATAAAAAACACTAGGTCTATTTTAGCAGAAGGACATATGTGACCGCTCCATCACAACAACATCCATAAATCACTGACAAGGACAAAGACCGGAGCGCAGGATCGAGGAGCAGGACTAAGGCTATTTCTGCTAAAAAAGACAGATAAACGCTCAGAATCCACAAAGAGGCGTGAAACAGGATAAAGCTGCTGTTATAATAAACTAATTCTACACAGTTTTGATTTTGCAAGCAGAGAGAAGCTTCATCAATGCAAATTAGATTCAATCGAGTGTCTTAAAATAGATAAATAAACACTTTTTAGTCACATTTCACTGGTTCAGTCTGCAGTTATTTTCAGCGTAACACGACAGACTTGTACTTCTCTGTGATTTTATGTTAGTTGTTGTTTTGGACACTTCTGTATCTGTATGTAAGTTGGTGAGAGGATAGTAATAAGAGTCTAGAGCTGCAGGAAAAAGGAAAAGCTCAGTCTGACTTCTCTCCTGGCTGCACACAGACCCTCCAAAATCAACACTCCTGATGTTTTCTCTCACTCAGGGAGATATCTAGTCTGGCGACAGGTTTTCATGGCTCCACCTCAGATGACCAGTCTGCCAACTTTGAGTGAACTTTTGCCTGTCTGCTCCACACACCTCCTCCTCCTCCTCCTCCTCCCTGCCACACCTCTGCCAACCCTTCCTCCCTCCTCTCAGATTTGGTTTTAGCCGTGTGCTACTTCTCTGTGAACTGCAGACCACAGTGCGTAAATCCTGAGGGAATGATCCGTCTGAGGCCTGCACCGAAAAACACATTTGGTGTTTGTTCCAAACAGAAGCCGTGTGAAAACATAATTCAAGCTTTTAATAAAAGCCTTACCGAAGAGTTTTAATAAAGGCAAAAACTGACTGACTGATGCCCGTGTTAAATATCTTTATATACGACCAGAAATTACACACTCGCAGTTTCTACCCTACAATTATCAACTTTTTAAAAGACGCTTAAACTTCTCTAAACATTTCAACTACACAGGAAAACCAAAAGGAATTGACTAAAGACAAAAAATGAAACTATTTTAAGGAGGAAAGGCATTAAATTTATGTTTGCTGAAGCCAAAATGACACTTTAATGATATTTGAATTATTATTTTGGGTTTTTTTGATGCTTTTATTGGTGGAGGGAGTCAAAAACAGAGAAGTGAGAGTCAGGATGATGAGGGAAAAGGAAAAGGGTGGGAGTTAAACCGACTTTCAGGACCGTAGTCTTTATTAATTTGACGTTAGATATAACCACTGAGCTGAACTGAAGCCATAACAATATCTCATGTCTGACAAAGACAACCAGGGCCACAATATTTGTCTGATATATCAGCAACTCAACTCAACAACAATCATCAACACATCAAACTTTGCAGTTTTCTCACAACATCATCAATTTTAAAAGGAGTAAGAGTCAAAAAAATCACAGGTAGTGGACTTGACTCTTTTGTGATCAGGGTCATTGTTAATTTGATCGACACCCATCACTACACAGAGCAGGTTTGACACTAAAGATGTAGGGTATCGATCAACGACTTCATTATTGATCTAAAACGGTCATGTAAAAGCATTTTAAAGCCATGAATCAACAGACTGAAGCTTTGCTGCAAATTAGTGTTGTGTCATTCATGAGCGTTTCGTTCAAAAGAACGGAACTAATGAGTGACTGACGTTAATGGAATCACTCAAAGACCTGATTCGTTCCTTTCTCAGTTCAGTTGAGTTCAGTGGCGAGCGTGTTGTGCTGATCGGGAGTGAAACTGATCAGTCAGACTGCGAACGAAATGATTGACTTCCAAACGACTTGAGATGGGCAGAGGAGGGAGGAGTGTAGCGTTGTTCATAAACTGCCGAGCAGCGGTTCACTACGCTATTAAATATCTTTAAAAGTATCAGAATCCTCGCTACAGCTGCGATGTTTATTTTTAATCTCGCCACTTTTCCGCGACATAAAAGAACGACGACTCGCGCTTGTTTAGCAAGTGTACTCACGATGTGAACGTTGGTGACACACAGAGAGGTGAGTTTTTCATGGCAGGGGAGTGATTCTTCCTTCACGACTTGGCGAATGTACGAAATTTGTCACCCAGTGAACCCAATCAGCGCCGCTGTGTGTCAGGACGGGGCTCAAAGCGCTAACTGATGAGGTGAACGAATCTTTTAAATGAATCATTTAAATGAACGGATTCTAGAGATTCAGTACAGTCAAAAGAACTGATCCTCCCATCACTACAACAAATCTGTCTTATGTGAAACTTGCATGTGTTTAACAGATTCTAATCAAAGAGATTCCAGTTCCGGATGTCCATCCCTGGTTTTCGGTTCATCTGTAATCAACCGCGACAACATCATGAGTGTCACCAGACTTCTAAAAAACACCCTGGAAAGCATCAAACAACGTTATCCGGCTGTTTGCAGAAGCTGAGTGGCGCTCTTTGTGACAGGGGAACTGATCTTAGTGCAGAAAATTGGTGGAATGTGCCTTTAAGAGGAAAACGCTCCAATGAAAACAAAGTGCATTTGTCTTCATGTACAGTCAGTCACACATTGATGCCTATCTCTGTCCTGAACGGAGCTTTTCGATATAATCAAATATCCTGACAAATGCTCCTGCTGTATCCGGCTGAGTGTCTTCCTGGACCCGGAACAACACGTGTTCATATTTTCAGACCTTCCCTCGGCGAGAGACATTAGTTCTGGCTCCGTTCAGTGACCAACAGTCCAGCCAGGCAGGCAGTCCCCCGAGCCGAGGATAACATTTCTATTTGAATCGGAGCAGATGAATCCCATCCTCTGAAAGTGTTCAGGAACAGAGAGAGACATTTTTCTGCAGAAACATTCAAATCAAATCAAACAGGACTTTTCCAGCCAAGCTGAGCCCAGCAGAAACTCCTGCCAAGGCTGCCGGTTGATTCGTCCAGGAACAAGTCCGATTCAGGGTTTCTTTCTACACCACTCTGACTCCACAGTCGAAAGGTTTTGTCTTCATTTAGGGAACAGCTTCCACCAATAACAGCAGGAAAACTGAAGTTGAGAACCTTCACAGGCAACATTATGACTTCTGAGTTTTCTGCTACTGGACTGATTTATAACCAGGCTAAGCTCCTGGTTTACAACCAACCACATGGGCATATACGATTTTTTCAAGAAGAACAAGTACGCAGAAAACTGGACACTATGAGTCTGAAACGATTTTCTGTTTTCTTGTTGCAGCAGCTCCAGATTTCCTAGTTTGAAGACTTTTTTATGCAGAGATCACTTTTATGTTGCTTTGCATGCTAGTTAGTGTTCAGTAGGGATGCACCAATCCGATATTTGGATCAGATATCGGCTCCGATATTGACAAATTAACTTGACTGATATCTGACACCGATCCAGCGTTACAACACGAAGCAGGTCCCGTTTGACAAGAAACACTTCTGTTACAGACACTTGTCTTACTTTGTTAAAGCGGTTTACCTGTCCAGCAGAAAGTTACAGGGTCACCAAGATCCCGACACGTCCCCTATCGTTTTATCGTTTATGTTGACCCGGCTTTTTAGCTCTTGTCCGGTCTACCTCCGTTTTAAGCGCCCGTTATTCCTCCAGAGTCTCCGGTATTTACTTTGTTTTCTTGCTTGTGTCGGCAGTCGTGGCCAAATGAGGATTCAAACAATTTTCCGAACTTTCTGGTTGGTTTCTACTGTCTGATATTGTAGCACGCTAACTTTGTTTGGGTTCTTGAACGTCACGAGGGACAGTAGCGTACACCTCACAACCAATCATGTTGGGGGAGGTGGAGAACGGCTTTGTTTACAGTCAGAAAGAGAGGACTGCTCCAAAAAATGTTAAAATGTTGACTACACAGACTTAACAAAACACAGAGATATCGTTATATTTCCAAATGTCATTAATAACTAATAACTATTGACTGATATTAAAAGCTTTTTTGTATAAACACCACAAGAAAAGATGCTTCTTTAATGGATTCCTGCCTACTCCACCTTTAAGCTAGCACTCAAAGAAAAGTTCAAAAACTATCAAAGTCTGGACAATTATTTCATATAATATCTTTACAAAATGTCCTAAATGTCCTTTAATAGTTTGAAAACTCTCTTAGATAAAAACCGAAGAGTCAGACTGACCCACAGAGACAGATTTAGAGACATTCAGATCATACACTATCAAACAAACCTCTTCAACTCTTCCACAAACATTTACAGGAGACCCTGGCTGCCAAATCCTGATTCCTGACCCCTCAGTGACCCTGTAAGAGCGACCCGGCCCCTTGGGAGTCAGCAGCTGCCCTCAGCCCCTCAACAAACGACAGATACTCCAGCAGCCCGGACTTTTATTCGCTTCAGGGACACAGAGAAACCTGTCAAGAGCGAAAGAGAGGGATGCTGACCAACTGGAACAGCTGGAGTGGCATTTCCCGCTCTTTTTGGACTCCTGCCCCTTCAAATTAAAAGCCCTGATAAAGAAACCTTCAGTCTGACTCTCTGACAGGCGCTGGTGCTTTTCCTCATTGAAGACTTCCACTCATTTTCTTTATTGTCAAAAATAACACGAATTGTTTCCGTTAATAACTCGTCTGGCGGTGGGATTTGTGAAGCAGACAAACGGCGAAACGTCTGGATCGTCTATATTTAGCTTCCACTCAGACAGATTGATTTAAGGGTACGAGAAGTTATTAGCTGAATATTAAAGCAGAACTCTTTCTGCTGGAATCAGAAACGTGGACAGACACCAGTCAAAGCGCACGCCAGAGACGCCACAATTATATGAAACCAAAAATGCCCCCGTAATGCGGCAGAGAGTTCTTCTCCTGCTACGTCTGAGTGGGCTCTGTGACGGTTTTTCTTTCCTGTGTCAGCCTTTCCACTAATATTTCAAAGCTTTAACTACAGGTCAGCTGTGGAACAGACGTCTTCTGCACAATATCGTCTTTCATTCTTCAGTCAGACGCTGGAAAGGTTTCAATAATGAAGACCGTCTTAATAGAAGTGTTTAGAAGTAGATTCACTCTTAGAAGTAGAAAAAAAATCCCCTCACACTCGAGTGGACGTTGATTTTCTTCTTGAAACTTCGCATAAAGCATCTTTTAAAGTGTTGATCAAATGATTCAGCCACGTTTGATCAAATAATCTCATGATCCCTGCAGCTACTGGTTTTGAAACAAACAACTTTAAACTCCTCTATCCAATATTTATGCTTTATTGATACACAACATTACATACATTACCCCTTTTCTCTCCCCATCTGCTGCCAAAACCTTAATACATGAAATCTTCATACACGCTTTCATCACCACCAGACTGGACTACTGCAACAGCCTCTTCTACGGTCTCCGCTCCACCACCCTCAACAAACTTCAACACATTCAGAACTGCCCGCCCATACGACCACATCACCTCCGTCCTCCGTCAACTCCACTGGATTCCTGTTGCCCACCGAATTCAAGTCAAGATCCTCCTCCTCACCTTTAAGTCCCTTCACGACCTGTCTGACCTCATTGTCCGCCACACCCTGAAGCGGCCCCTCCAGCCAACGCAAACCTCCTCTCACCCCCAGCCAAAATCAAGCACCGTACCCTGGGGGACCCTGGAACGTCCTCCCTAAACACATCTGTAAATGCCCGGACCTCATCAGCTTCAAATCTGCCCTCAAAACCCACCTTTTCACACTCGCTTTTACTGCCTGACCCCACCCGACTCACCATTATCCCACCCCTCACATTTGCCCCTCCCACTTGTATTCTTTTATTCTCTTTATTCGATTTTACCTTATTTGTAGCTTGTTACTATTAATCTTTGCCTCATTGTATTTTTGTTTTGTTTTTGTAAAGTGTCTTTGAGCTCCGGTAAAAGTGCTATAAAAATAAAATGTATTATTATTATTATTATTTTTTTTTTTTTATTCTTTTTTTTTTTTATTACTCGGGCTGGGCGATAAATCAAAAATTTACCAATACCGAAATTTATGACAATAACCAACGTCATTTTGCCCATGTCAGTATGTACAGTGTCAAAAAAATAAATAATCAAAAGTTGGTTTTGGATGTGTGTCGGTAGACTATGGTCTCATGTCCCTTTAAGACGCTGTCCTACATCAGAGACGTGACTCCACCCCATCCAGTCTGTAACAAAGAGGGAAAGGGAAAGGGAACGATACCAAACACTATCCTCCAGCTTTTTACCGATGTGCAAACATGTGAAACATTAGCATGAATTGGCTAAGAGTCAATGTCTGTTTTTTTGCTTTTCATGCGTTTTGGGTTCATTGAGTTCATGAGGCTGTAAAATAATATATAAAACTTAAAACTTGGTCATTTGCTGTTTTTCTGATCCACCTCAGATTTATCTAACTTTATGCAAAGTAGCTGTAATTTTCTAATTTCTCATTTTAATCAGATCTTAAACTAAAAAGTTCATTTTTTTTTGTACCAAAACAGAAACAGAGACAACAAAGTTCAGACCGCTCGCCTTCGCCGCCTAGAACAGTTGCTCAAGAACAAAAACAGCACATGAATGTGATTTTGGGTCAAGTGGAGTTACTGACGGTTGCATCACACCCGCAGTGGTCTCTCTCTCTCTCTCTCTCTCTCTCTCTCTCTCTCTCTCTCTCTCTCTCTCTCTCTCTCTCTCTCCCTCTCTCTCTCTCTCTCTCTTTTTTCTCTTTACGCTGATGTTTTATCCATTTCAGCAGCGAGAGTGAAAGCAGGATTGTTGTTTCTTCCTGTCGATGGTATCAAAGTGGGAGTTGTTGTTTATGGGATTTCCAGAATGACTTCACCGCTGACCCCAAAACAAGTCAAGGCCACGCAGTCAGGCAGGCCGGCAGGCAGGACGCTCCTTGCTGGAAGTATTCCTGCTCATTGTTTCCTCTCTCAGCTGCATTCCTGCTCAGCTTCCAAGAACAAAACTCTGAACAGGAAGTTCAGGAGGGGAGCGACGTACTGCTAAGCATATATTAACTTTACGCAGAGACACGCTGTACTCAGTGAAGCTCTGGTTGGATTGGTCTAAGAGTGTTTTGATGTCATTAGACACAGTAGTTTAAGGTCTTCGTCTGGACCGAGTGTCATCACTCGCGCTGCGGTTTCAGCGTTCAGAACAGACTGGAGATGTATCAGCGGCTAATAGAGCTCCGACCGCAGAGCTCCAGAGACTTAAACAGACATGAACGGTGTGGAAAAGAAGAAACCACACTGAATTTATCCTCCAAAGCAGAATCGAATCCGCAGATTCTGGAGGCGGCAAACTGCAGATGTGTAATTATCGAACAAGGTGCCTTTAAATCTCATTTCATTACTCTTTATGATCGCTCTGTCACTTTTTGGGTTCACCGAATATCAGGAAACTGTGAAAAAAGACCACCTCAACATCTTGTAACCATGGTGACGTCAATTTAGAAACATATACGGAGCTAAAATGAAAGAAAATAAGCACTTTTACTCTGATTAATCACCTCAGATGTTGATCGATTTTCTATATTATTATTAAGATAGTAAACATATGGTGATTTTCAAGTGTTTTTAACAGATATAGATGGTAATAAGCTCAACAACAGACTGTACTTAGAAGTAAACTGGATATTATGTAGTTGGGGGGATTAGGAGCCATGTTCCAGGGTGGGTATCGTCAGTGTAGATCCACAATCATGAACAGAGTCTGGGTCTGTTGAAGGTAGACACTTGTAGGTAATATCTATTCGCTTACCCAGGTCATGTACTGGCTCTTGATGCGCATCTATTCCCATCTAGCTTCATGTAAGGCTGTATTGATATTGAAAAAAGTGTATTATCAGTGTATTTTGAAACGCTAAAGCACAACTTTTCATATATAACTCTGAACTTTACTACTCTGTCCAAAGAGACCTGCATGGAGAAGTAAAGAAACAAAAGCAGTAGGGACTTAGTTCTTCATAGACTAAACCATAAATACTTCTGACTTACTTACTCGTAGTCAATCGTTTCGGTTAGTGTTGAAAATTATGTTAAATCTAATTTGTTGCTTGTGCATTTGAGCTAAAAATAAGAATAATCGGCATCGGCCCCAAAAAATACATATCGGTCAGGCGCTAAAAAATACCCAAAAGTAAAACTTATTCAAGCTAATATTCTTGGTGATGTTTGCTGGAAACATGTTGTTTGACACTGTGATGCTGACAGTTGGTGGCAGGACAGCTTGAATCGAAGTTGTCGGCTGCGAAGATGCTCTGCTCATTGAGAAATAGACGGCTATTAGAAATCTAGTTTTTTTCTTTTTTAGACTTGATTTCAACCGTCTAGATTCTGTATATTTTTAGACGGAATTAAGATGTTAAACTTTAACCCATTATTCAATAGCTATTTATTACAAAAAGCTACTGTGAGTTGAATAACTGATCTCTGAGTACAATATCCGTTGAGCAATAAACAGTGTAGTATAGATATAGCCCCGATTTAGACTTGGTCTAAATTTAGATGTCTAAAAATCTTTCATTTTTAGACCTGTGGTAGCCTGATTTTAGACCAGTCGTCTACGCTACACTGAACAGGTTTTTTGTAGCCTACATCAGCCCAAATCCAGTAAAACTCAAATACAGTCGGTACGGTTTTAGAATGAAAATCTTCACCAAATTCTGTGTCAATTAGTTCTACATTTAACTGAAAATACACATACTGATTTCATGGTGGTGCTGGGTGAAGAGTCAGACAGAGTCACCCTCTGGGGATCATGAACGTCTTTAAAAAATGCTTTTAAAATATTTCCGTCTGGACCACTTCAGTTTGGCTCTCCCTCTGCTGTCTTTGGACGGAGCCCAGACAACAACTCCAGATAATAACGCTTGTTTTCAGGTTTAAAAATTAGGACTAAGACGTCTCTGAGGAAACGCAGTTGACAAATTTGGCGCACAAGCGGGAGAAGGTCTATAATATCATTTCCAATTAGGCTTTCTGACTAACCAGCTGGGTGTAGCCACCATGCATAATCGAATGCCAGCTCCAGCCATCCCCCCATCAGCTATTTGTGGTGTTAGTGGGGTTGGGGGGGATCGCGCAATTAGGCCACCACAGCCCACGGGGAAATGGCACTTCAGACTGGGAGCCAACAAAGACTTCATGTCAGAGGAAATGTGACATAGATTAACCCTTTCAGCGCAACAACGGCGGCATTTAAACCACACCTCAGTCCGACGCGGAGACCGGCTTCCTGTGCTCCGTCACAAAAGGAAGCAGACATGAATGGACAGACTCAACTTGTGCGCTTGTTATTAAATAGGATAGAAATGGATGTGGTAGACGTCACAAGCGGGTGGGGAGTGGAGCGATGTTGATGTAGAGTATATAGGAGAAGAAGAGAGGTCAGGATCTGAGAGGTCTCAGCTGGCGGTGCAGGTTTACGTTAACTCAGGGTGGTCTGAGATGACTGCAACAGACAAAAACATGAATGTAGATATTCTGCACACAGACAGAAGAGGATCCAGAGGAGGCCCGGGCTGTGAGAACCGGCCTGGACAATGTCCCATTGAAGGGAGGAGGACAATAAAGCCCACAGACGTGGTGCTCCTTTCCGGGGTGCAGAAAAGAGCGCCGATCCTACATTGTTACACTCTGACATTTTGTTGAAATAGCCGAAGTCTCTGAGTGAAAATCCCCGCACAAACACAGGCGTGATGTGTCCAGCGGCGGTGGGGCTGAGCTGGGAGTCTTCCCGGCATTTTTGTGGGCTAAACATGCAGCTTGGCTCGCACTAGAAAGGCATACCAGACGTGTGAAGCATTCAGCTCCTTCCTGTCTGAAAGCTTGAGAGACGTTTGCGCGCAGAAACAACAACTCGAACCACAGAGCAGCTTCGACGTGAATTATGCTGATGCATCCTTTTCTCTCTAAACAGCATGGAAACATGGAAACCTGAGGTGGACGTCTGTCGTTTTACATTCAGTCCAAAATTAATGCAGCTGCCTCAGAGAACAGATTCAGAGACCCTCTCACACATGGACCGGACAAATCCTGAATTTTCCAGAAATTTTCCCAAACGCTGACTAATAAGGAGCCGCCGTGACGTGTCTCTTCATCACCGTTAAATTGGCTCCACTTAATCTGATGATGGTGAATCGAACCTTATAAAGCTGGTAAATTTTCAGCAGCTGATACTTAATAATATAAGTTCATGAGACTAACCCTAATTTTCACTGCGTTCAGAACGGGTCCAATCTGGAACAGCAGCAATTTAAGCCATCTGCCAATTCCTACCGTATCCGTTGGTGAGACGAATGTCATGGCGGATTACGAACAGTTGTGATCATGAGAATTCACAAGAAACCCGCGGATTCAGGTGCAATCGCGCCATAACAAGTTGTCTCTATAAAAACAGGCACATAATCATAAAAGCAGTAGATTGTGTCCTTCCAGAGGAGGAAATCTACTTCTAGACTTCTGAAATCAGCATCTCCTCATCCATGGTGTTATCGGGGTGAATTGCTGTCTATAAAAACCTTTCACCTGTTCGTCACCGCCAGTTTGTGTGGTGTAAAATACAATCCTCCTGAAACACGTGGTGTTTTATTTTGAAAAGAAGCAGGATGTTTTATTTTGTGTCTGTGCCCGACTTCTTTTCCAGCACGAGTTAATCTGTGCTGAATTTATCCACCATGCTCTGGCGTCTGGAGAAAATAGAACTCTCGCAATCAGCTGTGGAGTCCGGCGATCGGCAGCGGAATGAAAAGAAGCTGGTGGAAATTGACACAATCAGCTGCGATCGGCGGATACAGCCGTTTTGAAGCTGTTGATGCGGTTGAAATTGGGGGCAATACCTGATGTTTGAAACTGTCTACCCCGGTAAGGCTGGGCGATATGGCCTCAAATCAATATCACGATATATTGATCAGTTCACCTCGATAACGATAAATGGACGATAACTACTCCACAAGCTGCTCACCCCCTCCAACATTAACTTCGTCTACTTCAGCCGCTCCAACTTTCTCTCCGTCCTCCATCTCCTCACCTGTCTTTCCCTCTTTGTTACAGACTGGATGGGGTGGAGGCACGACTCTGACGTAGGAGTATATACCGATATGAGCAAAATGACATTGATTATTGTCGTAAATTTCAGGAGGGCCCAGCCCTAACCTTGAGTCAAAAGTTTTTGGTTTGATTGAACATCTGATCAAGACAGTCAAAGAAAGTTAGGTGTTGGAGAGTCTGAACTTTTCTAATCTGTTATTTTTTTCTGTATTGGCCCCAGATATCAGTGGACATCTACTCAGGACTGCTGACTGAGAGATATTCAAAGAAAACAGGAGGGGTGACGTATCCTGTCACTTCCCTTCCAGGTGTTTCCCCTTTTCGGGCGTCACTCTCTAACTCTCGCCTCTGACCTTCGACCTCTTTCCCATCAGTCTACGAACCTGACTGTTGATCTAACTCTTCTGTCACTTACCCTAACCCTGACATTATCATCGAGGAAGCACCAACCGGAGAAAAAAGAAGACTCTGGAAAGATCAGCCTGTCGTTTGTGTTGCGTAACCTCTCAAATGTGGGAAGAGTGAAAAAGACAATAAAAGCCATTCTTCGCTAATTCTCCTCTGTGAAACCCACAAATTATCCGACGTAAAAAGGATCGACTGTGACAACTGATGTGCACCGAACAATGAAGTGAAGCACGGGATAGCTGACACACGGCTCTCTGGAGAGCTACAGCTACGGCAGATCTGCCAGAGATTCAGAGCGGAGAACGAAAACAGCTAAATTATACAGTTTTGTAAGAAAAACGAACTCTAGTCACGGCTCATTGGTCTCTTCACCAAACCGCACTCTCCAGAAAGAGCCACAACAAACATCCATGAAAACAGTGAGAAAAACATGAGCGGAAAGGAACGCAAAAGCCTGACTCCGCAGACAATAAACCAAACTGGGTCTGAAAGTGAATTTTATCCGTTTAAGTTTGGAAATAATCACAAATTAGTGGAGACAAAATGTTCCCAAAGTGGATCTCATCTTGTCCATCAAACGGTGTGAAATAAAACGAAAGGAGGGGAGAGAGAATGTCCTTCTAAAAGTTCGTGAAAAGTGATCGAGACGTTTCTGAGGCCTCGTTAAATTACCGATAATCCAAATTTTGAAATTAAACCCGTATCTTCAGATTGAGGTGTATGATTGAGATCTGTGAGGGTGTCTAAGGTTAACCTTGTGGTGAGACATCAACTTCCTCACACATCGTCTCCCGGGGGTTTCGCCCTTTACCCTGAACCTGCTCTCGATATTCGTACGGACTGACGCATTTCCTGGCCCGTCCCTGGACCCGGTTCTGGCCCAGTGTCGACCAGAAGCCTGCCCCCGCACCCAGAGGAAGGCAGAGAGGACGGAAAAGGGGAAGAGAAGTATGAGGCAGGGATGGAACTAATCAAAAACAGATGCTTGTACACGTGTGATTCAGCATTTCAAAAAACGGAGCCGAGACGGAGTTAAGTGCCTGTGGAGCCCGATGATTTCAACCGTTATCACATCCGCTCACTTTCTTCATTAGTGTAATTATTCGGCCTTCAAAAGGTGGCAGAAACACGTCTCTTTAAAGCTGGAAACCTCACTCCTGGAGATAAATTTATGCCCGATCTTGAGAAAAAGACACGGCACAAGCTGATGTTGACACACCTGGAAATAGCGAGCCACTTTTCCCCCCAGAGATCGCACATTTCCAAGCAACCGGGTCATCAGGGGAGACATTTCAGAGACACGACATAAAACAGAACAATCTGTTAGTCATAACTCGCTCTCCAGCCTTTTTTATTTGCCCTAGATTGTTTTTATTTATCCGGAATGAGACTAAATTGGGTCATTGTGTCTGCTGTTTGTGCGTCAGCTGACAAATCACGCACAGTCGCAGACCGAGAGCCAAACGCAGGATAACTGGAAAAAGAGGTTCCTCATGGTTCCCCGTGCCGGAGGGCGAACTCCTCATGTGCGGAGCTAAAAACAGCTGAGAGATCGGCCACGAGACGGGAGGGACGTGGTTGTTATCTGCTGAGAAAACCGGGCGGGTTTCCAATGAGTGTCCTACCTTGGATGTCAAACTGTCGGTACAGACGGAAAAAAAAACAATCAAACAGAGTATCAAGTATCCTCAAGTTTGGCGTTTTTACCGTCACTATGACTCATTAAGATAGTTCTTTTTTTTTTTTTCACTGTGAGAAACGTTCATCTCGTGTTGACTGAGTCAGTCGTTTTGGATGAAATCTGTGTTTTTCTGCTCCAGTGTCGATGGTAAGTATAAAACATCACATTAAAACTTCTCACTGCCAAACTTCACCAGCAGAGACCGAAACATTCCTGAGGTGAGTGACGAACCAGGAATCTGGGACTGACTTCTCGCCCAGCCAACAACACGACAGACAGTTTTTTATATTTTTACAATCATTGCACAGTAGTTCTAACTATTGTAATCAGTGTCATTTAGTATAATAGTCAGTATCACTATCGGCCCTGAAATACTGATACTGGTTAAAAGACTTAGAAAGATAACGTTAGTAAGTCATAGTCAACCGATATCAGATTTTGGATGACCGATACTGATGCCAATAATGAGAGCAGGATAGCCGATATAAAATACTTCTATCACAGGTTGTTTAAAATTCAACATTACTAAACTATGACACTGAATACAATATCTAATACTTTAAATGCAAACTTCTGTTATTAGCTGAATCATCTGATCCGGTCACTGATGGAGAGAAAAACCAAGTATCCGTGATTGGTGTCCTGATTCAATATTGATATGGGATATCGGTTTGATATCAGCCAAAAAAGAATATCGGATTGTATCAGCCTGCTTTTAAAATTTCTAATAAAAGCAGTCCATTCCAGACTCCGCTCCAGCATCTCTAGCTAGCAGTGGTCTCAACAACATTAAGTAGCAGGAAGTAGGAGTGATGTACTAATAGTCAGTATCAGTTTCAGTATCAGCCCTGAAACACTGATATTGGTTAAAAGACTTAAAAAATTAAAGCTATTTCCAACTGAGGTATTAAACAGACTATTGCACATCTTAGGTTAGGTCAGGAAAGATACCGTTAGTAAGTCATGGTTGACCGATATCAGTTTTTGGATGACCGATACTGATGCCAATAATAAGAGCAGGACGGCCAATAGCCGATATATAATACCTCTATCACTGATTGTTTATTTGCATTTGATCAAATCCAACATTACTAAACTACTTCATACTACATTAAATCTAATACTCAAAATGAGGAACAAAACTACAGCTGCCGATTTGGTGGCATTTGTAAGATTTTTGATTTTTTTTTCATATGACTGGATTTTTTATGTTAGCTCAATTATCAGATCTGGTTAGAGATGGAGAGAAAGACTGAGTATCTGTGATTTGGGTTGTCCCTAATACAATATTGCTATAGGATATAAGTCCAATATCAGCCCCCCCAAAAAAATATCGGCCTGCATCTAAAATCGCTGATACAAGCAGTCCGTTCTAGATTCCGCTCCAGCATCTCTAGCTAGCAGCACCCAGAACCAGCATGCAAAGCCCACGCGATCACAACAACATTAAGTAGTAAGGAGTAGGAGTGATATCAGACTTGTGGCAGTATTTTTCGTTAAAGTCCGAGAAAGATGTTGCAGCTGAGTCCATAACTTGCCATGCACAACTTTGTGCTAATATCGCATCAATATCGGTAACGGCCGATACTGAAGGCTACAATATCGATATCTTATCTGAAGTAGGACACCCTTTCTCCTACATAGTTCTGCTTTACAGTGCAGATAATCCATGAGGAACATTAGTCAGACTATCTATATGACCTCAGAATTATAACTCATCTCACTGGAAACCACCACCAGCAGCAGCAGCAGCAGCAGCAGCAGCAGCCCTCACAGAGTCACGTTGCTGCTCAGGCTTAACCCCCTCCATTCAGGGTCAGCAAGGGTTGAGGATGTAAAGATGATGCCAATCGAAATACGCCAGATTCCAGTAACCTGTTAGCTGGTGCACACAGTTCAAACCTCTCTCTCATGTGTCTGTCTGGGAGAAAACCGACTATCAGGCATGTCTCTGCAGCAAATTGAAGCCCCTCTCTTACATATCAAGAGAAAAGTGGATTTTCTTTCCCAAACAGCACATGAAACCTGATATCCACATCCAAACAGAATTGAGATCAGATGTTCCCGCTCTTTGACCATAATCCAATCTGCTTGGGAAAACAAATGCTGAGTTGTGTGCAATTTTATTCAGCCATGCTGTGAAGTTAAAAACGCAGAGGCTTGGGGGTTATCGGCGTTAAAAATCTCCTCAGAGTGTCGGAGTGTGTGTGTGTGAGTCTGCACTCGCTGGCCCTAATCTTGTTTTCTTACACCCCTGCTCCGCATTAGTCATTGCTGGTCTCCTTCTCCAAGGGTTGTGATAGGAATACTAATGCCAATTTAGTCAACTCATCCATCATTTAAGGCTCAGGATGTTGCCATAGTGCTGATTCAATGTCTGAGGCGCAGCGGGCACAACCTGTGGCAACACCGGATGGCTGATTTGAAAGACAGACAAGAGGAAATGAGCCCCGCTTTGACTAATAGATCACATCGGACTTAATAAACTCTTCACACTGTTGTGAGTCTGCTGGTTTCAAGGTCTTTCACATCACTCAGGATGTCCGACACACAAGCAGATTAGCGCCGTGTTCAGGATGTGGCGCCGAGAAATGAGAATGAAATGAGAGGGGCGGCCAGGAGTCACGCTGAGAGACCCGTCCATCGACACAAGAGGCTTAGAGACGACAACATCTCTGCATCCGGACAAGATCTTCATTGACAAATCAGTTTTACACTGAATACAACACTGTGCAGAGTCATTACAATGTTGAATTGTTGCATGATGGAGGATCTTCCAATGACACCGAAACCCTGCAGCTTCAATCATATATACTCTGCTACACGAGGTGCATGAGCGTCATGTCCCCGGTTTATCAGGGGGCCACCAAGTTAGTGCAGTCTACTATCCTGCGCCTCTCTTTTCATCACTAGAGCAGTCTCTCTCTATCGTAATTCCAGTGAAAACTAAACAAAACGCTCCACAGGGTGAAGATCTTCTGCACCGCTGCTGCATCAAACTGCATTATTCTAACTTTCTACAGTAATGATCCGCGCGCATCGACCCTCCAGCAGCTTCTCCGACATGCTCTGAGCCTGCTGAGCTCTGAGGCTGCGAGTCCTGAAAGCTCTTCATCTGCTCTCATTTTTAAAAGATGAAAGCTTTCTCTCAGCTAATGGTGCGGAGCCGCCTCAGTAGGAGGGCAACACCGCTGTGATTAAGAAATCATATTGCCCTCCGCGTCATTAGATCTGTTTGCAGCCCCTCACATCAGGATGACACCAATTGGGACGCTAAGCCTCCAGGTGTGACACCTTACCGTCCAGGGATTTGAGCAGGAGAATGTGGGCCAATCCCTGATTAAGACACACTGCCTGCTGCTGTAATCCCTGTCACTTTCATTACCTGGAGCCGCCAGCGCTAGTGCAGTTAGCGCTTGTGCTAACTACAGCTCAGCGAGCGCCCCTTAACAAGATGGTGAAAATGCCCGCGGGCCGGCGCCACAGGGCTTTCTGGGTCATTAAATCAGGAACGAGGATGAAAATTAAAATAGCAGAATAAACTCAGAGGAGTGGGGGAGACGCTAGTCGAGCATGAGTTTAATGCATCTGATGCATATAAGCAGAGGGCAGTGAGTTGATGCCATATAGGATACAGGCTGTTATTTAGATTAGACCTTACTGCTGCAACAGGAGGGTGTTATGAGGGACACTGTGGTGGGAATCAATTAAGGATATTTTAATCATTACTGAACAAACAAAAGTCAATACCGATAAGTTTTTACTAACTGTTTTTGTCCATTATTTTTATACATTTAAGGGCAAAATTTTGTCATTATCTCAAGATAACACACTAGGGTGCCGATAATGAACATCTAGTTTTAGATTTGATACGCTGATGATGTCAGGACATAAAAAAGATGATATGATGATGATGATGATGATGATGATGATAATATCAGCCTGGAGAGAGCCGAAGCAAAAAAATAAAAATTAAGAGATTTTTGAAAAATAATAATAATTGAACATTTAAAAAATAATCAAAAATTCAAATAATAATCATAAAAAACAATAATATATTAAAAAATTAAATAATAATAATTATTTTTCATTTTTATAAAATCAAACATTTTAAAAATAATTAAAAATAGAAAAAATATAATAATTTTGAAAAATTAATTTAAAAAATGTTTGAACATTAAAAAAAAATCTAACTTTTTAAAAAATAATCCAAAAATTAAAAATCATAATAATTTTAAAAATTAATGAGAAATATTTTGAAAAATTAAAAAAATAAACATTTAAAAAACAATTGATTTTTTTTTATTAATAAAAAATAAATTAATAAAACAGAACAAAAAATGGATTTGAAAACAGCTATTGACACTGTTAATTTCAATTAAATAAATAATTGAAAAAAAGAGCAAGCTGATGCAGAATTTTATCTTAATTGGCTTAATTAATTGGCCAACTGATTAATCAGTCTATCTCTCACCTCTAGGTCTGTGTTGCCATGGTTACCAATTCAAATAACATCTTACTTAGTGTTGTACCCCACTATATCTCACAAACCCTATCCAAAGACCACATTTTAATTGTTTTTTTTTTTACCAAATGCTGTCCGAACAGAAAAAATGTTAACATAGATAAATGTGACATAGATCTGCTCAATATCAGCTATAAGTTTGTTTTTCCAGTTATGTCAGCCTAGTATCCCCCATCATTAGCAATCCACAGTCAAAGTGTGGGGAGCAGCACTAAACAGAAGGACCACTGACACAGATTTGAAGATGGAAGGAGGTCAGTCTGAAATAGAGCAGAAGCAACAAGACCACACAGTCGGTAGAGGAAGAAATCCCTTCCAGCTCCATGCAGCTGGAGATGCAGATCTTCCAGAAACACATTAAACAACATCCTCCACCCGCCAAAAAGGTTTTTACAGTCATGAACCCAGATGAACCGGATGCTGGAACCCAACATGAGTCCTCTGAGTTTAAGGCCATCGGTACCTTCATGACGTTTGTAGTTCGCCCTACTTGGCTCTCACTTCTCCTGAGTAAATGTGTATAAAACATAAGTCTGTTGATGTGATCCTGCAATAAAATCCTTTCCCACAGAGAAAGAAACAGATGGTTGAAAATAAAGTCCAGAGGCAAAATAAGTCAGGTACTTTCCAGGTCATTCACTAATAATACACAGCCTCTGTCCTCTTCATCAGTCCTGAGTTTTCCAATATAATCTGAATAGTTGTGGCGTTGCAGATAAACTCAGTTTTAAAGGGATATTCTGGCGTAAAATTAATTTAGGGTCAAACACACCGTAAAACCGAGTTAGACACCCTCTCGAGAGATGAATGTTGCCGACCGCTGCTTCTCTATTTATATCAACTTTAGTAACGACCGCACGATAGCAATACACAGCAGTCTGAGGAGCCATAAACAAACCTCAACCAAAACGCAACTCTATAGCCACAGATAATGCTCAGAACAGCACCTAACTTCATCAACAGTCCAGTACTCAATAATCAGTACTCAATACTCAACAATAATCAGTAAATTCATCCCTAACAAAGCGAAACATCATATCTGATGTTCTGAACTCCTGGAATTTCACACACACACATCCCGCCCACACTCCATCCTGTCATCTGACTTTGTGTCACAAACCCATCCGTCCATTCCTTCTGCAGACACACAACAGTCGGGTCCCACAGGTCAGCGGCCTCGGATTCCCCCGCCTGTCAGAGCTCTCCGCTCTGTGACTCAATGACGAACACATCAGCATGAAGTCAGCTTTGCCCGGCCTGGTACCCCGCCCTCAGCTGTTCACATGGGAATGAGGGAAAGGATCGCTGGGGCATTCCCTGCCCCAGGGCCTTTAGGACGCAAAGAGAGAGTCTGTCTCTTAGAGGAAGCGAGAAGTTGTAAGGACAAGGGGCATATTCTGCTGGATCTTCTACCCTGAAGATCCTGACAAAGTTGGGAGAGGATTTAAGAAATATCCAGTAAAGCTTTAAGAAATCCAGAGTGAGCAGCGTGTGAAACCCCTCCACCTGACTTTTCACCTGCAGGAGTCAAAGGTCAGCTCCCCCCTGCAGGCATACTGACATATTTCACACCGACAACAATAGTTTGAAAGGTTTGTTAGAAGAAGACCGTTTTTTTAACCATTATGAACTCCACAATATCTGCTGGTTTTGTACGCTCCTCTAGCAGTGTGTGAGTGTGACCTCAAATTAACACGTAAGCGGCGAGAAAACAGCTCAAACGTCGCGTGTCGCCAATGTTGTGCCGGAGCAAACACAACCACACCAGCTCCCACCGCCGCCGCTTGTTCAAAACAGATGTGGGGAGACGCATCAGCGCGAGCTCACATCTGTCCATGTATCCGAGTATCCATAGAGACCAAACACAGAATGGTTAGTTGTTGTTCGAGACGTCCTCAGACCTCAAATTGGACTGGTGATTCATTGCGATGGTGGGAACTGCCTTAACTGCAGGTTTTAAAAGAAGAGAAGAAGAAGAAGAGGAGCCTCTGCTGTGCGTTTTGTTTACGTTTCAGACTTGTTTTGACACGCAGAGGAGCCTGGGACATGTGAGATAAGCGCAGAGACGATTTCCTGCTCGATTTCATGTGGGAAGCAGAAAGTGTCATGCCAAACCTAATAAAGAAAAACCTCGATTTTCCTGTGCTCTGTGCTCTGTCCCTTCCTCCCAGTCATCCACCTCCAGGGTTGTTACATAACACCACACAGCGCCGCTTTTAGCCCCACAAAGAACCCGTCTGAATGCTCTGTGAAAACACCGTTACAGGCTTCACTGGCTGCAAGAACACGAGTTGATTTTGCCTCTTTCAGCGTCTTTTCTGGTCATTTAAACAGCCTGGGAAGCAGATGAAAGAGACTTAAACACAAAGGGCAGGAACACTTACATTAACCGAGTATGAAGCCAACGCTGCAACGATTAATGTGGAATAAAAATCGAACAATGTCTTTACGAAATTTCATGAAATCCGCCAAAAAAAAAACTATTAAAGAAGCCCCAAAATCCTGTTTTTAAGGGTCTGAAACGAGCAAATATTCAGTGTTTTCATTCCCCTCTTAACTTTTAAAGCTCCTGTGAGGAATTTTTCAGTCTTTATGGAATAGGCTGAAACTCATATTGCTGCTTTTTTATGATATATACAAGCAAATAGGTCCAGTAGAAAGCGGATTGATGGGTTTTAAATGGTAATTTTTGACACCTGAAACCAGCTTCACTGCGCTGCCATCTTGAATTGTGACGTTGTCATCGAAATGGGGTCGGTGAGGATCATCCGACTTCAGGGGGCGTTCCAGATGAATTTCCGACTTGTAGCTCAGAAATCCTGACCTACAACTGGAATGCAGCATAACCCCCAATTTCCACCACATCCAGAACGGCTACGAAAAGGCTGTATCCACCGATCGTAGCTGATCGTAACCATTCAAGTCAATGTGTCAATTTCCACCGGCTTCTTTCCGTTCCGCTGCAGATCGCAAGAGTTCTATTTTTTCTGGCTTCTTGTCAAAATAAAACACTCTGTGCTTCAGGCGGATTGTATTTCACACCATGCAAACCGGCGGGGACGAAAAACTCAAAGGTTTTTAGATGTCATTTCACCCCGATGACACCATGGATGAGGAGATGCTGATTTTAGAAGTCTAGAAGTAGATTTCCTCCTCTGGAAGGACACAAACTACTGCTTCTATGGTTAGCCTATGTGGCTAAAGACAACTTGTTATCGCGCGATTGCCGGTGAATCCGCGGGTTCTTGTAAGTTCTCGCGATTCCTGCTGTCACCTCACAAACGGATCTGGTAGGAATTGGCAAATGGGGAAAATCGCTGCTGTTCCGGATCGGAGCCGTTCTAAATGCAGTGGAAATCCCGGGTAAGTCAACATGCTTAGAAACACAACTTCAGCAATATTGACACAAACCGAAAGTTACTCATAGGAGCTTTAATGAAGCCCTGATAATCAGTGATGCTTCCGTTTATTTACACTGAATTCTAGATACAGAAAAATGAAGCATCATAAAAATCAATAATCACAGCCATCTATGAAACACTCAGAATACCGTATCCCTGCTGGATTTGAGCTTGTGTGTTACTAAAAATAAACTCTGGGACCTTGACTCTACACACACACCAGTTTACAGAGTATCTAAACCCACACAGACATCTGGATTTGAGCTGATGACTCAGTCTGCCTGCCCGCAGATAAGACGACGTTACAGTTATGAAAATGTGAGAAAAGGCTGATTACGAAGAGTTTAGATGAGGTGAAGAGGTTTGAGATCATCATCTCTTCAACTATGGATGAGTAACACTCTCACGTGCCGGTTTCTAGAGTATTCAAGTATCGGGGAAATAATGATATGATTAAGTTACATGCATCCTGTAAGTCAAAAGAGAAACATCTGCAGGAGGAGGAGGAGGAGGAGGAGGAAGAGGTGTGTTTTCATTCCACACTCACAGCTCCAGTCAGATAAGAGTTTACTTTATCCAACTGTGCATGAAAGCATCTTAACAGAGAGCTGCAAACAATCTGACTTGTCTTACAAAGGAAGGAGCTGGTTAGTAAAAACACCCTCACTCAGCACTTCCTGAGACGTTCCTGTCTGCAGATGGAGGTGCCACTGAGGAAGTCTCAAAGTGAGGTTATTTATCCAATCAAACACCTCCTGATTCACTCTCTTTAATCTGAAATCTCTGCAGGAGTGTTTTATGAGGTCTACTTGTCTGCACTTCATATTTGCACCCTCCCCTCGCAGCCTCTCAGCAGCTCTGGACTCTCTGGGAGCGGAGGACCAGGTTCAGATGTGGGTGTAGAAAATTCCTGCCTTATTTATGTAACCTTTGGTGCACGGCGGTCAGGGGGGCTTTGCAGCAGGCTGTGCGGGGAAGCCTTCAGTTTCCTCTGATCCAAAGATTACTGACACTGTTTAAACTTCAGAGCCCCGACACAGATTCTCACAGACAGAAAATAAATACAGGAGATGATTTAAAGCAGATGATGAGTGATATTTTACTTTTTTTTAGAAAAGAGGAACACACGCCTGAGACAAATCCAAAGTTTGAGCTGCATCATGTCCAAATTTTAACTCTAATAAATGGAAAAATGCATGAAAATGTCTCGTAATTTAATAACAAGCTCTCATTCAGCCCATGTGACATCTCATATGGCTGCATTGCTCATCCTCATGCCTACTGTAAGACACTCCAGTCTGTGAGGCAAAGATCTGCCTGCACTGAACCCCACAATACGTGACACTATTCAGTCCGTAAATGCAACACAACAGAGTCAACTCTTGGAGAAATCACGTGTGCATTCACAACAAGAGAGATTTAACGTGATTAAACCCAGGAATAGTAGAAATGGTGCAGTGTTGTGGAGAACTGTGGAGTGAAACAGTGCAGAGTTTCGTGTTCTTACCTAAATCGGGGTGAATCTTTGATACATTCTTCGAAATCCACCGTCATCTTGGGTTGGAGTTCACTTCTCAACGCGGTTAAAATGCGGATTTCATGTCCAGGATTTGAAGAGTCAAAGATGTGAAGTTAAGTATCCGATACAGCGTGTTTGTCCCCCCGCTCCGTGTCTCCGGCTCCCTCGCTCCCTCAGTCCCGCTCTGAGGATCCGGAGACGCTTCACTCAGTAGTGGATCCTGCGATGCGTTCACGTACTCCTACTATGCTCGGATTTTTCAGATTCCTGTTCTTAACTTTGCACATTAAGCGTTTTTTTGTTTGGAAATTGTGAAAAATATGAAGTGAACTTGTTTTAGTTGCATGTAAGAGTAATTTTGAGGCATTTGTTAATAGACTGAAAATGTCTCTCTTGTGTTTGTCATCTGAATTTTCCACTGTATTGTATTTCACAAACATCTCAGCAAAAGACACTGGTGCGTACAGAGCCCGATTAATGGAAAATACTGGTGCAATAAATTAATTAAAGTTTTTAAGAGGAGATAAAAACGTCAATTAACACACATAGCCTGATGCATTTTTGCCATTTTGACCACCTAAGATTTGAAAAATACAGTTACGCATGCACATATCTTGTTTTCACTCAGATTATTTATGTATTTTTTTAGTTTTGTCGTTTTCGTATCTCTACCCTGCTGCTGTAATTTTGGAATTTCCCCCTGTAGGACTATAAAAGGAACATCTTATCTAATCTAATGATAGAAAATGCTGTAAAACTACATAACAAGACCTTTAAAAACAGAAAACTATTTAAAAAGGGGGGTAATACATTTTTGTGTTACAAGAATCTAAGTGAGGGTAATTTAACTTTGGTTAAAACTGTCACTTAAATGCATCAGAGTCTTTCAATATTTTGCCAGTTGTAAAATAAATCTCCTTAACTCAACTCAACTTTATTAATATTGAGCACTTAAATACTTTTTTAATAGAGCATACAACCAAAGCTGACACAAAGTGCTGTTCATAATAACATAAAAACATAAAACATCAATAAATAGTTGTTTTAAAATATAACAAAAAGCAATAAACTAAATGCCATCTCATGCTGGGTCAAAAGCCAAGGAATAAAAGTGGGTTTTTAGATGGTTTATCCCCTAAAATGAACATTTCTTTGTGAACACACAGGAATCAGAGGCACTGTAGCTTTCTTTTTTTTTTTTTTACTGTCTGTATTTTATTCTACTGTTTTAAATTTTATTCTTTTTATTGTTATCTATTTCTTTTTTTACTTCATTTATTTATCCTATGTAGAGCACTTTGTTTGACTGCTGTCTTTTAAAGGTGCTTTATTAATAAACACTGACTTGACTATCTTTTATCTTGGATAGCTTATAATGACTTAAAAATAAAATACATTTGTGTTAAAGTTAAACATATAAAGAAGCACAATATCAAAAGATTGTTTCTTGGTACAGTTATGAGTCAAAATACTTGGTCTTATATTATTTAACAGCATCTCAGTGTCTCTGTGCTCAAGCTAGAAAAAAATCCGACTGCACCTGAACGCAACACGTGGTCAGCCCTTTGAATGAGTGGAGTTTTGACGTCACATCCCAGCTCATTTGAATGAATACAACACGGTAATCGCAAATAGGGGAGAGTGGGGAAGGATGAGCCATTTGTCATATTTTAGATCACTACATCAAGTCAGTCATAGTTTTGTCTCTAACTAGTTTATCTGCATATATTAAGATGTTGTTCATCCCTGCAAACCAGCAGAATGAGTGTAAACAGAACTGTAATCTTGATAATATAGCATGCCAAAAAAAGTGGTCTCCAATGGTCAACTTACCCCGTGTATGGGGTAAGTTTTTTCTCACCAATATTAAAATCTCATCACATTTACAGGCTCTGGCACTTCTTCGACAAACGGCCCAGTTTCCAGGACTTTAACTAGCAACCACATCAGTAGTTCAGGTTGAATTAAAACTGAAACACAGCATGGTTCAGTCTCAAAATCTGCTTTTTCAGCCACAAAATACTCCAAAGAATTTCCAGCCCATTATTTATCCGAGGGATCAGCCTGTACTTATTTATTATGTTGACATTATGACTTAATTTCAAACCACCTTGGAGAAACCCTGATGTGTTTAACACATCACAGAGCTGCTATATCTGTCCACTTTTCCCGTGCAGCGGTTAAATGAAGTGCATCCGTTTCCTCGGCCAAGCTATTATTAATTCACAGGAAATGGGAAAAGCTCAGAGAAAGAGCGCCTGCTTGGGATTTGACTGCAGGTTTTCATAGAGCGCCATTGTTCCTTCAAATCCCAGCTCGGTCTATGAATGGAGGTGATCTCATCGACTCTCAGAGGAGGTGTCTTGACTGAACTCCACCATCAATCACTGACATGACTGGATCTCATAGAGGAACCATACTCACTTTATCAACCACTGAATCAGCTCTGTGTCTTTTTCTGGGAGCTAAAAACTGCCTGAAGATCTCATCATCTTCAACAGAAATCCAGATAAACTGGCTGTCATTGGAAAAATATGAGAGTATCACCCGTCATTTCCTGTTTTCACACATTCACGTGCTCTCCTGAAAATCTGCAGACGTCACACGGGAGGGAATAGATAAATATTTGCATGAAATAAGAGTGAGCTGATGTGTCAACCCGCTGAGTAAAGTCAGAAAACTCCCCCATTAGTCAGAGGGTGGGGTGATGAGGCCGAGCAAAATATGTGACTGTGCACTTTTTGGTCATTTTAAGTCAGAAACAGTCAAGATTTTCACTCTTCACAGCATCTAGTTGTGGGAGCAGGGGCATATCTAGAGGAGGTGCCTTGGGGTGGCACAGCCCCTTTTGTAATCTGATTGGCCGCCTTTTAATGCAGTAAACGGTAAAGCTTTCGACTTAATTGGGTATTTGTTTTGGCAGAGGCAGAATAAACTAGTTTGACTGTGTTGAAGTTATGGTTACGTACAGTGGTGGCCAAAATTATTAGAACACCTGACAGAAATGAAAACATTGAACTTTTTTTTGCCTCCAAAACATGATTTCCTTTCAAAATGTTCATGATGCATGCAGATGGTTGCTCTGAGCACAACAAATATCAGATTAAGTGAGTCCTACTGTTTTTATCCACTTTTAACTTTAATATTTGGTATGTCCACCTTTTGCAGCAATTACAGCAGCACATCTCTCTGGCATAGTGTCAATATATTTCTTGAGAACTTGAACACTAATATTATCCCATGCCTTCTGCAACTCAAGCCAAAGGCTTTCCTTTGAATGTACAATAGATCTGTCCAGTTTATTTTCCAACTCGCCCCAAATTTGCTCAATGGGGTTGAGGTCCGGACTTTGAGGGGGCCAGTCCATCATTTTCAATGTTCCAGCAGATTCCTTCTGTCGCAGGTAGTTCCGGCAATACTTAGAAGAATGTTTAGGGTCGTTGTCCTCTTGGAAAATAAATCCAGGCCCAATAAGACGACTCCCAGATGGTACTCCGTGCCTCACCAGAATGTTGTGGTATACTTTCTTATCCATGATGCCATCAATTTTCACTAAGTCACCTGTTCCTGAGGCTGCAATGGCACCCCACACCATAATACTACCCCCTCCGTGTTTAACTGTTGGCAAGAGACACTCATTTTTATATCTCTCCCCTTCCCTCCGTCGAACATACACTCTTCGCTTGTTGCCAAACTGTTCAAATTTGGACTCATCAGTCCACAACACTTTATACCAATCTCCCTTTGTCCATTTCTTGTGTTCTTTAGCGAATTTCAGGCGTTTCACTCTATTTTTCTCTCTCAGTAATGGTTTCTTTGCTGCTATTCTGCCAACAAGTCCTTCTTCTCCCAGTTTCCGACGCACAGTTCTTGAAGACACTGTTGCACCATTAGTCATTGTGGTGTTGATCTCGTCACGCAGTTCTCGTGAGGTCTTTCTTCGGTCCTTAAGACTGAGAATTTTGAGATGCTTCACTTGTCTGTCAGAAAGTTTCTTTTTTCTACCTCTCCCCTTTCGGTTCTGGTGTGAATTGGTGGCATCATGGCGGTCTAAAGTGTACTTTACAGTGCTTGGACTGCATCTCAAGTCCTTGGCTATGCGGCGGTAACTCCAGCCAGCATCAAAAAGGGCCTTTATTCGAACCCGCTGCTCACTCGTTAATTCCTTCTTCACCTTAGCCATGTTCAAAGAGCAACATGAGCTTCAAGACTACTTCTAGAGGCTTTGAATTTATACCAATTGGTGGTGTGGCCTCAGTGACAAAACCCTCATGTTACCAATCACTTAATGAGCAGGATAGGCCTTGTACGTTCAAAAGAATCACACAGCTGTGTCCTAAGACTTGCATCACCATCAATTTCACCACGATCACACCTGAGAAGGATTACACAAGTAATTTGGCTGCTTCTGTGAAGGAACATGATTGTGTGACACTGACAGGCCTTGCTTGTTTTTTGTATGGAAAATGACCTAAATCTCCTTATGATGGCTCTATTCTAGGGTTTATAGAGCAAAATGATGACTTTGTAGATATTTAATTTGTTTTATGGGTATTTTAATGGCCAACTCAACAAAAACAACTGAAAATTCTTAAATATGCCAAGTGTTCTAATAATTTTGGCCACCACTGTATTTCTTAAAGGGATATTCCGGCGTAAAATTAATTTAGGGTCAAACACAACGTAACACCGATTTAGACACTCCCTTGAGAGATGAATGTTCCTTTAAGCTCCTATGAGGTTTTTTTTTTTCACATTAAGAAAACACCAAAATTCCTGACGATGCCTTTTTATGACAAACAAAAGCAAAGAGACCATCATTTTTTACATTTTCCACATAATGATTTAGCATTAAATGAAACATTTGACCATCAGAAGTCAGCAGGATGAGGTTGTTGTTGATGACAATGCCTACTTTGTCCACAGGGGGCGCTAAACTTGACACAAACTGATAGTTCCTCACAGGAGCTTTAACTACAGATTAAACTTTTTAATTAATACCTTTTTCATGATTATTTTACCATAAATTTGATGTGAACAGACTTTATGTGACTTAAAAGCTGCTCTGGACTCAGGTACTGACACGCAGAGCTCGAGGGAAAACTAGTTTTTTTAATATTTGAACTGAAATTTCAAGTAAAAACTGAAAAACAGCTTCGCCTCTAGCTCTGCACGTCTGCACTTGTGTCTGATCAGACTCGAGGCAGTTTGTGGCACTTCATCGTGTCGTCAGAGATCCTTACTTTGTTTCCTACCTGTTTTTGCACAAAACCATCTGCTAAATAAAAGTGTTGAATCTAAAGCAGGTGCTCCATCCACACGCTAGCTCTGTTTTACACGTCCTCCACTTCTCCGGGGGACTAAAGCAGCTATTTTCCAGCCCTCTGACTCCCCTCCCTCCCCTCCTTCACCATCCCTCCTCTCCCTCGTAGCTTCATCCCCGGTTCTTTTCCTAATCTGAGATCAAAGCACCTCCAGCTTCTCTCTGAAGCTGTTGAGTCAGCATTTGGCTGATCTAAATGTGCACACACTGCTGGAGAAACTTCACAGTAACTTGGTAGCATGCATATATCCAACACTGCTCTGAATTTTAAAGGAGGAGCAGCAGCAGCAGCACATGGTCATAGGTAGACATTTATGTTCCCCCCCTTTAGCATGAATGGTAATAGCTCGGTGATCCTGTTAAAAGCTTGGGTAGGCAACTTTGGAGAAAGCAGCAGAATAAGCTTGTTTTTCCAACTTTAAAAAAATCACAATCTTAATCTCCAGACTGAACTCAGAGGAGTGTTGGGAAGAGTTTTGTTATCTCTACCTATCGGCAGGATCTGTCCCTGTTGCGGACTCGCTGGCTTTCACTAAATGCCTGTCTTATCTCGAAGAGGAGGACTCTGGCCATGTCTCAAAAGCACACTAGCAGATTCAGGAAGGCATGAAGGTAAGTCAACAGGACGACTTTCAGGTCAAATCCTGAAGTAAAAAATTGAGAATTTAACACTTAATTCAAAAAGTTTCATGAGATAATGGAACAACAATTTCAGATGAAAACACACACTCGGTTTTTAAAGGCAACAAAGCTGCTTCAACTACATTATTCTGGCGTAAAATTATGTTAGGGTCAAATGCACAGTAACACCGAGTTAGACACCCTCTCGAGAGATGAATGTTGCCAACCGCTTGCTTCTCTAGTTATACCAACTTTAGTAACAACCGCACGATAGCAATACACAGCGGTCTACGTCTCCATGCGCAAACTTCAACCAAAACGCCACTCTATAACCACAAATAATGCTCAGAACAGCACCTAACTTAATCAACAGGACATATAGGGTCATAGCCATAGTACTAGACACCAAACATCTTTTTAACTTTGACTAATTTCTTGAGCAAAGAGACTAAACACAACTCACCTACTCTCTTCCAGCAGCAGCTTGTTTGTAGCGAGACCTCAGGCCAATCCATTATGGACTACAGTGGGGTTTCGCAGCTCAAGGAAGAACATTAACGATCATTACTTTATCATTTCCTTAAAGTAATAATCACCGTATTAATCATTTTGCACTGCAGACGCTGTAGTTCTTCTGCCTTAGCATCTTGATCTGACTGCATTTCCATGAAAAAATTATCATAAATGTTCTTCCTTGAGCTGCGTCACCCCGCTGTAGTCCGTAATGGACTGGCCTGAGGTCTCATGACAAACAAGCGGCTGCTGGAAGAGAGTAGGTGAGTTGTGTTTAGTCTCTTTGCTAAAGAAATTAGTCAAAGTTAAAAAGATGTTTGGTGTCTGGTTCTATGGCTGTGACCCTATATGTCCTGTTGATGAAGTTAGGTGCTGTTCTGAGCATTATTAATGGCTATAGAGTGGCGTTTTGGTTGAGGTTTGTTTATGGCTCCTCAGACTGCTGTGTATTGCTATCGTGCGGTCGTTACTAAAGTTGGTATAACTAGAGAAGCAAGCGGTCGGCAACATTCATCTCTCGAGGGGGTGTCTTACTAGGTGTGATGGTGTGTTTGACCCTAAATTAATTTTACGCCAGAATATCCCTTTAAGACCTTCAAATGAGGGCATGTTTACTGTGAAATATAAACACCTCCCACTTATGGTGTTCACGACAAGGTGGGTCGAACCTTTACGAAAGTTTGAATTCACCAGCAGTGATGAATGATGTCTCAGAGAAACTGGAGCAGGCAGAATCTTGTTTTGGGTGGAAAATAGTGAGTAAATATGTTCAGATTTTCTCAGTTCACTTCCTGATTTTGTTATATTTGTGGCTTTATTGTAAAAGCGTGTCTTTCTTAAGACTTCCTGCAAAATGTGAAGACAAAAAGGCCAAAATATCTCAGTAGGCGGTATTGCAAAGATGCAAATTCAAGGACTTCCTAAAATGCAGCAGCACCCCCCCTCAGCTAATCATTGATGATTTTGTCAGTTACATGATTTCCAGCACACGCCAGCGCTGATCTTTCTTGATTCATGTCCTGCAGCTTCCTGTTTCAAGTGTAAGAATAAATCTCTCCTGCGTTGGTGCGGGAAAAAATGAGCAGGAGGGAGATGTCAACTCCTGTTTTTTTTGCTGCCATCGAAGGCCCTCCTCGTGGCAGACACAAGCGCTGCTGCTGCTGCTGCAGTGTGGATTCATTGGGAGAGATGTGTGGGTCTCTGGGAGGTTGACCTACTTTTGCTCCCCCCCTTTTGGTCTGCTAAAGAGAGCTGCGAGTTGTGCTGCCGAGCACACACACAGCATGTAATGTTATCCCTTCTGACTGCAGGTGCAAGGCTTTACAAGACACTACCGACGAGGCATGTACAGATGCTGCGAGGATGTGCTGTATTATGCATGCATATGTCCTCTCAGCACTGACTTACTTTAAAGTAGGTTCCCAAATCTGTGGTGAATTCATTTTAATCTGCGCTCACAATGGTGGCGATGTGGGAGTGTACTCTGAAGGTGGATGGTAGTAGACATACCGCCATGCTTATACTACATACTGTGGTAGGAGTAGATGTAGAGTGTGGAGATATGTTCGAGAAAAATTCAAATCTTAATATGTTTGAGCGATGAATCTTTGAATGAATTGAGAAGCAATAAGTAAGAAGTCCAATATGCCAGTGATATGAGGGGAAAAATGTAATAAAATCTACGTTCTTGTGTCTCTTGAGCACAAAAAAATAATGTTCAGTCTTGTTTTAAATCTCCACAAAACTAAAAAAAAAGGCACTACTCACTATTTCAGGCGGGCAGGCTGCAGTATTTTTGGCTGAATGACTGTCGGCAAAGAGAAAACAACAAACTGTTGTTACACAATCTGTCTTTACAAAGATTGAATGAAACAGATTAAGTGTATTTACTTGTATTGAGTTTAAGAGTAGCAGTGAAAATTGGTTCAAAATCCAGGACATGGAAAAAAAATAAGGATATATTTTATTCGATGGGATCTTTGCTTGTATGTGAATCAGTTCAGTCAAACTTTACTAAACTACTAGACTCCAAAAACAAAACTTAAAAGCCTGAAACCACAAATTATGGCCAGAAAATTCTATTTTTTTGGGGGGAGTTGAAATGTTTATTTTACTTACTACTGAAAACCAAAAAAATCAAAATGTCCTTAAAATTTTACAAATTTATTTATTTATCTCGTTTGATAAATTAGATATTTTTGGAAACTGAAAACTACAAGAGGACATTTTTATCATTTATCGGACTGTACTCAGGTGTTTTTTTTAGTAATTTGTTGATCGTATTGATTTGATTTAAGTATCATAATAGTATGTATCAAATATGATACAAAAGGCATTAAAGGGCTAGGGTGACCTTATTCTGACTTCCTAAAAAGAGGACACGACTACGCAGGGGTGGAGTCACAGAGTCGCACGAATTTTAATTTTAATCCTTCACGTGACACAAGCTCGAAAACGTACAAAACCGTGGACATTCGGAGGATTTTATAAACTTCCCCGGACAAACCTGGACAGGCCCCAAAAAAGAGGACATGTCGGATAAAAGAGGACATTTGGTCATCCTACGAAAAAACCAGAGTCAAGGGGTCAGAAGTAGATCTAACAACATGTTGAAGAATCCCAACAAAGTCCTGGGAACCACTCCACTCTGAGAGACATCATGTTGTAATCCAAACTATTTCAATAAATGATACTGATCACATCCACGTGCAAAAGCCCTTGACACATGACCGTTCTGAGGTTGAAAACCGCTCCATCTCCAGAAGCTGTTTGCAGTCATGCTAACATCAGTGCTGACTTATTTAGCAGCCCTGCCTGCCGATGCACATCAGCCAGTGAAGCTAAAGCGTCAGCTAAAGTGCTTCTCTGCTTCTGCAGCTCTGAGCGCCGCTCATTGGGTCGATACACCTTCAAGCGTGCATCTTTGCTGCTGCTGCAAAATAACTTTGCATAAATGAAGCTGTATTAGAAATTAAAGACGACTCCTTCAGGGATGTAATGGCTAGTGCAACACTAAGAAAAGTACTTTTATTTAAGAGGTGAGAAGACAGACAAAAATTTTTTTTATTCTTGATACTTCTTGAGCAGTGAGTAATCTTTAACTTTTCAGGAAGCCACTTTTTATCCAGCAATGTCCAAAAACTACATAAAACATGCAAAGGAAGATGAGTAATTATGATAATGTTTGCTGAGATATTTATGAATGAAATATATTCAGAACATATGCTAACACTAATACTGATCTGCACATAGGGCCATGCATAGCTTCTGCATGTGATTTAAAAAAGTGGGGCAATACCCATAAGGTTATAGGGTTGGCAATCTTGCATATCTTTAAAGCTCCCATGAGGAACTTTCAGTTTGTTTCCCCTTTGGTGCCCCCTGTGGCCAAAGCAGTCTTTACTAACTTTGTCCTCTACATGTTTTAAGTAGATATGTATGGTGGCCGAGCATCTCCCCTACGTTGCGTTTTTTTTTTTATTTGCATCCTTTGATTTTCTCAGTAAGTAACTTTTTTTTATTCATCGCCATTTTTTTTTTTAAATTTGTGTCGTTAACTTTCATTGTGGCTTTTTTTTTATTTGCATCATTTTATTTTCGCAGTGAAGAATCTTTTTCTGCACTGTTTTTTTTTTGCAACGGCTTTAGGTTAATTTTTTATTTTGTTTTGCATCAGTAGCTTCCGTTGTGGCTTTTTTAAATTTGCATTCTTTTATTTTCGCAGTGAGTAATTTTTATTTATTTTTTTTTGCATCGCCACTTTTTTTTGCTTTGTTTATTTCCGTTGTGGCTTTATTTTTTTCTGCATCCTTTTATTTTCGCAGTAAGTAACTTTTTTTGTGTTTTTAACTTCCGTTGTTGCTTTATTTTTATCTGCACCATTTTTTTCTTTTTACATGCAACTTTGGCTTTGGCTTCTTTTTTGTTTTTTTTTTGCACCGGTAACTTCTGTTATGGCTTTTTCATTTGCATCCTTTCATTTTGGCAGTGAGTAACTTTTTTAAAAAATTTTTTGCATCACAGCTTTTTTTTTGCGCTTCTGTTGTGGCTTTCTTTTCCTTCTCTGCACTGTTTCTTTTTTCATTTGCAGTGGGCTTCGTTTTTTTGTTTTTTTCCATCAGTAACTTCTGGTGGGGCTTCTTTTTTTTTTGTATTTTTTTTTTTTTTGCAGCAGTGGCGGTTCTCAGCCACCGTAGCTATGAATATAAATTTTTAGTCTATTTCATCAATGCCAAAAAACTCCCAACAGGAGCTTTAAGGACCATTGAGGGGCTAGCATAGCAGAGTCAGAGGACGTGGCTGCGTATTTGGGAGTTGAACAGTGTTTACAGTCACAAATTAGCACCTTATCGTCCCTTTGCAAGTCTATCTTTGAGAACATACAGCTCCACGGTAACAAACAAACCCTCTCTGGAGCAGTGAGTAATTTAAAGCTGAGACCTCTGCTCTGTTGCGAGTTAATCGTGTAAGTGTAAGCCTAATTACTTCAGGAGTCACAGGCTTTATAGTCGACCCGGCTCCTTATCCTCTGCAGCATGTTGTTCCTGCCAGTGATTCCTGTGAGAGAGAGACAGTGACAGGATCCCGTAAAGAGGGTGAGTACTGGGTCAAAGCCGGAGCAGCTGGAACAGAAACAAAGGGAAACAATTTTCAGGAAGCCTGTTTCACTGCGTCAGCTTAACAAGCATCAAATATTTAGATTCCCAAAAGCAATAACCCTCTGCCAGGTGCTGGGATGTTAGAGTTCAATGGATGATAAGACAAAGGGTCATGTGCGGTCAGAGAGACACATAATTTAAGTAGAAAAGCAGCCAGCCTATAAAAGATTAAGAGTTTGAATAAAGCTAGAGCAACAAATAAAAACATGTCGTAGAATTTGATCTTACCTTTTATGGTAACAGACGGCTTATTGTGCGATCAGAAAACCCCCTTTTTTTTAGTGATGGGTACGGCAGTTCTTAGATGTACTGAATCACTAGAATCAGTTCACTAAAAAGATTCATTCAAAATATACGTAGACCCCTTATAGTTGCTCAGTCCGCTTATCATAAAAGACTTCAGGTATGTTTCTCTCACAAGTCGCTTGCAAAACTCGTGAATCGCTGGTGCGCTTTTTTGGGCTTGTTTTTAACTAGTAGTTGCTTATTTGGGGTTTGCTTTTCTGTATGTGTGAACCCTCCTGATTTGAAGTTGAAGTTATTGTTGGTTCGGCTCTCCAACATAGTTCAGGTTTCTCATGTGGCCCCATGTAAAAATTAATTGCCCACCCCTGCCTTGGATAAAAATGATTCCAGAGAGGGTAGTTCACTGCGTGATTCGTTCACCAAGTGATTCAGGTGTCGGAGCGTGTGGTCCCTCGCTCGCCGGCTGCTCGCCTTGCAATGCTGCGTGCACTGGTGACAGCTCAACTGAAGTGAGACATGAACGAATCACTTGAAGAAGTGATTGAGTTCAGTACGTTCACTTAAAAGATTCGGTTCTTATGAACGAATCGTTCGTGAACAATACAACACGACTTTTTTTAAACACTACACAAGAGTCCTGGCTCCAAGTTGCAAACTCCAATTATAAGAAATAAAGCTGATGCAGAAGTGCAGAAAACTGCAGTTCTTCCAGTGTCCACTTGAGGCTCGCTCAAAACCCTCAAAAGTCACATACACACCCATTCAAAATAGGCAATTCTTACAGGAATTAACATGCTTTGGTCTGAATAGCTTATTTCTCTTTTTCAGGGGTTAAATTTATTAAAATAATCACATAAAAAAAAATTTTTAAATGAAGGTAGGGGCCCTTGAAGAGCCCCAAATGAAAGTACACTTTTGGCCGCAATATTATGAAGCTGTAGCTGTTGAAGGTGAGTGACCATAAGCTGAATAAATTGATTTTTTTATGCAATACAGTTATATTTTAAAGGTTTTAACCGGGTTGGGGCTGCAGTGTTAGGGTCCAAAATTATGAGTGATTGAGGCTAAATAAAGCTCAAGAAAACCTGTGTTTAAAAACAAGCCCAAAGTAGACAACAAATTAGCTCGAGTTCATTAATAAAACTGTACTACTTCATAAAAGCAGAGCTGTGAACAAAGAGTATAAGAGTGTTGACAGTGGGGATTATGAACAATGCAAGTGTAACTCCTCTTCTCCAGTGATCCTGAGATAATTGTCTGAGTAAGGGTAAAAAAACAAACAACAGACTCTGAGTGCTTTCTCGTGTTTTCTCGGTTTTGCTTGGACAATTTGTTCATTCCAACAGTTCTGCTCTGCAAACATGTCTGGCCGATGAAGGTGAACATTTGTTTTCCCGAGCACGTTGTTTTTGGGGAGAAAGTAGGGCAAGATGAGCTGCAGGCTGGGTAAGTGCCCGCCCACTGAATCACAATACACACAATAGCTTTAATATGAGCTATAATAACATAACTGTACAGGACTGTCAGGGATCAAAGGAGCACGGTGATCGTTTCGTGATTTCTCCATCTTCTCCTCGCCCTTTTTTTCCCCTCCATCGCTCACAAACTAGTCAAAAATGTTGGGACTCTAATAATGCTTTCTGAACTTCAAAGGGTGCGTTTAATATCAGAGCAGCAGAAACAACAGATCTGAGAGCGTCTGAATAAGGCAGCATCCTCTCGGGTACGGCTGGACGAGATCCTGAGGAATGAATGAGGCTGGTGTTGCTAGGAGATGAGGCTCAGTGCTGCTGAAAAAAGGCGGGATGAAGAAAATCCGTCAGACGAGCTAACTCCCTATTGAAGTCTGAGTCTTTGATGCTCAGACACCACAGTTGACTCGCATACTTCTTCTGGCCGCAGTCCACCCGCCTCCTCTGTGGCTGCACCAAAGTAGTTATAATCACTGATTTTACAAGGTTCTCCAGTTTGAAACAAAAGATACAGGATGTTTTTCTTAATTTGCATGACTTATCATGAAGGCTGTCACATCTACAGCCATGCAACCACCTCTTTAATATGGACTGAATTATCTTTGTATAGGTCAAGCAGCAATCTCTAGGAAGTTCTGCAAACTGCAGTACCACAAGAGTCCACTAGGGATTGACTCCAGAAGCATCATGAGCCACATTCACAACCATTCAAAAATACTTGTCTGGATATATAAATGAAAATAAACAAGGTTACACTCTGGTACAAAAATGATTTTGAAAGAAAAGGGTAATCCAAACAGAGTGGGTTCCCAGGTGTACGATAATTATCGTATTTGCCCGATGTACGATCAATACCCCAGAAAAAATGTGTGGAACAATGGGACTGTCTCAGTCTGCCAGACCGTTTTAGTTTTTTATTTGTGAAACCTAAAGGCGAGCAGCCAAGGTGATTGGCTGCTCAGATGGGAAGTCTGAACATACACTGGTGATGTGGGGCGGGGCGGTGAACGACCACAAAACTGTAGCCACAAAATCGTGAGTGCTTTAGGACGCTAAACACAGCGACTATATGTAAGATTGTTATTTTGATTATGACGGGTGTACGATAAATTTCCCAAAAATACGGTAATTTTGAGTCTCCGGTACTATAATTCTATATTTCCCATCTGCCATATGAATGTAAAAGTGTTTTGATTGGTCAGAATCGGCTGAATTAAATTTCAGTTTTGGGACTTTTGGAGCTTTGCACTAAAGGCTCTTATGCAGAAAGGTTTTGGAAGTTATGCAGCATTAAGACAACTGTGATCAAGCTCTTTGTTTTGTTTTTTATTGAATTTTAAAGAAATAAATGTAATGAAAAATGTCAGTTTCTTATTTCTAAAACACTGCATGAATGTTTCTTTTTCAAACTAAAAAAAAACCACTAAAATTAAATAAATAACAGGCAGATTTGGGGGTTCTCATGTTTTTTTATCTCCCATTTTTATGGCTTCAAAACTCAGAGTAATTGCAAACACAATGCTGCCACCATGTGGTCACAAGCAATCCGTGCACCTGCATTTCCTTCACAGCAGCATCCTACCACATCTGCTCCTCTTTGGTGTCGGATGTTTAAGTCAAACGCTTCCTCTTCCTTTTCTTTACCTCTGTGGAGAACATAGAGGGTTAAAATAACTGTGGAGGACTGTACAGACTCAAAACTGTTGATGACTTACTGACTGAAGCATTACCGGGGTCAGTGTGAGGAGCTGGAGCGGCATCTTCTGTTGTGACTGCAGGTGCTGATGCTCTTAAAAGATATTTCGGTACATGCTGAGAAAAAACAAAAAAAACGAATCATGATTGGAAGTTTATTTTCCAGTTTTGAAACATAAATACTGTTCCAAGAATTTGCATTTAGTCATTCACGTCTGGCTGATATGCATAATCCACTTCAAATCAAGTTAAGAGGTGACCCCCGGCTCCGCAGAGCGCCTCGACTGAGAGAGAAGCGTGACTCAAGTGTTCACTCAAAAGCAGATCATCGACATGCAGCTGAGCACAAATGCCCTTGAGTAAATAAACAAAACCACGTCGCCACATGCCTACTCTTCGGGTGGAGAGCATTAGTCACTGTGAGCCACCTGAAGCTGGTGCTCCACAGAGAAAAAGAAGCACTTAAGAGCCCTGGGAAGATGATACGAGCCTCTCAGAGGTCACGAAAAGTGGGAAATCAAGGCTGTCTGGTTTGAAAGCCTGCAGGTAAACCAGAGAGAGAAGTCACGACAAACCAATGTGTGCTCAACCAGACGCTGCATCAGTAACCCACACAGATAAAGCCAAAGTGGGCCAAGATACCTATTTTCTACTGTAACCGCAAACACCAGCAGCTGCACCAGAATGAGTGCATCTCCTCAAAGAGAGTCTGAAGGAAGAGCGGCGTAGCCACATGTCTGATACATTATCGGTAAGATCACTAAAACCGCCGCGTCTGTTTACCACTTTAAGACTCAGTCTTTGCCCTACTTTCTCCACCAAGTAACTGGTACACCTGATTTTAATCTTTAACTGGCATATAGAAAACAACTGCATGATTCATCATTTTCCTGTAATACATCTATGATTATAATACGAAACCTCACGATTCCCACGGTTTATATTAACTTTTCTTGGTGTATTTTATCAGTAACTTTAGAGGGGATGCCCTGAGAGTCAACATTCATTAATAATAACTCAAGTTACTCTATGTGAGCCTGAACTTACCAAACAAGTCTGGGGTCTAGGATGAGGATAAGGATCAGCGCCGGCTCTGTTCTGGACCCTCTGGCTGCGTCTCTGCTCAGTGGAGCTGCCAGGGCGATTCATAGTGGAGGGACGAAGGCGGCTGCTGGTGGATGGAGTCTCATCTGCTTCAGCCAGGAGGTCTGATAGTTCCCCATCACTGATATCCTCATCCACTGAGAGACCATCTACACAGGTACAGTTAAATAACTACATAATAGTCTATACTCCTGTTAAGTAGCAATTAACTTTTAACTTGGCTAAAACATCTGAAATTTTACTTTGCTTTTTGGTCGATTAAAGAACTTTACCTGCATGTTGAGGACAAACTGCACACTCAGGACAAACCCAGTGACCTTCAGGCACGGTCGTTACAGGTGGAGTCAAGCAGTTCATATGATATCTGGAACATTTAGTGCAGTCACAGTATCGGATACTTGTTTTTTTATAATAATGTGAAAGCATTTGAGTGATAGACTGAATGCCGGTATTGGACTTTACCCTGAATCACACTGTGTGCACACTAACAGACGGTGCCTGCGGTCACTGCGTCCACATCTTTCACAAATAACAGCGCTGCTTCCCTCCTCTTCCTCATCACCATCATTTTTCCGTGTTTTGACTTTAATCTGCAGCAACACAAGAACTTTTAGTTTGATTCAATAAGATAAATAAAAGGCTTCTTAAGCATAATGCAAAAACTGAGGTCAAATAGAGGTCACCTTTTTTTGGATGTCTCCCCCGGGATACTGTCTCTGATGGATGAAATCAAAGCTGATCCGATCTACAGGGCAGGTGTTGGCTGTCTGAAACATGAAAGAGAAATAAAATGATTATTCTCTTTAAACAATTAATTGATCTTGTCACTTGTTTGTAGCAAGACCTCAGGCCAGTCCATTACGGATAACAGCGGGGTGACGCAGCTCAAGGAAGAACATTTATGATCATTCATGGAAATGCAATCAGACGGAGACGCTACGGCAGAAGAACTACCGCGTCTGCAGTGCAAAATGATGAATATTGTGATTATTACTTCAAGGAAAAGATAAAGAAATGATAATGTTCTTCCTTGAGCTGCGTCACCCAAGCAGCTGCTGGAAGAGAGTAGGTGAGTGTCCTTTAAGTAATATCAAATGTGTCAGTGGTAGGTTTTAACACTTACAAATGTTTCAAAAGCTCTCATAAGTGTTAATTAACGTTTATTAATGCTTATTACAAGAACTTTGATATAAAGTGTTATCTCTTTAATGGACTTAAAAGTGATATTGTAATTCCGAGATATTGATCATGTCACACACTTGCAGTGACATTTAAATAGCATGATAATGACAGGTGAGGTGTGTGTTTACCTGAGACCACTGCAGGATACACTGAAGACAAAACACATGCTGGCAGTTCTGCAGAGAGCCCACCTCCTGATCCTCAAAAGGACTCAAACAGATAAAACACTTCACTGGATCTGTATCATCCAAACCTGCGGTATCAACCACACGTGAATTATTATTCATACTTGATGTGATTTTAATCATAGCAGTGAAGCCACTTCTTCATTTAAAAACCGCTTGATATGGTAAAATACACACGAGAGTTTTACATCGTTTTTCAGCTGCACCGTCAAATAAATTCGACTAGCCGCTAGCTGCTAGTTTCAATTTCCGCGCTACGCAGAACGACTTCCGCCCAATCCTTTCAGAATAAAACCGCAACCCCAAATACTTCTCAAACGACCGGAACATCAACTACTCCTTTTTTTTGATGCAGTTTAATAAGATGATTTTAGTAGAGCAGATATTAAATAGAGCACGTAAAAAGCTAATATTATCAAGTATCCTAAGGGGATTTTACAGTGGACAAGAACCACCACTGCTGCAAATAATAAAAAAAAGAGTGCAAATAAAAAAAATTAAAAAAAAGGAGTCACAACGGAGAGAAACCGAAGCCCATCCTTTTTTTTCGCAGTAAGTATTTTTTTTTTTTCTTTTTTGCACCACCACTTTTTTTTACGTTGTTAACTTTGTTTTTTGTTTTTTTTGTTTTTGCACCATTTCTTTTTTAATTGCAGTGGGCTTCGGTTTCTTTATTTACTTTTTTTTTTTGCATCAGTAACTTCCGCTGTGACTTCTTTTTTTTGCATTCTTTATTTACAGCAGTGGCAGTTCTCGGCCACCGTAAAATTTAACTGCATGGTTTAGATTTACACAATGAAACAAGAGTCCTTGCTTATAGTATTTGACCCTGGCATCCTCAAACAGGTGTATGCACCCATCTGTCATTATGAATCTGGTATCATCACATAGTTTACATTGTTATTTTTTCTCAAACCTCCATAAAATGTGAATCATGTCTGCACAAATTATCTAGTGCTAGACTTGGTTTAAATATACTTATAGTTGCACTAATAATTTTGCACCAACAGTGTAAAAAGTGCCTCCAACAAAAATTAAAATATTAGGTCAAGTTGGGGACACTTTCTTCTTTCATTATGCAAAAGTCAGTTTGTTGCAAGTATTTAGACAGAGGCATGTCCTGAGTAAGTGAGTGAGACGCGCTGATATTCAGCAGCAACTTCAATATCTGAACTGTGATGCTGCTCAAATCGAGTCACACACTCATGTCCCCAAAACTGGGTCACTGTCCTCCAGAAGTATTTACAGTCTTTCAAGGAACACGACGCCCTTTTGACTTTCATTTCTGTATTTCTGTGTTTACCTTTTGCTTTTGTAGTTGTTTTCTAGTGCAAATGTTGTATTTCAAGATAAACATGGCAACACATTTCCACTCTAAATATCTTTTGACACTGCCGTGGGCGGGTGATAAAAGTAGACTGTGCATGAGTGAGCATCATTTCCTATTCTTTTCTCAACAGTGCACACCTACAGTACACCGACACAGGAAATTAAGAGGCAAGAGCAAAGAGCAGCATGGTATTTACTCACCGTGCTCTGAGACGAGACTCTGCTTTTATCTTTTGAGTCTCTAACATGCAGTGTGGCTTTCTGCATTTGGAGATCAGACTAAGCAGCAGCTAAGGAACTCGGTGAGCAAACTTTCTTATTCTACTGTACCGTTTTTGAGCTTTAAATGTAGTTTCAGATTTTCCAAATGAGATCTGACATGTAGAAAACCGCAGCAGGTTAAGAAGTTTTTATAGAATCACAATCATTTGTTGACTTGACTTTAGAGTTTTTATCAGTTGTAAAAATGTATAGCCTCGCTATTAGTAGAGAAAACTTGAGAATACTACCCCTGTTTCTAAAAAGTTCAGACCCTTTAAAACCACACTAATGAAAATAATGCAAAGACAAAATATCAATTTGCATGTTTTCACAAGATGGAACAAAAAGGGCACTCCAGAGAGGGTGAATCATCCAGAAGAGGTTTCTCACTCTTTAAGAGACTGCAAGAGCAAACATTAAAAAGATTTCAGAGTTAAAGGAATATTCCGCCGTAAAATTAATTTAGGGTCAAACACACCGTAAAACCAAGTTAGACACCCCCTCGAGAGATGAATGTTGCCGACCACTTGCTTCTCTTGTTTTACCAACTTTAGTAACGACCACAGGTTAGCAATACACAGCGGTCTGAGGAGCCATAAACAAACCTCAACCAAAACACCACTCTATAGCCACAAATAATGCTCAGAACAGCACCTTACTTCATCAACAGGACATATAGATATATATGCATATACAAATATACATATATGAAGAAGTTAGGTGCTGTTCTGAGTATTATTTGTGGCTATAGAGTGGCGTTTTGGTTGTGGTTTGCATGTGGATCCATAGACCGCCGTGTATTGCTATGGTGTGGTCGTTACTAAAGTTGGCATTACTAGAGAAGAAAGCGGTTGGCAACATTAACCTCTAGAGGGGGTGTCTAACTCGGTGTTGCGGTGTGTTTGACCCAAAATGATTTTACGCCGGAATATCCCTTTAAGTTCCTCAGCATTTTTTGCAAACTTAGTGATTTTATATAAAATCTGGAGAAAACTTGGAATAACAGGGACAAGCCTGAAAGCAAAAACTGGATGGCTGTGATCTACAGGTCCACGGCATTAAAAACAGATATGACTCTGTAGTGGGAATCACCACATTGGCTCAAAAAGACACATATGTGACTGCAGGGATAGCTCAAATATGTAAGAAGGCACCTTTAATGGAGCAACATATGCTTCAAGATCCTTATTCTGCACGTATTACAACACGGCTCTGTAGTAGAAGATTTGCTGAAGTAAGTTTTTATTTTGAGGCTTGTTCTGCAGGTGTGAAAGTAAAAGTGGAAACACACTGACAGGAAACTTGTTTGTGTCGCTGCAGAGAAAGAAAACTGCAGCGTTTGTAAGAATCAACCTACGCCGCGATCAAACCTGTGAAGATGAATGTGACTGACAGCTGCAGCGTCCCGTCAGCGGAGTACCAGTACTACCTGTTCCCAGTCGTCTACATCCTCTCTTTAGTGTTCGGTCTACCGGGAAACATCTCCGCCTTCTTCGTATTCGCCTTCAGGACGACTCCCCGCACGGCTTTCAGCGTCTTCATCAGCAACCTGGCGCTGGCTGACATCGTCATCCTCCTCACCCTGCCGTTCAAGATCCATTACCACCTCAACAGGAACAACTGGGTGTTCGGGGACGTCGCTTGCCGCGTCACTGGGATTCTTTTCTTCGCCAACATCTACTTGAGCATCTGCTTCATGTCGTGCATCTGCGTGGATCGGTACATGGCGACCGTTCACCCGCACACATACCTGCGGTTGAGGAGCCCCCGCTGCTCTCTGGTTGTGAGTGTGGGGCTGTGGTGTGTAGTCGGGGTCGCTATGTTGGTCTTCGTCCTCATGGGTCCTCTGGAGACAAAAAAGGACGTTTCTGGGAGCCACAGCTGCTTCGAGAACTTCGCCAAACAAGAGTGGGACAAACGTTTGCGGGTGTACAGCCTGCTGAGTCTGATCTTCGGCTCTCTGGTGCCCTCTATCATCATCCTGGTGTGTTACCCGCTGGCTGCGAGGCGAATCGCCATGATCAAGACCACAACGGCCCAGAAAGCGGTGAGAGTCATCTACATCATCATCGCTATAACGCTGCTCTGCTTTCTGCCCAATCACATGGTGTATCTGCTGCACTTACTGCGGCGGATGCGTGTCATCCAGAGCTGCTCCGCTGCCAACGCCATCTACCACGCCAGGCGGGTCACCATGGCGCTTGTCATCCTCAACACGTGCCTGGACCCTGTGCTGTACTACATCACCACCAGCCACTGCAAATGGAAGAACTTAAAGATAACTTTTCCCACGGGGAGATTCAGGAGGCGCAGAGGGGTTTACACCATCGCCACTTAAAGACGACAACGCACACATCACGGTCACAGCGTGCACAAAAGCAAACTTTCCTATAAAGAGGTTTATTTTACATCCAAACAAAGAAACGTTTCTAATAGAAATGAAAAATGTCCATGAGAATCTGCAAATCTGGGCTGGAGCCACTTTAAGTCCATTATCACGACTAATTTCCACCTTTTTGAAGTTTACGGGTAACTTTTTGAGATCTTCAGCCGCCACAAATCCAGGCTTGGCAGAGTAGTTTTCACAGTTTAGGGGCTAAAGTTACACGGAGAGTCCCTCAGCAGAGTCCAGATGGAAGCCCTTTTTTCAGCAGAGTCGAGAGGAAACTCCCCAGGTCCTCATCCTGGAACAGACAGCAGATAAGCTCCATTTTTAATTTGAACAGAATCAGATCAAAATACTACGACGTCCAGAAAAAGCTAATTTTTACCCATACTGTAAAATATTTCATGTCATTTGAATCTTGATGATTAAAGCTCACAAAAATCAAAGGTCCAATCCGTTTACTTCTTGAATTTGTCTTTTTCAGAGACTTTCTAAAATGTACAACTTGACCTGCAGAGGACTAACTCTAGCATCCAAAAAGTTTGTTTCTAACCTGAAATCCCCTGGAATAAAACTGTAAACCTCTTATTTTTGCATTTACCAGAGTTTGTTTGACCTCTTTTTGGTTCTTTCAGAGTTCGCTCAACTAGTTTGACATACAGATGTATTGTTAACAATGACGGAGAAGAAGAAAACGACTGTAAACTGTATCACCCTGTTTTTGTAAATTCAGTTTGTGTGTGTAAATTTGTGGGCTTGACTTGTGCGACAGTCTGGATGGTAAACACGTTTGTTTAAGTTTTGGCACAAGATGAATATTTGGGAAGTACAAAGAACTTTGTGTATAAAGTTTGTACAGATTTATTCAGGGTTCCTACACAGTTGGAATTTCCATACTTTTCCGTACCTTACTTTTTAGAATTATTTTTGCAAATACCTCCTTTTCTATTTTAGAAAACAGTATTTCATTACTATGGTAACATAGTCTGTTAACATAAATATTTTTCCATACTTTATTTTTCATTTTCCAAACTTTTTAAGACCTGGAAACTGATCAAATTACTTCCATACTTTTCCATACTTGTGTAGGAACCTTGTCTATAGGACGTGGTAGGAAACCTAAGTTGATACCTTATAGTCTTTTTGAAACGTGCTGTTTTTAGTTTGATTATTGTGTATTTTTAGTTTTGTTTATTCTTTTTTGTTGATCAGGTCATGTAATAAATAAAAAAATCCCACAATCCTCAAATATTTGGCACTTTTTCTCATGAGAAAAGTGAATTTAAGCTCCTGTGAAGAGTTTCTGACCGGTTACAAACAGAGTGAAATACATACTGATGTGGCTTCATGATATAAAAAGACAACATGAGTGACTATTTTTGAACAGTTATCTCAGTACATCTGAAACCACGGATGTGAGGAGGTGTCAGACTAACTGAGGAAACTGTTTTTTCCCATGTTACACAGCACAGACTCTTAAGAGAATAAACTTTTTACAGTATAAAAAGGAGGATAAATTTGAAGTTCAGAGATTATTCTACTTTTTACAGCACACACACTAACACCAATTTGGAGAAATTCTTCCATCACAATCAGCAGCAAACGTTCGATCTCTGCCCACAGTCACATTTCTTCTGCGTTCATTTGAGACAACTCAAGTTAGAAAAAGTGACGGACACACAAACGCTTTCATTTTTCTCCCCTCTGCGTGGAACACATGAAGCCGCAGACGCTCTTCTCCTTCCACTGCGTCGAGTTCAGCAGCGCGGTTTCCCCTCCCTCTACTTTCATCTGCTGTCTCACTGTGGAAAAACCCACCGAGTATGCTCTGCCCACGCGAATGTTTTCACTTCGTGTGGCTCATCAAACCAGATTGTTTAAATAGTAAAAAACAACCAGCATACTATGGCATGAAGACAAAAACACTGAGCAGAAACATGAAGTATTTCTTAATTTTTGTGCATTTAGCTTCTTTTTTCTCCATCTTGGCTGCCATGAGGTCTTGTAGTTGTTTTGTTTGATACATTTTTGATAGTGATAGTGATAGTGAGGAGTCCAACCAGCCGGGAATCAAATCGAGTAATTGCTGCTCATTTCTGCGCTGGATGCAGACTCATGCTGTCACCTCAGAAAACGAGGCGTTATGATTTCACGTTTTTTACAAAATCAAGAAAGGAGGTTTTGCATCAAGACCGTTTATAGAAGAGGAAATTTAATGCTTGCATTCATTTATAACAGATCTACAATAACTGAAATGTTCAAATGAAAACAAGAGTTAATATTTTATCTCCTCATCTCTGAAGGACAAAAGCTTAATGATTTCAGGTCTTTCCTTTAGGTGCAACGTGCAACAGAGTCTGAAACCCACAGGATTTTTTTACATTTCAGTTAGCTCATTTTTAACTTTAAAGAAAAGATTTAACTTTAAGTCTCTCCTAAAGGTATAAACAAGGAAGTATCATTCATAGATAAAGTATCAACTAACACAGGAAACGTGTTTAAGGTTATAAAATCTTGGTGTCTTGTTTTAGAAGTGACTGTGATAAAAAATAAGATGAGCCTGAGGTCGGTGGTCTCCTACAACTATCTGATGGTCACGTTTAACAACAGATAAAGCAGAGGAAGAGGGAACTGTGGTATGCGAGTACTGACACGCAGCTGAGCTAATCGCGCCATTTCGATTAATTTTTAGTCCGACTTCCTCACAGCAAACAATAATTTATGAGATTACGACACCAAAACTACAACACATCATTCTTCTGCTACAGTCAGAGTCTGTCAGAGTTTGTTTCCAAAACAGCTCAATATGGAGTTCCACAGGGATCAATTCATGGCCCCCTTTTATTTCACCTTTACATGATAATGAAACACAAGCCTACTGACTTGATAAAATGAATAATAAACAACCGTAAACGTCCCTATTCAAAGCTTTACTAAACTCCACGTTGAGTTTGCATGATGTGTCGTATTGCCAAAGTCAAGATATAATCAAAGTGCTGGAATAGAGGATGAAGATGCACAGAAAGGAACTGAAGATTTAGATTTGATTCCTTCTCTTTCAGGAAGCTGTTGAACTCACAATATAAGGAAAAAAAAACCCTAAATTATCAAAATAAGAGCCTAATCATGAAAATCACACCTTTAAATGTCTTTTTTATGATCCCTAACATCTGTTTTTCCTCCCTCCACATGATGATTAGTTGGGTCTGAATGAAAATCGGCTTATATCTACTTCTCCACTTTTTGCCCTTTCTCTGCCTTCTTCAATTGTCACATACTTCTTTTATTTTGTTTAGTTGAATGCTGCTTTTACACCCAAAAATTTGCATTTAGTCCGATACTAAAAGGATTTAAGCCTGTTTAAGTGTGATTGTAAAAAGTGTTTCACCTGATAACTCCAGGACAGTAGGAGGACTTTGCTGTTGGTGTCTTCGGCGGAGGAGGAGACCTTGATGACGATCGACTCCACCATGACTGTGCCGTCGGGGAGATGCTGGATGGTGTAACCTTTTAAAACGCTGAAACAGTGGAAACATGCGGAAGTTAGCGCTTTTTATCTAACACCTCGAGTGTGGTAGATAAAGTGTGTCGAAATATGACTCATGAATAAATATGTCTATCACACCAGCAGTATCTCTTGCATTAAGAAAAGCTAGATAACGGTCAGTCTGGTGTGAATTTTAAAACGTCACATGTGGGTAAGCAGAGGTTCAGTGACCCCTCATGCGGCGCTCCTCTCACCTCTTCAGGTGTGTGTAGACTCTGTGAAGTGTGTCGGTGTCACTGTGCGGGTCTTGGAGCGGCACGCGGCAGGTGAAGCGTAACTGATGTTCGTTGAGGCCGAGCTCCTTCAGGGCCTGCTCCGACGGGACCAGCTTCAGACTCTGAGATCAGGAGAAAAACCGAAGGAGATTGAAATGATTCGCATCAGTTTCACCTTTATGGGGGAAATTCCACGACTCTAAAGGTCTCCAGTAAAATGAAAAATTAAACAAACTTACATTTTCTTTCATGATCAGGGTGCCGTGCATGGTGCGAGGCTTTTTGGGATCAGGAAGAGGACCTTAGATACAAGAAAAAACATGAACAAACACTGGACTATCACACTGTTGCCATGGCACTGAGAGGAAACTCTAAAACCTACCTCCTAGTGCCATCTCCCTCTTGAGCAGGTTGAGTGAGATGTCCACAGGTACACTGGGGTTCGTAGTCACGGTAGCCGTCTCCCCATTGGCTGGCATGTAGCAGTCTATGCCTGAAAAACACAAACAGCGACTTAAGAGGCCGTCTCCCCTACAATCTGGTTCATAGGTCTATCTAAACATACGGACCGAGGTGCACTTACTGAACTCCTGCTCGATCTTGCCCTTCAGGAACTCCATTTTGGCGGCCTCCCCGTGCACCAGCAGCATGTTTCGAGGCTCCGCCATACGGATGAGCTGCATGATGCCCTTAGCGTCCGCGTGAGCGCTGAAGGACATGTACTCCACCTGCAGCTTCACATCCAACTGACAGAGAAATGAGACAGTTAGTAAATATTAGTGTGAAGTTTAAAGGGATATTCTGGCGTAAAATTAATTTAGAGTCAAACACACCGCAACACCGAGTTAAAAACCCCCTTGAGAGATTAATGTTGCCGACCGCTTGCTTCTCTAGTTAAACCAACTTTAGTAACATTTAGGGCAGACAACAGATGCGAGAAGTCTGCTTACATGACGTATATATTGGGAATGTCTAACTCTGAATGTCAATTTAAAAAAAAATTACCAAAAAAAATAAATCAAACTGCTCTGATCAAACTTCGACTCGACTCTGGTTATGATCAAACTTCACTACATCTCCAAAAACCGCCTTACTGTTGCTCTTCCTTCCATCTCCAGCTTCCTCTGCCCGTTCAGGATCTTGTGTCCGATTGTTCCTTGTACACAATATCCCGGCATGATCACCTTAAATTAAAGAAAAAGACAAACTGAGAATTTGTGCAAAGTGCTGTCGTCTGTGAAGAAAACATTTCCCGTAAGAGACTCACCATGTTCTTCTCATTGCCGGCCCATTTCTTAAAGATCTGCAAAGACTGACCCGCATGCAGCATACCTGGTGTCGCAAACACCACCTGGAGGAGCACATGTCGATGTTTGAGTATTAAACATCTTAAATATATACATCTAAATGTGAACATCACTCACCATGGGTCCAGGATTGTCAGCGTAGGAGCGATCGAAAGCCTTAATGTGCTTAAACTCAAACATGTTTCTCTGTACAAAGGTTTTACGGATCTTCTGATTGGTCCAGGTTATAAACAGCTTGTAATAATGATTCGCCTTTTCTGTCAGCCCGGTGGAGAAGTAGATGGGGGCCTTCAGGTTCATCCTCTCCCTGGTGGGCGAGAGGAGATAATTAGAGCAGCCGCTTAACACCAAAAAAAGTTCACACACCACAGCTCTCCTATCAAGCTTAATAAAAGTAAAAGAGCTTTTCAAGGAAGCTTTTAAAACACAGACAAATCCTGACCCCTCTGGGTGCTTATTATTCTCAATTGGGCTGTATCTTTTTATCATTAACATCATTAGCTTTAATTGGGCTTTTTTCTGATATCACTCAGCCGGAGAACGGTTATTATCAGCCCACATCACTGGCCTGCCCTCTCATTAGCAGCTTTTACAGGAGCTCCTTCACATTCACCAACTTTAAACGGGTTATTTTGACGTGTTTGGCTTCAGGTAAGTGTTTTAGGGAATGGAGGAGAAGCTGTACCAGAACGTCTCCAGCAGGATGCAGAGTTCTTGAGCTCTCCCGAGGGCGAAAACCGGAATTAGAACCTAAAAATGAAAGAAAGGCAGTCTGTGATTACAGCAACACTACACTAGTGTCTAAGTATGACCTCTTGGTAGGGCTGGGCGATATAGAAAAAAGTTTATCACAATATATTTTTTTATTTTATAAAAGTTTATCACATTATAAAAATGAAATTTAACAGTGCTTATTGGTAGCATGTCTTTTGCAGTACAATAATCTCCTGCATCTGTGAGGTCTTTGTGTCTCTTTGACGTTTTTGTCGTAAGGTGTTGCGCTAGAGAAAGCAGATTGAATGGTCGGCTCTTTCGGCTCCTTGCTCCGCCTGGGTTTTGTAACCTTTTGTATTGTGCATGCTCTGCCGTGTGGCACTACTTTAGGTGGTGAAAAAGATTTGAGGTATTCCCCGACTTTGTGAGAACATGTACTCGGCATAATTTACATTACAGTACACATTACTCTGCCTCATGTCTGACCTCAAAAAACCAAAATACCTCCACACCACTGACATTTTTGTGCCAGTGTTGTCGCCGATGTCGTCATCTATTGAGCCTTCACCATCATTTCTGCGGGGGGTAGCGCTCATTTTCTTTTTTTCTCAACGACAGTGCTGTCCGCTTCACCTGTCACATTTTAGTCATCTAAGACTTATATTTAGCTCGTCAACGTCCCGTCTTCGTTGTGGATAAAAAGGGGCGTCAACGAAAACAACACTGGTCCCAGCATAATAAAAGCAAGCAAAAAATATCTCTAAGACAGACAGAAGTCATTCTACTAACATTCACAAAAAGAGGTCAAATCAGTGCAGGTTAATTGTCCATGAGACTTCAGCAGTACAGCACAGCATAAAGTGGTTTTCCTGTATTTTGTAATACCACAATATATATCGCAGGGTTGAAAAAAATTGCAATGTTAGTTTTTTCCAATATCGTGCAGACTTATTTTATATTGATATTGAGGGAAATTAATTGTCAATATATATCGTTATCGTTTTATCGCCCAGCCCAACCATATGGTGATGCTGAAATGCCCAAAGTCACACTACAAAACAACTGAACACAAGCCAAGTGCTGCACACACTTCTCACAGACCACCTACTGTTCTCAAACTGACTGTGATAATACCTTTCCTCCTCTCTCTATAGATTCATGAACTTTCTTCAGGAAGTCCCGCTCTCTGCATCTCTTTGAGTCTCGGATGGTGGTGGCGTATGTTGACTCAGAGATAAGGATGTCTGGACGGCACTTATCGATCCACGCGGCTCTGCAAACACGACACAGGTGTGAATGAATGACCCCCACAGGGAGGAGAAATAACCTCAGAGGGAAACAAAGCCGAGGTCGCTTACCCGAGGTGCCTGTCAGGAGTCATGTTATAATCTCCCTGAAAACAAAACAAAAAAAAAAACAAACAGCATGAGATGTGAGCGCTCAAACTGACTGACTAATGCAGTGCAGATCTGTTTACTCACAGTGTAGACCACAGACTCTGATCCCACTTTGATGTGCACCATGGCAGCTCCCAGGACATGGCCTGCATAGTACGCCTTGATCTCCAGCTCATCATCCACCTGCCAGCAGCACAACAGAAACAGCTTGATTCGCCATCAAAAGAGACGAGCAGCTGGCGCACAGATGATTAAGCAACAGATACCTGGAAACACAGCAGACGTGAAATACGAGTACCGCACCTGGACAGTTTGGTGCAGGTTCAGAGGCACCACTTTCTTCATGCAATCCTTGATCATCTGAGAGGTGAAGAAGTTGGTTTCGCCCTTTTTGTCCACTGTGATTTTTCTGAAATCCTCCAGCAGAATGGGACAGATGGCTTTTGTCGGGTGGGTCATGTAAATGGGACCGTCGTAACCCACCATCTCGCTCATGTAGGGCAGAGCGCCACAGTGGTCCAGGTGAAAATGGCTGAGTAAAATCAGGTCAGAACGCTTGATTAATTTACTGATATCATGAAGTTAAAGATAGAGAAGAGTTGTTGTGTGTCCTGTAAATGTTAAAGGGATATTCCGGCGTAAAATTAAGTTTGGGTCAACAGGACATATAGGGTCCCAGCCACAGCACTAGCCACCAAACATCTTTCTAGCTTTGCCTAATTTCTTAATCAAAGAGACTAAACACAACTCACCTACTCTCTTCCAGTAGCCGCTTGTCTGTAGCGAGACCTCAGGCCAGTCCATTACGGACTACAGCGGAGTTTCGCAGCTCAAGGAAGAACATTTATGATAATTTCTTCATGGAAATACAATCAGACCGAGACGCTAAGGCAGAAGAACTACCGCGTCTGCAGTGCAAAATGATTAATATGGTGATTATTACTTCAAGTAAATGATAAAGAAATGATCATAAATGTTCTTCCTTGAGCTGCGTCACCCCGCAGGAGTCCGTAATGGACTGGCCGGAGGTCTCACTACAAATAAGCGGCTGCTGGAAGAGAGTAGGTGAGTTGTGTTTAGTCTCTTTGCTAAAGAAATTAGTCAAAGTTAAAAAGATGTTTGGTGTCTAGTACTACGGCTGTGACCCTATATGTCCTGTAGATGAAGTTAGGTGCTGTTCTGAGCATTATTTGTGGCTATAGAGTGGCGTTTTGGTTGAGGTTTGTTTACGGCTCCTCAGATCACTTTGATTGCTATCCTGCGGTCGTTACTAAAGTTGGTATAACTAGAGAAGCAAGCGGTCGGCAACATTCATCTCTCGACGGGGTGTTTAACTCAGTGTTATGGTGTGTTTGACCCTAAATTAATTTTACGCTGGAATATCCCTTTAAGACAACAAACCTGATGATCACACAGTCCAAGAACTCCGTCAGACGTCCGTTCTGAGTGATATAAGAAAAGTCTGGGAACCGCCTCTGCAATGAAAACACAGATGATTACAGATAATTATAAAACAGAGAGAAATCTGAGATAACAACACAGAATTTAAATCCCTGCTATTACAGTTTATGTAGTGGCAGACTCCTCTCTAACAGTCTAAATTAAATTATAAATCTGTCAGAAAACCAATCAATAAATGCAACTTTACCATAGCAGACTTAATTCACAATGTTTTTACGCGGTTAAACTTATACATTCAGCATAACATCTTACGTTTTGACTCTCTCTTTTATTTATTTTTCTGTTTCTGCATGTGTCCTTTTCTCCTTCACTTTTATAGGAGTATTTTTGTCATGTGAGAAGTTAAACAAGTCATTTTCTTTGTCATTTTAGATTGAAACATAAAACTCACATCATCATTGTATCCCATGTGCATCCCACAGTCCAGCATGATGTTTTTGCCTCCGATAGAGACGAGGATGCAGCTGCGACCGACATCCTGTCCAGCACCTTGGAGAGAGGAGAGAAGTCAGTGAGCGCACCACCAACTCACTAACTTAGCTTCTTCACTGGCTAATATTTGTTAAAAAAGACTAAAACCAGGCACTAACAAGCTGCTTGCAACCATAAAAATAAATAATACATCAATTAAATTTCGACTGAGAGTGAAATATTCAGTTAACTGAAGTTTCTCAGCTGTTGGTTTATGATGTTGACGGAACTAGCTTTACAGATGCTAAATTTTTAGCCACAGTGAGTAACTCACCCAGCGGTGTAACTTTTATCTCAGGCATATTTTCTCAGTCCGTTTCAAAGATAAGTAACATTCATCCACCTCGTCCTGGTGGTCCAAATAGTTTCGACGGTAAATTATTGTCTTAATGGAAATATTTATTGTCTAACTTGTGCACATGCGAGTCATTTTGAATACAGACGTAATTTCTGCACAACGGCAATTCAGCGAGTGTGTAAAATGTTACAACTTCCGGGTCGGCTTTTCAAAATAAAATCGATTTACAATCCACATTGAAAAGTCTAGTTTTTCTTCCCGTTTCTGAATATTGTAGAAAAAGAGGTAACTTGTTCTCATGGGAAAACCATGGGAAAACGCCTGACCAGGACGCCTGTGGATTAAGATAAGAGAAGATAAGGTAAAATGAATGTTCCTTTATTAGTCCCACAGGGCGGAATTCCAAAATGACAGCAGCAAAGCATAGATACAAAAAGAGAAAAAATTAAAAGACAAAAGACTTTGAGTTAGAAACAAGATATGTGTCATATTTACATCTGTACCGAATTTACATAATAATAGGGTTTATTGCACACTGAGGTTCCTGTTATGGAGTCTGACAGCTGCAGGAAGGATTACCACATTAAATACCCTTAACTGTAGAGACCCCCATACTTTCAAATCACTCCTAAAAACGCACCTTTTTAATTTGGCTTTTAACCTGTGAACTGTTCTTTTATTGTTTATTCATATAGTGTCTTTTTTTTAACCTTTTACATCGTTATTACAGTCTCATTACTTAAAATTTTCAGTATTTTAAATTGTGTTTAATATTTTAAAGCATCTTTGAGAACCTGTAAAGGCGCGTTATATATAAAATGCATTATTATTATTATTATTATTATTATTATTATTATTATAAACTCGTGCCTACCTTAAACAAATCACTTCAAGTGATCTTAAATATAGTATTTTTGGTGAAAATTTATTTTCAAACAAATACCAGATGGATAAATAATAAAAACAAACTTGAAATCTCGACAAACAAAAACAGTACACAACTCCAGACGATGGTATCTTATTTTGAAGGCAGTCTCTTCAGTTTCCTGTTTTTCCGGCACGCGTCTGCGCAGAACGGACGGATTAGGGCAGGAATGACCAGTTGTGCCATGGACACTGAAAGACATGCTAAATGACCCTCTTATTACTAAGTTTTACTGCAGGTACAGTACTCGGTCTTTGTCGGTTAAGGTCGGTTATTACAGTTGCTCTGACGCCCAGTTTAGCATTAGCCGTTAGCTTCTTTAAGTCATTCATTTTATTGCTGATCTGCGTTGACCGTCTGCACTTCCGTAAAGAGGAACCATGGCTGATTCTGTGGCTGCAGATGATCAGAAATTCTGCTTACAGGAGGTGTTGGACACTTTCAAACTCTGCTTGACGGAGAATAAAGAAGTGTATCTGGAACATTACGTGGCTGGGTGGCGTGGTCTTGTAAAGTAAGTTCCTCAGGTTCAGGTGTTTTGGCTTCTTTCAGACATATGCAGGTGGATTATGGAGCATCTGCTGTGTTTACTTATCAAATGGAGGCATAAAAACACACATCAAATCAGGAAAGATCATAATTTTTTTGTTTATTTCTCTACAAGGTTCCTGAGCAGCTTGGGCAGCGTCTTTGGCTTCATTTCCAAGGATGCAGTCAACAAGATCAAGATCCTGGTTGGCTACATGGAGGGCGAGAATGGCTCCCAGTATGTCACCATCCAGTCTATGGTGAAGTACGAGCTGGAGAATGAACTTGTGGACCTGACCAAGAGGGGAAGCCACCCAGAGTCTGGCTCTCGTACTCTCCTGAGGCTCCACCGCGCACTGAGGTGGCTGGAGCTCTTCCTGGAGCGCCTCCGTACCAGCAGCGAGGACAGTAAGACTTCTGTCATGTGCTCAGAGTCCTACAACGAGTCCCTCGCCCAGCACCACCCTTGGGTGATCCGCAAGACCGCAGGCATGGCTTTCTGCGTGCTGCCGGGGCGCGCTGCTTTCTTCGAGGTGATGAATGTGGGCACGCCGGAGCAGGTGGTGGCCATGTTAGGGGAAGCTCTACCTCTTATTTCTGAGGTGTACCAGATCACAGAGGAACTTTACACTCAGAACAACATGCTAGATTTACCGTAGAAGGAAAAGAGCTGTTACTTTTACATTTACATGTGTCAATATTTACTACTTGTCCCTGCTGAATGGCTGTTGAGCTGCTGGCTACTGATCCTGTTTGGTGGTTTGAGTATTATCCACTTTATGTACAGTGTTAGATTCCAATAATCTAAATTTAACCAACACTAACCCGATACTACTGCATTACAAGGTTTTAGTATGAAACCTGTGATATTTATAGCGTTGCATGTTTATATTTAGTCTTTTTAAAGCACCTCAGAATGACCTTTAACATTTAACAACATAAAGGGAACCAAAGTGGGGTCCATAGTTCAGTGTTTGCTGCTCAAAGCTGTTTAAGATTTTCTCAAAAGGTGATAAACACAAAGTTTTCCCCAAATTATGACAATGATTATTTATCCGACTGTAAAACTGATCAATAGAAAATTAATTTGCAGCTATTTGTAGAGTTGCTTAATCGTAAATGTTGATTCTTACACAAAATTATCAAGAATTCGAAGGTGTAAGATACTCAAATTGTTAGAAATTCGCAGTTTTTCTTTATTTAACACGAAAATCAATTGTGTATTTAATTTTTACTTGATTTTAATCAAAACGTAGTTAAATCAGAATGTTATGCTCTAGAAAAATGCTTCAAATTCATCACTTTTAACATATTATTATTACTGATGGTAATAAGTATCATCAGATGCACTTTTTAAATTATTTTTCCAGCTTTGGAAAAAGTAGAAATAGTGCCAACAGTGCAAAGTTTCAAACAATTTTAAAAGTTCTTAAAAAAAAAGTGGATTCAACATTTATTTGAAAAAATACTGAACCATCATTTCACTATAAAAGCTTATCCAAATACAAAGACATATTATTCTAAGGAATAAATCTGTTATATCCGATTTTTGTTAATTTAACAAACAAAAAGTTTTTAGCAGTGGACTCAGAGCTGTTGACTTCACTGACATGACCTCATTGCGAAACATGCTGTATGACATGAATGTACTGTATTATATTCTCTTTGTACTGCACATGTGTAGTATCATTGATTCAATACAGTTTTTACAGTGTAGCTCAATAAAATACATTCCACACGTTTTGAATAAACATTTCATCAAATGGCTTTAAAGCTCCTGTGAGGATTTTTCCATCTGTGTTGACTTTAGCGCCGCCCTGTGGGGGGAGGGGGCTAAAGTCCATTCTGGAGAACCAGAGTGAACTAAACAGCAAGAGTTTGCACCCTGATGCACATTACGATGGTGGTTTGCACCGCTGCCCACAGCAAGAAGATAATAGCTTTTATATTATCAGCAAAGGGCCGTCACGTTTAGAGTTAGACTGTTATGGCTTTCTTCTTCTGGAGTGTGGACCACAAATTTAGATCACTGCATTGATCCGGAGAGTGATAAGTGCTCTTAAGTAGATAAGCACTTTAGTATGAGACAGTGAGTAACAAGTTTTCATGGCAGTTGATGGGGTTATAGCACTACTGTGTTGTACCAAGAAGGTTCAGGGTTTGAAACCTGGTGTGGTGGGTCCTTAAGAGTGTAGGGAGAGTTAAAGATGAGGCAGGAAGAGAGTTGGAAGAAGGAGTGAGAGTGAAAGTAGGCCTGTCAGTAAAATAGGGACACTGAAATGCTTTAAAGGACCACATTAATTAGCTTTTTTGCATCAAGACTTTTTGACTTTGTCAAAAAGGAAATATAGGAAATTTTCATTTTTCCATGTTTGACCCTGCACAAAAAAACAATGTGATACCAAGAGGGTTCAGGGTTTGAATCCTGGTGTGGATTCAAACCCTGAATGTCGGGCATGTCCAGACATGTGAGATCAATTCAGTATAGATGTCTGTGTGAGGGGTATACTGACAAAGAAAGGCAGAAGTTAACCTAGAGATGAGAACCAATTTGGATGATAGAAAAATGTTTTTAGTGTAATTTACAGCTGATTGAAGACACAGGTAAAAACCAACCCTTAACATAGTGGGTGCTTAATAAAAGCTCACACAGGAGGAAGGTTAATGTATAGGCTTAACATTTTTGGGATAAAGACTTGATTATACATTTTTATCTAATTAGCCTTGAAAGAGTATTCTGATCACATCAAATCTGCCCAAACAGTAATGTTGTAATCTGACTTTGTGATGACAGGTAATCTGATTACATGTTCTCTGACTACTCTGGGCTAAGTATTGTCATCTCTTATCATATAACTACATCAGGGAAAGCCATCTGGTTAGGCAACATGTAATCTGACCTTTCATGAACAGCAGTGATAATATTTAATCTGAATAATATTAAAAATAATAATAATAATAAGAAGATCTCTGGGATTTTAAAATACTGTCATGATTTGATATTAAAAATAATAATAATACATTTTTTTTGTTAGGGCGCCTTTCAAGGCACTCAAGGTCGCCTTACAATGTAAATAGAATACAGGACAAAAATAAAAGATTAAAATTGAAATAAGATTAAAACCAAATACAATATAATACATTAAAGCATCATATAAAACATTACAATACATTAAAATAAAGGAGGGAGACAGTGCTGTAGGTCAAGTATGTATGTAAGTATGTTTTGAGTTGGGATATTAGCTTTAAACCATAGACTGTATATACTATAATAATAATAATAATAATAATAATAATAATAATAATAATAATAATAATAATAATAATAATAATAATAATAATAATAATCTATATACAGTCTATGGGACAGACCAAAACATTAAGTTCGTGTGTTGAATTAACTGCAGTTACGCACTTCGAACACCAGGGGGTACGTTCTCTGCCTCAAACCGCCGCTGGTCGTCCGGGCAACCACACTGTCATGGCAACCTCGCTGACGCTCAAGAAACTGCACTTCCTGTTGAAACTGGTAACCTGCTAAAACGAGCGAAAAAATACTATATTTAAGTGTTTTTTTAGAAGTTTTAACTTTTGCTACAGCGTCAGTTTGATTCATTTTTCTCTTAGGTGGTCAAAAAAGAGGATAAACGGCGACAACAGAAGCGGGAGGAGTCCGATATCAACTTTGATATGACTTTCTCGCCTCTATTCGAGAAGCACGAACGGTAGGAAACGAGTGGAAAGAGACTCCAAGGCGAGTCAGGAGCCGAAAACCTGCCTTTAAATGCATCTAACACGGCCAAAGTCCTCCAAAGGACGAAGCAGACCCGCTGTGAGCATGGACTACAGCACCCAGAGGCCTCCTCCGTCTCCAGACCCTCCTGTCCTCAACAGCAGGCCGGATAGAAACCTCCGCTCCCAGTCCCAACCTGCAATGTGTCAGAGCGGCCAGATGAGCCAGGATCAAGTCTTTCAGATGCTGCACCTCACCCCAACAACAGCTCCACCACTGTCTCTAAACAGGTACACGGTCCTTCCATCCATAGAGAAGAGACCAGCAGATGTGAGAAACCTGGACAGGCACATGTCAGAGCTCCACCTGTGTGATGACCAGAGCAATGAGGGGCCACATCCTCCCAACACCTCTGAGAAGGACCCCCAAACCTGGCCGAAGCACCCTCCAGATCCAGGACTCGAAACAGCAAAAAGTGACGGATCATTTGGTGGTTTTCTCCTGGCAATCCGAGCACCATGTGGCAGGAGGTTTGAGCAGCACTTTGACCCCTTAGACACCCTTCTGGCTGTAAAATCCAGCGCTGAGGTCAGGTATGGAGTCCAGTATAGAGGAGTATCCATTGAGACCATGGATGTGCCTCGCAGGACCTTCACAGACATGGGGATGAGTTTGGCACAGTGTGGCATCGTGAACAAATCAGTGCTGTGCATCTCTCAGAATGACAGCGAGGCGGAGAGAGTTTAATCTCAAGAGGAAAAGTGATGATTTAAAGTCCTGCTGCAATCCAAAACATGATTTTCTTATTCTTTCTTGAAACGTTGAATCTCACTTTGCAAAAGGATATGTGCGCAGTGATCCAAGTGAAGTTAAAACAGGATATAATCTGGATGTTTTGACTGAATCTCACAGCTGGTTTTGAATTGATTCCAGGATAATATGCAACTAAACTCGAGTGATGAGTAAGTTTAACCTCCACAGGACTCATACATCAATGATTGACTTCTCAGTGATACTTCAGGGTTAAAAAAATCACTTTAATTTACATTTATCAAAGAGGCGAGAAAGGAAAAAAAATGTTTTGAAAGATTTATCCCTACAAGTTTTGTAACTAATAAAAAAATATAGTTAGTTTCTGTAAATCAGTGTCTGTTTTTTGCAAAGTAGCTTTTGCATGTGAGGAATTTGCTCAGTTAATTTTTTTTTTGCATGAAACAGTGAAAATTTTGTTAAAATGCACGCAAAAAGCAGCACCACAACACTGAAAAATTATCCAGAGTATTTTTAAAATCATTAAAACTTGATATTTTTGATTGTATGAAACAAAAAAAAACCCCTCAAAATGAGCAGGAACCTTGAAATAATACATCTGTATTTATTAAAACAATAACCGCTGAGGGTTAATTTTTTAATTTCTAATTTTTTTTATTTTAATTTTAGCATGAAACAATGAAAATTTTGTTAAAATGCACGCAAAAAGCAGCACTACAACACTGCTGCAAAACAAGAAAAATGATCCAGGGTATTTCTAAAATCATTCAAACTTGATATTTTTGATAAGATGAATAAAAATACACTCAAAATGAGCAGGAAACTCAGAAATAATCCATCTGTAATTATGAAAACAATAACCGCCTAGGGTTGTTTTTTTAATTTCAAAGTGAGAATCTTGTTAAAATGCATGCAAATCTCAGCGCCACAGCACAAAAAACCAATCAGAAACTATTTTTAAAATCATTAAACTTGGTATTTTTGATTAGATGAAATTAAAATACTCTCAAAATGAGCAGGAAACTCAGAAATAATAGATCTGTAATTATGAAAACAATAACCGCCGGGGGTTACTCATTAAAAGAACATTTTACTCATCCCTGTGATTCCAGATATCTCAGCAGAAAGCACTTTCATATTTTTATTGATGTCATTTACTCGATTTTCCTTTTTCATTTGTCAAAGCTAAATTGAATCTTCCTGGCTGTCATATTAGGATAAGGAGCGAGACGGACATTTGTGCGCTCATCAAATAAACTGTAACATAATTACACTCTGTTTTTCACAAATATCTTTTATCAGGAGGATCGCTTTCGAATTAAACTCTGTGTCCTCAGGGTCAAACATTCTCATTCAGTATCGTCTTTTTATTATGGAAACTATCAGAGTTCAAGGTTCACTGCAAAAATTTCAGTCTACTGTAGCCTACTGTAACCTGTAAACATGTTTCTAGACCAAAACACACAAATTAAATCAGACCAAAGTAATAAGAAAGAGGTTATATTTGCTCTTTTTCTTTTAAACATGCTGCACAGTGACTGAAAATGTAGTCCCATCATGATCAATACAAGATACAACATACTAATTCATTGTTTGGACACTTAAAATGAAGTTGTAACCTGATATTTTCGAAAATAAAACCAAACTCCACCACTTGAACATGCCACAGTATTTATTGTTTTTCTTTTCGGCACACAAAACTTCACAATTTGATTTCTCACCAACTCAAAATTTTTAGAAACTCGATAACCGGCAGAAACGGGCATTTACCTCTTAAAATGCTTCAAGTCATTCAAGGAAACTGAATCTGAAACTCAACCTTGTGTAAGCCGTGCATACGCCTAAGGATAAGACACATTGCTATGTTCCGATACTACAATAATAAAATAATCATAATTCACTTCAAACAATCAAAAAAACACTGCAAACAAACAAACAAACAAACAAACTGTAGTATTCTCACCACTCCTGCGGGCTGTTTTAACAGCCAGTGGTTTGTTTAGAGTCTCTGGGAGAGACTGCTTTAAGGCTTTAAGGTGACTTCAGTGAACAATCCGAGTCGGACACATCAAATTAATTCAAGTGAAAACTTTGGCACAAATATCTGCCATGAAGAGTTAGAAAGGTCAGCATTTATCTTTTCTTTTTTTTCTGTAAACAGTAAAACGCAAACAATAAACCCCTGAAAGAACTTCAGTCACTTCAGGTAACACTGCTTCAGTAACTGCGAGTGCAAACAGAGACGCGTTCAGCTGATCAGAGCTTCCATTTCTTCCAGGTTGGTGGTGTCGAGTTTTGAGATTTTCCTGTCTGTGAGAGGAGGGAGGAATGAAACGGTTTATTAGGGTTCTTCTTTTTACTCCATCAAACTGTAAAAAACAAACAGGACTTACTGAAGTGCATCTCGATTTGTTTGATGATATCCATGCTGTGTTTGCTGTCAACCATGTTCACGGCAAATCCTCGTCTGCCGAAGCGCCCCGTGCGACCGATCCTGTGCAGGTACGTCTCATTGTCGGCGTTTCCGTCCAGGTCCACCGGGAGGTCGAAGTTGACCACGAGGGACACTTGCTCCACGTCGATACCTGAGCTCCACAGAACCACAAAGAGGTCTGAGACATGCATTAACAAACCGAAGAGCTGTGAGGACTCCTGCTGATCTCATTCCCCCTCACCTCGGGAGCACACGTTCGTGGTCACAAGCACCTTCTCCTTCCCGTTCCTGAAGCGCTCGATGACAGCAGCTCTCTGCTCTACAGTCAGCTCCCCGCTCAGCAGCGCCACCTGGTGGCCCTCTAAGCTCAGGTTTTCAGCCAGCCAAGCCGCCATCTTGCGAGTCTGAAGAAAATGTGAGCAAATGTTTAACTTCATATTCATATCACAACAATATGAGGGTGTAACCGTACGTTTGTAAGCTCTGTTAGCAGGCCCACAGCAACAGTTACATTACCACAGAATTAATGATGTGTTTGAGTTACCTCGGAAGTCTGAGCTGAAAATGACGTCACACCCATGTTACCAGTGTTTCAGTTACCAGGCCAGAAAAAAGCAAAATCGGAGGCGGAAACAAGATGGCTACATCTACAAAAGTTAAGGCAAGCACAAGGCAAGCGCTAAAATAACTTTCGTAGATGTAGCCATCTTGAGTCAGGCCTCTGATTTTGCTTTTTTCCAACTTGGTATCTAAAACTGAAACGCAGAAACAAGATGGCTTTATCTACAAAAGTTATTTTAGCGCTTGCCTTGTCTGAATATAAGGCAAGCACTAAAATAACTTTTGTAGATGTAGCCATCTTGAATCAAGCCTCCGATTTTTCTTTTTTCCCCGACTTTATAACCGAAACGCTGGTAACTCAGGTGTAACGCCATTTTCAGCTCCAACATCTGACTTCCTAAGTAATTCAAACACACCATTACGCTTCAGTTAATCAACTTAAGGGTCAAAAGTCAAAGCATCAAATAGAAACTGGTGAACGTCGTCATTTGAACGTGTTTACAAAATCCAGTCAAATGTAAAAATGTCTCTTAAGAAGTGTGGAGGGATAGGACAACACCTGAATCCTTTATTCTAGTTTCTACCAGGTGGTTTCTTGTCATAATTTTACTTTTAAGAGTTACAGAGGGACAAAATTCTTCGTCTGTGACTCCTGATTGATTCTTGTCTGCCGCAGCTCCGGCAATCCGGAGCCCTCCGCGGGTACTCTTGGCTTCAATTTTTGGCGGACGCTGGAGGACAACAAATCAATCAGCAGAGAGACTGTAATAACAATAATGAAACATCCAGTTAACTCTCAAAATGAAACGCCAGAATGTTTTTCACTTATCTACACTGACATAAAGGCCTGGGGTCAACAGGTCAGAGGTCTCTTAGACCTGTTGATTCTGTGTTTAATGTGAGAAATCCTTGGAGTTGTAACTCTCATGCTGTGCTTTGAAAATGCAGCTGGCAGATGTTGATGGACCGAAATGACCACACACAGATCTGGTTCAAGTCCAGGGTTCGATTTTGCCTTTTAACTTCAACTCCATTTCCCAAGTTGCAACTCAGACTGAAAGGCTTGGACAGAATTCCTCCATCATTACTGAAAGTTTGCGATGGTCCCATTAGGTTTTCTTGGACATGCATTTCTGTCTGCTCCTAAAACTAGGGATCAACTTCAGAATCAGACAAAACCAGAGAGTGAAACGACCAGAGTGACTGCACAGCAATAATGGTGAGCAACAAAGAGACTTTTTTTTCCCCCCTGGTGATGCTGATGCAACTCCAATACAGGACTCTCATCAGCCTGTCACACACCATTCAAAACCCAAAACACCTAGTTTTCCAATGTTGGGATTGCTTTAACGTCAAATGTTCGAACAGCTGACTCACGTGGCAGAAAATCATGGCCTGTGCGATGGTGAGGCTGCCGTACAGATTACAGAGAGCTGTAAACTTGTCCTCCTTCTCCCTACAGACCACGTAGAACTGCTTGATGGTGTCCAGTGTCTCCTCCTCTCGCTTCAGCTTAATGATGTTAGGCTCGGGGACGACCTGCTCTGCGAACTTCCACACCGAGTCCTCGAAAGTGGCTGAGAAGAGGAGCATCTGACAGATCTTGGGCAGCATTCTGTACGGAGGCAAAGAGAGAGAGAACAAGGTAATGAAGGAGAAAACAAGCCTGCCTCTCTTTCAGTGCCATGAGTCGAGTTTCACCTGTGGATGCGGATGCTCTGGTCCCGGTGACCCTGAGTGGCGATCATCACATCGGCCTCATCCAGGACAAACATGGTGATCTTCTTGGGGTCGATGTGCTTGTATTTGGTGCACCAGTCCAGGACTGTGCCTGGTGTTCCGATCACAATCTGCTCCTGCAACTTGACGCCCCGCTCCACTAAACAGAAGGAAAAAACAAAAAACACAGCTGTGCTCGCCTAATGGTGTTCGCTTTCAGTTTTTTTTAAACACAGTCACGACTGAGTAGCTTACTTCGGTTTCCACGAATACCATACGCCAGCCTCAGATCAGGACAAAACTGCCCCATCTGCTCGACCACTTGACCGATCTGCAGCGCGAGCTCGTAGGTTGGCGAGATGCAAAGGCACTGAAAAAGCGCACAAATTCTTAATGGCGAGTATTCATCAGCTTTTTAGATACACATACTTTTTAATTTTAAGTCAAAGTTTACTTGAGTCCACTTATTGGCTGGGTTAATGTTGCTGAGCATGGCCAGAACAAAAGCAGCAGTTTTCCCAGTGCCGGACTGGGACTGGGCGATCAGATTCTGAGGTCTGAAAAACAAAGACGTGAATTAAATTAATCACAGACACTTTGATGACAAGTTTCAACCACATACAAGACTGTAAGTGCAAATCCTGATCTCCTAGAGCCTAAGGCAGCAGAAAAATAACAACCCTTTTTGATGAACTCCACAACAGATGACAGGCTTCATGATAATCACTTGTTCCTGGAATAAATTAAGGCGGTCAAATCTACTCACGGCTGAGCTAACATCATGGGTAAGGCGTTCTCCTGGATCCTGGATGGTCTGTTGAAGCCCATTGTGTACACACCTCTCCGAAGCTCAGGTTTCCTAAAGAGCAACACACAAAAATCATAAGCTGAAGGCTGAGAGGTTTTATGAATGCAACAGATGCCCTAAGAATGCATGCTTCATATTTACACAGGTTGTTGGTTGTTGGTGCGGTTATAAGGGACCATCAATAAATTACCGGTTGATGTTCTCAAAAAGGCTGTTTACCTTCAATGGCTTCCATGTCATCCATCAGTCTTTATTTATATAGCACTTTTCATACACGAACATGTAGCACAAAATCCTTTACACAGAAAAGGAATCAAGGAAACAAAGAATACCCAAATCTACCCCAGCCCAACCCCTCATTCTCACCCCGCGATCTAAACGCAACAGAAACATGGATTAAAATTCATGCTTAAATGCTTAAAAAAGGGCTCAATTTTGTGGAAACAGCATGTATGCACTGATGACACGCCATTTTAAAACTCAAGATAAGGAAACACTGAAGGTTTGGGTGAAAATCTAAGAACAAAGTAACATAGAATAACATTTAAGAAATATAAAAACTGTAAAAGACACTAAAATAAGAGCACCAAAATACCTTAATAAAAGACTATCCTGTCATTGAAACTAGAAAGAGATAAAGGCTAAAACACTTGAAATTAATGATATAAAACTTGGTTAAAAGCAAGACTAAAAAGGTATGTTTTGAGTTTCCTTTTAAAATCATTAAGATGTCATGTGACCAATTGACCTAAAATTGATTTCAAATAATAGTACTAAGGTAGGACAATAAGACACACCTCTTTATTTCCCAAATTTGTCCTCTAAAAATTTTTGTGTTGAATTTAAAAGCAAATTTTGAACATTTTCTTCAATAGCTTCCATGTCATGTGACCAACGTGTGACCTAAAATTGATTTCAAATAATAGTGCTCATGTTGACCAAGAAGATACACATTATTCTTCTTCTTATTATTTTCTTTTTCAACTTAGGAGCTCAGGTGCTCTTTGGGAAAAAAGTTAAGGTGTGTCCCAAATCGCATACTTCCATACTACATACTTAAAATTTGGAGTATACTCAAAATGGAAAAAAGTATGGATAGTATGTGAAAACTGAGTATGCAAAAGTACCCAGATGACGTACTCAAATCGGTCAAGATTTTGAGTATGCGACTGTGGACACTCGCCTGCACTCATTTCATCGAGAGGAATGGCTCTGTACAGACGTAAGTAATAAGTATAATAAGTATAAGTATAATTTTGTGGGTGAATACATTTTAGGTTAACTTGAAGGTAAATTTGACCTGAGTTGGCATAATATGTGACCAGGAGTAGCTCTACTTTGACACACGTATTGACACTATGTGCTCTGGACACCCCTATAATTAATAATTTATCTAATAATCCACAAATAACAAAGTTTGTTTCTGTGTGATTGTGTTATCCCATTTTGTTATCCTGAGATAACACCACAGATGAGTATAGATCTCTAGGAAACAACTGGAAATTACTCTGGGTGGATATAATGTATGAATGCATGTCTGCTCTGTACACCTGTTTGACAGCCCAACTTACAGCCTGAGCTCCTCAAAAGACCTGACTGAGTACAGAGGAGAGGAGGGGTCGTTCTGCTGGACCTCCACTTGGTTCCTGTTCCGGACCAGAGTTCTGCGGATCAGTTTATTCAGCAGGGACTGCTCAGCCAGGTCCACACCGTCCCCATCTTTCTTCACACCTCCATTTTCTTTCTTCTCTGGCACAAGGTTACCTGATAAAAACAGTTAAAACACCTCCAAAACGAGCATTTAAACAGGGTAATAGCTCAAAATAGATGAAAATAAAGTTACCATTTATGTCTCCTCTCATGGTACGTGGAGCCCTAATTCGATCCACTTTTTTGGAGAAGTCAAACTGTTCAAACAAAACGAAATTTATTAAATTATTAGCTGTAAAATGTTCGAGTTAGCGCGTCAGTATAGCAGTTATGTAGCACGTCGAGCTAATATCCGCTATGGCCCGTTTAGCTTGTTAATTAGGTGTAACGGTCACTTTTAAAAGCCGGTGTTCACCTCCTCTTTTACCTGCATTGGTGGGTTGGAAACCTCTTGAAAGTCGACAGCCACCGCCCACGAGTCACCAGACATTTTCCAAACTTTGCTTTGTGCGTGTTTTCCTTCGAGAACAAACGACACTTTTATCCAAAAAGTTTGATGTCAGCGTGGGTGATGGGCGTGAATGTACACCGACGACGACGACGACGTGCCACCGCTGCCGCTGCCCCTGACCTGGACCACACCACGGGTGGTGCCTTCATGAGCATCAGAAATATGATAATTCTGAGAAGTGGACACCCAATTCCCACAAAAAAGTAGATAAATATTGAAAAATAAGCGGTGAAATATCCAAGAAAATATTGTACAGCGTCGAAAATTTGCCATAATTACGTGGGATGTTATAAGGTAAAAGTTCAACTTAAATTGTATGGTATAACTTTGTTTTAATGTTATTATCCGAAATATAAATTTCCCTTGTTGTGTCACTATGATATTTTTAACTGAAAAATAGTTCATTTTGTTTGACTTAGTGAGATAATTTGTTATTAAATGTATGACTGTTGATATTTTAAAGGAACACTAAATGGAGCACAGTTTTCCCACCCTAGTTACAGATGAACCTGCTGACACGCCTATGACATATAAGGTATTAAACCAATCAACCAAAGTCCATTTATCCGTTTAACAGACGACTTACAGAAAGTTTCAGGTATTAAAAATGACAGTAAGACCATCTGATCTTGTTTGTTTCTAGTGGTCATAAAAAGCATGTACAAAGATAGGGGTAAGTTGAGCCAAAGGGTAAGTTGAGCCACCCCCTGTTGCTTGGAAATGGTAAAAGAACTAATGATGGGCACGGCACTTCTTTTAGATGTACTGAATCACTAGAATCATTTCACTAAAAATATTCATTCAAAAGATTTGTTCACCGAATCACCGAATCATTCAGTGCTAGGAGGGAGCGGCCTGCAACTCCGATCTCCTGAACTGATACACAGCTGAATGATTCAGGATTCAGTTCAATAAGTTGATAAGTTATGATGTTTAAAGTGTACTGTTTTTTGGTATGCTATTTATCAGGTCTGCTCGGTAAACTGGGTATTTTAGTCCGACAAAATTCATTCCAGAGAGTGTAGTTCAATGCCTGATTCGTTTACCAAGTGATTCGGGCGTCAGTGCATGCAGGCCCTCATTGACTGGCTGTGTGCTCTAGCAGCTGCTTTGCTGTTAGCCCGACTAAGAAAGTGAGAAACGAACGAATCACTTGAGGAAGTGATTCGGTTCGGTACATTCACTTAAAAGATCCAGTTCTTTTGAAAGAATCGTTCGCAAACAACACAACATAGTGAATTAATGACTTCTCTTTTTCAGCTCTAGTTCTATTTCATAATGTCAAAAAAGACCTTATCGGAGCTCTAAATGTAAAATTCATGCAGGTGACAGAAAACACTTCTGAACATGTACAGGACATGTTTCACAGGGAGAGAATGTTTGCTGCTCGGTCCATAGAGGGCGCCAAAATGAGCACAAACTAAATGTTTCTAACAGTAGCTTTAATGGAAAGGTAAGAGCTGTGCATGCATGCATAGGCTGCCTACTCTATCCATATATTCTATAAATATATGAGATAAAAAAGTGCTCAAGCTGGGTGCAGATCACTGCCGCTAATTAGTGCTAACATCTATTTCTGATGCTCATGTTTTTCAGAGTCTGCAGCTTGATTTGACTTGTTAATATCTAAGTTATGAAGGAGTTTTTGAGCCTGTGAAAAAAAAAATCCCATCATTTTAAAACAACAGGTGTTCTGTTATGTTTAGGACCCCAACAGACACTGGCCCTGGGATCAACAGTGAATACAGTTAACAATGTAATACTGCCAATGAAGTCATGAGGAATTAACAGGCAACATATCTATTCTAACAAGAAAGAGGAATACTCTTTTAGCTGCAGCTGCTCTGTAGTGGTAGGTAACAGATAGGCCTATCAACTATCCGTGTCTTAAAATAAAACTTTGAATTAAGTTGAATTAGTGGAATTAAGTGTGAGAGTGTGTAGGTGTGTTTTTGTTCATGTGTGACTGTGTTGAGAAGTTGAGACAGATAAAAAGGGAAAGGAGAGGAGAAAAGGAGGGGGAGGGATGGAGGGAGAAAGGGGGGGTGCAGAGTGTTATTGGCTGCAGGTTGATTCAATTTGGAGGCGGATGCTGAGGATCAGCCAACCCACCCACACACTCACACACACACACACATATGCACACTTAAACACACACAAAGACAAAGATGCTCTAGATTTTGCGATTCAGCTAAATGGCTTTATGAACACTCATTAATTGCTATGGCAACGTCTGAAAACACATTGATCAAGCTCAGTGATCAGAAAACACAGAGACAGCCAAACACCCACATTGGATTTGACACATTCACGGCTTTCCAATTACACAAGAAGGAGGAGGGGAGGGAAATTAAAGGTGATATAAGGGAGGGTGGGGGCATGTAGTGATCTCTCATCCATGGCTCTCCTCTGGTGTTCCAGAACCCGGCGTGTCAATCACTCTTATCCCGGGTTATTAAAAAGCGTACCTGTTGTTTTTTTCTGTTTCATCAGGGTGGGCTGGAGAGAGTGGGTGGTGCTGATCCTCTGGATGCAAAAGGAAGGAGGGTGTTTTGTGGAAGACCTGTACCCCCCTCATTTCTCTCCAACTCCAGCATCCACAAGGGGAAGAGGAGGAGGAAGAGGACTGGGGGAGGAGAATAAATGAAACTGTTATTTTTTTTTGCAACCACATGTTGCTGGGCTTGATTGCAGCAGCCTCTCCTCTCTCCCTCTCTCTCCTTCTCTCTCTCTTTTGCATTGTGCGTCCAACTAACAATGTGGCCGCTGCATCTGTAGCTCCTACCACCTGTGGCAGCACTCCTGTTCCCTCTACGCCACAGGGAGAGAGAGAACAAAAAAAGGGGGGAGCTGAGAGAGGTCGGAGAAGAGGAGGATATCTTTTGTGATAAGTGGACTTGTGACAAGGAGAGACCCTTGCTGCAGACCCAGCTGACACAAATGAAAGGTAAGACAATGAGGCTCATATCAGATGCATTTTTATTGCTGCATTGTGTCTTTTTGATGATGCATATTTCAGCCCCCAGTCATAAAATTGAAATGAAGACAGGGTCCACCAGGCAGATGATTAAAACTACAGCTGATGCATGTTGATTTGGGCTGTAAACAGATTTCCAAACACGGCGTTCCAACAGGTGGTTATCAGGGCAGCATATGCGCTCAGTCTTGACACTAATGAGTGTGGAGAAGCGTGGCAGCGCTGCGAGAAAACATGGGGAGTTGATGGTTTTCTGGGTTTTTAGCAAACCCCCCAGAGAGAGGCAGGATGATTCATATGATGGGAGAGGAGCAGCCTGGGACTGTCACTTTTAAGACTAATTACTAAAAGCTAAAAACCCACAGAGAAAAGGATGATTTGTCAAAAAAGACGTGCATGTTTTTCCTATAAATGTAGCTTTTAACTTGTTTTATCAGGTATTTCAGAAATAGATGTGGTATCTGTTTAATTTCACGGTAATTTGGAGCGATGTGTCGAAGTTAAATGTCTGTAATGCATCACTCAAGTTGTCCTCTTTTTTTCTGACAGCATCTAAACAGTTGAATTTTCCTATATTAAGTTTTATGATATTCACCTGTAGCTTGTCTCTATGTGGGGACAAAAGCTGAACCTGTGAATGACTGGACACATGATGGCACTGTTGGGACAAACAACCAAATAGTAATTACATCTGTATGACCTTTTCCTCACCATAAATAACCATTTAGTGCCTGAGTCCTCGGGCTAACTATTAGAAAGACAGATCGACTTTGATATTGATTCTGTCAGGAATCTAATGCAGCCAAAGAGAGAGTGAAGTAAAGTTTTGTCTTTTGAGACCAGACTGAATTTTCTTTAAAACGGTGTGGGGGTTTTGTGTCAAGGAGAGGAATAAACCGGTGTTTTAAATGCAGTTGTTGCCGGTACCTAAAATAAAAACACACTTCAGAGATGTTACTGGTCAGTCAGAAGGCAAACAAGCAAGCAGAGCTGTCTCTATGGAAATTGCTTTCGTCATAACACTTCCTATGAAGCCTGCGCTGGGGCTCCGGTCATGCGGTAGACACAGACCCCTGACAGCTTATAACCAAGATTGCTTGTGGGAGAGAGAGATGACATTAACGCAGAAGCGCAGAAAGCAGAGAGAATTTTATAGTTTAACTCGCACAATTAGCTGCAGAGCTGTCCCTCACGGCCATTTGTCCTAATGAATCTCAAGTTTCCTCTTTTACCTCAGATGGCACGGACTATGGATTGCCTTCTCCTGTTATGTTATTGTTGCGCTGTGATGATGAAACTATACGTCTTAACATTACACATGAATAAAGTCTGAATTTCCCGAAAACCCGCTAGGCTGATCTGATGTCCAAAGCTGCTTTCATCTAATTTTGGAGATTGTTATGAGACCCTGACATGTGTTTGATGTGATTGCTAGGTAACAAAAAGCAAGCAAAATAAGGAAGGCGCCCAGCTGTTGAGCTTCAAAGTGTTCATTAAGAAAATATGAAAAGGGAAATGTAAAAAATCCTCACTCATGCAGTATTCTAGTTTTACAAGTGCCTGTTGTTGTTCTCTATATAAAATGTTTATTGAAAGCCCCCCATGAGGAGCTTTTAGCTGTATGACCTAAAGAAGCTAAAAAAAGACCATCAGCGGATGATAGATATGTCTTAGTCATCGGATTAAGTGTCAAATAAAGCAATTAACACGCTGCAGTTACAACCTTCTTATGTCTTCAGTGGCAGGTGCTCAATGAGTGCTACATCTGACTGTTGGGAGAAAGCTCAATGAGGCTTTTTTTTCATTAAAGCATAACTTTGAAATATATCAAGAGACATGAGGTGCCACTTTGTTGACAGGAGCTGACACAAGACAGCAGTTTCTTTCATAAGCTTTAAAAATCTCTCTTTAACAAGTAAATCCAACATTATTGTTATTATTATTAACCTTTATTTAACCAGATAAAACCTAGTGAGATCAGGATCTCTTTCACAAAGGTGATCTGGTCAAGAGGTCAGCAGCAAATGCCGTAAGAAAAGTAACATAGAAGTTAAAGCACAGATTAATACAGGTAATCTTGGAGATGCAATAGTGTACGACAGTTAAGCAATGTTAAGATAACTTTCTATCGTTGTGAAATAGTCAAGGTTTTCAAGTTTTCTATCAATACCTATTAAAATATACATGAAATAAGTGCAGTTTTAATTGCCCACAATCCAGGAACTGCTCAAGATTTGATGATTAGCGTCTGTTAGCTGATAATGCTAATGTAACGTGTAATCTCCATGATAAGAAAGCATTACCCTCCTGTCTTTTTACTTGATAAGTTGCTTTCTAACAAATTAAGCAAACTAAAAAGCCAAAAGTTAATCTGTGTAAGCCAAGAGAGTCGAGGTAACATGCTAAAATTAACTCAGTTTTGTGTCCTCTGAGCAACAACAAAGCTAACTAGCTTACTGAGCTAATAACTTGCTAACTGTGAAGTTTGCTTTTGGAAAACAAACAAACAAAAAAACTAGGAAAGTACTTTTTTTTTATTGTGGCAGGAATTAGTTGATTCAGCTAGCTTTGTAGCATGACTCAGCAACTTTTGATATAGCAGATTTAGTTAGCTATAGCTAAGTGGCTAATTTGCTAGCCTAGGAATTAGCCTCTACAGTGAAAGTACTTATGTGACACAATTTTACCCTTAAATGATTTAAAAATAAAATCAGACATTAGATAGATTTAAATCTGAATTATAAAGTTGTTGTTATAATTATGTTTTAGACACTTTTTCTCATGCTGTTTACGCACTTCACTGTGCCGTACTAGTTTAATGGTGGATATTAGGTGAGTATTTAATTACTTTATTTTTCTGTCATGATGACCCAGAATCCTAAAACCAGCACCATGCCAGGACTCATTAACAAGGAGAACCGGGGCGCTCTGCCCCTCAGCGTCTCTGACATCACTTCCTGTGTCAGGGGTTACACTCTGGCCATGACAGCCTCACTAACCTATGAAAACATTGAGGATCACGCAATCGAGGGTGAGTATGCTCATCACCACTGACTAATTTGTTTATTTCAATCATGTAGACCCCTGCTGCTCTCGGATAATTCCGAACCCCTGTACGCTCTGAGAGACACTGCTGTAGAATTCAGCGTGAATGACTGACTGTGTTCAGTTTGATTGCCTGTTTGCTGCCTCTGGTTCATGGCCTTGCTCCTCTTTTATTTCTTTCCCTTTGTCTGACAGGGATGTTCATTTATCCTCTGGAGGAAAACTCTATTGTTGTGGGCTTCGAGTCTATGATATCCAGTCAGATTATAACCCTGCAAATAAAAGACAAGGCAAAAATTGAAGACTGTTATTCGGATTGCTGCAACACATCTAATGGAGCCCTTCAGAGTGGCACTGGTAAGGCTTAAGCTTCTCCGATCAATATTGTTGTATTATTTTTCCATTAGCTGGTCCCACTGATCATTGGATGGTGCTGAAGGGCTGCTGGAGCTTATTCCAACAGATACTGGGTACAAATTACTTGGTTTTGGGGGATGAGGAAGGTTTAGAGAGAATGAATCTTTGGAATTAATGATCTTGCAGAGGATTTCAGGTTACTAAACTTGGATTGATCCACATAACACTATCTATCCAGCATAAAAGGATGGACAGATGTAATTTTGGACCAACTATTGCAGTCTGTCGCCATTTCAGTGTCGTATTTTAAGCTCAATGTGCTGCTCGAAATGTCCCCATAAAGTTAGAAGGACTTTACTTAACGTGTAAATCTGTGAACTCATCACAGGAGGCGACATTCATCTGGAAAATTTCACTCAGTCATGTCCTCTGTGGCCTTACCCAGAGCATTACAACATGAAGTAATTACCCATGATTCACCGGGGTCATCTTAGATCAGGATTGTGAAAAAAATATATAGCTGTCATCACATATTACAAATGCCGCCATCAGACCTGCTGACTTTAATTGGCCAAGATTAGATTTATATCAGTCTATGACCATTAATTTGAAGTTCCTGTAAATAGTACACATATTCTGGTCATTGGTATCGTCTATCATCTGTCTCTTTCTGCTTACCAAACCTAACATGGTAGCAACGGGTAAAGGTGTAAGATTAGTCAGGCTTCTTCCTCAGTCATACCACATCTGGACGTCTTTTCTGGATATCTAAACCTACTGTGTATGCATTATCATATCGTATCGTATTCTATCGTATGGCATCGTATCGTATCATAGCGTATCATATCGTACTGTATCATATCATGGCGTACCGTACCGCACCATATCGTATCGTACTGTACCGCACCATATCGTACTGTATCATATCGTATCGTACTGTACCGCACTATATCGTACTGTATTGTATTGTACTGTAGCGTATCGTACCATATCGTACCGTGCCATATCGTATGGTATTGTATCGTATCATATTGTAATGTATCGTATCATAACGTACCATACCATATCATACTGTATCATATTATATCATATCGTATTGTACCATACTAAAACCTATTGTACTGTATCGTACCATATCGTACCATACCATATTGTATTGTATTGTATCATATCGTAATGTATTGTATCGTATCGTAACGTAATGTACCGTACCATATCATACTGTATCGTATCGTACTGTATCGTATTGTATCTTACTGTACCACATCATACTGTATTGTATTGTATCATACAGTACCATATTGTACTGTATCGTATCGTATCATATCGTAAAAAGTCATTTCCTTAACTGCATTTCTTCCCGTCCACTCTTTAGTCTTTGCGGACCCCTGTATAAATATACTCAGAATCCTTTTACCCCATGTTAGACATACCTGACTTTAATTCAAGAGGATCCCTTGTGTTCTGGGTATCTGCTAGTCCTCTTATCATCGGTATTGTTCCAATATGTTCCATTAACTTAGGCGGTGCAGTACTAAATTGCTGGAGCACCTCTTCAGTCGTCTTTTATGTGGGTATGCATCATCACTTTACGAAGTCATTGACATGGTAGATTTGGTTTCTGTCTAAAAAAGCAAAGGTCTAGACTCTAATGTTTTTATAGAGCTACAGGGAAAACTGATCAACATTTGAGCGAGGAAAATCACTGACAGAAAGAAGTAAAAAATCCTTGGTTTTATTTATCTCAGAGGAGGATGACTAATAGTAAAAGCCTTAGGCCATTCTCAATATGCAGCTGAGTTCTTTTCTAGCGCTGCTAATTATAGGAGCTGGAGTAAAAACACCTTTGGTAGCTGTAGTAAATTTCAAGAAGTGGTTGTTTACCAATCTTGTCTGCGGTTTCAGGCCACATAGTGATGGATGAGGATTTGGAGAGGACGGTGCTAGTTGTTAACCTCGGGATCATCCCACCCATGGAGACGGTGCATGTGTTGGTTAGTACCTCATCTGAACTCTCCACCCTGCCCAGCGGAGGCATCAAGGTCTCCTCCCCTCCAGTGTGCACACCTCGGGTACAGAGGAGCATCAATGAGGAGCAGGGACTATCTCCGAACTTCTCCAGGTTGTAAGAAAACAAAGATTTTTCTCTGATAGTTCACGTTACTTATATTCTTGTTGTAATGCTGTTTTTTAAGATTAGATGTGAACTTTTTATAGTGTTTATACAGAATACCCACATAAAATAGTTATGTTTCTCTACCTTTAGGCGGGACAGACATACCTCTGCCTCCAGTCCTCACGATCAAACACCCAACACCCCTCCTCAGCTGTGGTTGGCTTCACTGCTGGAGGAGGAGAGCATAAACTCCATGGACTACGAGTTCAACTTCCAGCTGGAGATTCGAGCTCCCTATCTCCTCGCAGGTCAGAGACCGAACCAAAGCTTGTGATATATTTGACAGGTTTTTCTTGCAGGGTGAATCCACTTGTCAGCGGTGGAACTGCACCCACGAGACGTCCAGATCTAACACTGTTTTATAAAGGTTTAACAGGCCTGATCACTTGAGCTTTCTTGTATTTAAGGATTGCGTTCCAGCGTCCCCCTGAGAGCTCTCTCTCCTGCAATAAGACAAAAAGGTCCAACAGTCAAGTGCAGCAAGAAAAAAAAGGGCTGCCCTCTCTCTCAACAAGAAATTACAGCAAGGAAATAACTTTCTTAATCCTTTTTTAAAATGTACCAGCCCTTCTTTTGTCCAGAAAGACTTGGCTAAGGTTGTGCAGCAACTAAATTTGAAGTTACACCAGTTTCTAGCTGAAATAAATAATTCAACGCTTAACTCTGTGTGCAGAGCTGGGCTGGTTTTTCCCCTGTTTCCAGTCTTAATGTTATACAAAAGATGATGTACAGTGAGAAGGGTGAGCAGGACTCTGACTTTCAGGGCCGTGTTTAGACTGGTTGCCCAGGGTGGCACTGCCCTTTCCCCCCCCCAAGACGTTCACAACAATGACTCTGACTCATATAATTGTGTACCTGTTTATTCTGTTTAAAATGAACAAAAACATTGACATTTAACTGTGTTGAAAGTTCGTAGGTATATCTCCCTTCTGCTGCAACAGAAAAAGTCCATTAAAAGACTCTGGATCCACTCCTAGTTCAAATCTCCAAAGGGTGTATACTCTTGCTCTAGTGATCCACCGTACAATTCAAGATCTGGGTTTGGATCTCCCGTCTTTCTTGTATTAATAAATTGGTTGTTGGTCAACTATTCCGCCTTCAAATTCAGGACTTTTAATGTCGTCGCCTCATGGTTTATGTCACTTCCTAGCTAGCAGGGTTACTGTCTCCACACACCAAGCGCAAGTAAAATCATTCGCGTTAATGAGGTACATGTTAATTTAATGCAAAGAGGCGATTTAGATGCTCCTACTACTCTGGCGGTGCAAATGACGCAAATGTGGCGGCAGCTGAAATCGTCTCAACTTGAGCAGATATTCGTGTTGCAATAACTAATCAGCACGAAGGTTCCCGGGTGACGTTGTTCACTGGTATCTAAAATGGAGGACAAACTGATCATGTCGGTGTGTGGGTGCCCTGAATTATATGATACCTTTTCTTTCAATTACCAAAACTGGAATAAAAAGGAGCAAGTGAGCGAGGAGGTCGGATTACCTGGTAAATTGTAAAAAAACTTTGTCTATCACTTGATCCTGCCGGTTGAATTGGCGGGGATTACTGTTGAAATTATGCGCAAATGAAGCGAGTAGATACTTTTCATTCACATGTCGAATTAGGCGTGTAGATGATTTTACCCACGCTTGGTGTAAGCGCCCCATTAGGGTAATGGTTAGCAACTTGCAGATGTGATCAGTTCACGGATTGCAGGACAGGATCCAATAAAAGTTTATCCTCCATATTGTTTAGGGTGCTTTGTCACATTTTTGCCACAGTGTCAACAGGCAGAGGTCAAATGTTGTCTTAATCATTGTTGGGACAGGGTTTTCACCAATCAGAGTCGAGTATTTAACACAGCCAGGTGACCAGAAAGAAAGCTGACCAGTAATCAAATCTGAAAAAGACTTTTTCCTCCAAACAGGACGGTGTTTAATATTCAAAATCACATATTCGCACCCATTTTTGATGATACTGCACCATCATACTGAGCGGTTTGAGTTGGTCCTGCTCTTGTTTGTGATTTCTGATATTGCTCGGTTGTTTAATCTGCTGGTTTAATACCAGGTTGTTGTCCTGTGTAGGTGTGGAGAGCCCGTCTCACGCTATCCGAGCCGATGCAGACCCTCTGGCCCGCTCCGCCACCAGCGTCGTGATCACTCTGGCCGACAAGTACACTTACGACTGTCCTGTTGAAATCCTTATCTACCCCAGCGGTAGGTCCCCGCCGCCTCTAAACACACTCACACCTCTGACCTGCAATTATACTCTCCTTCACTCTCAAGTACAATATTTTGAAATTGTTTATTCCAGGCTACTCTGACAGCTTTTCATGTGTCGAGCTTATAAGAAGATCAGCCGTGAGGTGATTCAGTGCCTCACTTTGTGTGCATGAGTGGCTCATCAGGAACAAACTGGTCCTCCTGTTATTATTACATGACATACCAGCGGACTCGGACTTCTTTGTGTGGGAGTGCGGTGTCAGGGTTTTTTTTTTTCCCCCTGCGCTGCTGTCTTTCTCTCACGGCTGTCTTGACCTACAGTATGTGTGGGCCACTTGTCTCCCAGAGGCAGGAATGATCCTCTGCCTCGCTGATCCTCTTATGAAGGTCCGCTCACAAACAGAGCAGCTGCCAGTGCTCGGCAATTTAATTCAGCTCAGACTGGTGCTGCTGTTTCAATCTCGGTATGGATGCTCAGCTTAATGGAGAGACGGGGGACAGTGAGCTGCATAACAGACATGGATGTGTGTCAAGTATATTACCCAAGGGTCTCTGCAAAGTTCACCGGATTGATTTGAATGCATTTTCGATTCAGTGTTGCATAATTCGATTGAATTATGCAGATTATAAATGAAAATCAGAAAGTTTCTTATAACGTCCTCCTACAAATGCACATAACACACTGTAGATCCCAAGTGTGCCAGTACTGCAGCATAATATAGCAATAATCCCCTATAATTACATTAACTGGCGGGGCATTCAGAGAGCACAGACCTCAGTCAGGGCCTGTCCTCTACAATATGTAGATTTGCAAATGCAATCAGTTTATTTGTCTGAAGAGCGAGCAATACTTCATTACCATGTACACGTGGGTTACTGTCAACTATTGGGACTGGAAAGGGGCAGCAAGTAATCAAAAACTGTTGTTATGGAAAACTGTGTCAACTGGAAAGAGTTTCATTTCTTTGTGATTTAGAAACAGATCTGCAACGATGTTAAAGAGAGAATTATATCAGTTGTTTCTCGAACAAAGCCTGAACTTGACTCAGTTTAGACGGTGAAATGTTGAACAGATTAACTGATTTGAAGCTGCTGTGAGGAAGTTTCAGTTCGTGTTGATTCGGCAAAGATGCACGTCTTATTTCAAATATTAGCTCAACCAGTCGGCGTACACTCCTGGTATTAACTAGCAATGATGACAACATTCAGTTCTTCACAATGAGATTGTGTATATTTGCAGCCTAGTCGTTTAAGTAAATCGCCAAAGCTAAAGTGCATTTGTATTTATTTATTTAGCACAGATTAAAAACAGTGCAAGGAGAGAACGAAGCCGATAGGGTTATGCAGAGTTCCACTCCCGTCAGGGCAGTAAAGGTATAGGGTGTAAACAACGAGTAATTAGGACATAGGTTATAAATAAACAATGGGTGAGAATAGGTCAAAATATATGAAAAGAAAAAAAGAAAATAGACAAATCGTCAACCAGCCCAACCAGAGATAGAGAAATTATAAGTATTCATAAAAAGAAAAGAAGCATAAACATAACAGATAATGACGTGTTAAGACATGATTAGATGTGATTTCAATGGTATTTTAAAAGGATTTGAAGGATAATATTGATAATATAGAATATTGATTCTAGAGATACTAACTGACGATGGCCATGTTTCCTTATTGAGTATGGGTGAAAGCGGATGAAAAGGTAAAAAGTCTCGGTGAGTGTCAGGAAGGTCTCGATTCCTATTGATAAACTTATGGACAAACAAACAAGAGTGAAAGACATCGAGTTTGTCAATCGGTGAGATTAGATCGAGATATCATTCTTAAGAATCTTTTCTGGATTAGTAATCATTTCTTGAGGTAAGTTGGATACATTTCACACCATACAATATTACAGTAGTTCATATAAGGAAATAGGAAGCTATGAAGATTTTACCGCAGAACAAGAAAACTGGGTATTTTCAAGACGGTTTTTACAGCTAGAAACACTTGATTACAAACAGTATCGTTTGCAGACCCATTAAAATAAAATTCAAGTAACTGAAGAGAGAAATCTCAATGAAATACAGATGCATCTTTAAGACTCTCCTCAGCAGACTGTGTTGTCCTTAAACCCAGCTGTAATGAATCACTTTTATATGTGAGCACCTGTTCGGTGGCAGTTTCAGGCTTTATGTCCGTCTGTTTTGTTATGCGTCAACAATAATTATAGTGATTATTATGCTCTTACGATCTGTGTCCCTGTAGAGCCTCATCTCCCGCATGTCCTTATCGAGAACGGGGACATGACACAGGAGGAGTACGATGAGTATCTTCATGGCAGGAGTGATTTCATCAAGGCGACCAAGAAGGACTCCAGCAATGAGAAGAAAGTGAGTGTGAATGCCGTCAGATGACAGTCATACTGCTGCTCTCAAGTTTAGCTTATTCTTAGGGACAAAATGAAGAAAAACTACAGACTATTATTGCTCCAAAAGGACCCTCAGGGGCTATAAGGAAGACCAGAATTGACACAAATGAGGTAGACTTGAGAGGAGAGCTTAAGCAATCATGTGGCTCTCCTGTTTATGTCTCATTTAAGGTCTGCTCTGGAGACCTTTCAACGTGCTTCGTGTCCTCAGAGCGTTTTTTCCTATAGGTGAAATGTTCTGTGGCCGTACGCTTTGAAACCCTCGCCCTCGATTTAACAGGCTAAACAGTTCTCCCTGACTTTGAATCCACATCTCTGGATTTTCAACAAATCAAACAGGGATGTAAACATCTCTTCTGTCTTCCTTCTTCTGCAATTTAAACTGCAAAGATTGTCCTGAGCGTCTCAGGGATGTGTCCTCTCTTATCTCTCATATGATGAGGTTGTTAAGTGACCAGCAGACCTAAACAGAGGAAGGAGGGAGAGAGAGAGAGAGAGAGCACTTAGCCATAAAAATGTGTTTCTATGGAAACACTCCAAAGGCTCGCCTCATTCTGCCTGGATTTTCCTGCACATCTAGAATAATTGATGTGCTCTATCTATCGACCTGATCACTTGCCTTTTTTCAGGTCTCTTTTTGTCTCCTTTTTTAAGTGCTGAAATAAAGCCCCGTCACATCCTACCATAAAAACCACTTATCTCAAGATGCCGAGTCCTCATATTTCATGCTTTCCTCCTCTGACTCCTCTGCCTTTTCTCAGGTGGAAATCATTCACAGACGCCTCCACAAAGATATCCTCCACAACCCCGTGGTCATGCTCAACTTCTGTCCCGACCTCAAGTCCATCAGTGCGGACCTGAGGAAGGTTCACGGCGAGTTCATCTTCCTCATTGACCGCAGCGGCAGCATGAGCGGTGTGAACATCAACCGTGTGAAGGTATTTTAATCTCGGCGGGGTTGCGCGGCGTTGATGCAAACACACATATTAACGTTATCGAAAAGTAGGAATACATCCATCGTGCGCATTTACATACACACATCTTTGAAGAGACTGATGCATGACAAACATGATAGGCTGTATTGATTCTGCATAATTGCTTTCTTGGCTCCCAGCAACACTGAAGCAGCCTTTGGAGATTATAGATGTGGTTAGCCAGCTGTGAGAAGGGCAGGTATACAAGGATATTGATTAGAGGAGTCATTCACTATTCAACAAATGTCTCTCAGCCGCGAGAGTTCAGACAGCTAATCTTTCAAAGAGGGAGACTTTATTTACTTTAAATATGTTTGTATGTTATTCGGCTGCGTCTGATTTGGCCTCATGGTGCGTCTGGACGGTGACGTATCGACTGTTTCTTTCCCGTGAGAGCCGCAGCTGTATTCTCTCTCAAACAACAACAGAAGCAGCGAATTTGCCTGTTGATGCACCTGAGCAGACGCCCCAACAAAAGGCAGTGAGATCTTCCCGCTCTCCGCCGAAGTGAAGGTTGAGATAAGTGGTGTAACTGCTGCAGGAGAGGCGGTGATGGATGAAAGGACACCGCATGATGCCGCCGCTTTCCACTCAATCCTCTCCTTCAGAAAATCTGCTGAGCAGCGTTGACAGCCGTGTAGAGCCCCGTGCTTTTATTGAAACAGACATCAGTAGATGTAGTTGTACCGCTGTGGAAATGATCGAACAGTTTAACACGACATTAAGCAGCTAATGAACGGAGGAGCTCTTTACTTTTTATTCCACAGTCCTTGTCTTGTCCTTTTCTCTGAGGATGAACCTGATCTGTCTCTCTCTTTCTCTCTTTCTTTCTCTCCTTCAGGATGCCATGGTGGTGATTCTGAAGAGTCTTGTACCCGGCTGCATCTTTAACATCATAGGATTCGGCTCTACGTTTAAATCATTATTCACAACCAGCCAAAACTACGAGGAGGTAAAGACCAGTTCAATAGATGACACACCAATTTGTATATTTGTCTCCTTTATTTCCCCTGACGCTCGTACCTTCAGTGCCACTAAGACTTTGTACTCAGAGACCACAGAAAAGGATGACATATCCCTTTAATAACACCTGAAACTGGTCTCCTCAGGTGATTTTCAGAGTGATTTTAAATAGTAAACATGACTCTAATCCTGAGTTTTGGCAGGGAAATACATGCAGGTGTTGTTATATTTAATTAAAGAGCAGACGATGACGTAGGGCTGGGCGATTAACCGAAAAATTTGCTGATACCGAAATCTACGACAATAACCGACGTCATTTTGATATATTCGGTGTCAAAAAATAAAAAAATCAAAGCTGGTTTTGGATGTGTGTAGGAAGGCTATGGTCTCATGTCCCTTTAAGACGCTGTCCTACGTCAGAGACGTGACTCCACCCCATCCAGTCCGTAACAAAGAGGGAAAGACAGGAGAGGAGATGGAGGACGGTTCAAAAGTTGTAGCGGCTGAAGTAGACAAAGTTAATGTGGGAGGGGGTGAGCAGCTAGTGGAGTAGTTATCGTCCTTTTATCGTTATTGAGGTGAACTGATCAATATATCGTGATATTGATTTGAGGCTATATCGCCCAGCCCTACAATGACATGTTTAAAACACTAATTTGTAGTCCTCGTCCCTGGTTATTCTGCTGGAAATCAGGCACATTATTCATAAACTGTTAAACAAACTTAACAAACTGACATTACAGAAGAGAAGCAGTCAAATATTTGCACAGAAACAAACAGCGAAGCAGACATAAAACTGACAAAAGTCAGCAGGATAAGTTTATATTTTGTCAAAAGTTACAGCTCAAATGACGAGAGAGGCAAAGACTGTCATGAGCCAGAGTTAAACAAAAGGAAAGGGACCCAAAGGCAGAAAAAAAGAAGTATTTGTTTCAAAAGAACTAAATGAAAAGCAACACAAGAAGCAAAATTCGAAGAATTAAGAAGGCACCGGTGGAAAAAAAACACAAGGAGATAACTGGGGACACAAGCATACGCACAAACAGACACACAACGAACCAACAAGGACAGAGGCGAAGACAGAGACTATATACACACTGGTTAACAAGCAACAGGTGTGAGGCAGACGAGACACAGGTGAGACTCGTTAGTGATTAATGAAGGAGGGAAAACTAGAGAAGTAAAACCAGACTAGAAACACAAAGAATCAACTACTACAAAATAAAACAGGAAGTAAACACTTAAAACTGATCTAAAGAATAAAACGCAGAGAACAGAGGGGAAACAGTAGTCACAAGACTGGACTACAGGAGAACAGAAAAAACACAAACACTAGGGACAATACACAGAAAATGCACTCAAATAAAACCAGAAGAAAAGCTGAATTAATAGAACATCAGCTTTGTCCACAGGGGGCGCCAGAACAGGCACAACCAAACGCTTTTTTCTGTGCTGTGTGAGTACTTTGTTTTTGTTAACGGCAGAATATAGTGCTGTGAAGATATTTTACTAATATCAGCTCAAAAGATCAGCTGTTTAAACCCTGATTTGATGTGTACCAGCTGAACCTGATACGTTTATTTACCAGATAGTAGGACGGCACGAATCACCTCACATCGAAATTCCACTCAGAGTGTTCTAACGGCTTCATTTATTATCAATTCTCCACACTGAGACTCTAAAGTAGAGCTCCGACTGTCTGTTATAAAGCTGACAGCAATCACTTCATGTTCTTAAATCACACGTCTTGTTGCCTCAAACTTCTCAGCACCGCCCCGCTGTGTCTGAAATGTAGCGCTGAGACAGCAGGATATATCGTTGATCCTAAAGCTTCAAAAGATGGTAAATCCCTTCGAGCGGTGAATCCGACCACCTTTTCTGTAATCATTTCAGGCTTTTCAACTCTCTTGAGGACACTCATTCTGCCTTTTAAAACCCACTTGTAATTTTGGCGCAGCAGCAGAACATTTTATTTTGCATAGAGGCTCCAGTTTCATCAAACAGTTTGGAGGTTGTTGCCGTGGAGTTGGTGAAAAGTGAAAAGAGAAAGAGGGAATAATCTTGGTTTAATAGCAAAATAAGGCGGTTACATTAGTCAGTGTGAGGGTAACCCATGTCTGGAGGGAAATCAGTGCAGCTTGAGTTCCCTGCCTGAAGTAGCTCACAGGCATCACTCTGTTTCTAAAAGTTTTCAATACATTCGACTTCAATTTTGAGTCCTGCCAAACTCTACCTCGACGTCACCCTCGCTGACGGTGTAACTCCAAAAATACTGAAGTTCATCTTTTCTCAGGAAGCCCTGACTCTGGCTTGCGAGTACGTGAGGAAGATTCGAGCAGACATGGGGGGCACCAACATCCTGGCTCCGCTCAACTGGATCCTGAGGCAGCCGATGTTCAGCGGACACCCACGCCTGCTCTTCCTGCTCACTGACGGCGCTGTCAGCAACACGGGCAAAGTTATCGAGTTGGTCCGCAGCCATGCACGCCACATCAGGCGAGTACTCCTGCTCGGGTTAAAGGGATATTCCGGCGTGAAATTAATTATTAGTAGATTAATAATTATTAGAATTAGTAATAGCTTGGTTGGGGAAATGGATGGACAGATATAGCAGCTTTATGATGTGTTAAACACATCCGGGTTTCTGCAAGGTGGTTTGAAATTAAGTCATAATGTCAACATAACAAGTAAGTAAAGGCTGGTCCCTCTGATTAAAGGGATATTCCGGCGTAAAATTAATTTAAGGTCAAACACACTGTAACACTGAGTTATACACCCTTTTCTAGTTATACCAACTTTAGTAATGACTGCAGGATAGCAAAACACAGCGGTCTGAGGAGCCGTAAATAAACCTCAACCAAAACGCTACTCTATAGCCACAAATAATGCTCAGAACAGCACCTAACTTCATCAACAGGACATATAGGGTCACAGCCACAGTACTAGCCACCAAACATCTTTTTAACTTTGACTTATTTCTTTAGCAAAGAGACTAAACACATCTCACCTACTCTCTCGAGACCTCAGGCCAGTCCATTACAGACTGCAGTGGAGTTTCGCAGCTCAAGGAAGAACATTTATGATCATTTCTTTATCATTTCCCTGGAGTAATAATCAATAAAACAATCATTTTGAACTGCAGACACAGTAGTTCTTCTGCCTTAGCGTCTCGGTCTGATTATATTTCCATGAAGAAATGATCATAAATGTTCTTCCTTGAGCTGCGTCACCCCGCTGTAGTCCGTAGAGGTCTCGCTACAAACAAGCGGCTGCTGGAAGTGAGTTACTAAAGAAATTAGGCAAAGTTCAAAAGATGTCCGGTGGCTGGGACCCTATATGTCCTGTTGATGAAGTTAGGTGCTGTTCTGAGCATTATTTGTGGCTATAGAGTGGCGTTTTGGTTGAAGTTTGCTTATGGCTCCTCAGACCTCTGTGTATTGCTATCGCGCCGTCGTTACTGAAGTTGGTATAACTAGAGAAGCAAGTGGTCAGCAACATTCATCTCTCGAGTAGGAATATCCCTTTAATATGTCCGAATTAAAAATCAATATAAGTCACATCGTTGGGGGTCATGTCATGTAAGAGGAGAAGAACAATAGAGGTAGGTGAATAAGAACAGGCTGTGACAGAGAATCTGCTGTACACTGAATCAAAGCAAATGATTACATATTCCTCTTTTGTTTAGGTCCATTATGCAAATAGCAAAAGCATCACTCAAGATTAATTCACATCCGGGGATTGTCTCAGGCTTAGACCGAACACCTGGCGATGGAAATGTAATCCTCTCAAAATTAAATCTAGGTGTTAGACATTTTATATATATCGCGGCTCAGAATCTGTCACAGGAGAACATATGTGCAGCCGTGACTCGAGGTTTTAAAACCAACACTGTTTTAAAGCTCGAACTCGACCGGGGGATGAAAAAAAAAGCTCCCCGCAGGATTCAAACATCAACTGTCGAGTGAGAGTGAGCGCTGGCGGCACAATAGACTCGCTGTACGCTGGGAAATTTGTTTTATTTTGCTGCTTGTGTCGAAGTCTCACACTGCGAATCCCTTTCCTGAGTCACTCTGGAAATAATTGACTTTTGTGTTCCCCCTTTTAATGGATGACTGCCCCCAGATGATTGCATTAGGTACACAGAGCTTGTCCAATTCATCGACACTTCCTGGGTCATTATCACACTCTGCTTACAAATCAGCACAGCCAGTCAGAGACAAGACCAAACAACGATTAATCTCTGTGCCGAAAAGATCCATGCAAGGTTTTTAACTATGTAAAAGGTGACATTTCCATTTTCATTTGTGCTCTTTGAGCTCATTAAAAATGCAAACGGAGAAAGTTGGTGTAAAGATATTAGCCGGCTCATCCCATGATTAGAAAGAGAATAAAAACAGGGATTTAAAGCTTCATCCGACCTCTCAGGAGGAGAAACAGGCAAGTCTCGAAACTCTATCATTTCCTGTTTGGCGTCTTATCCCCTCCCAAATCTGTCTCTGACAAATTAGATTGTCTTGGGTGTATACATCTCCAGAGTGCCTTTCTAAATCTCTGCTAGATGAGCGCACATCCTAACAAGCCACCTGTTCTCATACGCAGCGTGTCCCCAGATCTGTCTGTGAAGGTTTTATGTGTCTGCGCAGGTGTTTTACGTTCGGCATAGGACTGAGTGCTTGCAGACGGCTGGTGCAGGGGCTGGCGACGGTTGCCAAAGGAACGGCTGAATTTCTGGCTGATGGAGAGAGGCTGCAGCCCAAGGTACTCATTTCCAGCTTTGTTTCTCTTTAAAGGCCAGTCATTGTGGAGCGACTGTGCTGAGTTTTCTAAGCGCTGAATGTCTGCCACTCAAACTAAGTGTAAAATCAAATCCCAGAGGCGCCGTTTGTTTTATGAGCCCGCCATGTAGAAGCTGTGTTTTTGTTTTGGCTCAGACTTATCAGCTTGACTTCACAGCCTGCCTGAACTAGCACTTCGTTTGTTTTTACTCCACAGATGATAAAGTCCTTAAAGAAAACCATGTCCCCTGTTCTGAGCGACATCTCTATCGAGTGGCTTTTCCCCGAGACGAAAGAGGTGCTGCTGTCCCCCGTTGGCAACACTTTCCTGTTCCCTGGAGACAGTCTGATCGGCTACAGCGTCGTTTGCGACACCACCCGTTACCACGCCAACCCCAAATCTGTAAGTTCAAAACTCCTCCTGAAAGAGACGCTTCACTTCGTTAAATATGTTTCTTTTTTTTTTTTGCATATTTCAGAGGACGAGGCTGTTTTTATCTAAATTAGTCACCTTCAAAAAAGTGCTCCGGGGGAGATTAAAAGGCTAACTATGAACAAGCTCTTTAATTAAACCTGGTGAACAGGTTTTTACTGAGGCACTTGTCTCGTATGTGACACCTACTTAAAATCTCAACAGGATAAGCGGAGGCGATACAGCATGATGCGCTCCATCGAGTCCGCCAGCTCGGTGTTTTATCACTCTCAAGAAGAGGACCCGGCGAGGACCGGTGTGGACAGCCAGGGCTCCTACAGAGACGCTCCATCATACCCTCTGTACGACTCCTACCAGGACTCTGGGACGGATAGCCCTGCTCCTGCAGACCAAGACACCGCAGGTAAAGAGAGACACAGAAAGAACCCTGTTTCTTTACTTTAGGTCCTATATGAATATTTGTACGTTCGATAAAATAAAAGTGGTTAAAACTACGAACGACTTTCATGGAAGCAACAACTTTTGCACATAAACCCCACCAGGCTTCGATTGTAAGACATCTCCAAGAAGACGCGCATACAGCACCAACCAGATCATCGACTACAACCCGGCAAAGAAGGTTTTCACTCCCAGCGACCCCAGCTCTGTGGTCGCCAAGAACCCGTTGAGGAGATCCAAAGTCCAGGAGCTGACCGGCCAGATGAGCTCCGAGCACGAAGCGCAATGGAGGAACGATTTCCAGGTTTGATCTCGATCGCTCGCTGAAAGCTTCTCTTGGAAATAGATCAGAAGCAAGAGGGTTAGCAAGAACGTTATTTATATTCAGGCTGTGCTGACAAATTAACCATTCATCTGACCCTTGTATAGACCTGGTGTGAAATCAAGACCAGACTAATGCGCTCTCCCCAGTAATGAGGGACAATATTTATGAATGCTAATGAGTTTGGATATTGCTCAGGGAGGATCTGGGTAATACTAAACAGAGTTCACCGGCCTGTGGAGAAACCAGACATTTGCTTTGTAAATTTCAACCAGGACCCATCGCATTATCATTATAATTAAAGTCTACCCTGTGATTAGAAGTTACATCACCGCTTTCTATTTATATACATGAGTTATTGTTAAAATATGAGTATGAAGATGTTTATTTTGGCTGTTATGTTTTTAAAACTTTATCTTGTTTGTTGATATCTTTATTATCAAGATCTCGACTTGGCTTAAAATTTTGGGTCTTTTTCATAATAATTCACTGAAATATACGGTCAAGCTTTTGATTCCCATTACCTGAAAACACTGTAAATAATACAAGTTTATCTATGATGCACGTTTTCAGTAACAAGGAAATTCAAAGTAGAAAAACAAACTGGAAGAAAACATAAAAAAAAAGTTGAAAGTTGATGATAGAAGGATGACAGATGCTGAGGAGCTAGACAATTTAAGCTATCCCACTGATATCCACCTACCTGCTTGACTCACAACAAAGATCCACACACCTACAGAGCACCCACTCACACAAAACACAGATCTACGACACCTACAGAGCTCTCACAACCGCACAGAAGAAAAATGACCAAGACCAGGGTGGTAAAACTACTCGAAAAGGCTCCATACTTAATTAAAATCTGATCGAGTGTTAAAGGAGTTCACATCGATGAAACTTTGTCTCTTCTTGCAGCCACAGCTGGCGAGTCTGTGTGCCACATCTTCCAGCGGGCATCCTGCCAGTTATCACAGGCCGCACCCTCAGCAGGAAGCCGACACAGAGCAGCATATCCATCCTCAGCCTCAGGATAACCCCCTTCCCTGCGGGGCCGGCGTGCCGCTGAAAGCTCGGAACATCGCCGCGGACGACGGGTCCAGATCCTCCACTGACAGCCCGTCTGTCGGCAGCACCGGAGATACAGGTAAGACTGAACTGTTTCCCTCAACTCTCAGTTATACTCGACCAATCATAGACCTATATTTGACAAGGGGGCGGGTTCTCCAGGATTATAATACAGGAGAGCTGCACCAGACAATGTACTTTTATGATAACAAGAGTGAATAACAGCACTTACAGCACTCAACGTGAAAAAGATGTGATTTTTCCCCCTCTCTGTTTTCATTCTCTGTTGCTATGCCCTGTGTCACACTGCTCTGTGTTGGACTCCCACATGAGGCTGTTGCCACCCTGGAAAGAGGAAGTGGATTGAATGGAACCAGAATAATCCACCAAAGGGGGGATTGGTCTGTTGACCCACGGCTAGGGTTTAAGAGACTCTCAGGGCATGAAAAGAAGGAGACATGGCATCCAGAAATACTCAGTTTAAATGAGCTTACATCTAAATAATGCAACGGCTGATCTGGCTTCTTCCAAATGACAGTTTATGCCAGAATGCATGTTCATTTTGTTTGTTTATTTGTCCAAGAACTAAATGTAAAAATGAAAGTACGCAACCGCTAGCCTAGTGGTCTCATACGTGGATGTTACGCCTCATGAAGTCTGTCCAAGTTCGTGGCTCCTTCCCTGTATGACTCTCCCCATTCTGTCTCCTCATTTCTTGCTTTGTCCACTTTCCTGTCATTTCCAAATAAAGGCAAAAAAACAGAAAATAAATCTGAAAAAATAAAAATAAGGATTAGTTGGCTGTTCGGTGAAGGTCTTATTTTATTTGCAAGAGGGAAACTACTTTTTTATGGACAGTATGAAACTTTGTGGACTCAAACCACTAAAAGTGTCGCCTAAAATCTACCAGGATCTTGATGAAATTCCCGTTTGAAATTGGGTCTGACAAGATAAAAAGGCATCAGAAAACACTGGGAAACATTCATATTGAGTGTGTGTGCAGGACTGTTAGCTTTTTTATCATGTCACCGGTACTTTCCATGCTGTGAGGATTCAGAGTAACTGAAAAATTGCAGAAATTTTCAGGAGTGCATGCATAAAATTACTACAGTGAGCTTTTGAGGCTTTTGTATCTGTGTTTTTATTCTTTTCAGACTATCTCTCAAATTCAAAGCAAACTGTCTTTTCAGTCCATAATCCTGTATTTTCTCTTCAGATCAAATCATACTACCAAAGTTGTCAAACATAAAATCCCTAATCTGGGTTTTAACAGAATTACTCAGGAAGTAAGTGCAGATTTTTCCAAGATATGAACCCATGAACTATAAAGATTACAGTAGAAATATGCAGTTAATGTATCTGAGGATGTGTAAGTGTTTAAAAATTGATCTTTAAAGACAAACATCTGAAATCAAAGCGCTGAGATGACTGAGTGCTTAAGTGCTTCCCAGGAAAGACTGGAAATGATTTTCTCCATCTGGAACAAAGCAGATGATCAATCAGGAGATGAATGAAGATCGTAGTTTTTCAGGGCGTTGTAGCTTCATCCACAATGAGTTAAAAAAAATCACATTCAGGGATGAAAAGTCTGGTCTTTCTGTGGTTTTTCAGATGGATATGCACACCAGCTATGTCAGGCTGAAACCCCACAGGAGACCCAAAAGTCAGATCTGGGTGCAGCCAACCAGCACAAAGGTTACTGCAAGGCTGTGGTGTCTGGACTGCTGTGTGGGAAAGCGGTGAAGTGGGAGGTCGCCTTTGATATCGAACCCTTCCTGAACGGCCGGGAACGTGAGGAAAAGGTTCACGAGGAGCTTTGGAACGAGACCTTCCACCATATGGCCGGACGCTCCATCATACACGACTTTGAGCATATGGCGGATAAGGAGTGTGAGATTGAACACGGTGAGCTCCGGCTTGTTGAGTGAATTTCAGAGCAGTGGTTTGACACAGACTATTTTAATTAATCAAACTTTATTTATACAGAAAAATCTTGTCTAGACCATACCCTCAGTTTTGTTTTTTTACAAAGATAAGATTGAGTCACCCTGTAAAATAAGACCCATTCTTATCACGTCTAATCCGCCTTGAGCAGAGCACTTTGCATATAATTAAGATAAAACCCGATTTCCCCTCAGCGAACAAAACTGGAGACTTTTCAGAAAATATGTAACTCGATAACAAGCCATATGGACGAGATTTCTCATGAGTTGAAAATCTGTTTTTAGCAGCTGCTTGTGTCGTTTCTCCTGGTCTCAGTTCTGGATGGTGTTGCGTTCACTCTCAGACGTACACTAAACACATCTGCTGAATGAGATTGTAACAAATGGAACCTTAAATAAGAGACCCAGACAGTTTTTTTCCACTGTGCTGGACTTAAAAAGTATTTTTCACTATTTAAGTTTGATAGGGCTTCATGGGGACGAGCTTACTTGTGAGGCCTGCCTCTAGTGGTCATGTGATGAAATGCAGGGTTTGGCACACAGACTGTATGTAGAATGGATGCTGCTGGGTGAAGCCACTCCGAGAACAGCACACTCTAGTGACAGGCTGCAGTATAAAGGTCCTTACACACCGGAACTGACGCAAATATACGACACGAAATTACAAAAGACGCGTCCCGGGTGACTGACACAACAGCAGACTGAGTGTTTTTCAGTTCTGATTAGACTATAGTGTTGAGATGTCTGTCTGTCATGATAGCATGTACTGAGTCCAGTACCAGATAAGCACATTAAACTATAATCCATAAATGTAAGGTAACAACCGAGACCTAATGGTGCCGTGACAGCAATACTGTGACTGAATTTGAGTTTACAGTGAAAATACATATGGTATGTTGTATCTGGACAGGTTAGCTTACGAGCTAAAGTTACTTAGCACAGATGAAAGTTAAACCAAAGACGTTTATCAAACTGTTAAAGCACACAAACCATCGTCATATGAGAGATCCGACGCTATGACTCTCCACAAGTCGTCCTTCAGGTCGTTATCTTTGTAATATTTGTGTTTTTTATCAAAAATCACTCTGTTCTCCAACACGTAAACAATTAGCCAGACGGCCATGTTGGATATACCAGTGAATCTGACTTCACAACAACACGAAATCTGATTGGTCGAAGATTGCGTAGCTCAGTGTGTACAACACTACTGCGCAATGTTGGTTTCAGGAAATGGAGAAAAGTCACGGAAATACTGAGAGCTTTTCGGCTTCAAATCCATAAACTGGGGAAAGGTGGAACCAAGTTGTCCATAGTCTATACAGTCTATGGCACTTTGGTGTTTGCTTCCTTTTTCATACCCAGAGTTGCAGTCTGTGAAAGGTCCAGATTTACCGTTAATCTAGTGTAGCATGAAGACTAAGAACAAATAGAAGCTAACCTCTCTTATTTTATTGGTTAAATCCAAAAAAGGCTTTTGAAGACGCTTTTTGTGGAGCTGTGGACCAGGTCGTCTGCTGTTTCTGGATCATATCCATGTATGGCTCTGTTTTAACCTGCAGCAACAAACTGTGTCCATAAACACTGGTTCTGCAGAGTGGTTTTGAGCCCATGCGGTGACTCCCACAATAGTCATGTCTATTTTCAATGCGGTGCCACCTTAGAGCCCATAGAGTATTGTTTTTTTGTCCTTGTTCTTACAGCATTTTGCCTTTAAATCATAAAATCCCTGAATTCTTACACGTTTGATTCATGTTTATGTTTTCAGCAACATGTAATTAAGTCTGATGTGGTGTGTAGCTCATGACTGTCAGGTAGTAATTTTCTGCTCGGTATCATTCACAGGCTCTGGCAGGAAGTACCAGCTATACGCCATTCACACCAGCAAGGCCTGCAACATACTGAGCAAATACACAGCTCTCATTCCCATCGACCTGGACACTAATGAGTACATGCCGACATGTATCGAGTACATGAATCCCAGTAAGTCACGAGTGTTCCTCGATTACATGTGCTCTTTCCTCTCTATGTAGTGAAAGGACACTACCAGGAACATCTTAGTCTGTTGGTTGTTTTGTAGCTTTTAAACAAGAGAAGAACAATTTTCTCTTTAGTGTTGACATCTCAGCTGGGAGCAAACACCCTTTCGACTGTTTTTCTAAGGTCAGAGGAGACCAGTGGGGTCTGCTCGCTGCAACAGGCAAAGAAAGTAAATCAGAAAATTTGACAAAATCGTGATTTAGCTGAAATTTTTTCACTGCAAACTGCAGGTTTCTATCCAAACATTATTGTTTAGGTCAGGTGCTCATAGCTTGTGGTCAGGAGCGGGGGTAGATTGTTGTGAGCAGCTATGAACAAATCTAAAAAACTGATGAATGCAGGTTTGCCTGTAAATTTTGTTCTGCTCACAATTCATGAATGAGATCCACCTTTCATAACACCTATCAAACATCCAAAATAAAACCCTTTATAACACCGTTACCGAAAATAATAACTATAATAATACATTTTTTTTAAAGGTGTCTTTAGAACAACCAAGGCCACCAGATGATTTACAGATAACCATTCTTTATCACATCCTTCATAACAGCCTTAGTAACACCCTTTATAACATCCCTAAAGACACCCTTTGTAACAACCTCAATCACACCATTTATGACATTCTTATAACATCCTTAATAACATACTTTGTAACAACCTTAATAACATCTTTAATGAACCCTATGATTCCTTAATAAGATCCTTAATAACAGCCTTTATAACATCCTTATGAACATCCTTATTAACACTATTAATAACATCTTTCATTACACCTTAATACAACCCTAATAACACCTGTTATATGTCTTTATTAGCATCCTTAAAAACACTCTTATTAACATCCTTCCACAACAACCTTAATAACATCCTTCATAACACCTTAATAACACCCTTTATAGCATCCTTATGAACGTCCATCTTTACTGCCTTTATAACATCCTAATAACACCCTAAGTTACATCCTTAATAACACCTTAATACAACTCTAATAATACCTGTTGAATGTCCTTATTAACATCCTCACACCACCCTTAATAACACCCTTAATTACATCCTTCAAAACACCTTTCGCAACATCCTTATTAACATCCTTGATAACACCCTTTATAACATCCTTTATAACACCTTAATACAACCCTAATAACACACGTTATGACATCCTTATTAACATCCTTAATAACCCCCTTCATCACACCCTTTACAACATCCTTAATAACATTGTTTATAACACCTTAATACAACCCTAATAACAGCCTTTATATGCTCTAGTTAACATCCTTAACAACACCCTTATTAACATTCTTATTAACATCATTCATCACACCTTTTACAACATCCTTGATAACATCCTCATAACACCTACATATACCTTTCATCAAGATCTTCAATCCCCCCTCGGCTAAACCCTGCAGTACAGCTTCTCCCAAGCTTGTGGATTGCTTTTGTCGACATCCATCCACAAACATGAAAACATTTTGTTTTTCAGCCGAGTGTCTGAAGAGAGGCTCCCACTCCAGCTCTCGATCGGGGAGCAGGAAGAACAGAGGGTACTCCATCGGACTGGGTCGCTCTCAGTCTGGGGGCATGTCTGAGGAAGTTGAAGATGCTGTCCTGCCGAACAGTAAGCCTTTTTTAAAGAGATTTCAATCTGGACTTTATCGCGGAAGAAGCCAAATTTCTAGATCATAGAAGTTGGCAGTAGTTTTTTCTTAGAAAGGATTTATTTGATTCATTCCAATCCAACTTTATTTGAAACAGAAAGGTTGCAGCCTTGTTCCTCCTGCACTGTGAACTGTGATATTTCAGAATGAGCCGAGAGATGCTTTACATTAAAAAAATTCTCCGACAGTAAAAGGGCACAACATTTTAAATTGGTCTCCGAGAGTGTCAGCAAAGACAGGGTGAGGCCGGCTGATTCACGAGCGTCTGCTTTAAAATCGACTGCACAGTGGTCGCAGAGACAGATGAGTCTTATTTTTAGTGCTGTCACTTTTTGAAAGAATAACACACGAGCCCAAAACAACACATTAGATCTTTGCTTAGGTTTGCTTTTGCTTGTAGGTGCAGAAGATGTCGCTTCCCCGTGCAGCACCCCCTCCTCCTCCAGCTGGGATAGATGCAGCTTCACCGAGAGTGAGTAAAACGCGACACGAAAAGCGTCAGTAATTTGGATGTTTTTCCGCTGTTTTGTTCATAATGAGAAAACAGGAGATTATTGATACCTCAGCCCCTCTTCTCGTAAGTGATGATGGAAATCGACAGTTTTGTGGCTTGTGTTGACAGAGCCTGTCTAGACCTTTAAATAAAATAATGAGTGGACGCTAAAGGCACAAACACACACACACACATGAGAAGCTGTTTCACCTGCAGAGGAGAGACCGCTGATGGAGTCTATGACCTCTCCTGCCTTTAGTGCATCCCAGTGGGTGTGTTGCACCTCTTTATTGTGAGACTCATGTCGAGAACGAAATGGGAAAGTGTCCGAAAATGCCACTGCTTCTGTATATCTCGCTCTCCTTTTTCTTTTGTGTAACTCTGCATCTCTCTCTGCATGTCTGTCTCAAAGTCTCTCAAAGGAGTTCGTCTGTGTCTTCTGACCAATCACAGAAAACAGTGGAGAGCCTTTTTTCCGCCAGGTGGGTGTTTGAAGACTGTCTGGCTCCGTTAATGGGCTCTAGCTGTGGTACCTACCGCTGCATTAGCAAACATAAAGACTTCAGGCTTATTATCTAAAAATTTTAACCGCCGCTCAAAAGAGGAGGGAGATCTTTTTAAACATCATCTTCTCCAACTTTGACCGCCGGAGCCTTGCTTCTTTCATGATATTACACCAGCGCTCTCTTGTTAGCAGTTGTGACCGTATAAAAAGGCGACTGGAGACCCTTTTTTTTTCCCCGTTTGAGAACGAGACTTACAGCCATTATGGGCACTCTGCGGGGCTATTCTTGAAAGAGGAGGCGTGGATGAAAACCCGCCATTTAAAGAAATGGAAAGAGAAAGAGTCGCCATGTTGAATGGGGGGGGATAATGGCACATGGAGGCTTTCACTGCGGTGCACTTAAGGGTCACTAACAAAAGGATGGAAATCAGAGAAAGAGGAAACTTTAGATTTTAGGTTTTTATTTCTTAACAGTATTGCAATCCGCTTTATTTATTCAGACGGGCACTTTTCCTCAAGAAGCACAGACGCTGTTTTGTCTGACTTCGATCTCAGCTGTGTGTCGGGTCAGAGAATAAACATATTCTCATATTAACATAATATAAAAGTAGGAATAATAACTCCCTGGAAACAACGATGTACTCCCATGTCAGTGCGGTGTGTTCGCGAGCTTATGAGCATAAAGTAAAGCCGAGGCTGGAGGAACTGTCATTAGCGCTGGAGTCAGCGGGTCATAAACCAAAGATGAAAGTAAAATTGGTCCCCTAAGTTATTACAATTCACCCTGCGAGGGAAATAAATGTCCGTACCAAATGTCACAGTGATCCGTCTAACATTACGCAGACGGTTTGCACAAAACCTCATGACCCGGCTCCGCGAGGGGATCGCCGGAGTCATTTGGATTTATCATCTGGGTGTCATGAATGAGTCAACCGTACGTAACGACAAGGCGATCAATAGATTCTGGTTTATTTTGGTCGTGACCACAAAGACTTTAAAGAACTTCAGGAAAAGCAAAACAACCTCTAAATGAAAGTCTAGCCTCTCCCCCTTTTCCTCATAGATTTAGTGTCGTAGTGGTTTGTGGTTCACATACTGTACTCTCTCTGATTTACTCCATCCACCTCTCCCTCTCCTCTCGAAGGTTGGCCCTCAGCAGGACTCGTCTCCTGACTCGGGCCGCCAAAGGATTCATGTGTCGATCTCACAGCAAGTCCGGCGATTCAATCGGAGAGAGTGACAACGAGAACAAAGACTACATTCCTCTGGTGGGTTTGAGACCTGAACCCTGAGACCTCGTGATTTTTCTAAGACTCTGATCTGAACTGTAGATTTGTCCCAGAGGACGAAGCAGTTAGAGGTGGTTTGACCGGAGGACGTCAGCTCTTTAAAGACATTCCTCTCTTTTTTCCTTCCCTTCCTTCAGTTTTCCCATCTTCTCTTCTTTTTCCTCTCTTTCTTCCTCTTCTCCATCCTTCCTCCTTTCTTTATTCTTCCCTTCAGTTAGTTTTCCTTTCTTCTTTCCTTTTTCTTTACTTTCTTTCTCTTCTCCCTTTTTTCTTTTCCTTCTTTCAGTTTTCCTTCTTTTTCTTTCTTCCTTTTTCAACCTTTCTGTCTTCCTTTCTTCACATCCACCTTCTACCCTCCTTTCCTTCTCCCTTCTGTCCTTCCATCTTTTTATCTACCTTCCTTCTCTCCTTTCTTTTTTCCTCTTTCTCTTATCTACCTCCCTTTCTTCCTTCTTTCCTCCTTTTGTTCCCTTGTTCATTTTTCTTTCCTCCTTTTCTTCCTTTCCACCTTCCTTCCTTTTGTCCTCCTTTGGTTCCTTTTCTAGCTCCTTCCCTTTTCCTCCTTCTGTCTGATCTACCACCCTTTCTTCCTTCTTACCTCCTTTTCTTTTGATCTACCCTCCCTCCTTCCTCCCTACCTTTATTCCTTTGTTTCTTCCCTCTTTCCTCCCTTCCTTCCTCCCTTTATTCCTAACCTTTTCCTCCTTTCTGCTTCATTTTCTCCACTCTCTTTTCTTTCATTCTTCCTTCTTTCCTCCCTCCTTTCCCTTCTTCTTTGTTTATTCTCGTTCATATTTGTCTTTTATTGCAGCTTTCCTCCTTTTTCTTATTTTCCTTTTTACTCTCGTTCCCCTTGTTTCCTCTCATTTTGTTCATTTTTCTATGACTGCATGAACAGTATTCTGGTCTCATTTTTACCAACAGAAACTGGAGCTTTCCGACATACTTTAAAATGAATCATTTTTCTTTCCTGACCTTTTAAACCGCTGATAAGTTCTGCTCAGCCGTCTAAAAACTTTGAACATTTGGACTTTTCTGGGGGGTGAAATTTGCCCTCCGGTTGAGCTCCAAAAAGCTTTTTCAGCGCCATCTATTCTTCTTTAACATTTCCAGCACTCTTGTCAGTACTCAAATCTTTACTCGCAGGACTAAATCAGAACCCGAGCTCATCGCTTTATCATCAAACCAAACTTTACCCCGCCTTTTAAACCACCAGGACCTGAACGAAAGCTCTAATTATGTTGCGCACGCGGCATTCGTCATGTATTATTCATCGCTTTCAGATTCAATGGAGAGAAAAAAGTCTGTGAACAACAATCAGAGTAGCCCTCTAAATGATTTCCCTTTATCAACAACCGCAGAGCTATCTCTAGTAGGTACATCCACACCGAGTTGTTGATTGGAGCCGAGCTGCTGATTGGAGAAGCACAAAACCTTTTTTCATGGTAATGAACCGTCAGACATGTCGTGGTGTTTCAGCCGATCAGGATCTTCTTCACTTTTTTCTTTGAATATCACGCATAGAGGATTTACTCACAAATGAAATGTTTGAGATGAAAAGCATTATCGTTTGATTGTGCAAAAATGTCATAGCAAGATGATTCAAGAGAAAATATAGGATAATAAAGAAGAGTTTTCAGTTTGTTTGGTTTTATAAACGGGCATTTTGGGTATCCAAGGAGCTCCGATATTGGTTCAGTAGAGGTTAACCAAAACGCCGTCCCCGCCCTTTTCTCCTGTTTTTTTTGGGCTGTCCTGATACGATATTGATACTGGATCAGTCCGATATCAGACAAAAAACGAATATCAGATTATATCGGCCTGCATCTAAAATCTCCGATACAAGCAGTCCGTTCCAGACTCCACTCCAGCACCTCTAGCTAGCAGCGCCCTGATTCAGTATGCAGAGCCCACGTGATCACAATGACAGCATGTACTAATGCTGCGTTCCAGTTGTACTCAAAAGTCAGGATTTCAAAGCTTTGAGTTGGAAATTCATCTGGATGGCAGCGCAGTGCATCAGCAGTAAAGAGTAACAGTAAAAGCTCTCTAAAAGAATTATTTATTAGCACTTCTGTTTTGTTTTGGTAAAATTAAATTAGTGGTTTATGTTGTGCTGCCCAACGTCTAACTGTGAACACGGTGCTATGGTGTTTGTCGAGTAAAATACTGTGTTGTGCGTCATTTACAGTTGGTATAGCTAACAACAACTAACAACAACTGACAACAGCTAACGACAGCTGAAAAATGTAAACAACAGCTAACAAGGCTAACTGTAGGCGTCCATCTTGGTTTTTCGACTTGTTAACTAGAACGCTGTCAACTCGGGTGTAACATCATTCCCAGCTCCGACATTCGACTTCCAAGTTAACTTTAACTCCAAGTTCTTGAAAGAGGAGGCGTGGATTAAAATCGCCATTTAAAGAAATGGAAAGAGAAAGAGTCGCCATGTTGAATGGGGGGGGGGGGGGCAATAGCATAGTGACACATGGAGGCTTTAACAGTACTTTTCGTTAAAGTCCGAAAAAGACATTGCGGCTGAGTGAAAAACTTGTCATGCACAAGTTTGTGCCAATATCGGATCAATATTGGTATCGGCTGATACTGTAGGCTACAATACCGGTATCGTAACCGGGGTAACAAAGTTGTATTGGTACTCCCCTAGTTTTTTATTCATCTTCAGTCACATTAAGATAAGCTACATCCATCACATCAGTCTCTAACCACAGTGCTTCCTCTGTTCAGGTGTTGTTGCAGTTGGCCAGCGGCGCCTTTCCTCTTGACTCAGCTCTGTGTGACGCCATCAATGTTCCCATGGACAAGCTGAAGTGGACGTCACCCTTCAGCAGCCATCGCACCAGCCTGGGCCACCTGTCTCACTCCAGCAGCCGCCGCACCGACAGCTCAGACGACGGACACAGATCCCCCTGTGAGCCAGAATCACAGAGCCTTCAGCCTGCGGAGCACGCCACGGGATCTCAGAGCCCGTCTCATCTGTCCAGGAGCCCCTGTGCGGAGGCCGGTCCCCCCTCAGTGGGCAGTCCCTCTGCCCACAACGAGCCCCAGCTGTCCCAACACTCTCAAGTGGATAGCGGACGGGGGTCAGGGTCAGGCGCCGTGGAGGCAGCATCGCCCGGCGGTCTCAAGTGCATGCTGGATCCGGAGAGTAAGGTGTGGGCGACGGCGGTGGCGCTCGCCTGGCTGGAGCACAGCTCTGCTAGTTATTTCATCGAGTGGGAAATGGTCGCTGCCAAGGCTAGCATGTGGTTAAGTGCACAAGAAATCCCAGAAGGCAAAGACTTAGCCTCCATCAAGTCTGCTGCGAACCAGCTCTTCATCATCCTCAGACACTGGGATGAGAATCTGCAGCTGAACATGCTGTGTTACAACCCCAACAGCGTCTGAAGCCTGCTGGTCCCCCGACTGAAACCCCCTGACCACTGACAGTACTCGGTTCAGTGCGATACTATGCTCGCTGAGGCTGTACTCTTCTCCGTTCAGCTGTGTGTTCTCCGGAGTCTGATGATTTTGCCGTTGCAGTGGTGATAAATGTGTATCTTGTTCTGTTTGCGTGCTGATCCTCCAAACATATCACAGGCTCTTCAGAGGCATTATGTGCAAGCTATTACCTCTCGCTGGTGCCATATACTGTAGCCGGATCCCTGTTAGCAAGGGATCAAATCTGAGTTATGCCCCAGATTTGAGCGTCATGGAGATGAACGTCAGTGTTAAATTAGTAGCATGCTGAATCACTGACCAACAACATCAGAGAAAAGATTTTATAGCCATCATATTGATGTTAACGGGGAGAATGCTGCAAAACACACGAAAAAAAGGACATTTTGACACTTTGTTTTTACGTCATTCTGAATTTCCTGAATTGGTTTTGTTGTGAAAAGATGGAAACACACAGTGCTGCCGATCTTTTTGTATTGCCTGCTCCCACTACTGTGCTGGTCATATTTGCCATGATTGCATTTTAGCAGAGTCTGAAGAATATGCAAGAAGCTGAAGAAAATAGATGTAAAGATTCGGATGAGTGGCTTTGGTGTAAATCTATGAATGTATATCCCACTAGCATGTTTATAATGTAATGATGTGTAAATCCATATTTATTTTCTCACTAAGAAAGACGTACCTGTCGTAGAGGGGTAGTTTTGATCATGCCATTTATCAGAGACAGTCTCAGAGTTGAGTAAGCTGCAAGTTCAAAGTTAGTCTCACCGTATAAAGAGGTCCTGATGTAGCTTTAAGTTTTCAGGGAATATTTTACAGCCTGTAAGTGTGAGGAGAAGCATGGTATTGTAACCATAACGACCAACAAAGTAAACACTAAACAGAAAACAATACCCCTAAAAGACGTGATGGGACTCAGACCAAACAAGATCAAAAATCAGTTTTTGAAAGGATCATTAACACGAACATTTTTCAGTAAAAATTTAAATAAAGACCAACAAAATATCTATCTTTAGATCTTTAAATTGATCTTTGTCTAAATATCTATATAAATATATCGCTAGATCTAGATAGATGGATGATGAAATGATGGAGCATCAGTACCTTTCCATGTAAACATAAGCATCTATCTATCTATCTATCTATCTATCTATCTATCTATCTATGATACAGGTATAGACATATGTAGATATAGAAAAATGTAAAAATTTAAAGAAACATAGATAGATGTATAAAGTTTATGTTTTTTAAATTTATTTACATAGAGATATAGACATAGATATAAAGATGAATATAAAGTCATAGATAGATAGATAGATAGATAGATAGATAGATAGATAGATAGATAAATGATGGAGTGATGGAACTATCTTTCGATGTAAACATAAGCATCTATCTATCTATCTATCTATCTATCTATCTATCTATCTATCTATCTATCTATCTATCTATCTATCTATCTATCTATCTATCTACCTTGCCTAGATAATGATACAGGTATAGACATATGTAGATATGGAAAATTTTAAAGTATAAAGAAACATGGATAGAAATATAAAGTTTATGTTTTTTCTATTTATTTAAATAGAGATATAAAGTCATAGATAGATAGATAGATAGATAGATAGATAGATAGATAGATAGATAGATAGATAAAGCTCTACTCTAATGTGTAAAGCGATAGATAAGAAGTTACACTTTGTCCAAAGGGGGCGCCAAAATCAGCACAGACCTGAAGTCCCTCACAGCAGCTTTATACCATGCTCACACTCAGAGATCAGCCAGATGACAAAACAAATGGACATTTTTGAATAAACACACTTGTGGTTTCCAGAAGATAAGCCCTAATTACTTCATGATCCCCTGACTTTTCCTGCAGCGTCATCATGAGGTCAAAAATATGATTTTACCTGAACTTCAACTTTTGTGATAATTAACACTCTGGGTTTGTTGTTGGTGATTCAAACTTCTTTGATTTTGGTTTGTGTTCCTAAGGATGTTTATTTATTTTTGACACCTTCAGGGTTTTTTTTTTTTTGATGTAATTCAAGTAGTAATGGTTCAACCACAATTAGCTGTTCTGTGTTTGTTGTTTGTGACATAGAGCTGACCATTTAAACCTAGTGATGGATTCACTCAGATGTGGTACAACTGGGTCTTGAAAGAAACGAGCAACAGTCCTGTTCTGGGAATCACAGAGGAAACAGTTTCATTTACCACAAGTGCCTAACCGAGTTTAAAAGTTTTCATGAATTTACATCTGTTACGCGCAGTTTGATTACTATTGTGGACAATATTGGTTCATTTTCTTGGACTCACTATAGGTTTGTTCTTTCTTGAAATTCAATTGACTCTCTGCATTGCCTATAATGGTATATTTATTGTTGATTTACCTCTTATTTATTCCATTGCGGTGTTGCTTTACTCAGGTATTGATTTTTTTCACTCAGGCTGAGTTGCATAGATCTTTCTGCATGAACACAGGTATTTATGTTGTGTGTTAAATGCCTGAAAAGTCACATTGGAGCCAGTAGAGCAGTATTCTGCTCTCGAGAAAAGAGAGTACAGTAGATGTCATATAATAATATTTTTGTGCTGTAATTGCAGTAGTCGGTGCCGCTGTAATTGTCGTACTTTTTTATGTGCTGGGTCAGTTTTGACGTATGGTATCTTTCCACTTGCTGTGTGTGCCTTTTCAAAATGATTGTTGACTGTTTGGGGCTGTTGAAAGCTTCTGTTGTGTCTTTACGATTGTCGATGCTATGATCTGCTCTGCAGATGCATGTAATAAAATAACTCAACCATGGATACGTGATCTGTTGTCATCTATTGTTCCATTGTCATTGATAAGGGGTACCTCATGGATCAATGCTTGTGCACCTATTTTTTTGCCTCTACTGTTATGCTGATGATACCCTGTACTGCTTATCTTTGTCCTGTATTTGACACATCTATATCAAAGTAGCTTCATATTAAGGTAAGTAACTAATACGGAGAAGGGGTACCTCAAGGATCAATGCTTGTGCCCTCCCCCTTTTTTGCCTCTACTGCTATGCTAATGATACTCTGTTCTGTTTATCCACTTTGTCCTGTATTTGACACATCTATATCAAAGAAGCTTCATATTAAGTTAAGTAACTAACATTGATAAGGGGTACCTCATTGCTTGTGCCCCTACGTTTTGCCTCTACTGCTCTGCTAATGATACTCTGTTCTGTTTATCCACTTCTTTTATGTGACAACTCTAAAATAAAATAGCATCATATCAAGCTAAGTAACTAACATTGATACGGGGTACCTCATGGATCAATGCTTGTGCCCCTATGTTTTTGGCCTCTATTGTTATGCTAATGATAACCTCTTCTGCTTATATATTTCCTTTATTTGACACCTCCATATTGAAGTACTTTCTTATCAAGCTAAGTAACTAACATTGATAAGGGGTACCTCAAGGATCAATGCTTGTACCCCTAATTTTGTTATGTTGTCTCTACTGCTATGCTGATGATACTCAATTTTACATATCCATTTCCTTTGTGACACCTCTATATTAAAATAGCTTCATATATATCTAAGTAACTAACATTGATACGGGGTACCTCAAGGTCCAATGCTTGCGCCCCTATTTTTTTGCCTCTACTGCTATGCTGATCATATCCCATTTTACTTTTCCACTTTCTTTATTTTGACACCTCTAAATTAAAGTAACTTTATATCAAGTTAAGTAACTAATACTGATCAGGGGTACCTCAAGGATCAATGCTTGTGCCCTTATTTTTTTATTTTGCCTCTACTGCTATGCTGATGATACCCTGTTCTGCTTATCCATTTCCTTTGTTTGACACCTCTATATTAAAGTTGCTTCATAGCTTTACATCCTTGCATCCCACCCATGTCCTTTAATTCCTACACAACATATTTAATCACCAACCTTCATCCATCTTATTTTATTCTTTGCTGCGTTCACCTGCAACTCTTTAGCACTTGCTTTAAAAAAGTGTTGTGGCTCTTAGTCTTAATGCCCCCCCCTCGTATGACTCATTTAAACATGGCTTTGGTCATACATGAGCTTCAAACTAAAGGTCACTGTAAACAACCAATTATTTTCAGCTCTACACAAACAGCGCCATAGAAGTGGACATAACACCTGCTGTTTCAAACTAAAGCGAGTGCGAAGGTGTCGCATGGATTGACCATGTTTTCTCCAAAGGAAGCGAGGGCGACTGTACTCGCTGTAAACATGTAAAACAGCCAGAGGAGAACATTTCCCGATTCTTGCCTCTGAAAGAATTCTCAGTTGTTGACTTGAAGTGTTTATATTTCTGATAAATCAAGGTATGCTTTGTGTCAACCAGGAGGAAGCTCCCACAAGCTTAAGTCCACTCTGATGGTGTCCTTTGCCACCAGTTTATAAAAAGGTGGAAAGTGAAGAGCGGCGTAAAAGCTCTTCAAGTCCATTTCAATGGTAAAATGGTGAATGGATTGTTTATCGTGTTTTCTCCAGTCTTCTGAACACTCAAAGTGCTTTTCACATAGCATGTAACATTCACTCATATTTACACTCTGACGGCTGAGTCAGAAGGGGTCAAGTGTTTCGCCCAAGGATACGTTGGCATGTGGACGGTCGAATCTACAATCCAGCATTCGAAGTTATGATTTATGGACCTCTGTGGGCAGCCTGTTCCTGGAAACGTTCGCTCTCATGAATGTGCATGAGGGTTAATGAAGCGTCAACCTTCTGTCTTGAGGGAGGACGCTGACGCTCAAGTCCAAAAAACAGCCGTTTCTCGCGCGCGCTTCAAGGCCACACTTGCTATGCCAGTCACCGAGACTACATCCGTGTTTTATACTCTCGACAAGGTGAACCTCTGCCGACTGAATAAACTATGAAGGCCTCATGCTAAAAAAAAGGGGCAAAACAATGAATCATTTATCAATCGTTTCATCAGTACGGAGGCGAAGATGCTCCTCTGCATCGTCTGAGATCATCTTCGGCTGATACTTTTGAGTTTCTGTCCGACTTATTATAGTTAAATTAGGATTCATTCTTGAGAGTGAATTCTGGACATGACTTTCCTTGAGCTGTCTTTTTTTAAACACTGCTCCTTTTCTACAAGGTTATGTCTCATTTTAACTGATTTTTTCCACACGTGCTCCAACATCAAACCCATTGACTCTGTTTTAATGTTGTTAACCAGCTTGTAGTCGATACACATCGGACTTCATACTCCTGTTTCCCGTCTCTTGTCTTGTAACAAAGATGGCATGGTAGATAAAGTAATGAAAGACCTGTTGTTAATTCCATCCGGCTCAGTATGTTGAATGGATGTCAAGGTGACATGGACAGCGCTGGTTCTATATCTCCCCCGAGAGACACGACAGATGCCTCATTAACAACAAAAGCAGCCACAACACGGCTCCTTGAAATCAGAGGACGGTAGCAATTAGGAAGACAAGATATCATTTATGGCGTTGGTGAAAAACGTGCAGGGCCCAAAATAAAAAAAAAAAAGGAAGATAAAGGAAAGAAAACAGAGCGAAGAGGAAAAGCAAAATGATATCTCATTACTGTTGTGCTAATAACCCCCCTCACCTGTACCTTACAGATCAAAAAAGACTCAAACTGATCCTCACAGCACGCTGCGCTTTTGAAGGGCGCTCTGATACAAAGACACACGTTATTAACCGACAATTTATTCAGGTGCATTGTGTTATATGATGTGTGGGAACAGCAGACGGAGAGAGGAAAACGGCCTTATGGAAACTCTGGAGCATAAACCGTTGCTAAGCTACAGTCTAAGACACAGCACAAGAAAGTCTATTTTGATAATAATTTAATTTCAATTACATCAGGTTGGTTCAATAAAGCGAATTATGCAGTTTGACTCTTTCTCAGTTTTGATTCACCATCTATTTTTGCTCCACTCACACAGCGGTCGTTCAGTTGTCGTCGTCACGTGTCCCTGCGACACTTTATTTCCCGTCTTAATTGTCGCAGAAATGAATCTAATTTAACACGGGACGCTTTATCACCTCAGTTTAATGCGGCCCATAAATAGCTCACAGACAGACAAACACGAGTAATTGCGGCATCTGGTTTGAAGCGAGTCGTGGGGGTCGTGGGATGAGGCTTTTCTCTCAAAGGTTTGGATGCAGGGTGATTAACAGTTGACATGGAAACCCATCAAGAAAGCACATCCAGTGGGCTGTAAGATGATGTTTTCCCCAACGATATTTGAGTTTGTCTTAAATCTACAAGTTAACCAACTCTACTTACAGAAAGTGTTTGTTTTGGGGAGGCTTTTATTCGACACACGACTCAAATACAGAGATTTAGTCTTAAAGGTGTGGAGGCTGGTGCACGGTGCATGTGATACAGTATATCCTCTCACTGTTAGAGAGTGATTAACAGTCTTCAGTAGCTAATTTAACAATATAATCAATATTTTCATGGATAATGAAGCCTAACAAGGTAACCTAGAGATGAGAGGCAAACTGGACGATGGAGAATTGTTTTTAGTGTGATTTAAAGCTGATTTAAGACACGGGTCAAAACTGATCCTTAACAAAGTGGGTGCGTAGTTAAAGCTAACACAGGAGGAAAGTTAATGGATACGCTGCCACAGCTCCAAAAACCACAGAGGTCGATCCTCCAACAAGGGTTTTTATCACCTCCCCACACCTGGTCTCACTTCAGCCAATCAGACTCGCACACCTGAATCTGATCTTGGTCAAGGTGAATCGCAGATGTTTAAAACTGAAGAATCCCATAGTTTGAGAATGTCTGATCTCATGAGTTTGAGAGTTAATGCAAAAAACTCAACTGCAGAAACTTTTTGATTGATTTAATGACAAAAAAATTTGACTTAAATTGTATCACCGAAGCCCTTTCTGTAACCTTTCTGCTGGACAGGTAAAAGTAAGTGTTTCTTGTCAAACGGACCTGCTGTAGCGTGTTGTAGCACCACTTAACTGTTGACCTTGGGTCCTGGACTATGTCACTTTATCCAAGTTTTAAAAATTTTGCAAGGGAATTGTTTTTAGGTTTATTTTGTAGGACGGTAGGGGAAGGTCCCGCCCTCTTTCGCCTCTGATTGGCTAGAAGTGGTTGGCTCTGATCAGTTATTTGTTATGGCTGTGAAACGTCATCGTCTGTCAGGTTAGGGTTAGGGTTAGGGTTAGGAGATTCAGAAGTGCGATAATGTTCTGTTCGATGTACAGAGCTGACAGCCCGCGTTTGGCTTGAGTGCGTGTTGACGTTTCCAGCTTTTCTAGCCAATCAGAGGTAAAAGTAAAAAGCCAATGCTGTTAACTTTCACGTTGACTGGGCCCCATTATTTGTAATTATCTGAAGTATTTATCTGCATTATATCTGAATTTAATTGGAACGATACGAGTGAGCAGGAGCGTCTGTTTGTGGGTGGGGCTTGCTGGAGCAGAGAGGGAGGAGCTAAGGGTCAGTGTTTACATTCAAGGCTTCTCTCCAAAACTGACACTATCTCAGATCCTGACTACCCCACCTTTAATCAAAACAAACATTTAAAAACGCTAATTTCTTCCTTCTCAGCTCAGCAGGAGTTTTGTCGTTTCACAATCTTACAACTTTTACAGGACATTGTGTTAAATTTCCGCCGAAGAGTTCTTCGGGAACAGTAAAAATACCTGCGAAACTGCGCCCTTGTTAGCAGCCTTGGTGTAAACACAATGAGGCTTTTAATGCCATCAATACTGTACTTCTCCCAGAAAGGAGTGCAAAACGCTCTCAAAGCCTGATTGCTCGGTGAATCTGACATTTAGCTCAGACTCCTTCAGAGACCGATGGGCAGCGGCTCACTCCAGGAAAATGGATATCTGTGGGTTCGCTTCTGAATACTAATGTAATGATAATGCCCGGGTCCTGATATGACGTTAAATAATACATCTGAGATTTCCCGGCATAATGTGGGGTTGATAAAATGGGATTTTTTTATTTTTGTTTTGGCGTTTGAGAGAGGAGAGCATTCTTGTGTTTCCAAAAACTGCCTTCAGACGGCCTCTGGAGACAGAGATTCATTCCTGCTGGCCTCAAACTGAATCATACAAAGGCATCTTCTCCTTCCCCCTGTCTGTCTCCACTGAAGTACTTGGAGGATTATCTATTTAATGAAAGGAATATTGAGTTAAGGTTTAAATAAATTCAGAGAAACAGACATTTTTTGATTCATTTTATGTGACCAAAACAAATCAAAACATTTGATTTTACTCTTAAATTATCTTTGGATGATTCCTTAAATATTTCCATGTAAATGCAGTTTGATATGAAGGAGAAAAACAACAAAAAGAAAATCATGCAAGACTGAAAACAGCTGCTTTCCTTCAGGGAACATGGCTCTACATTTTCCGCCCCTCTCTTTCCAAATTCTGGGTTTTTCTGGCTCTCTGCGCGGGCGAACATCCCCCTCTCCTGGCTGCAAACTCCACCGACTTCAAACAGCTTTTCTCATTGTGTGTTCAATCAAAACAGCCTGTTTCAAAGAGATTCAGCCTCACACTGTATCTCTGCTACGATGCATGTACGCTTAATGAGGCGTCAGGCGCAAAATAAAACAAATAATTGATGGTTTTTGTCGCAGAAAAATCAAGTTTAACGTCCAATCAGTGGCTTTGAAGGATGCACAAGGGCGTCCTCTGTTTTAGCAGCTTTTAATTTGGATAATTAGTCCGAATGCTTGTGGAGCCTGAGTGCACAATTCTTTATTTGTAGATGATTCAAAATCAAGAGAACGGTCACAACAGCTTGTTCAAATATTCTCCAATCAAACAAATCAAATCAGAATTACAAACATCGTCCATGTGACCTACAGCCTTTACTCCGCCTCTGCACAAAACACCTCCATCAGGAAGACTGAAGAGTTTTTTTTTTTTTACAGAAATCAAATGAAAGAAAAAAAAAAAAGAGTGGCCACATTTCTGAAAGCATCCTCCTCATGTGGGTGCAGTCTTTCTTAGAAATCTCATCAGGCTTACTAAGAGTTCCATTTCACCAAAGATAACAGCGAAAACTCCTTGACACGCACTGAAAGGTTCAGAGCTGTAAAAAAAAAAGCTTAGAATCCGGCGAAAAAGGGTCCAGGAAAAAAAGGATATTTGATTAAAAGTTTTTGTGGTTTTATTTCCTTTTAACGTCTGAAAACAGATGAATATGTGTCGATGCATTTCTCTCTGGATATGAAACAAGAAGAGCTAAAGACAGCTGGACGTTACGCTTCATTTCATGTCAAACATTTATACGGTTTTGTTTACAATCTTGAGTAAGTGATGTCTACTACCTTTTGGGATATGAATCACTGATACCGACGGTTAAATGTGACTCTAGAGTAGCTCAATTTGTGGCTCTGTAAAAACATCTGATACATCTTTATTAAGAGTGAGTAAACACAGAAATCCCCCCTGAAGATACCCACACAGATATTCCTTTTTTCAGGCACAGGTGCACAAATTTGAGTGAAATGTTCAAAGTGCTAACACGACAGTATGAGTGTTCTACGAGTCCCTTTTTTCTCGTCAAAGTCAAGTCTCAAGTCCCAGTCAAGTAAAAAATATTCACATCAAATCATAAATTAATATTAAAATGCTTAATAATATAAAATTATTATTAAGAATGAAAAGAAAATGTGACTCTCTGCACTTTTTCTGCAAAGAAAGCAGCACAAAGTGCGTAAAATTAAAGCTAATAGTCGAAATAGTTCATTGTGAGTTAAAGGGATATTCCGGCCCTAAATTAATTTTTCGCCGGAATATCCCTTTAAGATCCCATGATGATAAGACAAGCAGCCAATTATATTTTAGGATTTTTGGATGTCTAATCAAACTTTAAGGTGCCCAGTCTTGGCTAAATCTTCATCCCTGACATCCCTCTTCATTAATCAGCGCTAAGACCTGTCTTAATTCTACACTTACACACTTTACTGTGTCTGATCTTGTAGAAAAACTCATCAGAACGAGCGTTTTGAAAGTTTCATTATCACAACAGGTGATCCGTTTGTGGACAATCACCTGGTGTGATAACGATCCAAGAGCAACAGCAACCAGGAAAACTTTCACTAAAACAGCAGGAGGCGGTTTAGATTAGAGTCGTTCATCTCAATTACTGGATCGACCTTATCTGTCTTTCTTTGTGACGTTATTGAGACAAAGTAATAAGATTGTCTTTGAGTCTAAAAACTCATAACACAGTCAAGTCTCAAGAGTTTAAAGGTCTCAAACCAGAGTACCTGTATCTGGTGTAAATGACAGTATTTTAGCTGTTGTACAGGGGCACCACGCGGTCTATAGCGGCCCTGCAGATGGGACACTTCTTTGGTTCTGGCAGGGCGTCGTAGCACTGAGCGCAGGCACAAACGTGACCACACTCCAAAAACACGCAGGACTTCTCCCGGCTCAGACACACGGTGCAGCTGGTCGGCGACACGTTGTTCTCCTCTATGTTCAGTTCACGCATCCGCTTCTTCTGCCTCTCCTTGAACTCCTCCATCATGCTCCTCTCCTTCTTATTCTGTCTGCGGTGGGAGTACCGCCGCCACAGGATGTAGATGAGCGTGGAACAAGCCGCCACGCCGAATAAAACAGTCAGAATCCTCCACAGCCTGACGCTGTTCCCCTGCTTCCTGAGGAGGGAGTCGTAGTCCAGCCGGGTGAGGAAGTACTGGAATCCTTGTTTGGGAGGCTGGAGTTTGATCAGGTTGTTATCCAGGACCAGCTCTCCCACTCCTGTGATGCTGTCTCCGAGCCGCAGCATCTCCTCCGTTTCGTGGATGCCTTTGGGTCGCTCACCGCTGATGAAGTGTCCGATGACGTTGGACAAAGACTGGACCGTGGGGTGGAAGTTCTCGTAGGTGGTCTCCAGGTCGAGCTCAGCGGCGTCTAGTGGACGTATGACTCTTATCGTCGTAGTGATATCATCGTCGTGGGACCCGAGGGCAAAGGGGACCGTGTTCGTGCGCTGGTGGATGATTTTCTCTGTGTTATTCCTATCCAGAGAAATCACAGTGGTCATCAACACTTCGGTGGTTGTTCTCTGAAGGTCCTGTTTCTTTATTTTTGTCTCTTAAATTTCCCATAACCCTTCAGAGATTTATTAATTTGAGAAAAATGTAACTAGTCTTACTTGAAAAAGAGGAAACAGCTCATTTTTCAAAATTATTATTTAATTTTGTCACTGTTCGCCTGACTGAAATTCATCTTTTGTCATCCTTTTTGCACCCACACTGGTGTTATTATTTCCCAGAAATGTTTTGCCATTTTTTTAACGTTGAAAAGCCAAAAGAAATCTATCTTAGGTGATATTTCTTTGTCCTCTGAGTCACCCACGGTTCACGTCAGTGTCAGTACAAAGGGTAGAAACCACACCAGCATCTAATTAAACCAGACTGACATTTGCAGGGAATGTTTTTGTGCTGTTAAATGTCCTGCTGCTGAACAGAAGCAGTGGCAGTACAAGGACACTCATTTTTTAAAACAAGACATTTTTTTCTGTTTTGATTTCTTGCTGGTATTTCTCAACAAGCCAATAACTCCATCTAAGCTTCCTGGTGATTTCTGTCTGTGTCTGTTATATTGAAAACACTTCACGGTCCTCTCATCGACTTACCAGAGATGAGTGGTACGATTCCACACCATCTTCTCCTCCTTCAGCGTCAGTCGCTCGATCACTCCTCTGCAGTTTTCAACAAACTGGCTGCCCAGAGTTTCCTTCACAGACCTCACCACACCTGCATTAAACAGGAGGATATGACGCTCTGTTAAAGTTTTATTTTGGATTAAATCATGGTGTCTTTACGGAAACGAAACACACCTTCGATGACTGCATACGGGACACATCTTCCAGGAGTTTCAGACAGCAGCGTTTTTAAATCCTGGTCGATGGAGACTTTCTTGGCTTCCTGCAGAAAGAAAGAAAAAAAAACTTCTCAGATTAACAATGAAGCACGTCAGGTGATAAATCCACGCATTCCTTGACATTTAAACCACAAAGGCAGAGTGCGATAAATGTCGCAGACCTTTAGTCTGGCAACCGTCGTCGCCCTGCTCCTGTAGATGGAATAGAAAAGTGCAGTCAGGGCCGAGCTGGTGGCTAAAACCACAATCTGTGCGGTCGAGGGTTTCCCGCTGGTGTCCATCCTGAGATCTGCAGTGACAGAAATGACAGTCGAATCAACAATAATTATTAGTGGAAGATAAGGACAGTTTAAACTTTAAATGTCAGTCTGAATCTATAATTTAAATATATATCCATCCAAATATCCATATTAACTGATATGAAAAAAAATGTATCGTGATAAACTTTTTCCCATATCGCCCGGCCCTACAAAAAGCATATTGACCATGTTTCATATCGATATTGAGGGATATTAAATTTCGATATATATCGTTATCGTTTTATCGCTCAGCCCTAGTTGTGCTTATAAATCAAACATGTAAAAGCTTCAGGTTTCACTGAAGGTTTTGCAGAAGCAGTAATTACAGGTTATCAGCTTGTGGCTGTGTTTTTATCCTTGTGTTGCACTTTAACATACTGATACGTAAAAGCAATTGGTCGTGATGGCATGACTCAGGTGCAGCTTTTGTTTTACATTCAGACTGTCTGAGCTCCAGGAAAAGCTCTCAAGATAACCCAAAAGGACTTAAAATGGACCAAAACATCCATCATTTTGATCTTTATCGCTGCTTTAAAGCCTGTTCCTTCCTCTAATGCTATATTATCAAGTCTAGACTAGTCCGCATTAAGCACCAGGTCAGTTAAACAAGACTAAAAGCACACAAACGACATTATTGAATGAATAGGAGCCACTCACGGGACTGTAAACACAGACGATTCAGCAGAGACCAGACTCTCACACTTCCTTCGGTTAGCCCGCAGGCTAACGCCGGTTAGCACCTTTATTTCACAACCAGTTTAACGTATATCACAGCTGACATGTAACAAAGCTGTAAAATCTGTTTTAGCGTAAACTGACTGCTGTAAGAGATTTGTTATCATACCTGATTTTACACTCGTACCATCACTATCAACAGAGCGAATATCACTTCCGGGTTCAAAGTTCATCAAACTGCAGTTTCTCTTCCCTGCCGCCAGATGTCAGTGTGGAATCATTTATGTCAGACACATCCGCTCTGAATGCAGAGATCTAACTGATCAAAACAACCACAATACTAACGATAAAACAAAATAAAACGATTTAAACAAACGAAATGTTTAATAAGAGAACCCCACCGCTGATTTAGTTCATTAAGAAACACAATATTTACATGGTTATGCTCTACAACGTTCTGTCATGTTTTGGTGGCCTATCAGTTCAGTTAGAGTATCAATGAGAAGTAGAAATAACAGCATTATAAATAAATTTATGACAAAACAAAAAGGCAAAAACTAACACCAGAAAAGTCAGCAAACATCTGAATCATAATCAATTATATTTATTTGCAGAGCTGCCAAGAGTCACGCTTTGAGTGTAACAGTCACGCAATTTGACCCATATCACACCACACTTGACATTTCTCACGCTTATTTTTCCCCATTCAACACTCTGTATGTATTTTTTTCGTGACAAAAAACATGGCTTGTCGTAGCTGTTGTGGTGCCATAATTCTGACTGACCGAGATAACCGATCCCAGTCCGATTCATCAGTCCTTTGTGCCTAATGCTGCGTTCCAGTTTCTTCAGAAGTCTGCGTCTCTGACTACATTAAAACAACTCGTTGAACCATTTAAAACCAACTTAATTAATCAATTGACAAGTAAATGTATTTTGTGAAAATTTTCATTTGTAATTTCTGGTTATAAGACCAGCATTAGGGAGAGCAGCTGGCATAGAGGTGAGGACATCAGTCTTAAGGTATAAATCGACGTTTAAAAAAGGCAAAAAATTTTCGCCTGAAGTCACACTCTTGTCATTTTCTGAATTTGTCAGCCCTGTATTTGGTAGGTGACATGGTTATGGTCTAAATATCTTAATAAAAGATTTCAAATGATTAAAAATTAGAATCTGTTTTGCTTGTTAAATCATAACCATCCTAATTTTGAGTCTGATATTTTATTTGTCTCCTGCACTTTCCAATATTCTTTGTGACTCACCACAGTGGAAATAAAGTCTGCACCAGAGGGGAATACAGATTTTTTGAACAAAGTGCGAGGGGGCACCCCAGGGGCCACCTGGAGTTCAAACTGTGCCCTGAGTTCACCCCTGAAGCTAGTTTGTCCCAGGCTGCATACAAATAATGCTTTGTTCTCATGCACATATGCACACAGATCTATTCTAATTTGAAAAAGAGGGAAAAGTTAGGTGATAAATTGGAGGCTGTCAGACAACATAAGGCAAGAGTGAGTCAGTAGATTTATAACACCGAGTCTAGTGGAAATGGGAAAGCCTTTACTTTTGATTGATGGCCTTTCAACTCCGACAAGACCCATATTTCAACAGAGTAACTGAATTTGCTTTTTATATATTGCTCCTTGCACATTCTCGTTGCATCAGAGTCTTTCTACAGAGTCCTAAAAAGGCAAAAAGTTGCTCCTAATTAAATGTTGCTTCAAAGTTCAGACCCAAACAAGACTTTCTTTTAAAGAAGCACGAAGCATGACTTTGGAGTTTTTAAAGAAATGTTGGGTGTGAAATATTTATTCCTGTTTTTGACCAATTAACAGATTGTAACAGAAAACTTTGAAGCAGTTGGAGAATATCTGGGTATAGACTTTGTGTCACAAAACATTTCTTATTCTGTACTCAAGGTTTCCTGGCTGTCATAAACTGTTCTCTGCAGCCTATTTAAACTCTGGCAGTACAGAGTGTTCAGAACAAATAACCTAACAGTGAACTGTGGAGAAAACAACCAAGCAGCCACTTTCAGTCAAGGTTGTGATGTTTGTGTCAGAGCCAAAGGAGCAGGTCCGGGTTCAAAGAAAATAGCGTCTGAGCAGTAAATTGGTTGTACTTTACAGCTGAACTGCATCTGAAACTGCGCTTGGTGGATTTTTGAGGCGCTGTGAATCTTACACCCAAATCCAAGTGGTAACCTCTGATGCTGAAGAAGGAAACCGGTGCTTAAAGGCACAGTGAGGAGTTTTAAACTGACTGAGAAATAGACTAAAACTGATATTAGTGCCTCTCTGTGCCCTCCAAAGGGGACAACAATGGAGATCCTGGATTAACACAACAGTGACCTGCAGTCCCACAAATCCAGTGGGACTCTAAAAGAGATATTCTGGCGTAAAATTCAAGGGTCAAACAAACTGTAAGGCCTAGTTAGACACCCCCTCGAGAGATGAATGTTGCTGACTGCTTGCTTCTTGAGTTAAACCAACTTAAGTAACGACCACATCATAGCAATATACAGCGGTCTGAGGAGCCATAAACAAACCTCAACCAAAACGCCACATTTAATGCTCAGAACAGCACCTAACTTCATCAACAGTACATATAGGGTCACAGCCATAGTACTAGACACCAAATATCTTTTTAACTTTGACTAATTTCTTCAGAAAAGAGACTAAACACAACTCACCTACTCTCTTCCAGCAGCCGCTTATTTGTAGCGAGACCTCGGGCCAGTCCATTATGGACTACAGCGGAGTGACGCAGCTCAAGGAAGAACATTTATGATTATAACTTGCTCATTTTTATGAAGTATTAACCATCATATTAATCATTTTGCACTGTAGAGTAGACGCGGTAGTTCTTCTGTCTTAGCGTCTCGGTTTGATTGGATTTCCATGAAGAAATGATCATAAATGTTCTTCCTTGAGCTGCGTCACCCTGCTGTAGTCCGTGATGGACTGGCCTGAGGTCTCGCTACTGATTGCTAAAGACAATAGGCAAAATTAAAAAGATGTTTGGTGTCTAGTACTATGGCTGTGACCCTATATGTCCTGTTGATGAAGTTAGGTGCTGTTCTGAGCATTATTTGTGGCTATAGAGTGGCGTTTTGTTTTTTTGCTTTCCTGCAGTCGTTACCAAAGTTGGGTTAACTAGAGAAGCAAGCGGTCGGCAACATTCACCTCTCAAGGGGATGTCTAACTCGGTGTTATGGTTTGTTTGATCCTAAATTAATTTCACACTGTAATATCCCTCTAATGCTGCAGCTGCTTGTGTTTGCAAACGCAAGGTTAAACACTGTCTTTGTCAAATCTGGAGCGAGAAGAGAGAGAGACGAATGTTTTAAATCATATCACAACGACAACAACACGCCATCTGAACATGATTATCACCTCCGAGGTGATGAAACAACTGATCATGCTGGAACTGACGGTGCCCGGACAAGAGCGTATTAGGGAGGCAAATAAGGGGAAATATGCAAAGTACCAGGAACTGGTGTAGGAGTGCGAGCCCAGAGGCTGGAAAACCCATTATGAGCCAATGGAGGTGGGCTGCTGAGGCTCTGCTCACTCTGCAAGGTCTCAAACAGACCAGGAGAAGATCGTCAATCCATGAGTGAGTCCGTCTGATGTTGTGAAGCATGTAACACCCGAGAACTCGAGGTCACGTCTCTGATGAAACACCTTAAGATGTATCTTCACACAAAATATCTCTGCCTGTGGGCTTAGAGAGGAGATTCATGTCTTTGGGAAAGAGGGGGATCAATTATTCAGTGTTCCTCTGTAATTGCACTAATTGTGCCTCACGGTGTTATTATGATTGCACAGCTTCAAGATGTGGTCTTTGTTGAGCGTAAAACAATATTTTAAAGCGAATTATCTGGTGTTTATGTCGTCCTTCATGCACTAAGTTGAGATTTTGCTGTTTTTCTCAGCTGTTTCCCCCTCTGTTGTGTCTTGTTCACTCCTTGTTTGTGTCATGTGCTGTTAGTCCATCAGCACACCTGCGGCTCATGTGCTAATCAAGCTCCAATCAATTAATCAGTCAAACAGCTTAGCTATTTCTACTGGGGGGCGATTGATTTGAAGCAGCTTCAATATGCACACATTTTATTGACGCAGCAACATGAAAATAATTGATTATTTATACAGTGAGCTGAAATTATGCTAATAAATGGGAATAAACAACTTTCAAACAAACAGATTTTACATTTCAGTCTTTGCCGGGTTGTTTGTGTGACCCAGAGGCTAATTCGTAGTCCAGTCCTGAGTCAGAAATCTTGTGTTTTTGCTTTGAGTGTTTTTTTCTTCTTCAGTCCGGTGTCTGTCTGTTCTTCACTTTGATCCGCTCACTGTATTTTCCATCTGCTCGCCTCATGCAGTGTTAACCATATCTGCCTCTAGGTTCACCACTCAGCCCCTCACCGCCTGCCTGGATCAGCTCTTCAAACCTCAACCTCCACATTTTGAAATAAATCTCCATTTCAACAACTCTCAGCCCGGCGTGTGGGTCCAATTTTTGTACAACCTGACACTGTGAGGCAATCCGAAGCTTGATTGCACCCACTTCAGGTCCTGTAAGCTCTCTGTTTAATTCTTCAGTTATATAAAAAGCTGCTTTGGACAGGCTTGGACGAAATTCAGCTGTGATTTGTCGGTGTTTTTACAAGCGAACGGTAATACTAATTTGTCATTTTTATTATCCGGAGCTCTCCTCCGATCAGCCGTGTTCAACCCCAGAGGTTAACCAATGTAACAGAAATCGCTGCCCTTGAAAAAAACTCCTCCGGCTGACTCAGACTGACGTGATCATCCTGACAAGTGAATGATTAGTGGATGAGGTCTTGTGGTTTGTTTCTGACGGGGGGAAAAAGGTGCAAGCTTGTTCCCAAGCCAAGTAAAAGGACACAAACATCCTCGGGGTGTCTATTCAACATTAGTCACCTTATTTGGTGAACAGAGACTACCTTACTGTTCCGGTGCCCCCGTCTGCTCCGAACACTCAGACCTCCCACTGTCTTTACTTTATTCCTGCCCGTCACGTCATGACATCCAATCAGACGCTGGTCTGACACACGCTCACGTGGATCTCAGACAAAAATAGAGAAACGGATGGAGCTTTTTTAAAAGGTGAGAAGAGCTTCTGGACGAATGCAACGTCCAGATTAAGTCCAATTATTCACTAACAAGCCAAATCCTTCTGCAAATGCCAGAGTGATTAAGAGCAGGGAACAAAAATTAC